TCAAGGCGCAGGAAAATCTCAAAAATTTGAAATAACCCTGAAAAAGCTCTTCCTCTTGAGACCTCTATGAAATGTGTCCATGCTCCTTTAAAAAACATGACGAAGATTTTTTAAATATTCCAAGTGCTTTTTAGCTTTTTTTCAAGGCGCAGAAGTATCTCAAAACTCGAAATAACCCTGAAAAAGCTTTTCGTCTTGAGACCCCTATGAAGTTTGCCCATGCTCCTTTAAAAAAAACATGATGAAGATTTTTTGGAATTTTCCGAGGCTTTCTAGCTTGTTTCAAGGCACAGAAGTATCTCAAAATTTTGAAATAACTTTGAAAAAGCTCTACGTCTTGAGACCTTTATGAAGTTTGTCTATGCTCTTTAAAAAAACAGCAGAGTCTTTTTTTTTTCATAAATTAATTCTGGCGCCCAAATATTTGTGAGAAAATTGAAGTCTTTGATAGCTTTTTGTAGAAATTTGACGATCTGCGTGAGAATTTCCTAGTACTTCTCCTCTCACTGTGGTCAATTTTCCCTGGGCCTGGCGATTTAAGCGGAATAAATATGACGCATTTTTGTTGCCCCGACGGCTAATATTTTTCTGTTTGCTCTCTCGTATCTCCTTCCAAATGCTGGCTACGTTTCCACCTCTCCAAATCATGCCTTCTATTTTTCCGCCCTTTCTTTACCTACACTTCAATTACCTACTTTTTCCTGTTGAGTGCACGTGTCTGACGTCTTTTCTACTGAGTAGTCCGGGTTTCGAGAATTTTTTGGACTTTTTGAACTTGCTCTGTTTCCATTTCCGTGGTCCACAAGTCATAAGCATTTCGAAATGAAGCTTTTTTCCATATTTTTTAAGAGTTTACGTCTTTTCTTGCTTTTTATTCTTTTCTTCGGATTCTCTGATGAATTCTGCCTTGTTGAATCTTTTTTTGAATTTTCAAAACCTAAAATAAAATTGACACGGTTCATAAATGAATATAATAGTGTGTTTTTGAAATTTTGCGAAAATGAGAAAATGAATACGATTTTTAAAAATTAAAAAAACTTGTTGAGAATATATTAAATTAATTTAATGGATCCTGGTAACCTCTTCCTTTTTTTGCCTATTTAAAGCTTGTTTCGTCGCTGTACGTTTTTTTTTAAGATTCGCAGATGAGTATGTTTATTTTCAGTTGAACCATTCCATGACGGCGCTGTAGTTGCTCATATTTTGAAACTTTCATTTTTTTTTGGTACAAGTTAAATTTTAAAAAAAAGTAAAAAGAAAAATTGACAAAACACGGGAAAAAATGCTGAGCGGCGCACGTCCGCAAGCACCGCCATCCTATCACCACTACCAGAAACACCACAAAAATCAAGTTCAACACCAACATCAAGCCCAAAACCAACAGCAATACCATCAGCACCATCATCAAATGGGTGGTGGTTTTTTAAACCACCAAAATCTGCCGCCAAAACCACCACCCAATTTGACAACGACTAAAGATTATGTCACGGTTCGTCATTTTATTATTTCTCACTCATTTTAGCCGCATTCGGATGTACGGGTTTTGCGATTGGAATGCGCCTCCGACGGTGGTGTTCTGGATTTTGACGACCGTTTGGAAGATGTTTTTGACTCGGTTTTTGACCAGGTTGAAGAAAAAGACCGGAAAATTGTGATGATTCATGATTTTCAAATTTTTCATTTTCTGTAGAGAAAAGCCTAGAAGAGTTGTTCTGTTCAGTTTGCATCAATATATTCAAATTTTTCTTGGAAATAGTTTTTGAATCTTTTTTTATTTTTATGAATAAGATTTGAAGGTTATTTTTTTAGATTTAATCACGCTTTCTTAGACTTTTTAAAAATTGATAATTTCAGTGAAATCGTCTTTTTTTTTTAATATTCAGCTATGAAAGAAAGCTATTCACGGGAGTTAAAAAAAAAGCTTTTTTGAGCTCTGATAGCTGAATGTTTCTACTGATTGAGTGAAATAACGCTTTTTCGGTTTTTACAACGGTTTCGGAAGTCTCTACCTGCACAACTCCCTATATTTCGAGAAATAGCTATTCAAAATCCGTTGAAATCAGCCTTTTTGGGACTTTTAGCCCTTATTTATGCTTTCAGGATCTTTTTCTAGTACATTATTGAGTTTTCTGACCAAGTTCCGAGAATCTCCCAGCCGTAAAGTACAACGATCTCTTTTGTTAGTTGAGGAAGATTAGGGGGATTTCGGAAACGTGGTTTTTTTGAGCCTTCTATACTTAGGTCTCATCTGCAAGGACAGATTTTGTCGATTTTTCCCGTTTCAAATTTCAAAGTGAGTGTCTTTCAGATTCTGGCGATCTACGACGAAGGCAACGGTCCAGTTGGCGGCTCCTCTTCCTCAGTTCCGGAAAATCACTACGCTCAGCCGATGCCCGTCTCGAGAAGAACTAGTCGAGATGTCGGTTCCCATGATTCGGCGCATCCTTCAACTTCTTCTCTTTATGGTTCATTTTAACTTTTTGTTGGAAATTTCTTAGAAAATCTCGAGAAAAGCTCAAAAAAAAACCAGTAGAACTTGAAAAAATAAGAAACTAAAACAAGTCCTAAAGAAGTAATCAAATCACAAAATTTCTGGTAATCAGTTAGAAAAACTGTGCTTCAACCACAAGGAATTAATTGGCAAAAAAAAAAGCTAGTTTAAACCTCAACTGGTAGTACTGGCTAGGGTTCGATAAAATCTTAGGAGGAGAGGCTGGAAACGTTTAAAATTCGCCTGCCCATGAATGGAAAAAAAAAAGTTGAAAAATGACTTTTTTGGAGATATTTCATAATATTTTTTAAGTCCACCCTGTCATTTGTAGCTCCAATTCAATTAGCTTTATTGTAAATTGGTGATTTTTTGACAGCATCATTTTATTTTTCAGCTCAATAATAAACTGTGAAAAATCTGAACAACTTGAAAAAAGAGAATTTTTGAAGGTTTTCTGTCATTTTCAACCTTACGCTGTCACTTTTCAGTTTTTTGAACATATGATTTTTCATGAGATTGGGCTTTTTTTAACCTGTTTTTCATTCAAAAAACGAAGAAGGAGGTATAGTTTCAGAAAAAGCAATGTGAAATCTTTCTTAAGACGTGTTTCTGACATCTTAACCTAACTTTTTTTTGTCGAGATTTTTTTTTGTTGACTCGGACTACGTTCAAATGTGTGGTTATTTTTCCTTGGAAGAAAATCTATGACATTTTTTTATAATTATTCTTCAAAAATCAAGGATGTTAGTTGCAGGGTCCACTTCCATGATACCGTCCCACTACGCCAGTTCGTCGATCCATCGAAGGTATATATTTGTTTTTTTCCTTACTTAATTTTTAATTTGATTAACGTATCTAACTTGCTTTCTATTTTACTTATTTACCAGAAAACAGTAATTGAAAAAAGGTGAGTATAGGCAATTAAAAACTCCATCGATTAGTTCTACTTAAAATATAAAATGAAAAATAATTATTGGCCGAAAATGTTTCAAGTTTAGATTTGGAGATTGTGAACGCGAATTCTTTCATTTGACCAATTTTTTTAAGAATGATGTCGAAAATTGTCACCTTTTCAGGTTTTTTCGCGTCTTTCACACAGGAAATGCACAACTGGAAAAGCTTTTCCAACCAAAAAAAAATCTTTGAAAATGTTTTTAAGGCCTTTTGAAGTGTGAGAATCGATCAATTACAAGAAATATGGATCTAATAAAACTATATGTTGTTTATGAGGCCACTGAGTCACTCCTCATGGTTTTGAAAAACTGAAAAGATTTCGTAAGTTTTTTTCCCAATTTTCTTGACCTTTTTCTTGTGAAATATTAAATTCCCTATTATGAAGTTTTTAAATTCAATTATAAGTGACGTATTTTGCGTTGTGATCTGGTCCCAACAGTATCATGCGTTGGCTTGTAGAAATGATGTCAAAATATTTATTTCAACACTTTTTATTTCGCATAATTGTTGTATAAAATGCATTATTCAAGCTTTGCTCACGATCCGATGTCCTCCCGGGCAGCCGAATTGGAAGGACCTCCTTCGGATCTTCGCGTCCACACGACACAAGTCAGCCACGACCGTGGCGGTCGTGAATGGCGAAGTGAGGAACCCAGGGAGAACGGGGGACACCCGCGGGCTTCACGTCAAGTTGCCATGACTAAGAGCTACACGGCGGGAGGTTCGTTGAGAGGAATTCATTATTTATCGTTGTCTTTTTTTTTTGAGTGGTTAAGAAATAATAGCTTTTTGAAAATCCTTCACTTTATTGTAAGAAGGTTTTTAAGGGCTATAATGTATTTAGAAGGCTATAAAGGCCGTCTCTAATTGAAGAACTTTGAATGGAGTTAGCCAAGTAGACTTTTTAATTCATTTTAGAAGGGAATAGCTCATTAAATTCTTTTATGTCACATGAAAATAGAATAGGACATGCTGCTTTTTTCTTATAGAGCTTAGAAAGACGTTTTAAAATGAAGAATTATATAACTGGCACATGGTTTTTCGTGAAAAAGGTACTTTAAATCAATTTTTGTTTTTTTTATTCTTGAAAGAGAATCCATTTTCCTTCCTTTTTTCTCGAAAAAGTCCAAGAAAACGGCTCATTTCCTTATTTAGGCTACTCGGCCGTTTAGAAAGTTTATGAGATCATTTTTTATACATCATAATTGGAGTGAAGCATAACTTGAGAGATTTCTGAAGGGAGGTATGTTGAAAATTGGACGAGTTAGGATTGTTTTTTGCGGAAACCCGGTAGAAAAGATAAATTTAGAAGGAAGATGATCATGAAAATTGTTTTTAATCCTTAATATTTCCATAAAAGAGGGGTTTTCCAGCCTCAACCACCACCACGGCTCATTTGACCGGCGGAACCGGCGTCTCCCATCATCGACACGGCCTTCCGAAGCAAAATAGCGTTCCCGTTAGTTTTCTGAATCTTTCTGACACTTTGAAAAGGCGTAAATCAACTAGAAAATGGTTCTTGAAGTTGCGAAACTATACATGAACAAGTAAAAACTCAACTTGTCCAGGAGGAGGGTTTGGCTGGAAAATTGACCGAAGAAATATGATTTCTAGGCTCAGGGAGGTAGTGTTGGCACCAATAAATTTCAACCTCAGGGAGGTACTAATGGCCTTAATTTCAAAATACTTGGGTTGGCGGCCTTTAAAAATGGTCTGCCTATCTGTGTTCGAAACGAAAAAGGAAGCTGATGGAACATTTTGAAAGTTGAATTCCAGTCGTCGAACGCATCGGTGGCTGGGACGTCGACGGCGTCACTCGGAGCGGATGGCCAACCCGTGAGGTCTTCTTTGAGGTCCCAAGCTTCCACGGCGAACCATTCCACCACGCCGTCTCGTTATCGTGTCACCATGAGTCCCGGTAATGATTTCCTTTGTTTTCTTTGAACTAGGTAGCTTCACGGGGGATTTGTGTAGTTTTTTTCGGAATATTTTCTTGGTTTTTTCAGAGTTCTTCTATATTTTCCTTAAAGTTATTTGAAAGAATTATGATGAAAGTCTAAAACTTTCATTTTTCATTTGGTTGGGCAGAGCCTTTTCCAATGAGGAGTGATCCGAGAGTTTGAGATTAATAAATATGAAATTTTTTGTCTTTTTTACGCATTTAGTTGGGGTTTAGAATGTTGATGCTTCTTTTTTTTAATTTCGGGGGCATTTGTTCAGTCTTTTTAAGAGAAGAACACGGCAAAAGTCTGAAAAATGGTGCTTTTTTATCAATTTTTGTCAGGCAGCGCCTTTTTCAATGAGAACTGAATTAAGCGGAAGAACTGCGTTTATTAAATCAAGTATTATGACACTTTATTTTTTTTGTGTGTTTTTCTAGCCTTTTGGGCTCCGTATTGCGGTTTTAGTAGATTATTATGTGTATTTTGGATCCAGTGGCATTCATTTTAAGTTATTGATTTTTAGAAACTTAATATAAGTCTTAAAATGATCTTCTTGTTCTTTAAGGGTGTTTGACCATGTTTGTGTCATCTTTGAGCTTGGCCTAGCCTCTGTTTGTACTTTTAAAGCGATGTTATTGAAATTTCCGATTTCAGAGACATTTTTTTGGTATAATATTGTCCAAGAAACACAGCAAAAAAATTTTCAGTATTAAAAAAAAGACTGTTGGTTCTTTAAAATTCAAAATTTTTTTGCTTTTATTTTTTTCACCATCTTGATATATTTTAGTTTGATTATTCTGAACAGAACTTTAGGAACATGAGGCGATCTGCTTACTTTTATTACAAGGAAATTTTAATCCCCTTAAGTGAAAAAAATTTTGTAATTTTTTTAAGCGATTTCAGCGTCTTTGCTTTATTTTTCACATTTTCCGATATATTTATTATCCGAAATAGATGACCTCATTTAAAGAAAATGAGACGATCTTCACTGTAGAGATTGCCTACGTTTATTATGAGGAAATGCGAATCAACTTAACTGTAAATTTGTCACAGACGTCGAGAAGAAGTTGACGAAAAGCGAGGAGCAAACCGACGGGCCGAAACTCAAACGGGGTTCTGACCGGAAATCGCGGATCAATGACGCGTTTCTCGATGCCAGAGTAAGGAATTTTATCATTTCTTGCCCAAAAAAAAAGTCTAAATATCACTCGGACGTGTCGGGAGTGGCCGCTTTAGTGGCGTCAGCACTCTCAAGTGGTCCCTAGAACTGCTCCGGAACTTCCGATGTCCGAGCAGATAATTCAAATTTCTCTGTTACATTGTACAGAAAAGGGCTCTCAAGATGTTTCAAAGCTCAAAATTCCTAAAAACCTGAAGGAATTCACAGGAACGACTAGCCGAAGACCTTGCGCTGAACGAAGCCGGCCAACGTCATCGTGGCGACTCGATGACGTCATCATCAGCTTCTGGATCCGGTAGAAGACGTGGCGGCTCGAAATCGACGAGAGTTCGTGCTCCATTGAGAGAAGGAGAGAATGGAACGACGGTTTTGACGTTGGTTCATGATGAGGAGGAAGACGCGGATTTCAACGAAGGCGCGTATCGGCCTATTGGGATCGAAGGTGAACTTTTTATTATAGTCAAGTCATTCTAAGTTAATGTTTTATGTGTTTGAACTGAAGTTTCAGATAAAATTGTGCCATTTTAGTGAATTTAGAAAATTTTTTGGGTATTGGAGGTAGCTTGTGGATGACTTCTTCAGAGCTTTCTAGGATTTTATTTTGAAATCGGTTAATTTTCACCTTATTCACTCCTAAAAAAATTTAAAGGAAGAATTAAAATTCTTGAGAAATTTTTGAATAAAACATGTGAAGTACGAGAGATGTTTTTTTGATTTTTTTTTTTAAATTCGAAGAACCTGGATCAAAATCCAAAAAATGCTTCTTAACTTTTTGTAATGCCCATTTTTGGACAAATTACTACATCTTATAATTTCTTTCAAAGCATTTTTCATCTTGTTTCCGTGTTTAATTATCATTTCCAGTTAATGCCGTTTTCGACGATGCTTCATCTTCAAACGGAACTTCTCAAGCCAAGTTGACAGCCGTCCAAGTCATGAAAATCGAAGAAAATGGCCGGGCGGCAAAAGATGGACGACTCCTTGTGGGAGACAATATTGTAGAAATTGATGGACGGCCTGTTTATCAGGTCATTTTTCATGTTTTTTCAAAGTCTGTGCTTTTCTGAGGCTTTTGTTCTTATTGCATGACGTTTAGAGTGAAGAGAAACTATTAGAAAAATTGGAAAAAGTTCAATTTTGAAAAGAATCCTCGAAATTTGCTAATTTTAATGTTTAGAATGAAGGATTTTAGGACTTAAGAAGTGTTGTTTTTTTACTTCTTGTTTCTGGAAAAAAATCATTTTTCAAAGTCCGCTTTTTTGAAGCTCTTGTTCTTTTTTTGTATGACGTTTATAGAGCGAGAAAAAGTTATTACAGTCTTGGAAAAAGTTAAATTGGGAAAAATCAGTAAGGAGCCCTGGAATTGGAAGATCGCTAATTTTCCTGCTTAGAATGAAGGATTTTAGGACTGAAAAAGTATTGTTTTTACTATATTTTTCAAGTTTCTGGAAAAATCACGTTTTTTTTTTCAGAGTCTCGGCTTTTTCTGAGGCTCCTGTTCTTATTTTAGGACGTTTAGAGTGAGAAGAAACTATTAGAGACTTGGAAAAGGTTCAATTTTGAAAAGTGGTAAGACAACTCGAAAATTGCTAACTTTAATGTTTAGAATGAAGGATTTTAGGGCTTAAAAAGTGTTTTTTTACTAGATTTCGTATACTTTTTCATGAAGTTTCTGGGAAAATAATCAAAAAGGCTTCTGGACAAAACATATATAACTTTTCGCGAAATCAACTTTTGTTATGATTTTTATCCGTAATAACTTTCAGATGTCGATCCTACGAGCTCGAGCTTACATTTCCGACCTTTCGACGCGAAAAAGCCCGACTTTGACGATTGCCAGGCCGTTGGAATTGTTTGGAAACGAAGAAAATGGAGAGATGGAAGGAGAAGCTGGAGCTAGTGTATGTCTATTTATATCATTTTTGTTGGCTTGAAAAAGTTTGTCTTGATCTGCTTGATAATCAGAAAAATTGTCGTTTTTTGGTTTTTTCTGGACACTTTTTAACTCTGAAAAATCTTATTTGTTCCGATTATTCAACCCCATTTTTTCCTGCCCCTATGCCTTTAATTGAAGAGCTTATTTTTCCCTTGAAAAGTCTTAATAAGTCAGAAATGGAAAAGTGGAGGTCGTTTATCCATTATTGTGTGAAGTTGTCATTGACGAATTTTTTTAAATTTTCATTCCAAATGACTTCTCTCAAACTTTAATGAGGATCCAGTCCACGTAAAAGAGATCACTTCAATTAATTATGATTTCAGTTCGATTTCGATTTCCAGAAACCTTCAGTACTTCTCAAAACGGAAATTGAACCTTTTTTTTTTACAGAAACCCATATTTTCTGCCCTCCAACAAGCCAACACGCAGTACATTGGCCACACGACGATTGTTGAATTGATCAAAAGTTTGTTTTTTTTTCAAGTTTTTCCTGAGTTGCTGATTTTGTTTTTGGGTATGTGTATGAGGCTGAGAAAGTTATGAGGGGCTATGAAAATTCTGTTTTTAGCGATTTATCTTGAAAATATAATGGGAAATTACTTGTTCGGAAAGAAAATAGATCAATTGTAACAAATTTAATAAAAAAAGGGCTAAGGGTTTTCAACTTTTTTTTGACTACGAAATCATTGTCAGAATTCATTTTTTTCCACATATTCTTCTCACTTTTTTTGAAAATTTCCAATAATTTTTCTGTCAATTTTGATGATTTCCTATAATTTTTCTGTTAATTTCAGGCCCAAACGGGTTCGGTTTCACCGTAACGGGACGCGAAACGGCGAAAGGCGAAAGATTATTTTATATCGGAACGGTCAAACCGTATGGAATCGCCTTGGGTCATTTAAAATCGGGTGATCGGCTTCTTGAGGTTGAGATTATTTCAGAAAAAGGAGATGATCGATTTTTTCAGATCAATGGAGAATCGACGGCCAACATGACGCAACAAAATGTGGTTGATAAGTTGAAGGTATGGAAACGGGCCATTTTGAAAAAATGAAGGGAATTTATTTTTTTTAGCTGTTGAGATGTTTGTACGATTTTCAGCTTTCTAGCGAAATTTTTTTTGGGGAGTGCTTAACCTGAATTGAAATTTATTGATAGGGTATTATGAATTTTCCATGAAATGAGAAATTTTCTAACTGTTTGCCATTCTCACGTTTAATGATTTATTTAAATGAGCTCGTTGTCCTAATACGGCAGGCCAGAACGCCTATATTAGTTTAGAGAGCATGGGGAACTTGGAGAGTAAGATTCTGCTCTCTCCTCGTTCTACGCACTGTCTCAGTACCGTTTTCTGTCAAATTGGCATGCCAGCGCTCATGTCCTTAGTCAGTGTGTAGAATGTGGAGACTACCACTCTGGTCTGGCCTCTCCGAGCTTACCGTGCTCTCTAAACTGGGTTTTTTTTTATCTTTATTAAATGTTTCTTCTGAATATTTTTCCTTCACCTTCCATTCCATGCTTTTTCAGGAAGCAATGGTCGGACAAAAAGTCAAGTTTCTCGTGTCACGAGTGTCTCCAGCGACGTCTTCAAAATCAGAACCGACGTCTTCTGAAAACAAGGAAAATGAAGATAAATCGGAAGCCCCAATTTATGCGACAATCGCCAAATTTGCCGACGGGGGCGATTTGAGAAACGATCGATTGAGTGTCGAGCCGAGCAGAAATGTCAATGGAAAGGTGATTTTTCGGGATTTCTAGGCTGATTATCTACAAAATTTGAATCACACGGTCAAATTTCATGAAGGTCTCGAGGTGAAAAGCCGTTTCAAGGGGTTTTTCGGTTATCCAGCAATTTTTTTGAGCTCTAGATAAGGTTTTGAGCAGATTAAAATGTAAGATGTGATCCTAGAAATTTGGATTTCACTGTATTTTTTTCAGTTTTTGATTTTTTTCGTTTTTTTCCGCATCATTCACATGTTTTTATAGGTATTTTTAAAGCCTGAAAAAAATTTTTGCCCCTTTATTTTTATAATCATTACTGCTCAATTTTTCCAAATTTCCTTTTTCAGAACCTCTCACCGTCATCCCTATCACCATCTGACGTCAACGAACCAATTATCCTCGACTGGGTCGTTCCTCTGAACGATTCTGGGTCCGCTGGCCTTGGAGTTTCACTAAAAGCTCGCGTTTCGGTCAAATCCGACCAAACGCGTCGAGATTGCGGCATTTTCATCAAGAATGTGAGTATTGGGATGCCACTTGGCGTAGGCCGCCGCGAGTCGGGCGCACGCAATTCGAGGGTGTCCGCCGGCGGCCGCCTCGTTCACCCTAGTGATGATAAACTTTCCGATCTATCGGGTGACAACTTGCTGAACATTGTACGTCAGTCTGAGGGGTACAAAAGTCAATTTTTGATAATTAATAATTAAAGTGATAATGATAATTAACAAATTATCTCACATGATGGAATGTGTACCTAAATCAACATGTAGAGTCAAATTTGTGGCGTTTTTCTGGATTTGAGATTTTAAGTGTTCCCTTAAGGGATGTAAAGTATCAATTTGGATAATAATAATAATAGATTACAAAATTAATAATTAAAAAAATTAACATACAGAAACTTTTGGCGTGTGTTCAAAGTTATATTGGATTTTTTTGAGTTTTTAGAATTGAGGCGTTTCCTTAAGGGATTTAAAGTATGCTTTAGTGGCCCCTTGATCAATTTAAAGTTTCAATTTGAATATTAATGATATTAGACTAAAAAAATTATTAATTATGAAGTGATCCAAAAATTAGTATATAGAAACTTGTGGCGTGTGCGAAGTTATTTCGGATTTTAGAATTGAAGAGTTTCTTCTAGGGATTTGAAGTATGCTTTAGTGATCCCTCGATCAATTTTTAAGTATTAAATTTAATAATAATAATAATAATAATAATAGGTTTATTCACTGCATAGGATAAGAAAATAAGTAGTTATAATAATACAAGGCAATTAGTCCACCCTAAAGAGTAGAGTTTGACCCGGATTGAGACAAGAATTAGAGCAATCGGGAAGGTATTCAGTCGAATAAGGCGGAATTTGAGAGATTATCAAGTTTGTGACTCGTAGAGAATAAGTGGGACGTAAAATTCAAAAAATAAAGAGTTCTGAACTTTTACTTCTACATGTTAAAAAACCGCCATTTTATGACATTTATAGTTTTTTTGAGGATCTTTATTAGAAATTCAATCAGTTTTGTTAAGTGATGATGTTTTCATGCAATTTTCAAGCTATGAATTTTTTTTCTTATACCCCTGCGCTGTCACGATGCAGTAATAACTTCACAAACAAAAGAAAAATATATGGATCAAACTTTTTTAGGTGATGCATGGCGGAGCTGTTTTCAAAGACGGCCGGATACGAGTTAACGACCGGATTGTTGGAATTGAAGGGGTTCGTTTGAAGAAAAAATTTTAAAAGATTCTTAAAAGTTTAAGCTTCAAACAGAGTGTGAAAGAAGTTAAAAGTTAAGAAGTTAAAGTTAAAGAAAATAAACGAAAACCTGTGATATGAATATCTTTTTCCAGGTGAACCTGGAAGGTATGACGAACGCTGAAGCTAGTAGAGCCATTAGTAATCAGCTCAAGGCGATCGGTGACCGTGGGAAATTCGTTCAGTGAGTTTGGAATTGGTTTTTCTCTTTAGGTTGTTATAGTTTTTTAAAAATTAACGGACATATGACTTCAAAAATCATTCTAAATTTCCTAGAAGGAAAGTTTTGAGAAGCTTCTGAGGATACTGTAGAATGACTTGAGGATGATCTAATTTTTTGAAGATTTTTTGAAGCTCTTACAAAGTTTTTGGAGTCTTGAAAGTTCCAATAATCAACATTTGAATAATCTGTGTCTTCAAGATGTTTTTTTTTTCACTAGAAGCCTAAAAAAATCTTTCAAAGTTGCTCAGGACTGTTTCAAGAAAAGTCTGAAGGTCTTGCAGACTTTTCAACATTTTTGAGGGTTTTTACATAGCTCTGAAGTCTTGATATATCTCAAAAATACCGTTTCAGACCTTCCGTAAATTTTTTCAACAACAAAAATCTACATGAATCTTCAAAAATGCTCCTTTTAGCCTTCGAATCCAACGAGAACCGAACCCAGCTGGAACTTTGACGAGGGACACCTCGCGAATCACAGTTGACGCGCCATCGCCATCGCCCTCGTCGCACATCTCCCATTCTCTCCTACCGTCACCAGCGTCGCAGGCTTTCGGAAGCCGCGCCATGTCGTCCAGTGGCGTCGATTCGTCGCACTCGCGACAATCTTCTGCGAATTCGAACGAGGAGAGAGCCTATCGCGAATCTGTCGCCAGCGATTTGAGGTTTGAAGATGAGGAAGCAAAATTGAATGTCATCCCCTTAAGACTGGACGACTCGGACATGCCTCCACCCTCAAGTGATCCCTTCGATCGGGAAGCGCCGACGAGAAAAAGCTTGAGCGAGAAGGTTGAGAAAAAGCTGATTTTTGGCTTTTTACGCGTTTTTTCAGAGGGGACTTGGCGCCGCTGCGGATCCTCAGCACATCCGACTTTTTCAGGATATCAAGCATCAAAGGCAGAGTAGTGGTGGGTTTTGAGAAAAATAGGTTCTCTGAAAACTTGGGACTTGCTTGGGAGTTTGGAAACTGCCAATTTTGAGTTTAGGAACTGCCAATTTCGTCAACAAAGTGTCTCTAAGACTTGAAACAGTCTGACTTCTCTGCGCTCTCTTTCCTCTTTTCATATTTCTTTAACCTCGTCTTTGAGGGAAAAGAGAGCCCAGACAGGTCAGAATTTTTGGAGACTCTTCAGGGATTTCTCAGTTTCAATCATGATTTTTCAGTTTTACTGGTTTTACTAGTGTTACAAATACAGTTGAAATTTTCATTTTTACTTAATTTAAAGATCCGAAAAAACTGATTAACTTGTACGGAACCTGAAATTTATTGGAATGCGCTTTCTTCTAAGCCTTCTACTTTAATTCTTTCTTGACACCTTCTCGGGAGTCCTATTGTCAAAAATAGCCTTTTATTAATAATGTTTATTTACAGGCAGAACAAAATAACATGTACAAGAATGATTTTTTTTTTCTGAATCATTTTGAGACATGATGTGTTTTTTCAAGTTGCTGTGAATGAAAAATATTTCTCCCCCTTGAATGACTCATCTTCTGCTTGCGCTCCTCCCGCCTGAGTGTGGCTTCTATTTTTTCAGCGCCACCTGGATCATCGACGCCAGGCACGCCGTCAGGACATGCTCGATCCGTTTCTCAAAGAGCCGCGAGCCGGTATAATCGATCGGCTTCTGCGCAAAGATCTCTACCGCCTTATACGGCGTCGGAACGGCACGTTGGTATTGACGCCGAGTCGTTGACCGTCCCGAAAAATGGATCTCGTGAGTTTCTTGGCCGTGCGATTTCCGCTTCTGAGATGCGCTTTTGAATGATTTCTTCTTCTAAAAGAATATTTTTTGATGTTCTTGTGAAAAAAAAGTTCTCTTCTTTCCCAGTTGTACGCTTGACATTTTTTTAAATACAAAATTGTCTGGAGATTCAGGAGTTTTTTTCTCCAGTCTTTAAAAAAACTTCTTTAAATACATTTCAGCTTTCCTCCTCCCCCTCCCCCATAAATTTTTTCAAACAGGGTCTTTCAAATATGTGAATAATTTGAAATACAAAAGGGTCTGAAGTTTTCGGAGTTTTTTCTCTAGTCTATAAAAAACTTGTTTAAGTTCATTTCAGCGCCCCCTTCCCCTCAGTTTAAAGCTTGAATATTCCTGAGTTGCTTTTTTTTTCCTGCTGTTTAAAGATGACTTTTTACCTAACTTTCGTGTTAAATTAACACCGTCTTGCATGTTTTTTAATGGACTTTACGGGGTATAGCAGAACTTTTGACACGGGTTATTGTGAAACATGGAAGATTGAAGACAAAAAGATATAATTTGCACAGAAAAGAATTGAAATTCGCACTGTATGTCCCATAAATTAATAAAAATATCTATTTCGCAATACAGAACTGGTCAACCGACGGTCCTTGAGCATGGAAAGTATCAACAGAACGGCTGGAAGTGCACTTCAGGTCAACAATAAACGAGTCGTCATTGATGCCCCCGGAGATCGAAAATTCGATAATGGTATTATATGTGTTGATAATGACATAGTATAATATTTATTTCATTCACAAGGAAAATGGTCATTGGCAAATACGTGGATTATATTCCAGAGATGTTTATGTGGGTAACTTCTGTCCAAAATTGTTCTTGAACCACTTGGAAAAGCAATTTTTTGAATAATCTAACAATTTGGAGCACTGTCTTACAAGGTTTATGTGTGAAGGCTTTAATTTTTTTAAAAATTGATGAAGGATCTTCAAAAAAATATTTTTATGGGCTTGAAAATCACAGTATCACAGAAAAATTTTCATTATAAAAAAGCTGTCAAAAAAAAAAATTTTATACACGAATTATACATTTTTCAATCATATTCGATTTTTTGAAGATTTTCAAGGCATTGCAATAGCTGAAAAATACGCACTTTGGTAAAAATTGAGATTCTGAAAGTTTTAATGCTGGCTCGCGTGAAGTCGCTCCATGGTCGGGCGCATTTTTGAGTAACCGTTTTGCAGCGCGACACTTTGAGCCATTCCAAATGCGACCAGAACTAGTCAAATTATCATAAATTTGGACTGTTATTTTAAGAGAAAAATGAACTTTCATTTTTCAGCCAATCCGCAACATCCATTTCCACCCGGCTCGCCCATTATGCGATTAAAAGAAGGTGATAGAAATTCGAGGGATAAACAGAGGCGGAAGAGCGTTGGAGTGTGAGTTCTTCAAATGTTTCAGAATAGATGGAAAAATGGATATTTTACAGGGCAATGAAGAACTTCTTTGGATTTGGAGGCAAGTCAAGGGAGGCGTCGCCAGAGAAGCCGATGGAGAAAAGAAGAGAAGAAAGTGCGAGTCGGAGGTGAATAAAACAGTTCAGGGTATAGTGAGGAAGTATGGAAATGGAAATGAGGAGCTTTGGGCTTCTAAAGGTAGAAAAAACAGGAAATATGGGTTTTAGTTGAAAGTATGCTGAAACTCTTCTTTGAGCTGTTTCTAACTTTGAATCATGATCCTGAAACTTCAGAATTAAGGAATGAACGAATGGGAAAGCCAAAACAACGCGATTCTTTAGTTAGAAAATTTCCTTTTCCGAAGTTTTAACCAAATATTGATTCGAATGAAGAAACTTTCAAAAATTGACCTTCAAAAAAAAACTGTCAAGTATTGAAGTTATGGTCAAATATTGGACGAGAGCTTGGTTGAACATTTAATTTTGACGATATGTCTTGAATGGAGTAAAAATTCCTTTCTTCATTTATCTTTCAATAGACCTGCTCCACCAAACAAGCACGACATAATGTCGATGTCGATGCCGCCAGCTTCCAACCCTTCGCGACATCCGCCACCACCTCCAAGTTTAGTCCAAGCCAGACGTCGCGGCTCTGAATCCGTCTACGTCGACTACGGAGATCCGTACGGAATCCATCAGGTGCGAAGAGTTTATGACAAGGGAGTCGTTTTACTTGACGTTTTGGAATGTTCTGAACATTTGCCTGAACACTCTACGGGGCTAGATTAGGATTCTTAATAGTCAATACCTGCACAAAATTCTGATTTTGAAGAGATTAAATTTCAAAGAACCGTTCATTGTTCCTGATACTAGGTTAAATGAAAACTTTAAAAGTTCATGTCGAGAAATTGAAGTTTGGCATAGATTGAGATAGAGATATCGGACCGTCATCACCTGCGAAAATTTTATTTTAACTTTGATGATATTAATTTTCAAAGTTACCATACGTTGGTAGCTTTAATTTTGTATGAAAGGAATATTTTTCAAAATTTTGCGCTAATAGCGACTGTAAGGATCGTGATCTAGCACTTTAATGAATGCTTTTGCGAATTTTCAGAGATTTCGAATCGAAAGTGTAAAAATGATCCTTGGGCTATTTTCGGGTAGTTCTAGGCCTTTTCATCTTTGATATTCTCTATAAAAAATTCTAATAATAGTTTTTTCTGCCTACATTGTAACTTTTCAATAGAGTTGTTAATTGTAGTTTGCTTGGTTCTGTTGGTTTTTCTTGATAAAGACGAAAAAGTACGCTGGGAAAAAAATAGCCGTGTAGCTAGAGTGGAAATGCGCTCCATGGAGAAAAAAACTTTTTTCAAAATTTTCAGCGCTTTTCGAGTTTTTATTGGAGTTTTCAATGAAGGGTTTGATTGAGGATAAAAATAAGGACTTTAATTGTGATTATTGGTTTTTTTTTTTTTGCCGTGGAGCGCACTTGCTATTTGAAAAAGCAGATGTAGAATTTTTTGACGGAGAGGCTCTTTTAAAGATTTTGTTTGCTCCATGGATCATGACTGTGGTTTCAGAGACTATATCATTTTTTTCCCAGTGTCTTTTTTTCCGTATTCAAGTTTTTTTAATATAATTTTTTTTGACTTTTTTTCAGCTTTCTTTTTTTCATAATCTTTATTGAAATAATGCGTATTTTTGGGTGGTGGAAATTCAGCCAAGAATATTCAAAGCAAAATGAAAGAATGAAGCCGCGGCTCATTCATTTTCTGATCAAGACGGAGAAGTTCAAGGAGAGAAGAATAGCCGCGGCTCAAACTTTCTCATCTTTGGCTCAATTTTCACCTACCCAGATTGGTTTGCTGTGTGCGTGTGTCTATAACTCGGTATTTTCAGCAGGTTCCCACTTCTCAAACTTCTTTTGTACCTTCTTCTTCTTCTCCTCCTTCTTCTTCTTCTGCATCTTCTGCAACTTGTTCGACGTCTTCTGCTTCTTCTTCCTCTGAATCTAAAAACCCTCCTTCTTCGGCTTTAACTTCCGCTGATAGTAATGCAACTCGACGACGGGCCCCGTCCCCACCGATGAAGTTTGGCAACTCGCGATTTTACTCGAGCTGTCGGCCGCATTTGCTCCACGGCACGCCTAGGTATAGTGTGGTCTCTGTGTGAATGTGTACTGCTGTATGGGTGTTGGAGTGGTCCTTCTAGGGGTTTCCCTGTCTATTTCTTAGCTTCTGTGGCTTAGAGAGCTTCTAAGGTTGTTGGAGGTTGAAGTGGTCGTTGTAGGTCTTCAGAAATAAAATTTTCTCTGGAGATTTTTGAATCTTGCGAGTATGAAACAGTCACTATTGTGGCTTAGAAGTTGATTTGAAAATTTTTTTGATTTTTTTGATCTCACTTTAAGGTTTTTTAAAGTTTTTTGAAAGCTCTAGTGGTCAGTATAGTTACTAAGAAGGTAAATACTAGGTTCATTAAGATTTCTTGACCACTATAAAAATCTGTAACTACACATGAATAATGGAGTGGTCATTCTAGTGGCTTCAAAGTTGAATTCCAGTATTTTGAGATTTTTTTTAAATCCTAGGATCTTCTGTGAGCTCTAAGCATTTCACAAGACTTTTAAGACTTCTGAACTTGTAAAACGACCTCTTTAGAAGTTTTAAGCTGAAGTAGTTGCTTAAGTGGCTTAGAAAATTATTGGGACGTTTTTTAAATTTTTTTTTTGGTAGAGATGGTTCAAAGAACATGAAAATTAAAGTAGACGGATTTTTGCATTTTTAGGAGTTTTTTCTTTTTTTTTCCGACTCGTAACCTCTTTAGTGACCACTTTGACGTCTCATAGATTTGCTGGAATGTGTGCTCGCTGTGCTTGAATGACTGGGCTGTGCTTTTTCCCTCCTCTCGTTTTCCTTACATTTTTAAAGACAGTTTTTCATTTATGTTTGGCTTGGCTATCGAAGGAAGAAGCCGAAAATTGATGAAGTCAGTAAAATTGAACTTTATCAATTTGAGGTTAAAATTGGACTTTCAGAAACTTTTTCATTCTTCCCGAATGCTTCTGCATGTCTTCTCTACCTATTTTCCTCCTTTATAACTTCTTCTTTCCTTTTTTTATTTTTCAACCCTCCCTACCTGTCCGTCTTCCTCTACCTAACCATCATATCTCCAGTCTTACCCTTAAAATTTATCCTAATTTCCTTAACAAATTTAAAGACTTTACCTTACCTTCCACTGCTTTGGCTTTGCTCACCGTGATATGAACAAAATTTCAGAATAAGAAATTTTCCAGGCTTCCGGCAACTACGACGCCTACGACACAGAGCTCTACGACCGCTACGCAGCCCATCGGTACGGCGGCGACCGCGACGCGGCCGCACGCGCCGTTGGACCAACCTCCCCGCCAAGCTACATCAACTTCGGAATGCCGACGTCAGTGTGGGAGTTGAAATTTAAAAAGTTGCCTGAGCCGACCCGGCTAGACATGGACTCTGCAATGCGGTCGCGAAGCGGCCTAGATTTTTTTCATTTTTTTGAAGTTTTTTTCTTAAAAAAATTTCATATTTAGTAATCAAAAAAATGGTAAATTGACCGATATTATGAAATATAAACTTTGAATTGAGAGCTTGAGGCTATATTAAAATCAAGTTTTTTTGCTTGGAAGTAACAGATTTCACAGAACTTCCTTTCCAAAATTGTAATTGAAACAAAAATATCAGCCTAAAATAGCTTGACATGACGATTTTTGTTTTGGAAAAAGACCGGGTTCATAAGAAAAAAACGAATTTCTGAGTTCTTGTTCCAAAAATTTTTATTATTTAGAAGTAACAGAAAATCTTTTTCTTCCAGCTGCACCGTAAACTGCAGATTACTTCATGGGCTTTAAAAATTATGTGAGAACATTTTCCAGCTCGCACTCATACCATGGGGGAAGCTTCTCTTCGGCCGTTTACCGTCGACCAGCCACCTACGACTACGACTTCGGTCCAGCCGTTCCAGCCAACTACGAGGACTCGTTCGGCTACTACGATACTGTCGGAGACTACTCCCACATCCCACGCGCCGGACCCGCGCCGGGGCCACGCCGACCCGGAACAGCGGCTCCAGATTACTACCACATGTTCAATTCGTGGTTTGCCTGCTCCAGTGGTGGCGGAATTGGCGCAGCGCCTGCCGTCAAAGCCGCCTACGGAGCCGTCCCGCCAAGTGGCAGCAGCGGCGATAGCTCCGCCAGCAGCCTCGGCCCCCAACTCCAGAGCCAGCAACGAAGACGTGGCCCCTCTCCTTCGGCGCCGCCGCAGCATGGCACTGCTGGACGAGGTGGACGGATCTACGCGCAGAGAGTTCCCGCAGAAGCCCACCCGCCCGGATCCCCGCGATACAAGAGATACGTCTATGAAGGACAGCAAGGACAGCAGCAAAGGCAGCAGTCGACTTCTCGTCTTCCCCACTACTAGGTGGGGTTCGGATCTAGCTTCATAGAGAAGTGTTTTGAAGATTGCGACAAAATTATTGAAATATTCATCGTCTAATTCAAATTTTCCTTCAAAATGCTCTGAAAAATCACTATCCGAAACTACATTCTTGTCGAAAGACGTTCATTTTTTGATTAATTTCCATTTTGACCAGAAAAAGACGGTTTGAAAAGCCCAATTTCATGCTTTTCACGGCCAAAAAAAGTTACTCAAAACTTTAAATTTTAATGCCTCAAAAATACTAGATTTTTCGCTGATTCAGAAAATTCACCTTTTGCCAGTCATTTTAATCATCATGACCAGAAAAAGGGTTTAAAAACGGATTTTCTTGTCTTTCAGGACTCTAGGCCAAAATATTATTGAAAAAATAACTTGAATTATCAAAAAATAACACTACGGAACTGTCCAATCTCTGAATTTCAAGTTCTCATAAAATAATAGATTTGAATAACATCCGCGTTTCAAAGCATTTATTTTTCCAGATTCGTCTTCGCCTCCCACTTCCCCGTCAACACATCCCAATCGAAGCAAAATCAACCTTTCGCCCAACAAAACACTTCCGAACGGCTTTCTCTGAGAGCCAGGAAAAAACGCCGCGCTGCTGTTCGTTCTGAAATCATCACAAATTCACAACAAAATGAGCCGCTTCACGTCGAAATGCCGCCGACTCCGACCGAGTTATTGCTGCCGAAATCGACGTCCCTTTTGATGTCTCCTCATGGTGAGATTGGATTTTTCTGTGAGACCTAGAAGTGATCGCCAGAAAATGAAGCCAAAAGAAACCCAATAAAAAAGGCCCATTCTTGTCATGATATGTTTCTTCGGAGCTACGGAATCATCCTCTTCGATGCACCCGGCCTATCTCTGGCCATGCGCCTTTAATATAAACGGAATTTAGGAAATTTAGAGGTGCATCTACAGAGACAGGCCGTATGTATCGAAACAAACTGCTTTTAGACCTATTTGTGAAATTGAAAGTATAGCGGATTCACGACCAGCTTGGGACGCTAAGGGGGCGTGTCCTGTCTGCTCTCTCCACGAGCCAGGCGCTATCTCGTGCATTATCGTGTCAGGACCATTTTTTCGATGGCTCAAGCCAGCCGTGAATCAGCTATACTGTATTACTGTATTAATCAACGTAATCGTTTTCAAAACTCTTTTTCGATAAAATTAAAGATTTTGCGGTTCAACGTTGGCTCAAATAGGTAAACAAAAATGCTTTGATCGATCTTGAGCCTTGCAAGAGGCTTGGTTGTTATCAGTAAAGTTTTTTTGAAAAGAACACCTTCAGAGACAAAAACGGAATATAATCTCTTTTAAAGGCAATTTTCCAGGCCAACAACTGTACGAAACCACGTCCGCAATGTCAACACCAACAATGATGCGATCGAAATCGATCTCTCAGCATAATCCCAAAAATGATCAAAGTGTCGGTTTTCGAACAATTGATGTTTGGGTTCAATAATTTTTCCCTCAGTCTTCCTCAAAAATAGAAAAAAGAAGAATTTTCTTTTTGTTTCTGGAACTGATTGAAATTTTCTCAAAGTTCAAGTTCTGGAACGGCCAAATAAAGACATTTTTGCAGAGATCAACCTTCTACGTCGACAACGACGTCACTCTCGATGACGTCATCGAAGCTGAACACGAACAGAATTACGGGAAACTTCTGAAGACGTGGAACACCAGGACGACGTCGAATTTCACCAGTCTTCCCGTTAGACGACTCGAAAAAGATCGTGGACCGATCCCGGCAATTCCCACCAACCCCACTTATGTTCAGCGGCTTTGATTTATTGATTATTTCGTTTTGATTTTGAGAAAGTGCGGCGAAAATTCGGTTTTTGGGTCATTTTATAGTGAAAATCTAAATATTTAATGATTATTGTTGTGAGTTTGGTTTTTGAACAATCCCAGTGCCTTGAAAATATTCTAGGCGTTTTAAGAAGGATTCTTTCAGTTCAAATGGCTTTGGTTTCAAATTTTCAGTTCTCAATCAAAATTTCAATTTTCACTATCAAACGGAAAATGTTAGGCGAGCAGAGCAGATAGCGAAAAGTTACGAGAAAATTAGGGAAAGTTGAACTTTTTTCTCTGAGATTAGTAACGCGAATCGGACGTGTCGGGGCCTTTTTAGTGACCACTTTAATGGTGTCAGAACTCTTAAGTGTCCCCTTGAATTGCTCAGAAACGTCCGGTCCGAGAAGGCCCGAAAAAGTTTTTATTTGGCGATGGAGCGAATTTTCACAGCGTTTTATTAACTCTATTATTTTCTTTTGGGTTTTTCGCCGTCTTTTCACTTTTTTTTCTAGTTTTTACGCACTTCTCTTTGTTGTATATTCATTTTGCACTTGCCATTTTTCTCTTAATTCACATTTAGTTTCACTTTTCTCCGCCCACTTCATGTTGTGATTGATTACTATTCGATTCATTTATTGATTTCCTGACCCTGTGAGATGCATATCGAAGTGAATTTATTTATGATTCTAACCCCCCAAGAAATGTTTGATCCATCGTGTACCAATTTTTTTTTGTCGCTTTTTGTTTTTCGTTTTTCGCCCCTACGAGCTACGAGCTTCTTGTCACACAGTTTTTATCTGAAAAAAACATTGATCATTATATTATATATCTGATGTTTATTTGATTGTTTGTGCTCTTTGAAAGATGAATGATGCGAATGTGAATAAATTCTGTCAAATTGGTGTCTCGAAATCGTTGCGTGAAAGTTGAAGCTCAGTTTACTGGTTGCAGCGAGAAAGATGCCATATTCGGGCTGCTCAGTTTTTTATTTCTTTTTTTTTCGAAACATTCGAAGTTTTTGAAATTTATTTGAGACTTCAAGTTCTCGAGGAAAGTTTGAAACGAAAACTCGGTTCAAAAATTCATATTCTGATTCTTTAGAAAAGTTATCAAATATGAGCAATAATGAGAAAATATGAGCTATACGAAACAAAATTTCTATCTTATGACGTAATTTTTTTACCGGCGTTTGAATTTTTAAAAAGCTTCTTACCATGTCTTAGGGAGGTCTGATGCTCTTTTTTTCATTCCTAAAAAAATAATTCATTCGAAGAAAAAAAGGTATCAACTCGCTTTTTCCAAACCAGCCCTTTATGCGATGATAAGAAGAATCTTTGGATCCGCGAAGTTTCGTGAGCGTGAAGTGTGCATACGCCAATCTTGGAGGCTCGAATCTTTGAAAATTTGAATCTTAGAAAGCGATTGTTGTTACTATCAATCTTTTTCGTTACTATCAATCTTTTTCGATTTATTATAATTTTTCTAACTTTTCGTAAACCGAAGTGGATGAAGAATGCAAACAGGAGGTATATTCTGTGTACCACGACTTGAAATTTCACGGAACGATATTCCGCTGTTCCCCTGCGTGCGGTCGCGAAGCGTCTTTCGCATCCAGGTCACGCTTTCGATTGATTGCTATTGCTGTGGGAGCACATAAAAGTAGAGTACCTTGAGAAAGAAAAAAAAAATTGAAAGCGCGACCAAGGTTCGCAAAAGCGCGCGACGGCACAGCGGAATGTCGTTTGGTAAAATTCCAAGTCGTGGTAGACAGGCCGTATAAAACTAAGATAGACGTTACGCAGCTAAATATTCAAGTTTGCAAAGATTCAAGCACCCAAGATTGGTGTATGCACAATCCACGCTCACGAAAATTCGCGGACCAATATTTCTTCCTACAATCCTTTTCTTCAGGCAAAACTGACGTTCTTCTTCAGAAGGAGCTGGGACTGTAAAAAAGTCGAGAAGCTGGGCACCGTGTTGAGGCAACTGAAGAAAGTAGAGGCTGGTGAGCCCTGGACGGATGCCCAGTTGGCCAAGCTCCAACGCAAAATGAGAAGAGGATATTGAAGTCCGTTTGTGCACTAATATGTTCCGTTGAACTTAATTAATGGAACGTCTTAATTTTTTTTTCTTGGAAATTCTGAAAAATTTCTTGAAATTTCGATCCTTGCCATAGTCGACTCTTCTTTACTTGATAGTAGATTGGTAAATTGGCAAAAAAGACGACTTTTGTACTTTTTGAATTTTTTTTTTCTCCCTGTTTGATAATTTACAATAAACTGACTAGAGAAAATATTCACTTCTTTCAAATTCCAGAAGCCACTTATCGCCTACACAAGGAGGCAAGAAAAAAAATTCAGCGTCGTCCGCGACGCCGAACTGTTCAACATCCAGGATCTCATCCGACAAATAAAATTGAACGAAAAATTCTTTTATAACGACTTTTTCGCTTCCAATTGTTTTTTTTTTTCCTTTTGGGTTTCACTGATATGAAGTTTGCTATGTTTTAAAGACTTTTTATAACATAAAACGAAGTTTTAAAGATTTCTTATTTCTGAAATTGAAGGAAAATTTGAAGTTTGGTGAATAATGACCAGAACTTCATTGTTAAAATACGTAATATCAATTTTTCAACTGTTTTTAAAAAGGAACAAATTTTTGATCTGCGGTCCCTATAGTGGTTATTTAAAATTATTACCGATTGAAATTCATTTCAATGGATTTAGAAGCAAATATACTATAAGAATGCACTGTAACCTTTGAAAGAACTTAAAATGCTCGAAAAACAAAATTTAGACTCATTATATATGACCTCGTACGTTTGATCTATCCAGGTCCGAGTGCGCCCAACTCTCCCAAAATTTTTTTTTTGCGATTTTTACTGTTTTTTAATCGATTTTGTGTATTTTCGTTTGTTTTTCATGATTTCTCTAATCCTAAATTGTTTATTTCCTCTAATTTTGGGATCTAATACGGAAAACCGTGGAGATTTGACTATTTTACATCATAAAAAGTTCAGTAAATTCCTTATTTATATTCTAGCTGTTTCGAATCTTTTTCTCCTCCTTTGTTATTTTTGCCACTTTTTCAAAAAAATATTAAAAAAAGTTCAATTTGAAAAATGCGTTTTTCTTAATAGTGTTTGTAATTTTTTTCAACTTTTTTTCACATACTTTTTATTCACAAAAAGAACGCAAAAAAATTAGTACGAAACCATGAATTACAATACAGGAAAATTGAAAAAAACAATATACATTTTACAAATAAAAAAAAATTGTGGAACTAACCTTGGGCCAAATCTTCAATGACCACATTGCTTTCCAATTTGAAGTCAAAGTTTTTTTTTTCCAACCTGGATTTGTCGAATCGGCTTGGCCCAACTAAAATATTCAACTTGAGCAATATTCCTTGTTCACCTTCTCTTTGAATGAACGCCCAACTTTCCTAAACTTTCTCGCGATTTTTACTGTAATTGCGATACATTTTTTTCATTTCTTTTTCGTTTCTGATCTTAAAATGCCTATTACATTCTGAGGCCTGTAAACATCCTAAAAATTGATTATCAAAAAAATTGTTTTTTTAATCTCAGTTTTTTTCTCGCTTCAATGCAAAAAGTGATCTAACTTGATTTAAAAAAACGTAGAAAAAAATTTTTAGTTCGAATTTTTTTAATACAACTTGAACGGAAATGGAATTTTCGCGGCAGCTTGTCACAAATTTCGATGACACGACAAGTTTAAAAAAAGAAACGAAATCGATTGGATCAACTGATTTTTTTTGATCAAAAAGTTCGTTGGTCGCTATTAAATATCCAACATTTGGTTCACCTCAACTCATTGACTCGAAATTCCGAAAAAAATGAATTTGAACTCGATATAAAGAAGAATGACGATTTTTTTATTAGATTTTTTTGAAAATTTAAGATTTAATATCTCACGGGACAAGGCTAGCTATATTTAGAATGTTCAACAAAAATAGAAACGGAAAACGAATAGATCATTTTTCGGAACGTTTTTCAAAAGAGGGGAACGGCGCCAAGAGTCAATTTACACAATATGCAGTGAAACCCACGCTCAAGTGCACTATAGAGAGTTACAGTACCCAATAATTTGTGAAGCACTATCACACAATCTACGGTCTGTATTTTTGAATGGTGATACAGAAAATCGTGAAATATTATAAAGACTTCACAAAAAAACTTTATCAAAGATCCTGAAAAAAAACGTAAATACTACAGAAAACACAATAACCAGGTTCTTGGTTTACAAACACTTGCGAGACATCTTTTGTAGACTCGGCTCAATCGAAATATTTTTTTCGGTTTTGATAAATTCCCTTGCACTTGCAATTTTCTTCTACATTTATAGGTGAAATTAATTTAGTGCTTGTAACATTTGCTGCCGTTTTTAAAGTCTCAGGCTCAATTTCAACCCTTCTGGTTCTTTTTTTCTGAAATATCTTGAATCTTGTTTTTTTTTTTGTTCCAAGATAATAATCTAGATTCATAGTATGTGATAGTATTCAATCATAGTATGAAGTATGAACATTTATATTATTTATATTTTTCAGCTTCACTGATTTGAAAGTTTTCTTACAGTAATTTTAAATCTCAACAGCATTTCTCAATAGGCCCGTTTTTTTTCTATTTTTCCTTCTTTTCTACAAACTGTTCTGGAATATCAGAGTATTTCGAATCTCCAAGCTTCCGATCGATCTTTAGAATCGACAGTTTCCAGAGCGATTTGCTCAAGTGAAGGTTTTTTTCCCCATTGTACGAAGGTCAAACCCTATAAAATTTCTTTTAAAAAAAGAAGAGCTCAAATCGAAAGTAAGAGTCTTTTTTTATGGTTACACGCAAAATGAGAGATTTAAGAAGCCTTGAACTCACCATATTATCAAAATAAAGCTTCAGTTCTGAAACTCTTCTTTAAAAAAAAATTTTAAGGTCCGAAAATGGACCACAGCAAAATGCCGAACAGGCAAAATGGACCAATCAGCGACAATTCCAGCAGTCGCAGTCGCAGTCCGATCCGTGGCACTGTTAGTTTTTTCGATCCGCTTTCATTATTTCAGGGAACGAGAATTGATTCTCAACCATTATTTAATGTACAAAACACGTTCTCTTTTTTTTTATCGTGCCAAGACCCTTTTTTCGATGGCTCAAGCCAGCCGTGAATCAGCTATACGTGGTTTTTTTTTCCATATAATCCAGTCGCTGGTTCTTTGATACGATTTTTCAGGATTTTTATTCCAATCATGAAAATAAGCTCCATCGATGTTTTTAAAATTTATTGAGTTTGATAGTTTTAGTTTTAAATAATAGTCTTCTTTCGGGCAGAAAAAACTAAAAAATTAAAATTAAAATCTGCGAAATTGCTTGGATGTGAAGCGAACGAAAGAGTTATAGTCAATCTATCCGGACTTGAAAGGCGAGGGAGGCGGGGCAGGGGGCGGGACTCGTTGAGTATGCGTACGGGGTTCTTGGCTCAAGTCCAATCCTAGCGCCACCAACTATTTAATAATCCATTTACTATTTTTTTATGCACAAACGAGCAAAAATCAATAAAGAGTTTGAGCATTCATGAAAAAAAGCGATAAACGAGCTCTCCAAATAGTCCCTGTCGGTTGAATTGAACTCGTGCCAAGAACCGCGTACGCACACGCTACGCGTCCCGCCCCTGCTCCGCCTCCTTCGCCTTTCAAGTCGGGAAAAATTGACTATATATCTAAAAACTCTATTTTCTGAAAAAAGTCAAAGAATCAGGAAACGACCACCTTATGAATATCCTGGAAACGGAGAGCCCATGCCACAAAAAAATTCATTTTTACAGCCGCCACCGTCGTACAGCATAGTTCTGAGGGAAGATCAAGCCGAAGGAGTAAGTTTTTCTTTTTCGAAATGAACTCACCCTTAGCTTTTTATGAGAGAGAGAGAAAGAGCCAACTCAGCAACTTCAGAGTGGTCCCTACAGGGACAACCTTAAGGGCCCTTCTTGGGACCACTTTACCAACCCCTATAGGGGCCGCTCAAGCTTGAGAAAGTGGTCCCTATAGGGTGCATGCTAGTCGATAGTTGTTATGAACTCTAAGCGTTTTTAGCATTTACTCCATGGGAAAAAATAAATAAGTGTTTTTTGTATAAAATTGAAAAACCCCTATAGGGTTCACTTGAGCTTTAGGGGCTAAAAGATCAGACCCTAAATCTTTATAAGAACAACCTTAAGTTTATTTCTGTAGGGGTCACTTTTCGGCTCCTATAGGGGTTGTTCTCCTTCTAACCCCTATAGGGGCCACTCTTTGAAAATGCGAACGATACATTTATTCAAAAAATCGTCGAACAATATTCTAAACGGGGTTGATTCCAAAGATTTAAAAAATTATTTCATTTTTTTATTGACCTCCCTCTAACTTGGCTGCATTACAGATCAGAAGATTCTTGAGCGGTGGCGAAGAAGATCAGACGGCGCCGCTGTACTCGGTGACCATGGTGCCCGGCTGGTTCGGGGTCGCAGTAAGTCATTTGATCCGGTCGAAATTATTTTTCGATTAATCATCCAGTATGGCCTTTATGATGAGAAAAAAGTGGTATGAAAAATAAAGCCAGCGAATTTTCGAACGGCGACTTTTCCGATTTTTTCGTATCGCAAGGGAACTTTCCGACTTTTTCTCCCTTATATTTTTTTCGGTTTATAAAACATCTATTGATATTTTTTTCCCATTTCTTTGGGTTTAAAACATGAATAACTTGCCTACTTTATAGAGGAAAAAAAGAAGAGTTTATCGAGAAAAAAAGTCGGAAAAAAAGATTCGTCGAAAAGGTGGCCGTCGGAAAGTTCCCTAGCGATATAAAAAAATCGGAAAAGTCGCCGTTGGAATTTTAGCTGTCCTTTTTTTTCATACCACCAAGAAAAAAGATCCAAAAGCCTCAAAAAATGCCTAAAAATCTTCTGAAAAGTGTCTTTTTCAACTTTTTGTTCAAAAAAACTTCACTGGAAAAAAGCAAAAGCTCATATTCAATGGACACCTGATCTATTGAGAGAAAATGAGCCATAAAAAGTTACGCGATCAAATTTAGCCAAAACGTTTTCAGTCCTTAAAATTTTCAAAAGTGAGTTTTTTTGGAAGTCGCCGAGAAAAGAGAAGGATTTCGTACTAATCAATATGTTATCGAGGTCCTTACAAGAAAGGCCATTTCCCTTTGCGGTTGGGATTTCCCTGAAAATAGGCCAGAACACTTCCTGATGTACCAGAAGAAGATTCCGAAAGCCTCAAACTGCACAACTTTATACTTTTCGAGAAAAGACGCTCAAAATTCATTGAAATGAGCTGTTTTGGGACTTTAGACTTATATTTCTTGAGAACTAGGATTTTGTACAAGTTGAGAACTTCAGAATCTTCTTCTGGTACATCAAGGAGAGGTCTGGCCAACTTTCAGGAAGTTCCCAAAGTGAAATGACCTTCCCTGTTAGGAATATTAGGAGCTTCAGAAAATTATTTTAAAATCGGGCTCAAGAAGTTTATTTCAATAAAATCGATGGTCATTCGAAAACTTATAGTAAGAGCCCAAAAAAACTCACGAAACTGGATTTTTTTATAAAAAAAATTATTATTTCTTTCACAGCACCTCGTTTTGCGACAACACGTCCCCAGAGCCGAAGCCCAAGAAGAGGTTCGTTTTTGGTCTGGTAATTTTTCGAAATAAGTGTTTCACAAAAAGCCCCAAGAAGTTTGCTCTTTCAATATCTTTTTCGAAAAAAATTGATAATAATTTTTTTGAAAATAAAAAAATTTTTCTGCCTGAAGGTGCGATAAGGATAAAAAGACTGCTGGATTTTTTTAGACTTTTTTTATTGAATGTATTTTTTTGTGAAGTGCTTGTGAAAAAAATTGGGCTAATGGTTTTTTTTAAAGCATTTTATTGTCGTACCAAATTCATAGGCAAAGTCGGAAAGTATGGAAAAAAAGGGGACATAGAAATTTTCCTTTTAGAGTGACAAAGGGTCTCTTTTTGCGCCATTTTCTCGGCTCTTATGCACCATTTTTGCTGCCTCTCCCTTTCTCAACCATTAATCGAGCCTTTAGAATCCCAGAAAAATGGAAGGCTCGAGAAAGGGACTCTCTTTGCTGTCATTCTGCGGCCTTTTTGTTGCCCTTTTGCTGCCTTTTTGCGGCCTTGATGCGGCCTTTTTGTTGCCTTTTTGCCCCTTTCTGCGACCTTTTTCTCTTTTACCGGCCATTATCCGCCATTCCGACTTTGCCCGAGTTCAGTCCGACTCCACTAAAATGATACTCTGCGTTTTTATTTTCCTGTATGAAAACCGACCTTTTCAGAAAAGAATTCGAAAAAAAAATCATGCGAAAATCTTCTTAGATTCGAAATTTTGGAAAAATATTGCACTCTTTCAAACTCAATTTCGACTTTTTCATGTTCCAATAGAAATAAGTTAACAGACAAAAGATTAAAATTCCAATTTTTCTGAACAGGAATGAAGCAAAAAGACAAGATAATCATATCTTATTATATGCCTGTATTTCAGACCCTCGTGGTCAACGACACGCGGCGCACCGAGAATTTGGAGGTGAAGGAGCCAGAGGAAGGAGAAGAGTCCCCGAGATCGGGCTCTTCTTCTTCGGAAAGCCGCCAAGTTTGTTTTTTGGCCCTATTCCAGTATTTTCGAACTTGAAATCGTCCTGCTCTTGTCGCTTTGGATGAGACATTTGAGGGGAAAAAGCCTTAAAGTTCACTTTATAACGAAAATCTTTGAATTAGTTTTCCAGAAGTACTTCCCATTTCTCCCTTTTTTTCATGCCCCCCCGTGAGCAAATTCTGGAAAAATGAGTCGGGTATAAACGAAAATAGAAGCACTATTGCAGAAAAAAAGGCTAGAGCTGGACATATTTCATGACGTTCAACTATAATTCATGGATTTTTCTTCAAAATTGAATGTTTTAGTCCCTAAAATTGAATTTTGAAGAGGATTCCCATTTTGAAAATTTTGTGATTCCGAAAAAATTGACAAGGAGATCATTTTACTCGGCGATTGGGAATTTCTCAAATTACCCCCTTTAAGTACCAAATTAAGGTCTTTATCTGCACAATTTCTTATCAAGAAATAAGTCTAGAGCCTCCAAAAATGGCCTTTTTGAAAGATTTTCAAGGTTTCCTTCAATTTTGAGCCCTCATTTCTCAAAAACTGGGAATTTGTGTACCTTGAGGCTTTCAGATTCCTTTTTTGGTTCTCTAAGGAAGGTACCAAGAAATTTCCAGGAAATTCCGAATCGCAATGTGAAAATACCTTCCTTACTCTTCTCGCCGGAATTTCAAAGTAGCATTGAGAAGAAGATTTAAAAAAATTGGGAAAATATTTTTTTTCTTACTAATAAACCTTTTTAAGGAAGAAAACCTCACGGTCGTCCTTGACGACAGCGAGGAGGGTGAAGGAGAAAAAGGCGAAGAGGTCGGTTTCTTTCTTTCCTTCTTGAGTGAGATCAGCCAGCTCAATGAAAGTTAGAAAAATTCTTCCTGATTTTGATTGAATATTTTTCTTCTTTTTCGAGAATAAAATCAAATAATGTATGAACTCCTTGCTGGACTTCATATAAAGTGTTCGATTTTTCAGACTAATGAACTTAAAAAAATTGTAGCCTTTCCAAAATTCTGTTAATACCATTTACGAAAAAAATACGTACAATATGGTACTCAATGGAATCATGGAAGACCGATTCGTGGTCACAACGTGAAATTTCACCGAACGACATTCCGCTGTTCCGCTGCGTGCGGTCGCGAAGCGTCTTCGCGAATCGCGGTTCGGTGAAAAACATTGCTGGTGGATAGACTGTTCCATTGGGAACACGTAAAAGACCAGTTTTAAAGTTTTAAAAAAATGGAATGCGCGACCGCGATTTGCAAAGGCAAAGACGCTTCGCGACCGCGCGCACCGGAAAAGCGGAATATCGTTCGATTTAATGTTTCATGTCGTGGCACACAGGCTACACCAGTTTGAAGCCAGATTTCCGAAGATGTTGAAAATTAAAACTTAGTTATAGTCTGTTCAGGTTTTGAATGTCAAGTAGTATGACGTCATTCGAAAACGCTCTGTGGATGGCTCGCTCTTTGATTGGTTTATCGCACCATTAGGGGCGGAGCTTGAGCGACGACTTGACATTCAAAATCTGAACAGACTATAAAACAGAGACAAGTTCTAATAAAATGAGACGTTTAAAAAAAAAGGGACAAGTTCTAATAAATGGAGATAAATTACTTGAAGGCTGAAAACTCGGTGAAGTAAAGCTCAAAAATATCTCTTTCCTGTACCGATTTCTTGTGAAACCATCTTAAAACTCAAAATTACAGGATGCGACCAGCTCAACGAGCCCCGTCACACCAAGAAAGAGGCACGCCTCAGAAAGCCGCTCGCTCATCCCGTCGAAGGTTTTTTTTTGTCGAAAACAACAAACACGGCGTTTTTGTTAGTGGAAGAAGATGCTTAATTAAAAAAAAAGCGTGATCAAAACTTCCGCCGTTCCCATGTGACGTCATGACAAAAACGTGTAAAAAACAGGGAGGGTCATGAGACAAATCTATTTATAATTTTTAAAAAAACGCGATTTTTCTGTTATTTTAAACACATGCTGTATTGAAAGCAATTCCGCGAATTTCAAAATAGCCACCAGAATGTGAAAATTATAACTGAATTTTAGTTCGCGAACGCGGCGTGTGTCAGAGCGCCGCAGTGCATGCACACGACACACTATACTTTACGGAAAAAAATGGGCGGGGCGTCGCCAAAAAAACGCCGTGTCTTTTAAAAAAAGTATTAATAATAATCTTCATCGATATTGAGCTCGTTGCTCTTTAAAATCAAAGAAGAATCTGGCAAATTTCATAGATTTTATATTTTCTATGAACTCGAAAACGAAAATAGAAATTGAAGAGATTGATTGGGATTTTCTCTATCCGAAGATCACCTCGATATTTCTCGTACTTTAACAAAATTGAAAACCAATGTATTACAATGGAAATAAATGAAATTCAGAGGCGCCTACCTGGCCCACAAGGGGCAGCCCAAAAAAGAGAGGGCCAACATTTGGAAGAAGAGCCTGCTCTCCAGAGACGTCGCTCCGCTTCCGTTGATGTTGGTTTTTCTTCCTTTCACTTGAAATTACTGTATATTTGGAACGAATTTTGCACGAATTCAATCTTAAAGCCTTCTGAAAGCTTGAGAAAGGTCAAGTGGAGCAAACGCAAGACTTCCTTTTTTTTTCGCGAAGAAAAGGCGAAGTAGGGACGAGCCCATAGGCAAGGTCGGAAAGGTTGGAAAAAGGCTGCTTTTTTGCTGCCTTTTTGCGCCATTTCATCGGCTTTTATGCACCATTTTTGCTGCCTCTCACTTTTTCCACCATTTCTTGAGCCTTCAAAATCCTAGAAAAAATGGCAGGCTCGATAAAGGGACTCTTTTTGATGCCTTTCTGTAGCCTTTTTTATCCCTCTTCCTTTTAACGTTCATTATCGAGCCTTTGCTGTTCGAATTCGGTTTCTGAACGTGTTAATTCAGGCCGAAGCCCAAGAAGATGAGGTCGTCGAGGCCAGAAGAGACGATCCCGAAGGCGAATTCGCAGATTTGATTGCGAAGAACGATGCGATTGAAACCTTGACGGTTAGTCTTATGAAGACTTTCGGACTAGTTATTGGGCTTCATTTTACTGTTGGAAGGATCTATTAGAAAAAGAGCAACTTGTATAGGAAAATTTCGGTAAATTTCAAATCGAGTTCGTAAATACTGGAACCTGAAAGGAAAAAATCAGATATAAAGTTGAATCTAAAACAAATGAAATCCATAAAATTCAATTTGACAGAAAATTTACCTGAAACTGAGATAATAATTTTTTATTTCCGCTGTTTTCACGTTTGCTTTCGAGGGAAATAAAGCGTAGTGGTCAGAATTTTTCGCCGCAGTTTGAACTTTTCGGAATTTTGCAAAAGAAGAAGAGAATAGGCTTTTCCCGAATCGGTTAGTCTTCGGATTCCTTTTGTCTCTTAACGTCTCGGATGGACTTATGGACTTTTTCACTAGGAACACGTGTTGGTCGAGTTCTTGAATAAAATGAGAAATTAAAGAGCCACAAAGGCACGCAGCGGAACAGCGGAATGTGGTTCGGTGAAATTCCAAGTCGTGGTACACATACTATAATGTAGTTCTCTATATTTGCACTTACTAGTTAGGAAAATCTTCTTGTCTTGCAGAATAGAGAAAGTCTTTGTAAATTGATTTATTTTTTTCAGGAAAAAAATATATATTGGTTTTAGGACGTCTCTTCGGATTATTTGTACCCCGAGAGGGAGCAGCTCGCCGTTTTCAGGGCAGCCTGCAGATCTCCGAACCCAGCACCCGTTAGTCTTTCGACTTTTTTTATTTTTTCATTTTTCTACATTGAATTTAAAGTTTTTTTGCTTGAAAGATCAAATAAAATTGAAAAAAGGTTCTCGAATATTTTCAAAGTATAGTCGGAAAAAAAGATCTTGATATTTTTGCCTAAAAGTGCTAAAGAGACCGGAAAATCATCGATCGTTATGCGATGATTTTCTAAATATCCGCTGCCAGCGTGATTCTTTTAAGAAACTAGTATCAATAGAGATTTCTGAGCTTATCTCTGAAATAGACCGGCATACATAAAAGTCGGCTTAGGCAGACTTTTTCAGATATGAAAATTAAGGGAAAAGAATCAGGAAAAAAAAAGGAGAGATTTAGCAAAAACTACTTGCCTACTTGTTTTCAATGTATTTTTTAAGGGGGAAAAGGAAGATGAGCAGGAATCCGACGAGATCGTTCCTGAAACGGACTACGAAGCCGATCAAGGGGAAGTCGTCGTACCGGCACCTGTGAGACTTTTTTTTTTGTTGATATAACGAGAACTGAATAAAAAGTGAGGGGTTCTCCAAGAACCAGTTGAATACGGAATGGTCAAAAAAAAAGTATATAAACTTGTTTTAATTCAGGAGAAAAAGCGCGTTTTTTGTGATTTTCTGCCTGTACAGTAGTGGCCATAATATCGAGGTGGTGAGGGTTTGATTACGTTTTTTGGAAAGCCGACGACTTGTTTTACAAGAGAAAAAAGTTTGAGGTTGAAATTCGAAGTTACTTGGGAAATATGATTTTTCAAACCTCAACAGAAAAGTTCTCAGTTTTTTGCTCATAACTTTAGTCTGGCTCGAGCAAATGAGTTCTGCTTGCAAAATTAAGTTATTGCAGAGCTTTTTAAAATGTGTGCAAAGTTTCAAGACATTTGAAGAAGCTGAAAAAATTTTATTGAAAAAAACCTTGGGTTAATGCGCTTGCTCACGTGCAAAACATTATTCTCATGAAATGGATTTGATGTAAAATCATATGTTTGGATTTACTAGAAAACATTTTTTTACCCCCCACCGGTTGAATTTTTTTGATGAAACTTCTCTGAAATACACTCTCGGACCTCCTGATTGCAAAACAAGAAAAAAAATTTCCTCGATAGATCTCGTTTTGGAGTTATGAACCTTCAAAGCCCGCAAAATATGCAAATTAGGCCAAAAATGCGCTTTTTCAAGCTTTTGAAGCGTCCTAACTCGAAAACAAGATCTATTGCGAAGAATTTTTTCTTTTTTCTGCAATGAGGAGATGCCAAAGTACACTTCAGCAAAGTTTCATCAAAAGTTCAGCGGGAGAGGGTAACGAAACAGGGCGAAAATTAGCTGATCAGTTTCTGATTTCTCAATGGAAATTTTTCAGTCGAACGTGCGGAGAGAGGGAGAGTGTATGGAAGATGAAGATGGCGATCGTCGGGAAGGAGGTGCAGATCGCGTTGAGAGCCCGTCGAGATCCGGCTCAAGTACATCGCCGGTAATTTTTTTTCAGTTCAAATCAATTTTCATTTCTCTCATCTGAGGAGAAAATACTGCTATATTTACGTCAAACACTCAGTCAGAATCCTCTGAATCTTCCCTCTTTTCAAGCTTTCTCATGATACTCAAAGTGTAGATCAGATATAGCTGATTCATGGCTAGCTTGGAACGCTAAAAGGGCCTGTCTGCGCTCTCCACGAACCAGGCACTCTCTCGAGCAGTATCGTGCCAGGACCCTTTTTTCGATGGCTCAAGCCAGCCGTGAATCAGTTATTACTTTGAAGATACCGAGTATTTCTCCAAGACATTTCGGTGCAAATCAGGATTTTCTTTTAATTCTAAACATTCAGTATAATCTAGTAGAACTCAATCTTTTCAAAAAAAAAAATCACCTCACCCGATTTGGAAACAGTTTGAAAATAGAAGACCTGAAACATGACGAAAAAACTAAATAAAAATTTCCGAATTGCAATAAACTTTTTTTTTCTTTAATTTCGCTGAAGTTGTAAATTTTTAGTGAAAATTTTCGTAGTGTAGATTTTTCCAGAATGAGGATCAATAAATAGTGAATAAAGAAAAAAAATAGTGAAAAATTTTCCACCGCATGCCAAGGTTATTTCTGTAAAATTCGATCTTTATACTAAGATGGACCCTTTTAACAAGTTTCGAAAGCTCTTGCGAATTTTTAATGTTGAATTTTAAGGATGAAGACGAGTCGGCAGAGGGCGACTCAGAAGACTCGGAGGACGACGATGAGCCAGCCGTCCCGTCAGCTGCCGCAGTTGGGCCGCCACCAAGTCCGGCGTCCGCTGCAGCGGCTCAGGCCCAAGCTGGAGCAGTCCCAGCGCCACCAACATTGGCTGCTGCTCCAGCTCCGGGGCCGACGGGTCGTCGCGGGCCGCGTCAAGTAATTTTTTTCGTCATTTCTACTCAAATCGATTCATTAGAAACCAAAGTTCATTTTTTGGATAACCAGTGAAAACCTGCAAATAATTACTGAGAGTCAGTTTTTGTTGAAGTCTGTAGCTTTTGCTGGGCAGGTGTCCGTAGAGCGCTTTTTCGGAGCAAAATTCCGGTTTTTCTTACTCTGGAGTGTAGAATCTTAACTTGCAAATCTCTTGATATCAGCTCAAAAGAAAGCCTTTTTTGATTTATTCGCTTTTAATGAAAGTAGAATAAACGAGCTTTCAGCCTCGCGCCTGAATCCATGGCCCGGCTCAAAGGGCGTCCCGGCGGGCTCGCCGACTTCCGGTCCCAGCCAAAGTCGGCCAGAAGGTCCCGGACTTCCGCCGGAAAACGCCCGAGCAAATGCTCGCCGACGTCAGGGCGGAACTTCTCCGCCGTGTCTCTGGGGGGATGGATGGCGAGCAGTTGAAGCTCACCGATATACTCGGTTCAGCCATCCAGACCCTCAAGAACATGGTCAAGGGCAAGCCGTACACACCGGCCCAAATGGAGAAGCTCCGTAAGAAGATCCGACGTGGATATTGACTCGTGAGTTAAAAAAAGATCTTCAATTTTTTATCTTTCGTACAAATGCCCTGAGAAATAGTATTAAAATGTCGAAAAAGGTCAAAAAGAAATTTTATCTTATTTTCCCCACTTCTCATCTCAAAAATTATTCTGATTTTTTTTAAGTGAAGGAAAAATGAAAAAACTCCTTTCGAAATAAAAAAAAAACAGTGAAACTTGATGACGAAAAACGGCTCCTGCAAGATTTAAAGCTTGCATTGGTGTGAAGGACGCAAACACAGCTACGGGCACTCGCACGAAATTTTCGAAATTTCATTTTGTTATTTTTTTCGAAGTTTTTCAAGTTTTTCACGTTTTTCGCGTTGCTCAATCTTTTTCATATTTTTTTCATTAAAATAATTTTTGAAAGTTTAATAACATATCGAAGTATATACGCGTTCTTAATTTAGTTTTTCCGAAAAGCGACGATTTTTGTTAATATATTCAAATTTATTGCTTTTTTTTTGCACATTCATGAGAAATGCATGCTCTCAAAGATGTTCAGTCTCTTTATAGCGTTGTCGATTTAATTTTTTAACAGAATCCGCTTTTTTATAAAAAAAAAATATTTAACCAATTTGAAAGAATGCTCCTTCATTTAAAAAGTCCTAGAAGTTATTGTTCAGAAGTAGAGTTATATTTCTTCTTTATCATGGGAAATGTTCACGAAAAAATGGATAGAAGAGGTTTGATTACTTGCCAATTGAAAAAATAAATATAGAAACGGAAATTCCTAGGCCACCAACCATCCTCATTGCGGTTTCTTCGATCTCCCAGTGCAGCTCTTCATTTTTTTTTTTAAAGTTGTTTGTATCCCCGATTTTTTTTTTCGTTGTTATCGTGTGGTTTTTTTATCTTTATCTTTGTGCGGCCTTCATAAAAGGCGCAGTTTTGTGATTGTCCAGTTTTTTTTGCTGCTATTTTTTATCGCTATTTATTTACCTGAATTATTATCATTCTTTTTTTCTTATGATTTTTCAGCCTTTTCGCAAGGCACTATGTTGTGTTGTATGATCCATTCTGCGCTTTTTAAAATTTTTTTTTGCTGTTTGTCTATTTTTTTTCTTTGCTTTCTTTTCTGAGAGGCGCTGTTTTGTGGAATATTGTCCATTGTTTCGTCTTGATTTCTTCATTTTGATTGTTTCTGATCCAGTATTTTCATCTGGGCTTTTTTTTGTTCGTAATTTCTTAATTTTAGTCTCCCTTTTGGACCTTGTTTTTTTTTCAATCATTTCTTTTTCTCCTTGCGGGCGTTCGGGGGCACATCTCTCCTCTTTAGCTTTTTACCACCCTTTTTAAATGTTGTTTCTCTCCCCAAAAATTCCCAAAAACTCCAAAAACAAAAAAATTCAAAAAAATTTAAAAAAATTTAAAAAAATCAAAAATCAAAAAAAGTCAGAAAAAAATTCAAAAAAATCAAAAAAAGTCATTCAAAAATTCAAAAAAACAGAAAAAAATGGAGTGAGGGGATCCCTTAAGGTTTTTGAGCTTTTTTGTATTAGTTTAGCCACCTTTACCCTCCCTTTTTCATCCACATTTCACTGTCCACATTTTGCGCATTTACCTCTCAAATTTTCTTCTCCAATCCGCCAACGAACGCCTTTCCAGTAACATTGATTTTTATGTTACTGATGTTTCTCCGTAGGATTTCATATTCATTTTGGCTCGTTATAAACGAGTATCAGCTATGGATGAACAGGCTAAAAACAGCCTTCCTCGAAGATTTTCCCTTTTTTCTCTTTCCTAAGAACTTCAACTTCACACTCGTGGGGTTGAAGTTCAAAATGGCTCAAAAACAGTCATATTGGATTATTTTTTTCAGTTTTCGGTTTTCTTTACACACGACCGTGACTTTTCGGTCTCTGTTTCAAATTTATTTTTTCGGATTTTTCTGGCTCGCTCATTATAGCGAGTTTCATCAATTGACGAACGGGCTAAAAAAAAGCTCTTATCGAAGATTTTCACCTTATTTTTCGCTTTCAAAGAACTTCAACTACACGTTCGTGAAGTTGAAGTTCAAAATGGCTCAAAAACAGCCATATTGGATGATTTTTTTTTCATTTTTGGTTTTCTTTACACAGGACAGTGACTTCTCGGTTGCTGTTTTTTCTCAGATTTTACTTTTGGATTTTTCTGACTCGCTCATTATAGCGAGTTTTGGGCTAAAAAAGCTCTTCACGAAGATTTCCACCTTTTTTTTCATTTTCAAGTACTTCAACTACACTCTCGTGAAGTGGAAGTAAAGGCTCAAAAATACCCGTATTTTTTGGAATATTTAATATTTTTTTTCAATTTTCCAATCATTTTTTTTGTTGAGTACACTTTTTACTGGCTAAAAACAGCCGGAGCCAAAATTTTCACCAATTTTTTTTGCGTTGCGAATTTTACGGCTCCTTTCACTTTTTTTTCGTTTCTTCAATTCGTCAATCATTTTTTGTTGAGTATCAGCTTTTTACTGGCTAAAAACAGCCGGAGCCAAAATTTCTAGTCTTTTTTTTTCAATTCTTCGCGACACGCCTTCGAAGGTCAGCAGGTAAGTTTGTTTTATTTCTTTTCATTTTCGCCTTGTAAGCTTCAAGGATTTTTTTTTCCAAAAGTGCTTTTTATACATCTTTCAATTGATGAACCTCAGGCCAAATGCCTTGTTGGTTTATTTTCAAAAGCTATAAGGTTTTTTTTTTTCGATTTTCCACGCCACAAAAGGCATTCTCTTCGATTTATCAATATTTTTTCGTCCTTTTTTGTCGAAAAAGGCAATTATTTTTTCACGCCAATGTTTTTTCGCCATTTTTCGCTCAAAAAAAAAAAACAATTTTTCGCTCTTATGAGCTCATTTTTTCGCAACGGTTCCAGTTTGAAGGTTCAAACCGCTGTATTTTCGAAAACAGTCAAGCCTTTCTTGTTCTTTTTTGCACAATAAAAAGGACTACCACAATTTTTCGCTCTCTTGAGCTCATTTTTTGCATTCTTTTCGAGGTTTTGTTTTGAAAAGTAAAACGTCTCATTTTTCAAATTGTCGAGCTTTTTTCGCCCTTTTTCGCATAAAAAGGACTTTATTACAAATTCTCCGCTTTTTCGAGGGCGCACAATTAGGAGAAAAAAAGAAAAAAAAAATCGTTTTTTCACAATATTTTTTGAGGTTTTCAAAACGTGTTACTTCCGAAATTTTTCTAGCATGTTAGCCCTTTTTCTTTGCTAACTTTTGATTTCATTTCAAATTCCAAAACGCGGTGGGCTGAAAATCTGCCCTCAAATTTTGATTTCTCAATTTTTGAAATGCGCTCCACCGCAATATATTCAACTCTCGATCGGATTTTAATCAGAAATTCGTTTTTAATGGCGTGTTCATCGGACAAAACGAAAATTGTTCCAAAACGCAAAAAAATTGCTTCAAAACAAAAATTAGTACTGTTTTGGAGCAACTTTGGCGCGCCAATGAACACGATTTTTCGTTTTGAAGCATGTTCCGTTTCCCCAATGAACACGCCATAAACTTCTTTTATCCACAACTTTTTGACATTTTTAGATCTTCTGTTTGAATCAAACCTATGGGCTTTTTTTTCAATGGCCGGACAGTTTGACTCACTAAAAAGTTTTTCAAAAAACACTGGAATAAGTGTTTTTGCATACATATGTTTTCATGACAGTTTCTCGATTTCGAAAAGAAGAAAAAGCAGATCGCGATCCATATCGATCAGCATATCCTTTTTCTTGGTTTCATTTTTTTCAAGTAGAAATGGCTCCTAATTTCTGACATCTACTTATTTGTGGCATATTAAAATTTTTTTAATTTTTCAGGGTTTTTTATTTTTAGAAGCAGGCGGAAAAGTCTTAGCTTCTAGTAAGCGTCTAGTATTATTTCATTAGAATTTAATTTGTTATAGAGCTACGTTTAAACGCGTTTTCAAAAGTCCAGTACTCAGCCGGAAGTTATATTGTTTTAAAGACTTTTTTCAGCTTTTCAAAAAAATTTTCCATCCGAAAATTTTTTTTTTCGTACAAAATGCAAAGAAAGCATCTAGTCACCATTTGCCTTGAATTTTTCGCTGTCTTTTAGTAATATCTTCCTTACCTTCCGCTCTATTGAGCTATAGTTTTGGTTGTTCGTTTCTTCTACACTTCATTCGATTTTTGTCAGCTTTTCTCAACGTTGCAGTTTTTCTTATTAGGCCGTATGCAACATAATTAAAAAGGATTTTCCGCCGTTTTTTCGACAGTGATTTATTTTAATCTTTTTTGCACAGAATTGTGTTGTTCCCCATTGGAATATTCTTATAAAATCTCACTAAGTCAGTAAATTTCGAAATCATGGAGTTAATAACGTTTTTTTTGGCTTCTTTCAGGAAAATGCCGGAAAATAGTTATCGACTTGATTGCATACGGCCTATGCACTTGTCTCTTCGTTGATTTTTTGTTACTCTAAATTTTTGTTTTTTCTCGACTTTTCACCGAGAAAGTCGAAATTTTTGTTTCGAAATGAGCCCCGCGCCGCTCATACCTAGCTGGTGATGCTGAAGTTCCTTTTCAGTTTTTTAAAAAGAGAAGACCAGGTAAGTTTAAATTTTTTGTCCTATTTTCTTGAAGTTTTTTTCTCATTTTGAAGTTTCAAAAAATCATTCATTTTCAAAAAAATATCTAAAAAAAGAGGAAGAAAAAGAAAAAACACCCAAAAATTGAGCATAATTTTTTCCAATCAAAAAAATAACGGGGGCTTTCTTACGGGGTGGGGAAACGAAATTCGAATAAATTCCCAAATAATTTTTTTGTTATTTTTCAGGTCGGCGACCGGTAGAAGACAACGAAGACGGATTTTTTTGGAGTTTTTTTCCCCTTCGACCGGTAATTTAATATTTGTTTTTTTCAGAATTTATAGCTAAATTATTGATTTTTAGGGTCGAGCGCAAACTAGGAGAGCCTAGAAAAAAAGCTGCGAAACATGCGGAAGGTAATTTTTTTGATGTCATGGCTAGAAATCTTCATATTTTTTTAAATTACATTTCGAAGTCGCTATTTTTTTGATATTCTAGAGAAGCCGACCATATAGTATAGTTTTTTTATTATTCTTACCAGGAACGAAAATAAAACTTTTAAAAAAACTCTGAATAGTTCTCTTTTTCACAAGAATTTGGTTGAATTTGAATTTGAAACTTCAATATTTTTTTAAATCAAAATATTGTTTTTAAAATACTAAAATAAAACTTTCATTCGAATGTTTTTTTCAGAGGCTCCGATGATGCTGCTCCATGAACAGCAAGGAGAAACCTGGATTTATCGAGGATTTGAAGATTTCAAATAGTTTTTTCTTAGCTTGTGATTTTACAGGTCTGCTGGCGGATTTTTCGACGCAAAAAAAATATAAGCGAATTTCAGCCGTTTTGAGCTTTCTTAGAGGGAGTTTTAGTTAATGTTTATAACAATTTTAAGAATTTGAAAAGAGAAAAAACTAGCGATTTTCGGAAAGATACTTATCCTATCACTAAATTTTTTCTGTGAAGAATAGAAATTGCGACTTTTCCAGTGTTCGATCATGGCTTCCGAGAAGTTGTTCTCGCTCTACGGGACAATTTAGGATTACGAATTTGATAAGTTTTATTTTTTCAGTTTGGATATTGATTTTTTTTTCCCAGCCATATTCGAATGGACATTTGAGCTCGGTGTAAATATTCAAAGTCGAAAAGGATTGAAAGAAATATAGGTTTTGTTTTATTTTATTATCAAAAAGTTTTGTAGAAGAAGGAATTCGGATTGTGGTATAATTTTAGTGATAATTTTTCGTGAAGAGATTTTTTTTTTCTTTTTTAAACTTAAGTCTTAAGAGCAGGTTCATGCAATAACAGATCTTCAGCAGAAAAAAATAATGTAAAAAGATATTGAGATGATAAAAAAATCAGCGTTACTTTTCTTGAAAAAAATGCACTCATTTTTCATTATGTTTTGCTGGAAAAAAATAGAGTTTATTGATTTTTTCAGATGTCGAAAGAAGTTTTTCCGTGTGCTCTACAATATTCACAATAAACCAAACTTGATAAAGTTTTTAATTTTCGTAGAAATGTCGTTTTTATATTTTTTTTAGACAGAGTTAATCCGGTAGCTTTCGATGAACTAAATGGAAACAACAAGAATGGAAATTAAAGGCTAGTTTTTTTGTTAATCACATTTTTAAAGAAAAACAAGGACATTTTGTATCTCTAATATAAGTTTGAGATAATTGTTAGGTTTTTTTTTTTGAAGACTAGTTCAAGAAAACGAAAAGACCTCTGAAAAAGCTATCCTCATTGGTTTGGATTTTGTATGAAATTCTTACAGGAAATCTCATTACACTTTGCGCTCAATATTTCTTGAAAATTGGCCATAACGCTCCTTGTTGTATCAAATAAAGGTCCTGAAAGTCTTCAACTGCACAAATTCTAATTAAAAAAGACAGCTCAAAGTCAGCCGAACGCGCGGTTACTATAAGTAATTATTTTTACGATTCCTAGGAACCCAGTGGGAATGTTGAAAAAAGATAATGATGCTCTATCAATTGGGAGTTATCTCTATCTTCTAAGTGAGAAATTTTTAGAAAAAATTGAACATTTTTTTCAGTGCTGACATCATTGGTTCAACGCGCGAGCGATTTTTTCTTCAATCCGATGGTGGCTGGCGACATCGCGAAAGAGGGCATCTTCGCGACATCGTACGTCTCCGTGGGCACGTCGAGAAGTAGTCTAGTGAGGATTTTTGATTTTTAAAATATTTCGGCTTCGATTTGAAAGGTTGTAAGGTAGGTTAGGAATCGTTGGATAATTGAGAAAAAATAAATTCCAAAAAAAAAAAAGTTAAAACTGGAAAGTAAAAGGTGTTTAAAATGTTACCATCTGGTCTGTGGATTCTACTTTTCTAGTTTCAGCAGCGTAAAACAGGAATTAATAAATATTTGGTGAGGGTTTGGTATAACCATTGGAATTAGCAGATATTTTAGTTTCTGTACGGTTACCGGAACCCTAAAAGGGAAGTTTCGAAACCTTTTCAGACCTATTTGGTAATTGTGTTTAGGAAACAGTACTGCTCGGCCATACCGCTAATTTTTTTGAATGATTCCAAGAGACTCACATTTTTTAAAGCTTGAACTACAAGCTTGTTTCACCTTTTCTAGCTAATAATCTCGGTTTTCTTGACTTCTAATTAAACTGTCTTAAAAAAGTAGTGATATGAATTTGAAGATTTCCCTAGTGCGATCACTAATTTTTCAGTCGATCAATGCTTTTTTCTCCTTTTTTGAGAGAAACAATGAGTTTTTTTCTTTTTTATTCACTTTACAAACAAAGATATTACAAATGAAATGATAAATCTACACCGAAGTAACTAAGGAAAATTTAAAAAAATATTACAAAATATTCACGGGGGGAACTTAGAACCTTATAGTTAGGAAAGTAGTACCGACGGAAGTTTAGACCGTTTAGGCGACTAAAATAATAAGAAAGAGTTAAATTGTTGAAATTTTAATGAGGTTTGAAGAGAAAAAAGTTTAAAGATTCGAGAAAAAGAACTAAGAGAATAAAAAGAGAGTCAAAGTTAGGCGACTATATCATGGAATTGCTGAAAAGAGGGCGGGGATTTCATAGAAGTAAAAAACAAACAAAAATTTACGGTTGGAAATGATCAGTAACCAGGAGTTGGGCGACTACACTCTTCAAGCATCTCGAGAAGGATTCTCCAGAGAAAAAACAAGAACTGGAGGCTGGGCAGAGTCTGAAAAACAATCCTTATCAGTTTGAGTCAGAAGAAGTTGAAAACTGACCCAAAGAACGACGAGTCCGGTTATTATTGCGAATTGGAGCCCAAGTCAGACGTTGGACGGCTTCTGGAGCCATTTCGCTGCGAGTCGGAGTCTTCGGAACCTCAGCTGGAGCTTCGGACGCCTCCTGAGCAGGGGCAAGTTCCATCAAAAAGTTGAGACTTCTGCGAGTTCTGGTGGTGGTGTCTGCAAATCAGTAAGATACTGAAGACGTCAAAATTGAAAACAACTGTAAATAGCTCCAGAATAGACAAAAAACTAACCCAAAGAACGACGCATGTTTCTGCGAAGTGGTGCATTTTCAAGGCTATCGAAGTTCTGGGGAACTGGAGCGGCTCGGACAGGACTGAGAGCGAAAAAGTCGAGACTTCTGCGAGTTCTGGTAGTAGTGTCTGCAAAGAAAAAGAAGTTTGGAAAAGCTTCAGGGTGGAAAAACGAACCCAAAGAACGGCGAATGTTCTTCCGAAGTGGCGCATTTGCCAAACTGTCGATCTCTTGAGAAGCCGGAGAAGCTCGAACTGGGCTCAGAGCGTTGAAGTTGAGACTTCTGCGAGTTCTAGTGGTGGTATCTGCAAATCAAATAAAATTTGAAAAAGCTTAAGAATTATGACACTAACCCAAAGAACGGCGGTTCTTCTTGCGAAGAGGCGCATCTGCCAAGTTGTTGAAGTTGTCTGACGCTTGAGCATGTCGAACTGGACTCAGAGCGTTGAAGTCGAGACTTCTGCGAGTTCTGGTTGTGATGTCTGCAAGTTTGGGATTTTTTAAATTGAAAGTTGAAAGGAATTATAAGGCTGCGAGGGATAAACGAACTAACCCAAAGGTCGGCGAATCTCAATCCGAAGTGGCGCATTTGCCAGGCTGTCGAGCTCCTGAGAAGAAGAAGCAGGTCGGACAGGACTCAGGGCAAAAAAGTCGAGGTTTCTGCGATTGGCGATCTTGGTAGTAGTGTCTGCAAAATGGACAGGTTTCAAGTTATAGGCAAAGGCGATATCCATTCTTTCACGGAACTTTACTTGGTCACATAAAATTAAACTGTTTAAGCTAGATGAGCATAGAGATTGGCAGGAAATGACTGTTCAATTTTTCTATAGTTTGCTATAATACAGAATGAAAAAAAAAAGTTGTTTGCTTTGACCAATTTTAAATTAAAGCTTATGTTTTACACGCTACATACATAATTTTTATATATTTATGTTCCTGAAAACATTTAAGAAATCTTCACGTTCAAAAAAAATGCTACAAAATATTGAAAAAAGAGAGAAAAAAGGAATCCTAAGGGCCATTAGGCGTTGATGAAGATTCGACTTTACTGAGAGTAGACTTTAGAGAAATCACTAGGAAATTTATAAAAAAAAACTAACCCAAAGAACGGCGAATATTCTTCCGAAGAGGTGCATTTGCCAGACTGTCGAAGCGCTGAGGAGCAGTTCGGACAGGGCTTTGAGCAGAAGAAGCAGAGTTCATCGTGAGGAACAGAGGTTCAGCAACAAAAGTTGGCTCGAGCTTCTCGACGGCGGCTATTTAAACCCAAAAGAGGCGGAGTTTGTTGGTCCACAAGCCTCAGGCGTCCCAGGTGTCAACTTGGGAGATTGGGCCGCGTCTCACACCTTGTCACTGATCATTCGGAACTGACGTTGTTCGGGGTCTAAATGTGTCAATCGCTTGGTTGGTTTGTTCCCAAATCGGAAATTGACTCCTAAATAGTGTCACTCTTCAGTGACCTGACAGGAAAAGGTGTCAGTTGCCCGTTTTGTAACCAATACTTTGGTGTGAATTACTTGATCGACAGTTTTGTATCCTTCCCAGCCTTATGTTCGACTATGAGGTTTAGTTGAGAAAGTGTGACGTTGTGGCGAAACCAAACAAACTACGCGAGCTTTTAGAGAAGAAGTTAGATGTGAAGTTAGAAATGGAATAACTGGAATTTTTCAAAACTTTAAAAACTATTGAAAATTTAAATAATTTCAGGTTGGCCATCACTTCGAATCTTCGACTCGACCGCCATTTTGGCCTGAAATTGACGGACTCGGCCATCTTCCGAGGTTTTCGACACTAGCTCTTGACTTTTTTATTCTGAAACGTGGATGAACTGATTCCATGATGACCATCACCTCAAAAATTTGAATTGAAATCAGTTTTGGCTTGAAAACGTCTGGTTTCACCCTTCCGATGATTTTTTTGGTTCTTTCGGATGCTGTTTTTGATCTTAATATTCTTAATTTAAATATCTAGATAAGAACCGTAAATGAATAATGATTTTCATTTGTATTGCGTGAGCGATAATAATCAAAAGCATTTTTTTGTGAAAAGAGGTTTGGCTCTTCTGTCTGGAGTTTTTTTTTTGCGAGTTACATCTGTATTTCTTTTTCTTTCAAATGAAAAGACTTTATTTCAGAGCAGAGTAGAGGTGCTGATGAACTGCTTCAGATCCACTGCCAGAAATTTTCAAGATAAGTTAAATATTATTTTTTCAAATACCATTTTTTTTGTAGAGAGATTTTCTGAAAGTCGCCGGTTTAAAGCCCTGTCTTTTTTGCAAGTTGTGTCGAATATTCTGCTGCATTATTCTCATCATTCACAAGATGGTCCAGTGAGGATAGGAAGCCGCAGTTCCAAGTTCATTGATTCCGAACCTGATTGATTTTCGCTTTCCATTTCAAAAGTTAAGTCGAATTCTCTGCTTCAATGTTTTTTTTCGTATATTTTTCGAGGAGTTTTGTTCGAGTGGCCGGTAGTCGCAATTTTTGACGAAGGGTCACTGGTTCAGATCCTTCGACTCTGCTGATTGGCATAAGATGAGTCAAATTTTTTTCATTCAAATTTGATAATAATCTTCGATCAGAAAGACTCGATGGTTCAAGTCCCCACACGTCTCAGTTTTTGCCGATATATTTTAAAGATGAGTTGATAATTGTCTCCAGTTGATGATTTTTGTATAAATTCCAGGCGGGACGTACTTATCAAAAACAGCCGCTGGCTTTCGTCAAATTTTTTTGTAATTATTTTTTTGTCTTTTTATAAATCAAAGAAACACTACAATTAAAAAAACCAAGCTTATCGACGAGATCGCTCATTTGTTAATTACAACAATACGCAATTTTTTTTCATCGTGTCACTTTCATTTTTTTCCCAGTTTATTTCGATTCGATTCAGGAATGAGTTGGGGCTGGGTCGAAAAAAAGTATTTAAGGATTAACAACGTTGCGAGTTTTTTTTTTTAATTTTCGTGGATTCGAATCTTAGATTTTTTTTTTTTGTCCACTCGGAAATTCGTAACGCGAAGCAAAACTGCTCCGGTCGTTTCTGGCCGGTTGTAGGGATCACTTAAGAGTGCTGACGCTACTGGAGTGGTCACTAAAAAATTCCCAGTAGCTTCCGGAGCCCGTACGTTTCGCATTACCAATGTCCGAGCAGACAGAAAATTTTTTCATACTTTTTTGGAGAAACACATTTTTGTGTTACTTCGATTGCGCAGGTAGTACTGTAGTTCGTCGCGAGACCTTACAAAGGAAGTTTGTGAGGTGAAAATCGCAGATATGGTTCAAACTTCTCTGTTAGATAGTTGCAGGTATAGTAGTCGAAAAAAAAGAATTATATGCTAAGCCCCATAGGGTACTGAGAAATAGAATTTCGAAAATGTACAGGAAAAGCTCAAAAAAGTACTCTTCAGGTTTTCTGTGGAAAAGTGTTCTTTCTCGTGTTTCTTATGATATAGTAAATAACAGTAGACTTTTAGATTTCGAAAACCCGAAGAAAATTAGTTTTTCAACTTTTTCTGTACATTTTCGACGGTCTGTTTCTGATAACCCTGTGGTGCCTAGCCGATATTTCTTTTAATTTTTGATTAATCGTACCTAGGACAATCTACCACAGAAGTTTGGACTAAATCTAAGATGATCACCTCCCACACTTTCCTTGTCAAAAGTTCTGTTTTTTTTTTTCACGGTTCGATTCACAATTTTTTATTTCTGAACTTCGATGTGATGCATAATGTTTTGTTTCTCATTGAGAAATCGCGTTCAGCGCGACGGAGAGTTCCATTATAAAGCTTTGAAAAAAAAAGAGATGATTTTTCAAAGTTGGCCATTTTCGACAAAAATGCCTGGTACTTTTAGAGTCTTGAATCATTAAAAAGCTCATGTTGAGACACATCGAATGGTCTAATTAGTCACTGTAACTTCAAAATGAACGGAGTTAGAAAGCTTCAAAGTCCGAAAAATACGATTTTTCAGACTTGTTTTTCACCCAATTTTTGAGCTTTTCCATCAAAACTGATATGATAACAGTACTATTTTGAAGCAGCTCTATCGATTGATACAGAAAGAACCCCAAAAATACGAAAAAAATTTTGAGCTTTTCCCTTTTCGCGAGAAAATTTGACCGGGGTGCAATGCACCAAATGCATTATATCTGACACCTATCGAAATATTAATGGCAAACTTCAAACGCTTATATCTCGGCTCCGAGGGCAGCTACAACTAATCTTATTACATCATTCGAATTGTCTTGATGTCAGCTTTCTAGTGACATATGCCATAAGTTGTTTGAGCTTCATGTAAACGCTCAGTTTCCGACAATTTTTAAATTCGTAACTTTGTCTGTTAAGTTAGGAACTTCGAGAACAAGTTTTTCCTGATCTTCTCTTTTTCTTTATCGATTGATACCACATTTGACCTATTTTGAAATTTCTACCCAAAAGTTCAATCGCTCATAACTAAGTTTCTAGGTGACCTCCCGGGGTCAAACCTAGCCCATTCTTAGTTTCTCGTCGAGATCTATCCATTCATATAGGTCTCGTCTGGATTGACTTCCATGAGATCAGAGGTAAAAAATGAAAAAATTCAAAGGGGTTAGACTGCACTTTTTTCGATCATCCCGAAAATCAAAATTTTCGACTTTATTAGATCAATCGATAGATAATAACGCGCTGTGCCTGAAAATGCAGATAGAAAACTTCTGAGGCTTTCAGAAAAAGAGTTATGATTTTTTGAAGTGAGTCATTTTTGAAAAAAGTGCTTGAAACTCTCAGAATCTTACACCATCCGTGAGCTCCAGTCAAGACAAATCGATTTAATTATCAAGTTTTCTGTCACTTGAAAATGAAAAAAGCTATAACGCTTCAAATTTTGAAAAATATGACTTTTTAGAACATAATTTTGATCTAATATGTGATCTTTTTTTGAAATTGTTATGATAAATGCACTATATAGAGGCTGCTCTATCGAATTATACAGAAAAAACCCCAAAAATACGAAAAATTTGAGCTTTTACTTTTCGCGAGAAAATAAGACCGCGGTGCAGTGCACAAAATGCATTATATCTGACACCTATCCAAATATTAATGAAAAACTTCAAACGCTTATATCTAGGCTCCCCGAGCAGCTAAAGCTCATGTGAACGTATCATTCGACTTGTCTCGACGTCAGCTTTTTTCGCATTCAAGTAAAAACTCGAAAAAGCGTGCGAGAAAAAAAAAATACAGACGTGCGACAACTTACTCGTATTTTTGAGCGACCAAATTAGATCAAGTTCTAGAAGGAATTCATGCGTCTTTCGAATATATTAAATTGAAACGATAAATAGAAGCGGAAAGGAAATATTCGAATCTATCAATTTATTTTCACAGAGCGCATGTACGAATATAGTCCGTTCCGCGCTAGCTTGTCACGTTTTTCTTTCAGCCAAAAGGCTAGGTCAACTTTTTCACCAACTTTCGCTTCAAGACCTTTGTTTCTTGCCGTTATAAAAGAAGATATTTGATCTAATTTGGTATACGGTCTTTTTGGCGGAAAGAAAAACGTGACAAGCTGGCGCGGAATAGACTATATGCTTTCCGAATGTTCCAACTGTTTTCTGTTCCAATAAACACATCAGTTTGTTCCATTTGCATTTTACTTGTTGTGTTGCCGTGTAAAAACAAAAAGACGCTTCACAAAATACGAAAAATGGGGCCGGTAATCTTTATTGAGGAGGGTGTGGTGGGAAAGAATACGTACCTGCAAAGGACGCTGAACGAAGCTCTAGGCTTCATTTTCGATGGGACTGGTTACTGAACGATCTGTCTCGGGTTTCCTTCTATAAATTTTCAAAATTAAAACAGATTTTTAGATACGGCGGAGCAAGTTCTCATTTCTGTAAAAGGAGCTGATACTAACCTTCTCATTTATAAAATGACTTTTTTTTATTCATCAGCATAAAAACGAATTTTAGGCAAAAAGGTTCCATTTAGTAAAAAAAAAAGTCAAGCTCTTACCAGAGGCAACAAAGTGTCGTTGTGCAAGCGTCGAATGGACTTTCGAATGAGCCAGAGAAAAGCAGACCGGCACAATCTGGAAGAATTTGGTTGAAATGGAAATTCGAAGTTTGAAGCTAAAAAGTTCACCTTCTTCTGCATATACCTGATTTTGAAAGAAAAAAAGGCTCGGGCATGTTATGAAGTTCACAAAATGCGACTGCTTTCTTGTTCTCCATTGCAAATTGATAAAAAAAACGAGCATGTTTTTATTCTTAACTTTTTTTCACTCTTACTGACACTTATATTTTTTTCAAATTTTGTGTTTTTTTCCTATCTTCCCTATGAAAAAAACGATTTAAAAAAATTACTACGACGAAATTGATAAACTCATTACGATGAAAAATTATAAAATTTTATAAAATTCCTCAAAAAAACTTGAAGACGATTTTTCTGCAGTTTATTTGTATTAAACCTGAAAAAAATTGGTGAAAAAAATTGAACTATTGGGCAAAATAAATCTTGAAAAATGGTTTGAAAAAAACGATACTGTTAAAAAAATACAGAAATGACAACACTACAATGATTAGAAAAAAATCGAAAAAAATATAATTTGTTTTAACAGAATGATGGAATTTAAAAAGAAAAGCTTTTTTTATTAATTTTCGTTGGGTCACAAAAACCAGTCGCATTTTTGTAAACGCTCGCAAATTATAGCAGTATTGCTTACAACCTTTTTAGTGGAATTTTATCGGATATACCAGAAAAAATAAACCTTATAACTGCGATTGAAAAACAATTCTTAAGACATTCCGGTTTCAAAAATTGGACACTTTCCAACGTCTCTCAAAAAACGGAAAGATTAAAAATATATTAAACATATGATTAATTTGAAAAAGTCATCAGAAAATTTATTTTCATGCAGTAAAATTAGCAGAAAAATTATACTAAGACTGGCTAGGGAACTACGCAGACTCGTATTCGCGGACCAAGTTCAGAGATTGGTGGTTTCCAAGGCCAGGATACTTTGAAACCCGATAAGGTAATGAGGAAAATCTTGTTGAGAATGGAAGACAAGATTTGAAAATTTTCAGAATACTGTTTTACCTCAGTTCATCTTTCAACACAATCGCCTTGAATGGTTTGGCTGAAGGAACATCGGAAAACACTTTTACTCAGCAAAAAAAAAATGGAGAAAAAGAGCATGCTGAAATTTTTCGGGCCTATCTGCCCATTTTCAACAAGAATTTCCTGCCCATTCGGGTTTAGCAGATAATCTGTCTTGTCTTTAAGTATCCTTACTTGGGTCTATGAACCACCAAAGTTGGAACACGATCAGCGAGTGCGAGTTTGCGCAGTTTCCTACTGAGATATTTAAAGGCATAGGGGCAGTAAAAAACGGTGTTTTAGTTCAACGCAGTTATTTGTAGAGATTTTCATTGCGAACCGAACGCTGAACTTGGAAAAGTACCAAACTTCCTAGTTTTGGAGAAAAAGTAATTCAAAGTCGGAGAGAGGAAAGTTTGAGTTCCCGCAAAAAGAGCACTTTGCAGTAAAGTTGCTCTATGGACAGGTTACATGAATAAGCTTTATAAATCATCGGAGAAAGCAAATTTGAACGCGTATTAAAATCCTAGCTTTTTTTGGCATGCCTCATCTGATTTATTACTAGGGAACTGCTCGGACTCGGGTACGCGTTTCGAGTTGAAACTTTAGTGGTTTATAGACCCAATTCATAATACTTCAAAACAAGAGAGAATATCTGCTAAACCCGATATATAACTGAGAAAAAATTAGTAGGAAATGTGAAAACTAGGCCTGAAATTTTTTTCGGAATACTGCTTTTTACCTTGTTTTTATATTTTAATACAATCTCCTTGGATGATTCGGCTATGATACACTCTAAAAAACTTTTTTTCCAGCCAAAAAAGGAGGAAAGCAACATTTTGATAAGTTTCAAGACTAAACTGTTCATTTTCAAAAAGTTTTTTCTCAGAAGCCTATGGGGTTTAGCAGATAATCTCTTCTTTCCAAGTACTCTTACCCGGGTCTATAAGCCACCAAAGTTTCAACTCGAAACGGGTACCCGAGTCCGAGTAGTTCCCTAGTTAGTATAGCCCATTCCGCGCCAGCTTGTCACGATTTTCGTATTCCTCTGAGCTATAGAATCCTTACATTGAATGCGCGCGATATTATCTATGCCTGCCCCTATGATACAACTGAAATTTTAGGCCAAATAAAAGACGTAGGCAGAGAAACACCAAGCGCACTTCGAACGGAATGATCCACCTGCTCTGAGGGGAACAAAAATTGTAGCAAGCTGGCCCAGTAGGGCCTATAGCGCAATATTCATGCACAGTAAAAAACTTTCAAAATTTAAATCTCGCATTCAAGTAATTTTATTACTGTTAGTTCCAATCATTGTTTTTCATTTGCAGTTCGCTTGTTGTATTGCCGTGTGAAAACAAAACAGAAATCCATGCAGTGTTCAAAGTCATTCCGCGAAATGCAAAATGGCCGACATAGAAAGAACAAGATAACTAAATTTTGGAGAGTCAGAAACAATTTTGCATTTCGCGGAGATTAATTTGAACACGGCACCCCAAAATACGAAAAATGGGGCCGGTAATCTTTATTAAGCAAGGGGTGTGGTGAAGTCTAAATCATACCTTGTCTTGACGCTGCTGTTGGCCTTCAAAAAGAGTCGAAACAAAATCCTCGCGTCTGGTTCCACACGACGTCTTCACGAGGACTCGCATTCTGAAATAGTAAAAAAATTGCAAGAGAAACATAAAAAAAATTAAAAGTTTCAAAAATAACGGTCTTATGTCGAAAAATCGTTAACAAAAAATTCAAATAAGAATTTCAAAGCTAGCAGGCTTGTGCGAGGGCCGGCCCGTCGCCCTCCCGACCCCCCGACCATTTCGTAAGCCCGGCCCGGCCCGGTGGGGCCTCAAGAAAAAAAAGCCCGCCCGGCCCGAAGTGCGCAACTTTTTTTCTAGTCGGAAATCAAGTTTTTTTACGACAAAAATTACGTTTTTTTGGTCATTTTTTTCACTAATAGTTTAACAAAAAAACTATGATTTCAGAAGTAAAAAGCCACATTTCGGTGAAAAATTTTTTTAAATAAAACTTTAAATTTTTTTATTGAAGCCCGGCCCGGCCTGACGCACAAGCCTGAAAGCCAGTAAGTACAACTAGTCTGCGTACATGAGCAAGTGAAGAGTTCAACGAGTCCGGGAAGAGGGATTGGATTACCAAAGTTTTCAAATGTAAAGTTTAGAAATAAGGTTCAACCCAGGGAGGTAGTAATGACAAAACTAAAAGAGAACTTAAACATCAGGGTTCTAATTCAGGATGGCATGCATACTTTTACATCCAAACTTTCGTAAGTCAACGCCTCCTCCTAGACTAATTAGTTCTCTAAATGCCCAAGCACATGTTATGAGCTCGCAAATGCTCCGCGCCGGCTTTGCAATTCTTACAAAATTTTTTGATATAGTCTGTTCAGATTTTAAATGCCAAGCTAACTCCGCCCTTGCTGTGACGGTACTCGCATGCTGAACAGGGTAACCCAGCCGTGCTAACACGGGGTCTCAGCGGTTGCCCCGTATTAAACCCGTATAATCCTAGCTGATAGAATTTTTGGCAATTTTTTAGCCCAACTGAGATCCCGCTTTGGCACACTGGGCCACATACTCTTCTTACACCCGTTGTTTCCCCCTTTTTGGCCCAACTGATACTAAAATAACCTCACATAACCTCACTGTCAGAAACACGGGTTTAATACGGGTACACCCGTTGAGACGCCTGGCTACTATGCGAGTACCTTTTCGCGTCGATATTTCATCGCGCGGGACGATTTTTGATCTTTTTTGTTCCAAAAGATAGAAAAGTGAGTCAAAAAATGCAGCCATTTCAAAGGAGCATCGCAACGCGCGATAAAACATTGACGCGAATTATATTGTAGCCTTGGGGGGGTGAAGTTAGCTGCTTGACATTCACAATCTGAACAGTCTATAGTCGCTAAATTTCGAGGTGTGGCCATGAAAAATGCAGCCGGCGCAAATAGCAGAAAATTTACGAGATCTTACTAGATCTCCAGTGTACCGCCAGCCCCCTAGCTTTTTTCTCGGCAGTTAGTCTTCATGTCCGATTTCTCAAACGGACCGCTAGTTCCAGGCATACACTTTCAACTTTTTTGCATTTGAAAAGTTAATTTTTTCTTCTATTTCAAGTAAGCTTGTTGCATTGCTATGTGAAAAAAATAAACAAACAAACAATACGCAAAAAAAAATAAAAAATGAATTTCGGGCCATTTATCTTTATTGAGTGAGGGGTTAGGTCAAATAAAAAAAGTACCTTATCTGGAGGCTGAGAAACGATGAGCGGCTGAGGCTTGATAGTTGGTCCGAAGTCGAGCAAAACTCCTTGCATCGGTATCACTCCTGAAAATATTGAAATTTGGTGAAAGAGAAATTTTCTATCCTGAACTGATAATAAAAAACCGTACAATAAGCAAACCACAAATGTTCTTTTTTGATCATATTTTATTCAAAGACGGCTGAGAATTGTCATACACAGCTTTTTATTAAAAATAAATTGAAATATTATCATTATCCAAGAAAATACCATTCCTTAGTGACTGTGTTCTTTTTTTTTTACAAAATATACCTTGAGTTTTTACCAACGGTTTAGGTTCCGGTTTAATTCATCTTTGCGCGTCGCGAAAGATCGAGTAGAATCAGTAAGAACAAGTTCAACGCCAATCAAAGGACTTCTACTTGGGTTCCTAAAAGCAGTCAGGTTGAAAAAAATAATAATAAACGATGGATTTTACCAAAATATTACTTCGTAACTTCTTAAAAAGAGCATCTCATGAGGTGCGACCGCGAGACATTTATGACGCCGGAGGACAGTGATATCACTGATCTGAAAGGCAAAAAAATGAAAAAAACAAAAAAACATTCAGATATTAAATATTACGTCATTCAATGTTTTTCTGAACTATGTTTGATGCTTGTTTTTTAAACTTTGTACGAAAATCGAATAAAAAGAGGTCATCATAAATTTAACGAACTTTTTTTCATGATTGGATGGCTCCGCCTTTTTTTGGCTGATTGGAAATGTCCAATATAATTTTATTTTCGAGTTCACTGCCCGATGGGCGGAGCCAACCAATCACGCGGTGGAAATTTGCCGCGTTACGGCTCGTGCATATGAACGAGAAAAACTGCCACGCTTTCAACGCGCCAATATGCATAGTCCCATCAGCTCCACCTTGTGTCACGATTGATTCTCGTCTTTAGGTGATTGGAATTTGGCAGCCCTTCGCCAAGTTCAGCCAACCTTTGATCATCCGTGGCGAGGAAGTTCTGAATGAATTGGATTGAATGAAAATTATTTGGGAGAATTTGGAATGATCCAATGATAAATCTTAAAAAAAAACCTCACTCTACTTTTTTTCTCAGATTCAAATTCACAGAAGTTTTTTTAAATTTAAATAAACGATTAATTTAAGGCTCCGTCGGAATGAAGCTCAATCACAAAAAGGCATTTTTGCTCTTTTAAAAAGAAAAATTATTACGAACTCATGGTACCAATCCAAAACGCTACCTTCTTAAAATTGTCAATTAGAAACAGAAAATCAATCAATTTTTCTCTTTTTGTTCTCGATTGAAAAAAAGTTAGCTAAACTCAGTTGGAGAAAAAGAGATGAAAAAACACATGAAATCAACTATAAACAGTAAAACAGCGGAGTTTTCAATCTTTCTAGGATCCAATAAACTTCAATCGGAAATGATGGAAACAGAAATACACAAAATTCAAAAAATCTAACAATAGTCGTCGGATTTGTCGATGAATCCAGAGTCTCGTCTTTCCGCCATAAGGATGCCCCGCGAAAATGGCGATGAGCGTCGCGAATCGCTCAAAATTAGGAGCCGGCCAACAATTATCGTCCGGTGAACCTGAAACAGAAAATCAAAAATAACTTGAAACAAATAGAACCCAGCAAATGGGAGGAATGTTCAAACTGGTGATATTCTCCAAATAAAACAAAATGACGAAAATCAACAACATGAAGGAAACTCTAACAATATTGATTTCAGCTGTTGGTCCATTCACGAAGCTCCAGTTTCGGCAGATTGAAGCCCAACAACCGCAATGAACTTCAACTTCCGGGCTCGAGTCAGCGTTGAGTTTCAATTAACACCTAAAAATTATAAAAATTGTTGCTTTCAAGGTTGATTGAAACTCGCCCAAGCTGTTTCAAAATCCTTTTTTGGGATTGTAGTCGCTCATCCGTCCATCTTCTGGTCGTTTCAACGTCACTGAAAATGTTCGAAATCAGTGTTTTTCAAATATTAATAACACATTTTGTTTTTTATCCAAAAAAAAATCGCAAAAAGCTCAAGTTAGTCAAGATCTATGGAAAACTACCTAGGCGGTGCGCATCCCGCTCGGCCATCAAAATAAAATCTAAGCTCCGCAGGCCGTGCGCGGCGTTTTCTGCTAGGTTCCGTCCTCGCTTTGCCAGCATCGCGCTGTCAACAGTTTCTGTCTCGGCCCTCAGAATGGGCTTCGACTTGTCTTCGCGTACCACAACGCGCTGAGCGCAGAAGGGTCGGCGCTCAGGAACCTCGCAGAGACCTACTAGCGCTTTTTTAAGTTCTTACTTTAATTATTTGTTGATATGGAACTAAAAACTCCCCGAAACTCATTGCATTCCGTGGAAGAAATCCCCATCGATGAGGGATCAGAAGACGGGAATGGGAAGTCGTCCTTGCTCGCCGCAGTCTACGCCAAAAGCCCTCAAACGCGCAAAAAACAAGCTTTTCTTTGAACAGGCGAGCCAAAGGCGTCCTCTGGCCCAGAAAAATGGCAATTCCAGATAGTTCTCAAAATGGAACCAGTGCTGGAAGATACCCAAACCGAGGTTCCGAACCGCTCGAGGTTCGGCAGTTTGGAATCTGCCACCTGCCGCAGGTTAGCAACGGCGCGTAGCTCACGTTACCCCGCCGCAGGAATGGCGGCATCTAAGCGGGCCTCAGCTAGGCTCATTCCTGTCCGCCGAAAAGCTAGTTTAATGCTCGTTTTCGGTCTCTTGGGTTCAACTTTGCGGTTTCACCCACTGAAAAAACCAATGATTATTGAGCCGAAAAAAAACTGTGGAACTTTTAACGATTTTTTCTGCTTTTAACGATTTTTTCTGCTCAGTTTTTACTAAAGACGATGAGAGACCATTCATAAATAATACGAGCTCGGTTGGAAGTATGGAAGAAATAAACGTTGATCCATATATCGTATACGAATATTTGAAGAAGCTTAGACCTTTACATTCTGCCGGTCCGGATAAATTGTCTAATATCATAATACAAAAACTAGCGGCCCCTTTGGCACTACCTTTATCAATGATATTCCAAAAAACATTGGATACCTCATGCTTGCCTAGTTTATGGAAAAAGTCAATAGTTCGACCTATATATAAGAAAGGAAGCCTTAGTGAGCCTCAAAAACTACAGACCTGTCAGTTTAACATGTGTCCCATGCAGAGTACTCGAATCCATTATCGTTAGAAGTTTAAGAAATCATCTTTGGAACAAAAACATAATATCCAAAGCCCAATACGGATTTTTTTGAACAACAGAAATACTGTTTCGCAATTGCTTCAAAAAGCAAAAAAATATTTGATTCAAAAACGTGTATGAAAAAAAGCCATAGTAGACGTAATTTATCTGGACATAAGTAAAGCCTTTTGATTCCGTAACACATCGCAGAATGTTGAACTTACTGGAATCCTATGGTTGCAATGGTCGGCTACTCTCCTGGTTTCAGAGCTATCTCATTGGACGTACCCAAATGGTACGCATAAATGAAGCTTTATCCGATGAAATTCCCTGTACTTTCGGGTGTACCACAGGGTAGTTGTTTGGGTCCTTTATTTTTTCTTCTTTACATCAATGATATCGATAAAGTAGTCAAACACAGCGAACTATTAACATATGCCGACGATTGTAAATTAATGATAAGTTCAAAGATAGAAAATTTCGAACATAAGCTTCAGGAAGATTTAAACTCTATTTATGAATGGTTAGCAGATAGACAGCTTGTCCTATCGAGTTCAAAGAGTATACATGTCAGATATGGTAAATCCAATACTGAGAACCCTTCTTACACAATAAATGGCTCAAAAAAATTCCAACAGATATATTCATCAGAGATCTGGGAGTACATTTTTAGTTCTAATTTAAAAAAATGAATGGTCACGTGAATGTAATTGTGAAAAAAATGCATGAAAATTGTGAATAATCTTTTTAGATGTTTTTACCTTCTCGCACACTAATTTCATGAACTGCTACAAGTTGAAGATTTTTACCTGTTCTTGAATATGGGTCAGAACTTTTTCTGTCCTTTAACAAGAACAGATATCGATAGATTGGAATCAGTTCAAAGGAAATTTACTAAAAAGACTTTTTCCCTAAAATGAATTACAAAGAAAGACTTCAACGTCTTGGACTAAACACCCTTTGGCAAAGACGTTTAAAGAAAGACATAACTGCTGCTCACAATTTCATTTACGGATACTATTGGTGCCCATCTCCAATCCCTTTACAAAATACAAGAAGTAGATCGAATCAACTGCGAGGAAATGGCCTCAAAATAGAGCGGCCTCTACTTTCTGACATACACTACCGGTTCATTAATCAAAGAGTATTGAATCATTGGAATCATATGGATAGAAACATAGTATTTGAGTATGAAAAAAATAAGTTCAGATCTAAACTTGAGAAATGGTTTGAAAACAACATTACAGAACTAAACACTCTTTGATCCAACAAAAAAATATGAAAGCTACATAATCGACATTTAAAAGAATAACTTCAAGGTTATTCCAATTTACTCAAGTGGGGGGTTAACACGACCGCGGGTCCTCTTCCCTCCATCACCACAAGTTCCGACACATATGTTCCCAAATTCTCCCTACATCTATTTCGTGAAATTTAGTACTTGTGTGTGAGAAATAAAACATTTTGATTTGATTGAACTCGATTCAAGAAAATCACGATGCGAATAGACAGTACAAAAAATGCATTTCGGAAAATCGCAAGAATCAAAGAAGCGCTACAGGACTGATGAACATGAGACTGAAGAATCTGACAAACATTTGAATATGGCGACACTGTCCAAAAAATTTTACTAGTTGGACGAAAAAAGGAAAAAAGAACTGCGACCAGTCAACTATTGAAAACCCAAGACGACTGCAAGCCGGAAAGAAAGATAATGAAAAATGACTATTTCTAGAAAAAAATAAAAATAAAAATGATCAACACGTTGCAACGTGGCACTCTCACGTAATGTAAAATTTTCACTCTAAATAATAAATTATTCAAAAACGTGAACAAATTTTTTTCATGACGTGAGCAAAATTTATCCCTACATAGTAAAATTAGGGTTCCTAAAATAGAAATAGATGAAGAATAGAAGTCTTACTCTCCAAACACAATATGGTTCAGACAAAAGGAGTACAAACCCATTTATCACGCAAAACCGTGAAATCTTTTTGAAATCTCAAAAAAATTGTCGAATCCTAAATTTTTCTATATTTTGTCAAAAATTGAACCAGAGAGATACTTTCTGCTAAAGGTAAATGTTATATCTCAAGAATAATCACGAAACAACAAAAAGCGCTTTCAAAAAAAAAAATTGAAAGAAAAACCAACACAGATTCGTCTTGAACGTTGAAAAAAGAGGAAAACAAAGGAGAAGAAATGAAAAATTTGCCGCCAGAATGTCAGGGATTGCCGTCAAGATCAAATGATCCCTCCGTCATTATTCCGTAGATCAAAATATTTTGAAAAATGGCTCCCCCATCCGGCAATACCAAAAAAAAGGGTTTTCACATCACTAAACGACAGCGTCTTTTGCTTTTAAAAACCAAAAGGCAGTGATGAAAATGAGGAAAAGCTAAAATTTCATATGCAACAACGTTTTAGTGCCACCACGACAGCATTGACGATCTCGCTTTATTGCAAATGGGTCCTATCACGAAGAGGCGCAAAGAGCACCTTCGTTTCTCTTTTTATTTTTATTTCTTTCCTTTTTTCCTCACTTATTTCTAATCATTTTCGGGTGTCTTTATGTTGTAAAATAAACAAAATTGTGGTTTTCAATGAGAAAATAGCTTCAAATACCGATAACCACATTTGCATCTTATCACTTTTTCTGAATACTCAAATGATGTAGATCGATCGACCTGGTTAGAAACAAGCTTTCAAAGAGGTTGAAAAAAGTTGATAAATTTATTTTCAAATTTATCAAGCGTTTCGCAAAAATACAAATTTTACAGGAAATATATAGAAATGACTAAAAAAAAAACCACGTGTTGGGAAATCACAGTAAGTATTGAATTGCATTGTGAGAATTTCAAAAAGTGCACGGGGGTATCAGGGTAAGGCAATAGAAAAACAAATCAAGCAACACCGGTCGAAAAAGATATCGTTCAGCACAGAATTGCCACTGAATTGTTGAAATGTATCATAATCTCAAAAAGAACAGTATTAAATCGTGGTGATACTATCCAAGAGAACGTTTCCAGTGAGCATGGCGGTCGTCGCGATGAGTCGGACATTTGGGAGACGGCATCGGATCGCGGCGACTTCGGCCCTCGTCACGCCGCCGACGACAAAGACAGCCGTGCCGTCGTCATCTAAATGAAATCCATGATTTCAAAAAAAGAAAATTATTGAGCTGATCACAATTTGGTTCATAAAAATGAAGTTGAGGTTTATTTTTCAATTTAATTGTTTTTTTTTTAGGATTGAGGTCAATTTTTTAAGTCCTATCTCGAAGTTCAACAACAAGGCCTGTGAAAAAAGTTATGACCCCACAATAATTATTTATCCATCAGAATCTGGAAAAGCTGACAACTTTACTTTCAGTTTTTTTTTCACTAAATTACAGCTTTTTAGCTTCTTCTCTGAGAGATATATTCACTGCTAGCTAACCGCTGTTTTTTGAACGAATGGAACTGACAAAAATTCTCAAACTTCAACAAGTATATCTGATTCACGGCTAACTCAAGCCATCAAAAACAGGATTTCTCATAAAAAAATATTTTCTGGTTGGTGGTAAGCCTAGACATTGTCAAAAGCGTATCCACGATTCGAAAAACTTTAAAATATAGAGAAATTCGAATCGACTGAAAAAGGCTATCTAAATGTTCTCTGCGGCTACTCCTGGCCGATCCCCTTCTTTCCAATTTTTGAAATCTCCACTTCCCAAGAAGATTTTTTGAATGACCGGTGAGTCCTTACCACTCTCATCAAGCCTCGCGCCGAGTCGCTGAGCCGCGGCGTCTGCAGTCGCGTCGGTAGGAGTCGCGGCGGATCCGCCAGCGACGACTCGCTGCCAACCGACCCATCTCAATCGGTCGCCTTCCTCCAAAATGCGAACGATGAGTGGGGCGAAGCCGCTGTAAGCATAGGCGGCGTCGGTTGGGCTCTGAAATCAACGACTGAATGAAAAATGTAAGAACTTTTTAATGCTCGAATATTTTTTGACGTTTTAGATAAAGATGATCAAATTCTCAACCTGCAAAAATTCCTAGTTTTCGATAAAGACACCTCAAATCCTGAGAAAACCTCTATCTACTTCATTTAAAAGTTACTAAAAACAAAAAATAAACTTATTGTCGAATGAATCACCGTTTCAGAGACGTTGGCAGGCAGCTGATCGTATTGCTTGCGCATTTGTGGATAAAGCAGTGGCGCATACTCGCAAACGACTTTTCCACTACCGCCGCGTTCCCGCACAAGCCCCATTTTCTGCATTTTCAGCAGCTTGTTGAGTGCCGACACACCGTAACTCTGAAGAACTTGGAATAATTTCATTCAACACCTTTTCGCTTGAAAACTTGCACGTTTGAAAGAGCAGAGACAATTTTCGTACTGGTCTAAAGGGGAAGAGTCAACTTGAGTATTATTTTAGTTCATGTGCCTTTAAATTTATCTAAAAACCTTTTTGAAGGCGCAGAAAACCTGTGTGATATTTTCAAAAATACACTGAAAAATCCGCCCACAGAAAAAAAAATCTAACAAGCTTAGGATTTCCTTATGGGGCCGAAAAAGTGGTCCCTATAGGGGTAAATTAAAGTGGTTCCTATAGGGGTTTAGGGTCTGACCCCTTAGCCCCTAAAGTTCAAGTGGGCCCTATAGGGGTCTTTCAATTTCATTCAAAAACTCACTAAAAGTAACAAAAAATCATACTTAGGAGTTTTAAAATGGTCCTTATAGGGATTAGGTGGGAAAAACAGCCCCTTTCATGGCCGAAAAAGTGATCCCTGTAGGAGTAAAGTTAAGGTGGCCCCTAAAGGGGTTGAAGGCCTGATCCCTTAGCCCCCAAAGCTCAAGTGGACCCTATAGGGGTCTTTAAATTTCATTCAAAGACGCTTAATTATTCAGCTTCTCCCATGGAAATGCTTCTTCGCATGTAGTTCATGAAAAATATCGACTAGCATGTCTCCTTTCTGGGCCCCTAACTAAAAAACCTCCATAGGGACCATTTTTGCAAGCTTTAGTGGCTCCTAGAGGGGCCCTCCAAGGTTCCTTAAGGTTGTCCCTATAGGGACCACTCTGCAGTTCCTAAGATCTCTTCTTGTTGAAAATCGTACATGAGTGATAATCCTTCGATATGACTGCAAGACTGAAGGTTTCAGTCCTCCAGCCGTCAAGGAATGGACCGCGACAAGTCGAAGACCCCGGTTTAGGTCGGATGCATCGTAGATAGCCTCCTCGATGAACGGCATCATCTTGTCGCCGTCGGAATTCTCGAGTAGTTCTGAAAATATCGACTTTCGGAAAAAAAAAATATGGTGGTATGAAAAAAACACCAGCGAAAATTCGAACGGCGACTTTTCCGATTTTTTCATATCGCTAGGGAACTTTCCGACGGCCACCTTTCCGACGGATCCCTTTCCGACTTTTTTTCTCGATAAATCTGCGTTTTAAATCTCCCTATATAAAGTAGGTAGTTGGTTAATGATTAAAACACATAGAAATAGAAAAAAAACAATGTTTATAGATGTTTTATAAACCGAAAAACTTAAGGGAAAAAATTCGGAAAGGGATCCGTCGGAAAGGTGGCCGTCGGAAAGTTCCCTAGCGATATGAAAAATCGGAAAAGTCGCCGTTTGAATTTTCGCTGGTGGTTTTTTCATACCACCAAAAATATACAAGAATCTGATGGTTTATTATCAATTTTTTTGAAATCTGATCTCCTCGACCTTTCTCCGCTTTCACGTTGTCAGAGAGGTCCCGATAAAGTTGGGCCCTGGACATTTCGGCCAATCGCATGTGGGTCGACGTCAACGTTTTCCGCTTCAGAATCCGAGGCATTTTCTTCACCAAAACTGCGTATTCGGCCACGGACATTGTGTCTTTGTCAAACTGCAACGATTTATGAGTTACTGACAAGGGAGGTCATTTTACTTTGCGGTTCGGAATCTTCTGAAAATTTGTCACAATACCCCTTTAAACACCAAATTAAGGTCTGGAAAGTCTAAATCTGCACAAAATCATAGTTTTCAAAAAAAAAGGGTTAGAAGCCCAAAAAATTGCTTTTTGGCTGATTTTTAAGGTTTTCTTCGACATTTCTCAAAAACTAGGAAGTTGTGCAGCTTGAGGCTTTCAGAATCCTTTTTTTGGTACTCTTAGGAGTGTTTTGACAGAATTTCAGGATAGGCAAAGTGAAAAGACCTTCCTTGTGAGCAGAATCGAAAAAAAGGTCCATTTTTCTCTTTCTTTAACTTGGTGAACTTTCTTTCAGAAAAGTTATTGAAATATTTAAATTTTCAAAGTTTATTTCCCTTAATTCTATCTTTCACTTTAACCCCAGAAAAAAGCTACACCCCCCAGTCTCTTAATGTTTGAACTATCTTTGGCGCCGAAAAGAGAATCCAGTTTTCTCGGCCACCACCTTTCCTAGGGACAAAGCATCGGAGAAACAGCTTTCCTCGGAGAAATTGGACCGAAATTCCGTCGGCCGAATGGTCTAGTGGTATGATTCTCGCTTTGGGTGCGAGAGGTCCCGGGTTCAATCCCCGGTTCGGCCCATTCTTTTTTTAGCTTTTCAAAGTCTATTCACCTTCGATAAGAAAAAAACTAGAAATTTTTTTCAAAATGGCTTATTTTTTTGGAATTTTTGGGGTCAAGTTCGTCATCAGAGCGCATATTAACATGAATCTGAAACTTTTAAGAACTCAAATTTGATTTTTAAAAACCGAATTTTGTAGGAAGAAAATGAAAAACAGATCAACTTCAAAAACATCGAAATCGTATCCTAAAGGTCAGTTCTCAAAAATTAATAACTCAAAAAAACTAAAGTTCCATCGCCCAATCACCCATGAAGCATATAACATTTTGCATTCCACTTTTTTCCTTTCCTAGAATTCACCCACATTCTCATCATTCCTCAACTCGGTCAAAATCGCCGCCACATCTGAACCGATTCCGTTGATATGCGAATGTTTCAATCGACTGAAGATCTGAAAAAAATTGATTTTTATATAATCATTAAGAAAGTTGAGATCAAAACCTCATCAGTCAAATAAATCTCCTTGGTCATGAACGGGTCAGCGTCGTCCTTCTCTTCGAATTCAGCTTGGAGAACCGAAAAATTAGAAATTGTAACTGGGAAGGGAGGTCGTTTTACTTGGCGGTTTGGAATTTTCTATGATTTCACTCAAACACTCTCTGAACGTCTAAATGAAGATCCCTCATAATCGCAACCTGGGCAAACTTCTAATTTTTGTGATATGGCTTTTAAAAATTGCAAAATATAAGTTTGAAGTCCAATTTTTCAAACTTCAAAAATGTTTATCTCGAAAACTGGGAGGAGGAACGGGTTGCGACTTTGATGGATGATCATATAAATCTTAAAAGATTGTTCGAGCAAATTTGTAGACAATTCCAAGAAAAAGAAAAATGACCTCCTTGTAGGGTCTTACTGTGTGTTAAACGAAAACTTTAAAAATCAATATCTCAAAAACTAGAAATTTGCGCAAGTAGCTACCATGAGAGATCTTCATCTAGACATTCAGAGAGCTTTTGAGAAAATTTGTAGAAAACTCCAAATCGTCAAGTAAAATGACCATATATTCTCAATATATTCATTTTCAAAGATTTCATGGACTTTTTTTTTTTGCTTCAATTCCTTAATCTCTAAGCAAACCTTGATCGAATTAACCATCCCAATCCCATAAACTTCATCCAAAAGTCCGGCATAGGTTAATTGGGTCAACATTGGTGTTAGGGGGTCAATCCATCGATCGATTACTACCTGGAATCATATTATTTATCGAAAAGTCTTCAAATCGGAGATTACGATTCGATTAATCTTGATTTTTGTTGATGAAGAGGGCGTTGTGTTTGATTTGACGGTTTCGGAGTCCTGAAATTAAAAAAAAAAGAATATTTGAATAAGAAGAAACTGAAAATTGACATTTATCGTATTTTCTGCGTCTGAACATAAAAAATCAAATTCTCTTGCGACACTTGAAAAAACACTGTTAAACTTATAACTAACATATTAAAAATGATCTGATTCTCAAAACGGACACTTTTCGAGTTCCGAAGCTTCTCAAGCATGCCGGCAATGTCCTGGGACCATTTGCCTCGCGAATAAACGGCTATTTTTCGTTCAGAAGACGCCGAGGGCGAAGGGTTCGGACGGCCGTCGTTGCTCAGCTCGATGAGCTGGTTCAGGGCCACCGCACATTTGTGCAGAAGGGTCCAGTCCCCGTTGAGCAACAGTCTGAATCAGGGTATTCTTGAAATCATCAAAAACGTTGAAATTTGAAAAGTATATGAATAAAAAGGAAAAGAATTTTCGGAGAGTTAATTTTGAGTTTCCTACTGAGCTTAGGAATTCCAGAGTGGCCCCTATAGGGGCCGAAAAGTGGTGTCCCTGGAGGGAAATCTACAAAGAACCGATAGGGACCACTGGGGAGTTCCTAAGAAGGTATCAAACTTTTAAAAAGTAGGGCTTTTTGACTTTTCTGGCTTTAAACATTTTTTGATCTTCCTCCAGAATTCATTTCAAATATACCTCGACGGTAATTGAGGCTGTGAGAGTGATAGACATTCTCCATCTCGGGGAAGCCAGGAGAGCGGAATTTCCCGAATCGATTCCAGTCGGGCGGCATACTAACAGAAAAAATGAATAAAAATCTTTGAAAATCCAACTTTTCCGCCTTGTCGTTCCTTCAGCTTCTCCCTGACGACGTACCAAGCTTCTGGGATGAAGAAAACTTGGTAAAGGGTTTTCTGAATGGAAAAGTATGAACAATATAGATTTTTTTTTGGGAAACCGGGTCATTTTTGACGTTATCGATGTAGTCACAAAGACGATCAAGTGATGGGACAGTGGGGGAGAGGAAAAAGACGACGTGGGGCGTATCGGCGGCTTTTCGCGTCTCGATTCCGTGATTCGCGACGACGCCGTGAGCCGACAGCAGCGATGTTCCGGCAAACTGAAAGTCCAGGTAGAATCAGAGGAACGAAAAAGAATTTGAAGCTTTTAGAGAGCCAAAAAACATCCCTTGGAAACTGTTTCAAAAGTAATTTTCACTGAAGTATTTATTAATTTTTTTTCTTTTTTTTTTTCATGATCTCCTTGATCCCCCACCAAGTTAACTCTCTGCATGAGATTCCGATCAGCATCCCAGACAATGGTCTTATCGCCGTCAAGTCCATCGAGGGCCGAGAAAAGAAGACGTCGGCCATATTCGACGGCGGCGCGGACTTCTGGAGTTCCTTCGATGACGTTTGAAGGCGAAGACGCGGCCGCTGCGGCTTCTTCCGCCGCCGAGACCATTTAATAGATCTGAATGATAATTTTACTATTAGTTTTTAAAAAAAAAATGAAATCGAACAAAATAATTATCAAAGGGAAAAAAACACGATCAAAACAAAAATGAGATATACGCTATTTTCAAAGAGGCGTAAAACATAACCGGTTATCACGGAATAGATATATCATTATTATAAATTAGATAAATTTTTTTTCCCGAAAAACTGATTCAAAACGAAGAACCGTAAATCGTTCAAAGACAAGTGCGCCCCATAGCTAAGAGTCGAAACGATTTACGGCGGGGAAAGGTCAAAAAAAACGTGGAAAATATATTTCAAAAGGCACGTAGCATTTGCCATGAAACGATGGAAACCAAGTCAAAACACGCAAAATGACAGCTTCGAGTGCGAAAAACGCTGAAATCGCCAAATATTCGCGATTTTCGATCACAACGCTGTCTGTGGGATTTCTCGCATCTCTTTATAGTTCGTTATTATTTTTATTCGGGGATTTTAATTATATTTCTCATTTAGATCTGTACATTGATGTCAGAACCAGTGCCGATGAAAACTACCTGCCATTTTGCGACCTTTCCTCGGCCGTTTCTTGCTCGAAAGCCCTAAATTCTCGCTATTCCAATGGCTTCGGAATTGTCGAGTTCGTATTGGGAGCGGATCATTTTTTGAATCAGGTGAACCATTTTTAAGAAAATTGCCAACGCTTTGAAATTACAAATGTTTCTTCGAAGATAAACTTGAAAAAGTTCAGAAAAACGCCTTCTACGGCGTTATCGTCTACACCTTACTGGCTCTGGTCCAAACAAAAAAGTCGCATTTGGCGGCTATTTTTTCGGTGGTTTCCGGGTTCATTCTCAACCTGATGTCCTGCTTCATGGCCTACCGTGAGTTTCGAGAAGAATGGCGTAAAAATTTTGAAATTCTTTCTCGCTTTTGAAGCTGGAGTATCTTCAAAAGAGAAAAAAGAATGGGCCGAACCGGGGATTGAACCCGGGACCTCTCGCACCCAAAGCGAGAATCATACCACTAGACCACTCGGCCGACGGAAATATAGACAAACATTCGAAGGGATATTCTCTCTTTGGCGACATTTCATCACCTAATTGGCGTATCTACGCCGAAATCGGACACAGATCTCGTTTTCTGCATCTCTCATCTCATCGGAAGAATATCTTTCCTTGGAATGATTGGACCGAATTTCCGTCGGCCGAATGGTCTAGTGGTATGATTCTCGCTTTGGGTGCGAGAGGTCCCGGGTTCAATCCCCGGTTCGGCCCATTCTTTTTTTACTTTTTTGAGTTTTTTCTAGTTTCAAAGTAGTGTGAAAAAAAAAATAACGAAAGTCCTGAAATTTTTGAAATTGAGAGGCGGCCTAGGAGTTTAGGAACCACTAGGATGCTTCCCTAGAGGGGCCACTAACTGAAGCCCCCAAAGAGGCAAACAGCATGACCTCTACAGGGGCCATTAACAAAATCTCTATAAAGACTACTTTTGCAAGCTCTAGTGCCCCTATAGGGGTTAGTAAAGTGGCCCCTAGAGGGGACCCTTTGAGAGTTCCAAAGGTTGCCTCTATAGGGACCACTCTGAGGCTCCTAAGAACTGAAGTATGGCAAAAAAAATTTGATAAAGCCCAAAAACCTCAAATTTTTCCGTCCTCCTCGAGATCGGCACCGTTTGCCTGGTCTGCGTGACAATCTACACGGTCAACGCATTTTTCCTCTACTTTTCATGGCAACAATTGAAGGCACACAATGAGTTGGAGGCGTTGGCCCGTCGGAAACGAGATTAACTTGCATTTTTTTTCAATGATAAACTTTTATTCGAAAAAAGAAAGACGACAGAAAAGTCATGAATAATTAATGGAGTCAGTAAATAACCCGTTAAGAAAGTTTTTACAACATTGTGAAGAACCGTAAAAAAATATTTAGTAATTTCACAGCAATTTGATACTACATGGTCGCATTTGGAATGGCTCGACGCGTGGCGGCTTCGAAACGTCAAAAAAAATTTTTTTCCGAACTTATTCCGATGCCGCAAAAAAAAAAACCACGATTATTCTTTCCTCTTTCGTTTCACCGTCTTCCTCGGCAAGGGCGTGATTTTTGAAGACGGCACTGGAAGAAAAAAACTAATTTGTTTTCAAATTTTTTTTTTTTTTTAGTGAGTTTTCTCAAAATTTCCATTAGAATCTTTTTCATGGTTAGTTTTTTAAAAAAAAGGTACAGTCAAACTGAAGTGATTTTTGAGCTTGAAATCCTCATTTTTTTGAAAAATTTTAGTTACAAGAATTTTTTTGAACTTTTTTTAAATTTGAACAATTCAGAAATTTTATAATTCAACTGCAATGTCTATAAACTCACTTGCAAACTTTGCAAATCGGCATAAACTGGCAGAGGACCGACAGGCACACAGAACAGACCCAGCCGGTCGAGACCAATTGGTGGTGGCAAGCACAGGAAGCACGGTAGTCAACGGCCTGGAAATTTGAGCTTTTCATAACGAAAAGCAGCACTCGAATGTTTCAACAGCTGATTTACGGCTGGCTTGAGCCATCGAAAAAAAAAGTCCTGACACGAAAAGACAAGAGACAGTTTTTGATTAGTGGAGAGCGCAGACAGGCCACGCCTTTTTGCGTCCCAAGCTAGCCGCGAATCAGCTATATCAAAAAATACTAACAGATAAGGTCGGTTGAGGGAAAATCTTCCTTAATGACGGATCGCCGAGGACGTGCGTCTAAAATATTTCAACTTTATTTGAAAGCTCCTTGAATTTTATAACCATGAGTAACTGGAGCAAGTTAATGGGACGTGAGGCATGCAGAAAAAGTCCTCCGGTGATGTCAGCGGCCTGGTGAAGAACACCGCCCGTGGCGTCGTCGCCAAGAGACACAACGTCGACGCAAATCGACTGCTTGGCCGCCGAGAAGAAAATGTTCATCAGGGATACTGCAATTCGTTCAGATTAGGTCTTGATTAGAAAAAAGCCACGATTTTCAGAAAGAAATGCACTTCTATGTGATCCGTTCAAAATAACTTTTGTTTAGGTTTTTAAAGGAGGACAGGCAAGGTTTTCAAAAGTTCCAAGGCGATAAACCATGTGCAGTGCTCTTAGAAATCTAAAGTGGTCCCTATAGGGGTTAGGGAAGAAAGCAACCCCTATAGGGGTCGAAGAAGTGATAAAGGACCCTTCAATTTCATGCAAAAAACGTTTATTTATTCAGTTTTTCCCATGGAAATGCTTCTTCGCTTAAAGTTCATAACAATTATCAAAATTACCCGTTGAGTTCATTTTTGTTCGATCTCACCATGTTCACTCCCAAAAAAGGATGTCATTCCAATGACAACAGCGCGGATATTGGGATCAGCGCCGTTTTTCTCATTGTTTGAAGCTTCGGTGGTGGCCAGAGGCGTCTGCTGTTCATCGGAAGTGTTCAGGACAGCTTCTCTTCGCTTCATATCTGTTAAAACAGTCATTGTTCTATTAGTTTTAATACATACTTTACACAGGTAGGAAGCCTTAAATTGAAAAAATAAAGGCTAGAACAAAAAAAGACTGAAGGACTCTACTTCGAACGTCATTCATGCAACTTCGAAACCGTTAATTTTGACAAAAAAAAAAAAACAAAAAACTTTGAGCGGAATGGACGAATAAGTCAAAGCTCACGACAAATAGCATGAGCCATGGCTGGGGCGAGTGAGGAGCCGACTTCAATGTTGTCCGACTCAGCATCGGCCACCAGAGCCGCCCGGAAGCCCGCTAGAATCGTCGCCGAAGAATCGCGGTCCGATGATCGGGTCGAGTTGAACAGAAGCTGAAATTAATTTAGTCAACCGTATTATTGCGGAAGCGCCTTCTTTTGAAGCTTAAAACGTTTCAAAGTATTTTTTTCTGGATCCAGCGACCTTTCATTCATTACGTACAAAAAACATCATGGAATACAGAATAAAACAGAGGAGAAAAAAACCTTTTTGTGCAATCCCCTCGCGTAGGCAAAAACCAAAACTTGATTGGACGCTGATATGGCCAAGTGGGAGTTGCAGAAAGAAACCTGTAATAATTTATGATGTTCGAAACATTCTTATTTTCACTAACAATGGCCCTGAGAACAACTTCGATGGAATGCCTGCCGTGGATCGACGCCATTCGGCCCCAGGCGCAGGAATTGGCCTCGACGATCACCGAAATCGTCGACATGGCCTAGGAACATTGATTCACAAACCAAATCAATACCAAAAAAGGAAAGGACCAGTGAATTGGAGTAGAAAACGAAAATTGGAACGAACTCCTTTTCCTGCATCGGAAAAAAGCGCTTTTCCAACGTAAAATTTTCATTTTCGTCCCAAACACAGTGTTTCAAAACAGGGGAGCGCAGGCGTAAAAAATGGGCGTTGTTTTGCGTTAAATACATCCAAGTTATTCTAAAAGTTTGGAGAGGCCTTGAAAAAACATTCATTAATACCTCAGGCACTGGTGCGCGCACGCGCGGGGGTACTGATTCTTTTTTCGCCTTTTTCACTGAAATACGGTTTTGAAATAGATTTTTTATATTTTTGTGATACTACCTTGTGTCCCTGCTCACGTTTTAAAGTTGTTCCGAGCACTTTCGAACAAATTTATGAAAAAGAATTGCCAAGTGAAACTTTGATATTTAAAATTTTTGGGCAATCTAATTGTTATAAACTGGTGCAGAGCAATGTTAAAGAGATGAACAGACATGAAAAAAATATTAAATTTATAACTTTTCAATTAGTTAAAAAGCTAAAAAAGAAAAGAGACACCCCGCGCGTGCGCGCAGCAGGCGGCGCGCATGCGCACTTTTGGCAACAAACACGCGCCGTCAGTGCCTGACTAGGGAACGTTTTTTACCCCCCGGTTGAACTTTTGCTGAAACTTTGCTGAAGTGTACTTTAGGACCTCCTGATTGCAAATCAAGAAAAAAATTTCTCGCAATAGATCTTGTTTCCGAGTTATAGAGCTCCAAAGTGTGCAAAATAGGCAAATTAGGCCAAAAAAGCGCTATTTTGGGCTTTTGAAGTGTCCTAACTCGAAAACGAGATCTATTGCGAGAAATTTTCTTTTTGTTTTGGAATCAGGAGGTCCTAAAGTACACTTCAGCAAAGTTTCAGCAAAAGTTCAACCGGGGGGTAAAAAACGTTCCCTGGTGAGACTATATTTGCATCCAGTAAATGCACAAAAATCGGCTCTCAATATCGCGCACCCATTGCAATAAGTTGCGCCCCCGATGCATTTAGTCACGCCCATGACCATTTTTTTTCTGTTTCGGAGTTACTGTGATGCATTTTGGAACAAGATCCCTTTTTTTCAATCAAAACGCGTAAAAAGTTATACTAAAATAATCAGGGCTGTTTAGAAAATTGTAAAAATTCCAGCGTCCACATATCCATAACGCAATTTCACGTAAATACACGAAAACATTCAAATTTTTGAATTATTTATTAACACCAAGTACATATAATATATGCAACAATGAAAAATCAAGATTTAATAGAAGAAGGACCATTTCTTTATTTCATTTTTTTTCGCTTTTTGTGTTTATTTCACCAAGAAGCAGTGTGGAAAAATTTAGAAAAAAAAACTCTTTATTTATTGGATTTTATAAGTTTTCCGGTGCTGAAGTTGAAGCGGAGTCGTTCGTCCACGCGGCAAGCCGACAGAAAACGAAGGAAAAAAGTAGATGAAATGAGGTGGAAAAGGCAAAAAGATTTCAGAATCTAATGAGAAAAAAACCCAGAGATGTTTGATGAATGAAGAATTCCTATAAACCTTAACAGCTAGCCGGCTGACAATATTTACACCAAAAATTTTAGAAAAAAAAATATGAAAAGCTCAATGCAGATTTTTAAAGGAGAATTGCTAGGGAGAAACACATTTTTTATGATTTCTGGATTCAAAAAAAAAAGCCTCAAAATAGCGTTTTACTACAAAATCCTAACGAATTCAATCCCTATGCTCCTTCAAAACCCCAAAAGCTCATTTGAATCAACTAAACCAAAAATAAGAAGTGATCGTTTCTAATGAGAAAAAAAGTAGATAAAAAGAACAAGTAAAGAAAAAAAAAAACAACAACAACGAGTGGACCCAACTTTACAAAGGATACTTTTTGGCAACGGGTTTGGGGATTATTACAAGCATAGATGAAGATAGGGATAAATAGATAAAAAGAACGATATCACATGTTTCCTGATTTTCCAAGTTTTTTTTTCTGCACGACCATGTTTCAAGAAGAAGGTCCTTAAGGGATCTGTCTCATCGGCTTTGTAACGCGTTTAATATGTTCTTCGCATCGGACAAAAACGACAAATCATTGGGCGAAAAGCCGTCATTCAGGCTAGGTTTCACGTCTTGGGACTCGGCGTCGAACTCGTATTTCACTTGGCGAAGCTCGAACGACGTCAGCGACTCGCCGTCGTCCATCGGCTCTTCTGATGACGCCATATTCGTTGTCGCCGTCGCAGCGGATGACGTCGACGCCTCCTCGTGGATCGTCACGTCCGCCGCACACGAAGTGTGCACCGTCTAAAATTGAAAAATGAGCATTCTCGCAAAATTTTCGTTTGAAAAGGAAAATTCGAAAGCCTAAAGCTCAAGTGGACCCTGTAGGGATTTTTTCAATTTTATTAAAAAACGCTACTTTATTCAATTTTTCCCATGAAAATTCTTCTTCGCTTAGCGTTCATAAAAACCAATTTTGGCAAGTTTCAGTGGCCCCTAAAGGGACCATTCTGGAGTTCCAGAGTTTCTAAATGTTCAGTATAATTTTTGACGGTTATTTTGGCTTCCGACTGGATATCAGAGCTCCACTGAAACAAACCACGAAACTTTTTTTAATTAGCTGATTTTGTGTCAAATACCCATATGTCCTTTTCAGAAATTCTGCAAAATTCACCTTTCCCTGCACTTGAACTGAGTCTCGGAAGCGCCATTCTTCCACTTCATCGTCATAGTCAGCGACGAACTTTTCTCCACATATGGCACATTCCTGAAAGTTCAAAAATAAATAAGAGCTGATACCACGGTACAAGAAGAAAAAAATCCCTGAAACTCAAAAAAACTGCTTTTCGAATAGATTTATATCATTGCAGCGATCATTTTTTATCTTTTAACATTTTCAAAAACAAACCTCGGTTTCCGCTTTGACAGCAATCACGCCACGGTTCGAAGAATCACTGGGGCTTTCTAAAGATGGAAATAAACCTCTGAAAAGTTGAAATTTCAAACCTCCGTTCTTGTTCTCCTCTTCCTCTTCCGGCTTGAACTTGGGCCACATCTAAATGAGAACATAAATATTTTTAAATTGTTTTAAAAAAAGTTATCTCTCACGGAAAAAAATTCATTTTATTAAAAAAATTACTTTCTAGTTCATTTCACAAGAAAGATTTTTATATGATAACTATCCTCAAAAATCCCGCATTCCCCTCCAAAAAACCAACCGTGTCACTGGGATACCACGGGTTCTTCTTGACGTTCTCCTGCTGGCTGAGGTTCCGTTTTACGTGCCACTCCATGTGTTTCATCCAGGCCTCGCTTCCTTTCGGCATTCCATCCATCCTCAGGCCACAGTGACGGCAGGCGTCGTCGCGTTTTCGCAACAAATCTCCGACCACCGAGTCGTAGCGACTGAAAGAAATCGGTTCAAATGAGCCAGAAAGTTTTATAAATTCAATTTTTGTACTTTTGCAAAAGATTCTTGGCCTTTGACAAGTAGGCCTCTGCTAAAAAAAATATATCAATACTTGAGGGATAAGTTTTGAATTACTTGAAAACATGTTAGGAGCTAACGTTTCTGAAATTTGAACTTTTTGGTCAAAAGAGTTGAAGTGAACCCTTCAAAATGTAAGGAACTTCTCTAAAACATTTTTTTTTCCTATTTTTTAAATTTTAAGTCTTCTTCAAGATCACAGTTGTTCATGATACTAGTTCCAGAAAGTGTGATAACATAAAATCTATCATTTCTGAACGAAAAGCCTTGAAGTACATTATTACTACACACATTTTCAAGAGTCGCATGTTGAACTCCTGCAGCGAGGACGGCGTGGCTCTTCGTTCGATTTCAACGCTGAAAAAGGAATGATTCAGGGCGATCTTCCGACTTTCGGGGTACCGGTCAGCCGAGGGAGCTTCTTCGACGATCTGCGCCTTTTTCCTTTCGAAATGCTTCCTTGGTGGCTGTTCCATTGGTCGCGGCATGGTTGCCGGTTTTAGGTAGCCGCTTCGTTGGAGCTTTTTGAGAAGGTCAAATGGATCCGGAACGTCTGGGGCTGAAAAAAGCGAAAATTTGAAGCTAAAAAGTAAATCTGGCATTCTTTGTTTTTGTTTTTCAGCGATGTGTTTTCTACGTGAAAATCTCAATTTTTGATCAACTTTCAATATCAAAAAGGATGATTGTAAGAACTAAAAATTACTGAAATCTAGCTTTTTCCTTTAAAAATCGCATACCTGCTGGCTTGACTTCTTGTTTCTTTTCCGAGGCGCGCATCTTGTTCAACAACGGGATCAGGTCGTAGGACGGATCCGGCTCGATTTTGACTTCTGGAGCAGAGCCAGTCAATCGGACTTCATGAACCTTTTGCCCGATTTTCATGGCTATGGGGGGTCCTGAAATGTTAAAAATTTAGATGAGTTCAAATTTCTCAATGAGAAAACCTCCAAATTGTCCTTTGAACGGATGTTCGCCCATGTAAAGTTCTCGACTTGGAGCGCCGAAACGGATTTGGTGAGGATAGTCGTCAATGTAGATGGTTTTCGTTTCTCCAAAGGAGAGCATATATGGAACTCCGTCGACGATAACGTTGCGTGGCGGGCCGGAGAAGTAGACCCTTAAAAAGATATTTATTGTTGACCAAAGATTTTTACGTATTTTTGAGCTGAATAAAACAAAACTCGCGGAAAAGTAGAGATATCCATAAGCATTAAAAAGATGCAAATTAGAATTCTAAGGTTCAAAAACGTCCAAAACAGGAAAAAAAAACATGAAAAACCCTGAGACTACCAAAATTAGGCTAAATTTTTAGGAATGTCAATTTTAAGCTACTCTAAAATCTATTTTCATCACATAAAAACTTTCATAATTTTCTTCTGAAAAACCAATTTTTTCCTTACTTATGGGGCAGTCCAGCTCTTTCGATAACAGGATACTCGCCGACGAAAACCACTTCGTAAGATTTTTGGTCAACGAAAATGCGATTGTTCTGCGGGATGTCCAGCTTCACAGCCTCGCTGGTGATGATCTAAAAAAAATTGATAGAAAGTTAGGAAAATCAAAAATATTCTTTTTCTTTCGGTCTTGATAAGACTTCAAAAAGGAATGAATATTCACCGGTTTGGGCAAGTGAGCCACCGAAGGATGGATAGCCGGCGCAGAATGGCTCGGCATTCCCGTAGGAGCGTTGGGCGGTGGCGGCGGCATTCGGAATGGCTGACCAGAGGAGGGCGGCTGAGCGAAGGGCATTCCGTAGGCCGAGGAAACTGGCGGCATTGGATGCATCTGACCAGGGGGAGGACCGTTGAACGGCGGCACGAATGGAGGTGGCGAGTTGTTGGTTGGTCGCATCTGTGGTGGCTGGGCGAAGGCGTGCGCTCCCAAGGCTTGTGTTGGCCTGAAAGTTGAACCGTGTGAAAAACAAAAGCGAGTTCTATTTAAAATTAATTAAAACTTGATGCATATACAGAAGCGAAAATGGGTGAGTATTTTTGTTTTCTTTTTTCTCGTTCATAACTTTGTCAAAACTATTTTTTTAATCTGGAATTTCGAAAAAAGTTTTTATTGAAACGATCGTGATTCCGTGTAAAATCTTCATTCCGTGTAAAATCTTCACTCGAAGTGGTAGCTCTCATTCCGAGGCTTCCACCTAGAGCACGGTCTCCGGGCTCCAGCTACACCATCCACTACATTCTGAGCTCGTCAAGGCGCAACTGGATGAACTACGCGCAGAAGGACGAGGCGAAGGACCGTAAGACCATGCTTTCAACTCTTTCGACTACAGGTTTGGACTTCTAGTTCGCCAAAGGCGGTTGTTCGTTATAGCTTTTAAAGTTCTTGTTCACCGCCTAGTCGATTACATCAGACTAAAACAACAAAAAATAAATGATTGAAATGATTGATTGATCGTTTTGATCTTAAATTTCGAATAAACGAATAGAAGAAGTTTGGAAGAAGATCTTAATGAGCGTGTTGGAATATGCAAGGCTGTTATCGAATCCAAATGACGTGCTACGAACTCTTAGATCTGTTTCACTTAATTTCTTTAATTGGAAGTTTTTTATACCGGTTTGCTGGCTCTGTTGAATATTCGTTTGTTGATTTTTGCGATTTTGAAAACAGCCAAAAACATTTTTTTAAAGTTTTTTTTCCGGGTTCGGTTCAAAACCTTATTTCAAATCGTCGACAACACAATTTTTCTTAATTTTTCAAAAATTCAGGTCAATGTGATTGTTTTTGACAAAGTTTTGGACGAAAATCCGAATAATACTCACCCATTTTGGCTACTGTTACTACTATATCATGTCCTCTTTTACATGTATTGAAGATGACTTTTTTTTAAACCAACATTTCTTCAAAACTTACTTGATAATCGGAACCGACGGCCTGAGGTCCATGTCCTGGGGCACTTCATGGATGGGACTCCGTTTTCGCTTTTCAAATCCAGCCGTCAACGTACTGTTGCGAGGAGCTGGTGGCGGCCCTCCGTTGATTTCCTCGATTTTCCGTTTCGAACTCGCCGGAACAACCCATTGTCCTCCAGAACTGGTGCTTGTACTCGGCTCATCCTTAGTTTTCACAGACTTGAGGCCAATTTTATCCCTGAAAAACCGCGTATTTCCCTAATTTTCACATTACTTTGTTTGTAACTTACAAAACATCCGGCTCGGGCTCTTTTTTAACGACTTCTTTCTTGACGATTGGCGGTTTGGCTGAAGCTTGAGCCATCGCTTTGGCCACCGAGGGCTTCAGAAGCGGATTTGGTCGGACCAGGGATTGCGATGGAGCAACTGGTTTCGGACCAACGTTGCCGCTCGCAGATTTCTGAAAAAACCGGAAAATGAAACCTAAAATATTCTACGAAGCTGGAGTGAATGATATTTTTCTCCGAACTTCAAATTGATTATAATTTTTAATTATAGTTCAGGAACGGAAATTTTGATTATTTTTTCTGCTGAGGAGATTTTTTTGAGCCTGATAGTTTACTGGTACTCGAACTAGAGAACAATCAACTTGATTTTCCTAATTATTTCTTATATAGTAAGTTCTTTTTCTTATTGGTATTTTTTCGAAGGATTTATGAGTAACTGGTTTTGAAAACCGATAGGAAAAAAATATAGCGAAAAACCAAAAAAATATTTAATATTTAAAAAGTATCAAAAATCAAACTTTTTTTCCGGCATCCTAGGTTCAAAGGGGTCTTAATTCCTAAAATTTTTAAACTTCATAACTTATAGCCCGTTCAAAAAAACTTTATATACTATACTACAGTCGAGTTTAAAACGGAAAGAGGCTCTATTTTTAATTTTTTTCGTAGCTTGTAATTTTTTTAAAGAGATTTCTCATTAGAAAATTTAGTGACTTATCATCCTGGCTCTTCAAACTTTTTAACGACTATAACTAAGAGTTTTCTAAAACTGCTTCATGAGGTCTTTCAAGGCACAGAAATCGAGCATGGCTTGAATGAACACTGAGAAAAGCTCTCCCCATGAGAACCATCTCATCCGCCTTTAAGAAAAGCAATTTTCAGTGTTAAATGAAGCCAGACTTCTGCAACTTGAAGTGTAACAAATCTGAAATTGGGCTTTTTTGCTTTCTGTACGAAAAGCTTTATTTTATCAATGCTGAAACCCGCGGATTCAAAAACAGAAGTTGAGATTTTACTGAACGTTGCCAATTTATTGAATTCGACAAGATTTTTCAAGGAGAACGGAGAAGAACAATGAATGTACAACGAGTGACATTTAGAATGAAAAGAGATAAAATAATAATTATGAGATTGAGAAAAGAAAGAAAATAATTGTACCGTTGGTTGTGTGGCGCCCTGTTGTTGTATGAACTTCGGGTTGACGTGAACCTTGGTGTTCGACGTCGACACGGAGGCCGACTGAGGCGCCGCTGGCGGTGGAACGACGACGAGAGGATCGCCACGAAGGGCGCGTCCCGTCTGAGGGTTCGCCACCGGCCAGGCGCTGTCCACCGCGTTCACCTTCATGTCGAGTTCGTAGAGCCGCGACGGCATGAAGATGTCCGACCAGGTTAGTCGTAGCTTGTACATCGCGCTCCGAACTTTCTCGTTTCCCTGGAAGACTCAGAAATCAAACTTGACTTTACATTATGATCGCGTTTCCAATCAATTCTATAGGCTACTTCAATATATATGTAATTTTTCGAAATCAATGTTTTGAAATACGAAATCGTATAGACGCTACAACACATTTTTCAAATAACTGACCTTTATAACAAAAAAATTTAACAAAAATCTAATAAATTCAAGTAAAACTGGATTTTTTTCAAGCTTTAAATGAATACACTTGCAACCTATAACGAAAAAAACTACAACCTAATTTTATATATTTTATAAGCGATAAAGCATACCGTTTTAAAAACGTTGGTGAAAATATTGACAATGATCCGCGAGAACAATTTTGCGTAGTTTTCGTCTTTGACGTTCTTCAAGATGGAGTCACAAACGTACAGAACTAGTAGTTTCTGTGGTGAAGGTACCTGAATCGAGGGAAAAATAACTTTATGCATTGCATTGAATAGCTGACTTTTTTTTCCAATTTTACTCTGTTCTAACCACTCTTTTTACATCAAATCCGGAAAACTCACCGCCAAAATGTGCTCCTGGATGGCGTTGACGATAGCCTCGGCGTGAGGTTTGTAATCGTCAGCCAATATCGTCAACAAGTTGATTTGTGTCTTGTTGTTTGATGTTAACTCAGCGAGAGTAAGCCTTAATTTTTTTTTTGTTTTAAGTAAGAAATGTCGCGTCTATGAAACCCTAACCGAATTCTTCGTCCTATTTTTATTTTTTTTTCTGCAAAAATTTAAAGCTTGATGTTTCATTTAAAAAAACTATTAGATGATCGTAACAATTTTTGATTTCATAGAACTGATTTTTGAGTGTGTTCTGAATATTTCAAACTACACTCCTCTGCACAGCTTCCTGAAAAAATTTTTCTGTGGTGCTGAAAACTTTCAATTTTCTGGAATATTTAAAATATTGTGTTTGCGTTATTGTTATAGCAATCAAATCTGAATGAATTCGTAATATATTTGTGAAAGTAGAAATTGAAGAATTCGGCAAAGGCCTTTTTTGAAGCTTCTTCTAAAAATACGAACTTGTATTCCTCCGCTGCACTCGAAGCTTCTGCACTCCGTGTCATACTGATGTAGAATATTAACCGGCAACGAAAAATACCCGAATGGAAATGACTAGAACTGAAATGATAAATGAGTTGACTTCATTATCTTTTGAGCGACAGAATTTTACGCGCGTCATCGTGAACTGTTTCGAGATGAAAGCTGAGGTAGCTTACATCTCGCTTAGTTCGAAAAAAACAAAAATTGAGGAAGAAAGAGCGAATAAACGTATACATGTCGAGAAAAAAGCTTTCAGAGCGGTTTTGGAGGGACCGGTTCTAAGGCCGCATCGCTGCATTCCCACAATGTAGGTCGCCAGTGCCGGCATTCCCTCGCACCATTTGAGATGCAAGTCTTCATCAGTTTAGCACTTGTCACAGAAGTGCGAGAACCACAAGACGACTTCAGAAGACCAGTTTGCCATAGGCAAAACAATTAGCAGATAGAAGACACCCAGATTCCCTTTTTTTTTCTTCTATTTTTTTTTGTCAAGCGGAGAAGAAAGGTGCAAAACCAAAATCCGTCTATTAACGACGAAAAGTTTATCATATTCTAAAGGTGAAAAAATTATGAAAAAGATGAAAAGGTAAAAATAAAATTCTCCACACGCCGGGTGAACAACGAGTCGCTGAGACTTGAAGATCGGGTTTGCCTCTGAAAAAAATATTGAGAAATACGCGGAATGAAACAGCGATAAGAGAGCGAGGTTGTAAGAATAATAAGAGACATTAAAACTCAAAAAAAAAAAAACAAATCATAGAAAGTAGACTTGAGAAATTCACAAAGGATCCGACTTCCACCTTTGAAACGTTGGAAGAAAAGAAAACTGCGAGATAAGGCTTCACAATAACTCTCGAGAGTTATATTCCTACTGTTAAAAATATCTTGCTGCGTGTTCAATGATGATTTGCAAAACCATAAATAAGATTGAAAACGGCTTATTTTCGAGAACCTTTTTCATAATTCTTTACCAACCGCAGCAATTATTTTGAGGAAATAAAAAACATCTCCGAGATTACATGTTCAGCACTCATATGCGTGCATGTTTAAGACAGTGCTACGGCGGCCGGTGGCCGGTCAATATTGCGCCGTCAGTTTCGGAGCCAGGAATTTTTTTTTTCTTTTTTGCAATTTGTTAAGCATCTATTTCTCAAGGTTACAAGATAAGTTACCTCACAAAAAGTAAACAAGTTTCCATTTTATTCCCGAAAAACCTAGCTGGACTACCGAAATACGAGCGGCCGGCCTGAACATGCGTGTCAGTGGCCAGAACGGAGCAATATTTGAAAAAGAACGGAATCGCTTGAAAAAATTACTATCTCCGGGCTCTAAGAGCTTTAAAAAAAAATAGTTATTTCGAAACATGCTAATCTACCTCAAATGGTTGCTCACAATAGCTGCAGAAAACCATGAAAAAAAATGGATGGAAATTAAGACGCGCAAAGTTGGGAGAAAGGGTTGAACGTTGAAAATCCATATGCAGAAAGGAACAAAGTTGAAAATAAGAAGAGAATATAGTCGAATCGCAGCAACTGACGATTTTTATGTTGGCTTGACGACACATCGAGTGACGAAACGCCCCTCGATCGATAATCGTGGTCTTGCGGCGTGGAGACGGAGCAATGGTGTACGGTAGCGCGTTTTCAGCAGTGTAGCGTCGACCAGAAAAAAAAAATAATTTTATGCCGTGTTCAAAGTAATTTCCGCGAAATGCAAAATGATCTCTGACTCTCCAAAATTTAGTGATCTTTTCCTTTCTCTAACGGGTATTTTGCATTTCGCGGAAATTACTTTGAACACGGCATTAAATTTGAAATGCATTAATTCAAATTTATTTATTTTAATCGCTTTTTGTAACATTTTTATTAGAAGTCGAAAATATAACTCTTTGGATCCACAGAAGAGCGTTTCTTTTTTTCTTTTTTTCTATTAACAAGCTTCCAAAGATAAAAAACAAGGCTTCATCTTATGGTTTTTCTCCAATTTCTGGAAATTCTCTGCTTTTTGCTAGATTTTAACTTTTTTGTTTTCAGGTTGCACCATGCAGCAGTCTCGTTCTGGAGGTGGTGGTCATATGGGGCGTTATGTGGTAAGATTTTAAAAATTATTGTTTTTTTTTTAACTTCAGTATTTAAAATTTTCAGGGCGGTGGAACTCCACAGCAGATGCGTCGAATGATGCAGCCACCAATGTCCACACAACAGCCAGCTCAGATGGCTCAGCGAGGCGGTGCGCCACCGAAAAAGAAGAAGAAGTACGCCGATAAGTTGATATCACCAAAGGTTCTTTAAAAACAAACTAATTTAGTTGAGAAAGTTTCGATTTATAGGTTCGTGAGCTTGTGCCAGAATCTCAAGCTTACATGGATTTGCTAGCATTTGAACAAAAACTGGACTCAACAATAACGAGAAAAAAGCTGGATATTCAGGTAGACAACTTAAAAAGTCAGATTTTCAATCGTGTGTTGATTAGGAAGCCATGAAAAGACCGCAAAAAATAAAAAAACGACTTCGTATCTACATCTCGCACACGTTTATTCCGGGGAAGGAGCCGGAAAAGGTGAAAAATTAGTCCAATCTCGGTTTTATCTACGTTTTTAAAGGACGGCGAAGATGCCTCTGTTCCCATGTGGGAGCTTCGCGTGGAGGGACGGTTACTAGAGGAAGCGGTACATATTTTTTTTTCGTTTTCCATTAAAAATGATGTTTTCAGGCTGCTCCAGCTACTACCGCAGGGGCTGCGGCACCAGCTCCGTCAAGACCGGTGGCCAAGAGAAAGTTCAGCTCTTTTTTCAAAAGCTTGGTAATCAAAACATTATTTTAAAAAATATATAAGCAGTTTTTTAAGGTAATTGAATTGGACAAGGAAATTTACGGGCCAGATAATCACCTTGTCGAATGGCACAGAACACCACAAACCAATGAAACTGATGGATTCCAGGTGAAACTTTTTTAAATTAAAAATCAAAATTGAAAGTTATAGGTTAAAAGGCCTGGTAATCGCCCAGTCAAGTGTACAATCTTGCTCCTTCTCGATTATCAACCAATGAAGTTCAAGCTTCATCCTCGTCTTGCCAAGGCAAACTCATTGAATTTCAATTTTCTTTCAAAGTTTGTTTTTAGGTCCTTGGAATTGCCGCTGAAACTCGGCCAAAGATAATTGAAGCTTTGTGGCAGTACATCAAGACCCACAAATTGCAGGTTTGATTGAAAATTCCGCTCTTGAACTTTTTTTTCTTTTTGAACTTTAAAAGAAGATTCTGTAGAAAATGTTTTTATGTTTTTTTTTTTTGAATTTTCGTCTTTCCAGGACGCCACGGACCGAGACACCATTAATAACGACTTGTTCCTGGAACAGTGCTTCGGATGCAAACGTATGCGATTTATGGAGATCCCTCAGAGACTTCACCAGTTACTGCAGCAGCCTGACCCATTGGTTGATTATCTCACAAATCAACTTATAAATGTTGTTATTTTCAGGTTCTTACGCACATAATTCAACAAGGCGAGGCTGGAGCGGAGAAAAATACCGCCTGTTATGATATTGGTAAGTGAAAAATACAAACACTTTGAATAGAAATTCGAGCAAAAATTATCGGTTATGTTCAGTTTTTGTTTTTTTGTCTAACTTCAATGAGTCCTATTCCAAACTTTTTTTTGCTTATCTTCATTTTTTTTTCTACAGACGTCGAAGTGGAGGACCCTTTGAAATCACAAATGAACATCTTTGTGGCCAACCAGAACAACACATCGGAGATTTCGAGTTTGGATCAGAAAATCTACGACTTGGTGGATCAGGTGAATATGGTGTCATTTTTTGGGCTTTGATTATTTCTAGTTTCTTAGGTTTTTTCCGTTTAGAACTTTTTGAGAGAAAAAGGTACAAATATTTGAATTTGAAACATTTTATGAGCGGCTAATGAAATGATTCAAAAAGAGAAATGTTTTTCAAAAAAATTTTTTTAGTTTTTTTCTTTTTTTGACTGCGGTTTTCAAAGAACCAGAAATATTGAAACTTGTGAAATAACACTGAAAACAACTTTGCCTTAAGACCTTATTAAAAAAATGTGTTCAATAAAGTAAGGATTTTTGACATAAACTATCTTGCAAGTGCTTTTTTCCTAGAAGAACGTTATTTATTCAAGATAAATGAGTGGAAGACGCGTCGCGACTTTTATGTCCGATTCGCCGACGCTCCGCACGAATTCATACGAAAGTGGCTCGTCAGCCAGAGCACCGATCTTAAGGTTTTGCGGAGTTTCTGTGAATTTCGATTTCAATCGAGTTTTTCAGACAATGACAGAACCTAGTGGCGAGGGAGAAGCTGAACGTCGCGCCGACGTTTATTACAAGCCTGATATTCCGGAAGGCGTTTATCGGTACGCTTTAGTTAAATTTCTGACGATTTAGTTTATTTTTTGATGAAGAAAAAGTCTTTTGAATCTGAATTTTTTTTCAATCAAAACCTAAATGGCACAGAAAAAGTCTTCCGGCAGGTTTTAACGAGGCCAAGTGGAGAATTTCGAGAATAGCATATTTCAAAAAAATTTCACGCATATTTTTTTAGGATTTTTTTATACACAACTGTTCTAAAACTGATCATTCGTTTTTGATAGGAAAGTTGGGTAGGAAAGGCTTTTTTTCAAGTTCTCGTATACTTATGTAGTTTGCGAACTTCAAAACGTTAAAATTGGGAAAAATTCTATTCATAAATTTTTTCTCATTCAATCAAAAAAGTATTTTCAGGCTAAAGTTTCATAAACCTTTAACCGTTAATCAATATTTTCCTATTTCACTTGTTCAAAGATTAGGAACATATTAACTGATTTTTAAAAATTGAATTATTCAGGTACATCTATCAAAAAAAGTACAACAAAAAGAGGACGGAGCTGGAGCAGAGCCTAGGACTTCGCGGCTGAGAAACAGAAAAACATAATCGATAAAAGATCTCTTGATTAAATCTCTCATTCTTTAATTTATTTCTTATTAACGTGAACAATTTTTTTCACGTTAATAAGAAATAAAATTTTATTTTTCAATTCCAAGGATAAACCTCTTGCATTAAATTCTTATTGAATGAAAAAGAATCGAAATTGCTGTGTTTCTAACACATTGAGTATTGCTTCTCAGGAAAAAGAAATTATTCGGCTAGTTTTCTCTTTTTTCTAAAGCAAATAATCTTCAAGTGTTGCCTTGCTTTTGCATTTCTGCTTTTTAAAATGAACTTAAGAAGTGATATTCATGTTTCAAATGAGATTCAAAGTTGCGGAGTGAAATCGAAAGTTATGGCATGTCCAAAAAGTTTCCGCGAAATTTAAAATACACGTCAGGGAGTGAAAAAGATAGCTAAATTTATGAGATTTAGAGATAATTTTTTTGCATTTTTTTCGGAAATTACTTATAACACGGCCTTATTTTTCGTGAACTTTATGAATTTTTGGGTTTTTGGGGAAAAAAAGGTGAAAAAAAATATCAAAATCAGGGATTTTTTTATGAATTCTGATGTTTTTCTAGATTCACCTCAAGTTTTTTTGTTCATGAATATGTAAATTTAATTTTTTTCAAACTCTAAATAAAAAAATGACGCCATTCATTGAAAAAAACCTTTTTGCAAGTCTGTTCAAAGCTTTTTTTGAAAAGCTGCTGAAATAAATAGAGGCAACTTTTTAGAGGTCTCGAGGCGAAGAGCTGTTTTGGTGGTTATTTTAAGTCATCCAAGAACCAGCTTTTTTTGTTGAAATAAAACATCGTCATTTTTTGGATTTTTTGAGTTTCTTCAAAGGCTCAAAGTTCAACTTTTTATCCATAACTTTATAAATTTGATTCTTTAAGCGCAAAGAATTTTTCAAAAATAACGCTGTTCTCTGGAACTTTCTTTAGACTTGAAGTTTCCAACAAGCTTTTTTTCAAGTGTATACGCCTAATTATTGTTACAACGCCCGCGGGCGTCTTTCCGGAGCCTCGGGTCGTATGTTTGTGTGCAATGTGTGTGAATGTCTGTGTGCTCTCTGTGGCGCGTCCGTCCACCTGCGCAATTTCTTTTTTTTTTTCGTGCATTTCGTCTTCTTTGGATGCCCACGGGGCAATTTTTATTGGCTATCCCGTCCTTCACTTTTTTCGCGTCTCCTTTTTTCTCGGTTTTATCTTCTTGCTCGAAGCTTTTTTTTTGCGAAATATTGAGGATCTAAAAACTTGGAAAAATCTTATTTTTGACAATTTTCAAATTTTCAAAAATCGTAGAAAAAGTTGAAAATCAACTAAGCATTCGGAAACTTGCTGAACAGAAATTTTTGCTGATTTTCGAATTAAAATGCTTTATTGAAACGTATTCGAAAAACCCTCTCGAGGTATATTCCGACGTTACCAACATGTTTATTTTCAGCATAAAAGTATAACCATTCGATCCGTCTCGCCGAGATACGTACGAATATCATAAAATTATTTGGCGCCGACCACTTAGAAAAATTTAAGATGAACTTTATTAGTTTCCAATCAAGTGATTATTTTGAGGAATAGAAGTGTTTGCTTTTTTTTCATGCATTACTTAAGAAAATAGGCTTAACGTGGACGCTAAAAACACTATCAGGTAGCTCTAAACGATTTGCAAACTTCATACGCGTGGCGAAAAAAATCTGTAAAATGTATTTCCCAAAAAAAAAAAGAAAGAAAAAGATATTAAAGGAGCATACTGTGCGTAAGCGTGGGCTTCGACGCGGTCGGTTATTTTTTACTGTGATTTCTCATTTTATTTTTTCTTTCTTGAATTGTTTTTTTGAATAGTTTTCAAATTTTTCCTATTTTAAAAGATTTTTTCTTCTCATGGCGTAGTAGCGATAGTTGAATTGAATCAGCGTCGAAAAATGCAGCGAAATTTTTGAAGTTTTTGGAGTTTTTTTTCTGGTTTTCGCACACCATAAAGTTATTTCTTCTTACTATCGCCAAATAATTTTATGATATTCGTACGCATCTCGATGAGACGGATCGAATGGTTATACTTTCATGCTGAAAATCAAACATGTTGGTAACGTCGGATTATTCCGGAAAAAAAAAAGATGAACCACGCGTTCGGACAATTGTAAAGTACAGCCTTTTTTCTTGTTGGGTGCAGTTCCAATCGATGTCCTCTCGGGTTTCAGAGCAAAAAAACAAACGAAAAAAACCTCTCTGCTTTGGTGCAGTCCTTTGAGTTGAAATTGACTTTTCTTGAAACTTTTCCCTTTCTTTTTTGAGTATTTTTGAGTGTTGAATAGTAATATCAGAGCTTATTCAGTTTATAAATAAGAACAATTTTGAAAGAAGACGAGATTATTGAAGTTTTTAGTTTGAAAGTCGGGTTTTTTTCCGGAAAATAACGAAAAATAATCAAATTTTTAATTTTCAGCTGGAGTTATTATTTTAAAAACTAAATTTTTTTAAAATTAGATCTCCGTTTCAATGTTTAAAGTATCGTGAAGTCCGATTCTGTGCTCTACGTTTTTATAATACTTTTGAAATTTTGAAATTTTTTTTGCATTTTTTTTTCCGTGACGGAATAAACGGAATTTCCGTCCTCTTCATTTGCTTAATTTTCAAATTTTGGGTATTTTCGGTCGCGTTTAGAATGGCTGAAAGCTCTGTTATCCTAATTAGGAAGCTAGGATTCCAAAAATTGCACTTTCAGTGCTTCTGACCCTATAATTACCGATGCGCTCAGGCGAAGTCTTTCTGAGGTCGGGTGCGCCTTAATCTCAACCGCTTTCATCTGTTCAACCATAACCTTGAATAGGAATCCAAGGACTTTTTTTGAACTTTTCGTTCTTCCCCAGTGCTGTCTATTTTTCTTTTCTTCGTCATGTTTTCTTCATTCCCTTTTCTCCTCCTAGGAAAATTGTTCAATTTTTTCAGGCGGCTCAGAAAGATCAGAGAGATGAGCGACTCGTCGATCTTCCACGGTTCCTTGGGCTCCAGCGACGTGGAGAACAGCGCGAGCGTCTCCTCCGAAGATTCGCTGCTGGAAGACGCGTCATCGCGTGGAGACAGACGACGCGACGTCGCTAGCGCCGTCCGATTCCGGCGACGACATCGCCCTCGGAGGCTCAGCGCTGCCGAAGTCGCAGCGATCAACGAGGCTGCGGCGGCGGCAGGAGATACTGCTGGTCCGTTTCAACTTTTTTTTTTCGATTTCTAGAAAAAATATTTTGCTGGTGCATTTGAAGTAGCTTGGGAGATGTTTATAACGGTCTCGAGACGAAGAAACTTTGCTACGTCCTCGTAAATCTAAAAATGGATTTTTATAATGCAGGAAGGTTTCAGTTGAAGGCACGAGTTCTGTAAGAAAAAAAAAAGTTCTTTGAAGATAAATTTTATAGTTTTTCACATACGAGGTGAATATTTGAAGTTTTGAATATAATTTTCAAGGTTCAGAGGTTCAAAAATTTCAAAAGTCATTTTGGACTCAGCGACATTTGTTTTTTTGGACTGCAAAAAAATAGTTGAGAAAAATAGAAGAGTCATCGGAGTTCCTTTTCTACTACTTTGAAGAAGTGCGGCTCCTGTCAAAACGACTCTTCTGGTTTTTTTTTTACATTTTCCGCAAAATCCTGAACACTAAAATCACTTTAATGACGTTAAACTATAAGACAACGTCAAAAAGAAATTTCGAATTGAAAACGGGATGTTTCAGTGATATATTCCGGTGTTCATGAACCGCAGCTCGTAAAATGAAGTTTAAAAAGTTTGGGACTGCCAATTTTTTGCTGAAAAAAAGTTGGGACTGCCATTTTGACCTTGAAAATACATCTATCCTTATACTTCAATCGGACTCGGAAAACTCTGATTTCTCTGCGTTTCAGTTCTTTGGGCTTTCTTTGACCTTGCCGATGAGATAATTAATGGAGCAGACATGCCAAAGCTTTCGAAGAAAAAAACGAAAAATATTTACCGTGTATAAATAAAAAGTAAATTTGTATCCGTGAATGAGAGAAAGAAACGATGATATCGGCGCTCCCGAGTGTAACGAACGCTTGGAAAATAGCCCGAAGCGGCAGGCCTTGCAATTAAAGCGAGCCGCTGGAGTCGTCAAAAAAAAGGCCAGAAAAGAACAACAAAAGCCGCCAAAAATGTTCTGCTCGTGAGAAATTGCAAGGCTCTTCTGAACCTTTCCCCCTATTGTTATAAGTTATAACCATTGAAAGATGCGTTTTTGTTTTTGGATGGCTCTTTTGAAAAAGTTGGTGGCTATATTGAAATTGGTTTTTTTTTGGCGTTTTTTTTTCTTAAGGTTGTTTAGAATTTGAGCGTGTCTAATATAAATTAGAACCTTGTGATGGATATACTTTCGAAACTTTATGGCAATTTCAATAATGGAAAGTTGATTTTTCTTCTCTTTGAAATAATCAAATTGTGTGCTCTCCCTTCCCTTTGTATTTGGGACATCTGAACAGTTTTTCCGAAGCTTCTGAGAATTTTTTGGATAACGACAGTTCTCTAAAAAAAAAAAGTCTCAGGATGGACTATGAATTATATAAAATGAATCCTCTTAAGAAGGCAATTCCATTCAAAACTCCAAAATTATCTGGATTGGCAGAAATTGTACTAGATAATACTTTTTGAGTGTCTCATATAAAACTTATTATTTTTATATAAATGATCATACAAAAATTCACTTCTCGGAGATTTTACAAGAAAAAAAGAATTTTTTTGAAGCGATTAAACTTCAAAAAAATTAGAAATTTTTGCCGAATAAGACTTACAATTTTCATTTTTGCACGTTGAGGAATTTTTCTGGTCAATTTTCAGATAATTGTGAAGTTCATTTAATAATACCTCCCTCGTCATAATTCATACAAATTAGTTTTCAAAAAATTATTTGTCCACAATTTTTCTGCTAATCTCCACTCCTATCTTATCGAATTTCATACTACTTTCAAAGTTTTTTCTCTCCTTCTCTTTCTTCCTAAATAAACAAGCGAATTACTGCGTCTAGCCATTTTTTTTCTCAAAAGCATGGCAAAACAATCGGCGCCGTCGACTAGCCATACGAATAAAAAAAAAACTGGACCCACGTAAAGAATATTTACTTGTCCGTTTCTTTCTATCCTTCTTTTGTTTGGTTTGTTTCAAGTATCTTTGTCCACGCGATATTGAAGGAATTATTGGTCTTTTTTTAAAAAGAATTTTGAAGAATCTTGTTAAAACTGGATTGAGAATCAAGTTTTTTGAAATTTGAAATCAGAAAATTCTGTTCCGTCCCAAATTTTTTTAAAGGTTAAAAATGGGCAGTCTCAAATCTTCAGACTGTTCATAATGACTAATGAAATATATTTTTTTAAATTCCTTCTCAAAAAAATGGATACGAAAAAGTTTCCCTGGAGAGAATACTTTTAATTGCGCGAAATGAGGACTAACCATAAAATCTTTTTTTCGAGTTTATTCCTTGTCTTTTTAAAATCTATGCTTTTTACTACAAACCGATATGAGCTGTGGCTTTATTTTCTCACCTAGTCAGTTGAAAAAAACAAAAAACTTCACTTGATCTGATTGTTTTTTGGGGAAGCGGGGAAGCACACAAATCTTGTTTTCTTTGCGATATCCGACGCTGTGTCCGTTCCACATTCGTAGGTTTTTTTTTCTGTTCTCTGTTGAATTTAGGTTTTTTCACCTGATTTGGGGTGTCTGACTGTTTTTAGTTTGAAATTGCAGGCAAAAAATCCGATATTAGGACCATGAAAATTTAGTATCGCTCTTTATTTTCGCATCATTAGCCTGATGTCTTTAAAATCTTGTCCAAATCTTACAAAAGTATTAGTCGAAAATTTTCGCAGCCGATTTTACAATAAAAATTAAGAGAAAATAAGCACAGCTTTGCAAATGAAAAAATTTGAAACTTCTAAAATTTTCAGAAAATTTTTTTTTTAGGAATTTCTTTGTTTTCTAGCATCATTTATCATAAAGACAGCTTGACAACGCTGAAAATTTTTAAAAGTACATTTTAAAAATTGAACTCTTACCGTTAAAAATTTAATGTTCAAGTGCATTTCATGTCTTTTTTCTCCTTGTTGGAGCTGATCAGATAACAGAATTTTCCCATTTTTTTTTTCCGAAGAGAGCCATTTGTATCGGTGTCCGTTTGAAGGTGCGCCATGGAAATTTAGCCAAAAAAACGAACCAAGGGAATAAAGTATTTGAAAGTCCCTCGGCGGTCTCCTTTTGGGACTCGCCTCTTTCGCACTTTTTTTTTCTTCATTCCATAGTCCTTTTTTCTCTTCTTTTTCTCGCCTCCTCCAGGCCTTTGGGTGCATTTTAATCTGACGGGTTTTCGGCTGTTTCGTATCGTGGCAAGGTTCTTTTTAATCAATTTTAGAACGGAAATTGGTTTGGAGGCTAGTTTTTGTTGGCTAAATGTGCTCTAAAAATTCAAAATTCTGCTTTAAACTTGATTTGATAGGAAGTAGGTCTGACGGATCAATTTTGGACTATTTTATTCCGTGAGTTTAACTATTCGGCTTATTTTTGTAGGTTACATTTGCCCCGTTGGTAAATTTTGAACTTTTGATCAACTTGATTTGAAGTCTCAGTTTGACAGGCTGAAGGATCTCCTTGAAAACTTGTTCTTTTCCGTTTCTGACCTTTTTTTTTAAAGGCCCTGGTTATAGGCTCATTATCCTGCTCAAAATAGTTTTAGAAGGTTACTCGATTTTTTATCAGTTTTAGGAAGGAAATAGGCTTCAAGATTAAAACGAAAGCATTTTTTAAATAATAAATATTTACTTCCATAATGTTCGTGGCTATTTTTCAACAGAAAACAGAAAACCAAAAATTTCGACACAAGCAAGATTAATGGAAGTCATCTCCCTATCTCATTAATTGCAAGGAAATTAAGTCGAGGAGAGCGTGTGGGAGATAATTAGTTAATTGAATAGCCACTGGTGAGGATCCATTATCCATTAGGACGACTCTCAAGGTTTCAAGATCGAAAAACCAGAATTATTTGATTTCTCGAGAAGAACTTCGAAGAGACTATAGCAAGACAAATTTGAATTTTGATTTCCTCGGCTCGCCTTTTAGGGCTTTGATTGCGCCATGTCCTTTGTAAATTATATTTATTCATCCGCCCTCTTTCTTGATTGTATTATGCGGTTGGTTCATTCGGCGGCTTTTGCCATGGAAAATTCTCTTTTTTCAGTTTCTTTGATGATTTTTTCGAGAAATCAGCTTTTAGATCTTGAATTAATTGATAAAACAGTAAAATGTGTAAATTTGGCCTGAAATAACAACAAGAAGAGGATCCGAAAAAAATTCAGAAGTTCGAATTTTCCCCTAGGCCATTTTTCTCAGTATTCAATGTTCTCTGAATTTCTTGGGCTCTATTCTTTTGAAGCATATTCGAACGACCTCAAAAAAAAGGCTGTGATTGTTTTTGCCTTTTAAAAATTGTTGGGAGAAAATTTCTCTTGGAAAACCAATCGAGAGGCTTTTCGGAAAGAGAAACTGCTTCGGCGGCGGCGATACTTTGGAGGGTAATCGCGCCCATGGGGAAAAGCACTTTATATGTAGTTTTGGAGAGCTTTGTTTGTTGTACTAGTTTAGTTTATATTGGTTCTCATAACTGCCTTTTTCGTGTCATTTTTGTTCACCTTGAGGCGCTTTCAAGACAGTATTCCACAAGTAATTTCAAAAGCTTCCGAAAATTGAATGTTTACCAAAATACTCCTTGATTTATCGGATGAAGATTTTGAAAGCTTTAACCTGTATAAATTTCGTTTTTGAGAAAATCGTTTGAAACTTGAAGAACTATGGGTTTAGTGCATTATCGAGGCGTATATTGTGTGGAAAAAAAGTTTCAAAAAAACCCCTGAAAATTTAGTTTCAGGGCCTCAGGAGCCTAAAATTATTTTCTTTTTATCAAAAACTTTCTTTGTGGTAGAAAAAAATGCGATCTTGTTATTTTTTTCGGTGAAAATTTCAAGTTTATGGACTTAGTTAGGTTTGGAAAGGGTTTCAAAACAGAAAAACACTTTTTTTTTTTCAGCAGGTAAATTTTTTGATCAAAAAAAACCTATTTATTTACAATTCAGATTGAGAACTTTGCAAACGAGAAAATCCACTTATTGAATTAACCCTTAAAATATTCACCTTTTTTCACATTTTTTGCCATTTTTGAAACTTTGTCTTTCTTTCCCGCTTCGGCGGCTTTCCAGTTGAATTTTTGAGTTGAGTTTTGTTTCCAGTTGCAGGTTTTGTCGAATTTTTGGCTTAATAATTTTAAAACGTTCCCCCTTCGCCTCTACAGTGTTGCTCAATTACAATATTGAAAATGAAGTTCATTTTTCTGAGAATTAAAAAAATTTTGACCAATTTTTTTGAACTGAAACGCTTTTTTTCGAAAAGAGGCTTAAAATAGAGGATTATTTTTGAAGATTAGTTGTTTGTTTCCGAAGTTTTTCGAGTTTTGCACGTCTATTCTGTCTTTTTTGAATAATGAGACTTTATTCACGGCTATTTTTTTAACTATTAGACGGTTGGTTGATACTTTATTTCGCTTTGAAGGAGAATTAAGTTTAAAAGAAATAGCATTCAATGTTTAGGAACAGATGTTTGTAGTTTTATGGCTCTAGGAGCGATTGAGCCTCGTTTTATTCCAATTTGTCGGCTCAGTAGAATTCCATTGTCTGATCACCAGGTGCTAAAAGCTTTTATTTTAGTTTTGTAATGAGAAAAAAAAAATTTTAATTCAATGTCTTGTGAAGAAAATCTCGAAATTAATAAATATACAATTTTTTTTCCGCTGTTTTTCCCATTTATTTGACTGCAAATGTTAAAATTTTGAGCAAACATCAATAGAGGAGCACCTTTGAGTGCTTTTCATTCTTTTTCTTTCCCCGATATTCTTATCGCCAAATCTCCTTCCTTTTGAAAAAAGGATAATAAGCTCCTCCCAGCGGATTAGTGTCAGCATTATCGCGGTAAAAGTGTTTAAGCCTATGCATTCGGGAGAAAGATAACGATTTTTGATCTTTTGCTCGGTTTCCGAGGTCGGAACGGTTTTTTGGCTTCGAATATCGTAAAAATTGAAGACTTTAGCTCTTATTTTGAGTATTTCAAATCAATTCACATTATTTTATTGGTAATCTACAAACAATTTCATTCAGCGTCTTATAGAAGAGCACATGAAAAATTATTTTTATTTAAAAAGGCTCTCAGCTCTCTAGATTCTTCACTCGCTGGTCAGTTTTTAGTTTTCGAGTCGATTCTCTAGCTTAGAAGTTTTAAAAAATGCCAGATTCTTTCGAACTCATTTTCAAAACCTTTAGTCTTCAACCCGAAACATAAGCGGTAACAAAAGAGAAAATTGTGGCTTCTCGGTGGTGAGACCTTCCGTCAATCATTTTCGCCCTGACGGAGGTCCGATCCTATGGCACCCGGATCTCTCTTCTCGGTGTTTGTGCCTGCGTTCCTATAGAATTCTTATTATATTTTCACTTCTTTTTTTTGTAATAGTCTTGTGTAAGGAATAGTAGTGGCTTCATTCAAAAACGAAACTTCAAAAATAAAAAAAGTGTTTATGAAGTAAAAAATTGGCAGTCTCAAGTTTTTCAAGCTTAAAAATGGCTGTCCCAAGTTTTTTTTTCCCCTCACTTCTCTGTGCCCCTTTCATTCTAGAAGTTCTGGGGATGGAGTATATCAAGTGATATATTTTTTCTTCTTGTTAAGACGTGATAAGTTAGGCGATAAAAATTACTTTGCAAACAATTTCGGACAACTACCTCTGGTGAAGTCCAAATAAGCACTTGATCAAGTTGGAAAAATGATCTTATGATCCTTCTTCTCGTTCTTCTGTGCATAGTATACTCAGTTGGGCCTTGACGAGCTTGACGAGCTCAGTATGTAGCGTATTTTGAAGCTTGAGCTCGAAGACCGTTTTCTAGGTGGGAGCTTAGGAATAACAGCGGCCACTTTGAGAGAAAACTTTACACATAATATTTTGAAACAAAACAAGAAATGCTCTGAAAGTCGTAAGATCACCTTTCTCTTACGTAGTGGGAAAAAGAAAAATAAATTTGCTCTACTCGCACATTTGTTTTCGAGCGCATCTGTCACATTCTTTAGAGCTTAAGCCGCTTCTTCGAGGAAAACCTATACATAAAGATGTAGAGATGAGAGAAGAGGATATTCTTCTTCGTTTCCGCGTTTTTGTCATCACCCATCGCAACGTGTTTTTTTTTCCTGGTCAAGGAGTTGTTTTTTTTTCTCTTTTGGTCAAAATTTTGGAGCGAAATTGCTTTGATATAAAAATTTTCATATGATGGAAACGCCACCTTGAAGCGTTTTTTTTTTCATTGAATAACATTTCGATTGATCAGCATTGTAGGCAACTTGAGAGGAGTCAAATTGCGTTGTAATGTTTATCAGATGATTGGCGGGATCGATTTTTGCGCCCTTGTGTTAAGCATTTTGTTTATCCGATTATTGAAATTTTGAGAAAAGGAGAAATTTTTCCAGAAAGCTTTTGAGACGATCTGAGTTTTTTTTTCGAACTTTCGGGAAAATTTTTTTTAAGACCCGTCTCCGGAAGTTGAGCGTAGACCAGATGGAAGAATTTTTTTTTTGGAGGTCTCTTTGTGAGGTCATGAAGGTCTCATTTTACCTGGAGGTCCCGATCAAATTTGTGCTGTTTTCCTGATTTTTTTTGAACCAGCTCAATTTTTTTCTGACTGAGCTCGTGCTTTTCTTCTGAAACTTGGAATTATAATTAAAACGAGGGGATTAGTTCAAATTTTAAAAATTATACTTGTAGATGACACGGGTATGTGCGGGCTAACGGAACTGGTACACGCCTGTCTGGCGAAATCCTCCTCTTCGACGTCCAACGATGAGAATCACATGGTTTATGGGACGTTTCCCATCATTGCCGGATCCCTCTGCAATGGTATCCGAAAATCCAAATAAAGAGAATACAAAGGAATCCATACCTTGTGAATTGGAGCATTATATAACTTTTTAGAAGTAGATTTTTTTGTTGATTTCTGGAAAGTTTCAGCGAGTGCAATGAGTCGTCTGTTGGCTGGAACGGCCAACAGCTCAACGCAGCCGTTCCTCCGTGGCAGTTTGTTCACTGGCGTTCCGCCGACCATCCGGTTTTACACCAAGGGAACTAAGGTAGAAACTGGACCGAAACTAGAGCTTGAACTTAGAAAAATAATATTGTACATGGAAAATGAGAATTTTTTGAAAGCTGTAGAGAAAGAAGTTGTATCCTTCAATACGCCGTTGGAGGAAAACTGAAAAAATAACGCTTCAAGTTTTTTATATGCTACAAACTGTAAAAGGGGATAAGAAAACAATTCGATAGGGTGCCAAGTGAGAAAAGTTCTAGGAAAAGCCTATGAAGCCATTTTTTCAGAAGAAACGTTGAATTAATCCATTTTTAAAAAGTTAATAGACTGCGTGAAAACTATATTTACAATATCACCATTTCCGTGGGGTTTTAATTTTCCAAAAAATTGTCCGAAACTTCTTGGAAGGTTTATAAAATGATCTCTCCTGGCCGCTGTCTGAGGAAAATTATATTTTTGGAGAAACGAACTTTCAAAGCTGTCTCGATTTTGGCTATGCTAAAGCGACTTTAAAGGGTTGTTTAACAGATTTTTGGGTCAGGAGGGGTTGTGAAAGATCTTATCTGAATCCTCAAATATTGATCTAGCGAGTTTCAAAAAGTTCAAAAGTCACAATGAGATGCACTATCCTAGCCACAAAGTACAATAATTTTTCAATTTTGAAGGTCACGAAGCCAACGAGAAAAATCACGTCGAGATTGACATGGTGCCACAACAGCTTGTTGCCCATTGTCATGCGCCAAACACTTGCCGCTAGCCATTTCACGGTTTTTTATATTTGTAAAATAGATGAAATAATCTTCTTGCTCAGGTTGTTGACGAGACGTTGTTTCACATTGGATATTGGGGCCGACACTTGAAGAGCAGCCAGTACAAGACCTTGAAACCGTACCAGAAGGTGAGTTTTCGAGGGAGAAAATTCGGGAATGCCAAGTTGAGTGTACGAAGTTTGAGACTGCCAAATTGAAAATCAACCTGGAATTTTAAATTTCGAGTAGTTAATTTCGATAATTCTCAAATTTCCTCTGTTTGGAACTAATCCTCGTTTTAAAATCCGCAAAAATCTCTAATTAAGACAACTTCAAAGCGTAAAAAAACAAATTTCGGCTGTTAAAAAGACAATAATTAATATATAGAAAATCTAAAATTCATAATTTTTTCTAGGTGAATCACTTCCCTGGAGCATTCCACATTGGCCGCAAAGATCGCCTTTGGATGCACATTTTGAATCAACAGAAGAGGTATGTTCTTCAAAGAAAACAAAAAATGATGATTTCTCAGATTCGGGGAAGAGTTTGACATCATGCCGTTCACGTATCTTCTGCCAGATGAGAGGGATAATTTGGTTAATTACCTGGAAGAAGACGCGAATCGACATGTTATATTGAAACCGGTGATTAGTTTTTGAATACAGAAGTTTAGGTGAATAAGATTTTTCAAAAAGTTATGTAGAGTATTTAAAAAAAAAGAGGTTTGAAATTTTCTCTAGTTGTGTCATTCTCCATTTCTCGGCTTAGTTTTGAAGCCCAAAAATTATTATAAAAGGAAAAAAGATTTTAAAGTCAGCAAGAATTTATGCAATTCGATTTTGATTTCATTGTTTTTCAGCCTGCCTCAGCTCGTGGAACTGGCATTCAAGTTACTCGCAAGCAAAAGGATTTCGCCCCTACGGCTCAACTCGTCGCTCAGCAGTTGGTTTTTATAATTTTATCGTATTAGCTTGGATGTTTCAAACAAGTAGTATACATTTTCGGGACAGAAATCGATTCTTTGCCTTGGTTGGAAAGTAGCCACTGTAGAGGCTAGCCAAGCACTACTTGGAGAGGACACTAAAGTGGTCCCTAAAATCATCTCTATAGTAGCCACTATTTTCTGTTTTAGGGGTTACTATAGAAGTTCTCTATTTAATGGCCACTTCAGTAGTTTTTCATCCAGTATTCCTACCAGTAACTCTGATAATTTTAAAACAAACAGATTGGAATATGTTGATCCATTTACCCCAAAAATGGCCCCTAAAATGTTTAGTGGTCTAGTAGTAGCACTTAGACCTCTATAGTGGCCACTAATTTTCAACCACTTAACACGATGTCTCTGTAATTTTCAAAAAGTTTCAAAAGCAACGGGTACAAAAAAAAATTTTATTTCTTGATTTTGATGAAACTTTATCCAGTGTGATAACCCATCATCAGAAATGCGGACGCAACTTTTTGAGCCATTTCCTCTTACTGTAGCCGGATTACGGTAGGCAGGTGGGCACCTGCGTATCTATGTATTGAAGAGTTATCACTAGGCAATTGATATATCAATCGGTAGGTAATCAAATTTTAGGAACTTTTTTAGTACATACCATCTTGGGTTACTGTAGGAATTTCGAGTTACGGTAATTTTTGTGTTTGGAAAGTCGGTTTTTCGGTCACCCTGGTCGTGGGCATAGAATCGCATCGTAATTACTTATAAGGAATATGTCTTGTAGTATGTTCTAAACAATGCCACAAAAAAAAGTTCGAATTTCTAAACCCGTCATCTCGAGATTTCACTCCGAATGCGCGCAACTTGGCACTTTGCGGCGAGGGTTGGTCGTGGTTGACGATTTTTTTCACATTTTTTTCTTCTGTTAGATATTGGTGTAAAACTTTTTTTCAGATTATAACTACAGTATGTTTTTGTAACATTCAAAAGGGGTTTGAAGAGACCTATACGCTACATATTCGGCCGAAAGTTCGTTTTGAACTCTATTTTGGCTTGAAAAAGCGCGATTCGCTCTGAAAAGATTGGTTTTTAAAAATTTCCGACAATCCCGCAGTTTCCAAAGCTCTTAAATATGTAACTGACATCTTCTAGGTAACAATTGATATAGTTTTGTTCAATTTTTACCGAACCCGTCCAACCGAAATTTAGCTTTGAACTTACTATTAGCCTAAAAAAGCAATATTTGCTCTGAAAAAACCGATTTTTGAAAATTTCCAACTGTACCGCTGTTTCCAAAGCTATCAAATATGTAGCTGACATCTTCCAGGTAAACATTTATGAGACTTTGCTTGACTTTTATCGAACCCGTCTGGCCTAAACTTGCTTTTTAACCTTATTTTGGCTTCGCCGGTGGGTCTGAGGCTGGATTTTTGAGCTTCGTAGCACCAGTTTTTTGAGAATGTTTCGCACTTTTTTTCAAGTTGAACAATTGGAAAGATAGTTGTATAAATGAATGATCATTTTTCAGAAAAAAGAGGTACAATCGCTAGAAAAAGGTTTTTATTTATGAAGTTGAGATAAAATCGTAATTCGAAGCTTTTGATGGATCTTTTTTTAAAACTTATTCTTTAGTCCTTGGATTATAATTCTGAATGTACATTTTTTCGGCTATTTTATGAATTTTTTGTCCATTTTTCCGGTAAAATAAATGTTAAATCACTTAAAAAAATCCTGCAGTCGTCAAAAAAACAGCAAGTAAAAAAACAGAACTAGAATCAGAAACAAAAAAATAGAACAATAATAAATCCTGAAAACCGTTAACTAGAATTAATATTTTGCCTCTGGCGAATGTTAACGGTGGAGCGCAACAGTGCCTCAATATTCTGCCAACGATGGCGAAACTCTCGCAGCTGAATTTCTGTTCAACTTTTTTTTTTGCATGAAAACGTTACTTCTTGCGATGTACGGGTGAGAAAAAGAAGCTCAAAAATCCAGCCTCAGACCCACCGGCGAAGCCAAAATAAGGTTAAAAAGCAAGTTTAGGCCAGACGGGTTCGATAAAAGTCAAGCAAAGTCTCATAAATGTTTACCTGGAAGATGTCAGCTACATATTTGATAGCTTTGGAAACAGCGGTACAGTTGGAAATTTTCAAAAATCGGTTTTTTCAGAGCAAATATTGCTTTTTTAGGCTAATAGTAAGTTCAAAGCTAAATTTCGGTTGGACGGGTTCGGTAAAAATTGAACAAAACTATATCAATTGTTACCTAGAAGATGTCAGTTACATATTTAAGAGCTTTGGAAACTGCGGGATTGTCGGAAATTTTTAAAAACCAATCTTTTCAGAGCGAATCGCGCTTTTTCAAGCCAAAATAGAGTTCAAAACGAACTTTCGGCCGAATATGTAGCGTATAGGTCTCTTCAAACCCCTTTGAATGTTACAAAACATACTGTAGTTATAATCTGAAAAAGTTTTACACCAATATCTAACAGAAGAAAAATGTGAAAAATCGTCAACCACGACCAACCCTCGCCGCAAAGTGCCAAGTTGCGCGCATTCGGAGTGAAATCTCGAGATGACGGGTTTAGAAATTCGAACTTTTTTTTGTGGCATTGTTTAGAACATACTACAAGACGTATTCCTTATAAGTAATTACGATGCGATTCTATGCCCACGACCAGGGTGACCGAAAAACCGACTTTCCAAACACAAAAATTACCTTAACTCGAAATTCCTACAGTAACCCAAGATGGTATGTACTAAAAAAGTTCCTAAAATTTGATTACCTATCGATTGATATATCAATTGCCTAGTAATAACTCTTCAATACTTAGATACGCAGGTGCCCACCTGCCTACCGTAATCCGGCTACAGTAAGAGGAAATGGCTCAAAAAGTTGCGTCCGCATTTCTGATGATGGGTTATCAGCACTGGATGAAGTTTCATCAAAATCAAAAAATATTTTTTTTTATTGTACCCGTTGTTTTTGAGAATAACGGAGACAGCGTGTTAAGTGGCCACTAATTTGACTACTATGGTGGCCACTAAAATTTTTCTTAGTGTTTTCATGAATCTCTCATCTCGTTGTGAACCGGATTTATCTGAAAAAACAAAAATTAAAAATTCACAGCTATTAGAATAAAGGTTGATTTGATTTTTTAGTTACATTGACCGGCCGCTGACGATCAACAATGCCAAGTTCGATCTTCGGTTATACGCCTACGTTCCAACTTTGGAGCCCTTAAGAGTATACCTCTACGACCAGGGACTCGTCAGATTTGCCAGTTTACCGTATGTTTCATTTTTTAGAAAAAGAAAATGTTACCGACAAAAAATGACAAAAAGCGACCGAGATGAATATAATAAATGTAGTTGGAGCATACCACAGTTTGAAGAAAAAAAATACGAGCATAAGAAGGAAAATTTTGGAATCTTTATGAAGGAAATGAAGAAGTCAGTGTAATTTTAAAGACGGGTCAACTGAATATTCGGCTTCAGAACCACTTGAAAAAGAACAGGTTCAAAAAAACTTTTTCGAAAAGTTAAGAGCCTTACCCGGGAACGTCTGAAAAATACGCAATTTATCTCAAAAAGCGCTATTTCGGGCTTTTGTCCTAACTCGAAAACGAGATCTATTGCTAGACATTTTTCAATAAAAAACCTTTTCCAGTTAGCAAAACTGGCGATTTTCATGTTCCAGATATTCGAAATGCCTCTCGACACTCTCCAACAAGTACATGCACCTCACCAACTACAGCATCAACAAGAAGGCCGAGGAGGACGGCGTCGCTGATCAGCCTGTGCCCAAGTGGACCCTCACTCATTTGTGGCAGTACTTTGAGAACCGGGTGAGAAAGTTGGAAATTGAGTTTTCGAAAAGTGAAAAGTCCATCTTAACTTTAAATTTGATATAACCAGGGGATCTGGCTTGCTTTTTTTCAGGCTTTTTTTCAGGTTGAGGCTTTTCTTCTGAAAAAATAAAAAGTTAATTTTTGCAGATCTTCTTTCAACATTCATGAAGATTTTTAGGGAGAAAAATCGGAGGTGATCCGGGAAAAGATCGAAAACACCATCATCAAGGCCTTTATCGCATGCGAGAAGCCGGTTCGGGAACATATGGCTCGATATGTTCAGCATGGGTTCGTTTGATTTTTTTTTTCACTGTCAAAATGTCATAACCCCTTTGATTGGGTCGCGACGGGGATCGAACTTGTGAACCCTTTTGATCGTAAACGGGCATGCTACCTGTTGCGCCACTACGCGCCCTATAAGAAGTCATGATTTAAATGATAAAATTTTGATTTCAGTTTCATCTGCCACGAACTTTTTGGAATCGATATCCTGCTCGATGAGGACCTGAAACCATGGCTTTTTGGAGGTGAATACGATATTATTTCCATTATGAAAGTCTAAAATTATTAATAAACGTGAAATCTTTCTTCAATGATATTAGTGAAACTTCTTGTTTCAGGTCAACATTTCCCCGTCGTTGCATTCTGGAACTCCACTTGATATTTCCGTGAAAGCTCCTCTGGCCAAAGACGTCTTGAACATGGCTGGAATCTATGTTCCTCCTGAGTTGGTTTTAGTGAAGAAAATTTTTCTGAACATTTCTTTTCAATAATGTGTTTTCAAATTATACGTGGGTATGTAAATAATTCAATAGACCCGTAAGAAGGAGGGAACAAAAATCAAAGTTTAGCCTCCAGGAGGTTAAGTTGACAAGATAAAAAAATATAAGTTTAGTCTCTAATAGGTTAAATTGAGAAGATAAAAATTAATTTTTTTAACTTCCAGGAGGTGAAATTGAGATGACAAAAAGTCAATCAACCTCCAGGAAGATTTTTTTGTTTCAAGTTTTGTTCAAAACAATACATTTCAAGCCTTTTCGAAGCTTCGCGCTGTCCCAATTCGATTTTTTTCTGAGATTGTTGAAATCATTTACATTAATGAACTTTAAACATGAAAAAAATTCACGAATAAAATAGAAAAATCAACTTTTCAGTACTGTAAAAGCCTATTATTTCAAGCAATTTTGCTTTACCAGCTTTCTTCATATTTAACTTCTGTTAATCTTTGTTTTAAAATTTATATTCATTAAATATTTTTGCAGAGCGGACGATATGGACACGGCTGACTACAGCACGAGGCCGAGAAATGGTCCGAAAGGACGGGAACAGGTTAATAAAATCGTAGGAATTTTAGAGAATATTTTTAATTATTGATCTCTAACTTGTTAAAACGAAAAATTGAGAAATTTTTTTTTATAATATGAAATCCAAGCTTTAAAGGATCGTATCTTGAATTTTCAAAATTTTACGGATCGTATTTATATTTCAAGAAATATTTACAGATAATCAAGGAAGCTTCTTGGGTGGAAGCCTATCGCGATGAGTTGGGCGAACTGAATCCGAAGATTTTGAAACGTTTGACCGCTGAGGATACCCGAATGCTTGTTGAGTTTGAAGGTTTCCGCTGTCCGAGAAAGTTTGGAAAAATGATAATTTTAGACGAGTTGAAACGTTGCGGGGACTTCAAGCTGATCTTCCCGACCGCCCATACACAACCCATGTTGAGGTACGGGAGTTAGGAAAACAAAATTTCTTAATTTGAAAACATATGGGCTCAGAATCTTCCTGGTGAATTTTGAATGTCAGTATTTCGGTATTTGTTGAAAATAGTAAAGTTCTAACCTCTCTTGAAGCTTCAGGAGGTTAAAGAACCTCGCAAAAACTATTATTGATATCATTTTTTTAAAGGAGCTTAGTCATAATAAATATAGGTCTCGAGGTGGAAAACTATTCTAACGAGCTTCTAAAAACTCCAATGAGGACTTTCGAACAGGATGAATTTTTTTATGATGCCGAAAAAAGTTCTGAACAATTTGTGCAATTGAAACGCTCCAGAGCGAAAATTATATTGGAAAAGAGCATTTCTGCAGCGTTTTCTGATCAGAATCAAGAATTTTTGTTCAAGAAGTTCATATTTTCAATTTTCAACTTTTGAAGCTTGTTGTCTCCTTCGTTTTCAAATTAGTGCAGAAATTTTTGACCAGTGAAGAATTTTTTTGATACGCAGTGAAAGACGTTTGACACAGCTTTTCGATGTTCAGCTTCAGAAATTCGAATTTTATTGATCTCTAATCGAAAACTTTTTTTATTTTCTCATTTCAGATACTTTGCTGAGCCCCTCTACGCCAACCTGCTGCTCCAACAGTGGCAAATCGAGCAGGAGCCCGACCGAGAAGTCGGAATCAGTCGATTGGAGCGACTTTGTCGCCAGGGACACCTCCGCCAGCAAATGTCTCCAAGAATTTGATGTCTTTTTTCCATTCTTCATGTTAATTCTCAATATTACTTTCCTTGACATTCAGCTCACCTCTTCTTCTTTTTTCTCCCATCGGGTTCCATTTGACTGGGTAATTTCAGTTTATTCGTCTCTAGAGATTCCTTACAATAACAGAAAACTCAGTGATGAATAGAGTAAGATCCTGTTGCCTTGCCCTTAAAACAAAAAATCAAAATTGTTCTTTCTCACCTGATCTTAATTGCCAAGTTTTGTACAGCTTTTCTTAAAGAATTTTCCACTTGCCTTATCATTTTTCGACATTGCCGTGTTAAGTAGGAGATGAGAAAAACAGCCGCGACCGCGTTTTCCAGAAATAACTGAAACATTTTGAGAAAAAAAGAGCCGCGCCTCGATTTCCACATTTTGAAACAATGATTTTCTCTCAATTTTAGGTTTTTCAATTCATGCCTCGATTGTTAATTTTCTGCAATAATTGATTGAAAATCAGTGGAACCCATGCTAAAAGTGCCATTTTTCTGCTTTTTTTCTTTTGATTTCAAGCCTTTCTATGCCTTAATTTCGTTTCACTTGCATTATTATACAACTATAAGATTGATTATTTCTGATTACGATTCATATAATGGACAATTTAGGAGATAAAATTTCTTCTTTTTTTAGTGTTCATTTGAATTTTTGAAGCACTTGGTTAAGAATTCACATTTGAATTGTACTTGGAAAGATGAGAATTTTTAGAGAAATCGAAGAAAAAAATCCAAGTTTTTTTGATGCTACGACGACATTTGACGCTGAGAAACGCTCGACTTTTTGCGGTTTTTATTCGCAGGCGGTTCGTTTTTTTTTTTAATTTTAATATTAAAGTTTTGAATTTTTCATACAATTATAGCTTTCAGAATGAAATCTTATTTTCACCTAGTAGTTCAAAAAATTAAATTTCAGAACCTCGAAGTTTGCTCTTGGAGAAATGATAATATAGCTGATTCACGGCTAGCTTGAAACGCTAAGAAGGCGTGGCCTGTCTGCGCTCTCCACGAACCAGGCGCTATCTCGTGCATTATCGTGTCAGGACCCTTTTTTCGATGGCTCAAGCCAGCCGTGAATCAGCTATAATAGAAGTGCAGAAAACAAGATTCCCAGTTCAAAAGCCCATCGACAAGGCAGCTCGGTTCTCAAAAAAATGTCCGATAGCATCTCGCGGATGGGCTGGTGAACATGAGGCTTTAAAATATTCAGAATAAATAAATTTTTTTCGTAATACAGCTTCAGAATAGCCAAAAGTAATTCTTCTGATTCAATTTCCGGGGTTTATATAGTACCAACCGTGAAATATGATACTTCTGAACAGTGACGAGAAATAAATAAATAAATGAGAGGCCTACCTGTTAGTTTGGATGTTTTGTAAACTATTGTTGGTTGAGGTCAGGTGCGATTCATTAGTGAAGAAACGGTGACAGTAAAAAATTAGACAAACTGTGAAAAAATTTATTATTATTCGTTAATCAACCGTTGGAAATTAGTTCGGAAAATCGAAGAAATTTTTCAAAAAAAGTTTTTTCAATTTTTTTTTTTTGGTGGAATTCGGCAGTCCCAAGTCCCAACTATTTTGAGCCCAAATTTGGAAGTCCCAATTTTTGAAGCGTTTGAATATTCTTACTGGTTTGCTTGAAAACGATGAAGTTTTAAATTGCCTGAAAAAATCTTAGGAATAGCTCTTTTTTTGAGACCTTTATAAGCTTTGAAACTTCTCCAAATACTGAAAAAAAACGTTTAGTATTATTTTTAACAGTTTTTCAGATTAAAAAGTCGCATTTTTCCCATTGAAAAATGTCATGGAGAAAGCCTAGATCGGTCTATTTCATTGAGAGATCACTGAAGAAACTTAATAAAAAATTTTTTTTGAAATTTTTTTAAACTTTGAAAGTAAAAAAAGCAAAATGTTATCAATATGGAGTCAAAAAATCCCTGTAAGGAAGCTGAATAATCGAAAAAAAAATTTTTTTCGATTTTTTTAAAAATTTTACACGTTAAATGTAAAAAAATATTAACAATATAAAGTCAAAAAAATACTTTTTATGGTAGCTAAAGAATCGGAATAAGGTAAAAATTCGACACATTCCAGATATTTTTCAAAATTCCAGCCTCCTGAACCTAAAAACGTCGAGGAAATCACACAAGCTCTGCTCCGAGAGCCGCCTTCAAGGCTCCCCGGAGCAATTATCCGGCTGGCGAATGGTTTGAAGTTTCGAATGCAGAAAGATGGATTGGATCCCGGCTTCAAATCTGTGAGGTTTTCACAGAGATTAATCAAAAAGAAATTTGAAAATTGTAGGAAATCGTGTTTTAAATTTTTTCTTCTGGCTTTGGCTGAAATTGCGAGTAAATTTCATTTTTTTTATTATGTTAATGTTTCAAAAGGAACAGAGATAATTGGAAATTAATAAATACTTATAAAGCTCATTTGCAGTTTATTAATTGATTTATCAATATTGAAAATCGTACGATCGAACAGTTTTTTTTTTGAAGAACTTTTCATTTTTTTGTTTAATTTATAACTTAGATTTTTGTTTCTAACTTAAAAGATGTGATAAATACGTTTAGAGTAAAGTGTTAAATGATTAACTTTTTCATTCTTTCAGCTACTTGACAAATCTTCCGCTCAACTTTATCACCACTGTGCGGACAATTATGATTTCCCAAAGTTGTGTGAAGGTTTGGATTTTCTTGAATTTATAGGAAGTATAAAAATTTTTTAAAGTTTGCCATGTACTTTTCTTGATATTTTGAGCTATTCTATGATTTTTCGCATAAAGTTCTTGGAAATTTTCAGCATTCGGCCTTCCCGATTACATGTCTTCTTGGTACAAACTGACACTAATGCATATTTGGTGAGAATTTTTTTCTAAATATTAAATTTTAGATTCTTTTTTTGAGAGAAGACTAGAAAAACTCATATTAATAATTTTTGAGTGTTGAAGTTAGCTCCTTAATGTTTCTTTCTACTTGAAACAGTCTGAGCTCTCTTTTTCTCTTTCCCTTGTCATTGAGTTTTACGACGAGTTTAAAAATTGAAAAGGTAAAGAAGTCGGACTGCTTTGAGTTGTGACGAGCGAGCTTCATTGATGCTAAAAACCGGCAGTCTCAAGTTTTTTCGAAAAAAAATTTGGCAGTCCCAAACTCAGTTGAGTTAGTAATTGGCAGTCCCAAATTCCATTGAGCGAAAAATTGGCAGTCCCAAGTTTTTTCGAATTGAAATTTGGCAGTCCCAGAAAACTTTTGACGGACGAGTGTAGGAAATAAGAAATTTCACGTTTGATGATATCGCGATAATTTTTATGGATATTGAAAGATCAAAAAAATGTTCCAGGATGGCCTTGATGAGCCTCCATAACCGATTGGAGGGTCAAGCTTATTTGAGGCTTCAACGAGGAATGTTATCCAGCATGTGGTTGGATGTCGACAGTCGGCTGGCTATTATTGGTGTGAGTTATGGTATTTGAACCATTAGCGAGAGATTTTGAATTAAAATTCTAATTTCAAAGCGTTCTACGTGAGAAAATTCTCATTTTTGACTTTCAGCAAGAAGAAAATCAAGTTTTGACCTCTCAAAGTGATATGAAAAAGATGCATGGATTGCATTTGCAGACGTTTTTTGAATATGATGAGGTTTTTTCATAGCTATCGCTTTTTTTCTGAAGTTCAAACTTAAGGGTTTTTTGAAAGACGACAAAACGTTGGCCGGCGCCGTCTGGCGGTGTCTTTACATGCAAAGAGAGGCCGACCCGATCCATATCCTCCGAGTTGTTCATTATTTGAGAGCTACAGTATGCCCCCTACTGTACTTTCGAAAATTAGTTCAATCTTTTTGAAGGTTGCTTGGCTGGAAACCCGGGAAACGAGTGAAATTTTGGCCCAAGGCATTAGTGAATGGAAACAGGTCCCCGCCCTCGAAACTTCGTAAATCTTTTTGTAGTTTATTGTTTTAGAAGTGTTGATTTTCAGTGTATGGAGGGATACCTTGAGATTCTTGGAAAGAGTGAAAAATTCTTTAGAAACCTGTAAGTCATATAAATAGTTAATTTTGTCGCATTTTACTGATGAAAATGAGCTTTTTTTTTAGTGAGAATAACGATTTTTCCGTACATCCTTGTTGGTTTAAGAAACCTCGTTTTTTTTTTTTGAAAATGAAAGGTTACATTTTGCAAGTTACATGTTAGATCTGTACCCTATCGTAATAAAACAATTTTTCTTTAGAAAATTTTTTCTTCAGCTCAAAGTATCTCTCCAAATACATCTCGTTTTTTTGAGAAATGTTGTTATTTAGCAGAAAATATTCCGTTTTCAAATAAATTATCATCGTTTTCGCGACCATTGTCCATCGAAATCGGGTTCTTTCGGACGTTGCGCAATACATAACTTGAACAGGTTCTCGAGGAACAGATCTCACAGAATTATTTTGATTTTCATCCAATGATCCTCTTGATTTTTTGCTTTTTACCAACTCTCGACGCGGCCGTCTTTTCGAGGAGCAAAAGGCAAGCGAGCCTCGCCACACGGGAAGGAATCGACGCGCCCATTACGTTAAGGTTTATTTTTTTCAAGTTTGAAAGTGTGAATCATATTTTGAATATCTTGACCTCACTAATAATAGCTCAGAGCGACGCGGTTGCGTTGCGGCTTTTTTAGGGCTTGACAGGTTTGAAAATATTCAGGCGGGAGGATATCTGAAACCATCCGAGTTAGCTTCTGAATGATTTCATAGCAATTTTGACTCGCGAAGTTCTGAGCCATTCCAAATGCGGCCATTGGCTACAGTTTTCGAAAAATTGATTTCATTCTGTTCAGAAATAAGTTTTATACGTCTTCCACTCGATTTGAGATGTTTTTTAAACAATTCAAGTTTAATTCGACTTGGAAAGCGCAAATACATACTTTTTATAAGAACCTTATCGGAGAATTTTTATAAATTTTCCATTTATTTGTTTTTTTAATTCTTGAATTTTCAATTTCAGATTTGTAATCTCGACTTCATGACCTAAAACCTTTATTTTTTGCATTTTTGTTTCTTTAAATTGAGATTTTCCCATAAACCATTTGAATAGAGCTCCAGTGAAACTGAATCTATCAACTTTCTGAAATTCAGATCTCTCATTACCTGCCTCACACCTGGAATCCGCGAACACATTTGTCTTGGGCCTCGAGTTCAGCTCCTCAAAAGGGAGAAAATCGGCCTGACGGAGCGAGATGGAGCCGCATATGGCTACCATAACGGCGTGGACATTCGTCTCTTGAAAAAATACAACGTGCCCTTGATTGGCGACGACACGGAGATCGGACAAAGGTGCGTTGTGGCGCTGCGGAAGGCGGAAGCAGCGTGGCGCAGTGGAAGCGTGCTGGGCCCATAACCCAGAGGTCGGTGGATCGAAACCACTCGCTGCTAATGTTTTTTTTTGCCGCCATTACAAGTTTCGTATTTTTTTTTGTCACTTTGAGGAAGGTTTTCTGAAGTTCAACTGGAAGGATTACTATAATTAACTAAATAGGCATCCTTTTTTTAAATGTTTTATCAACATTCAATAATGGTTTAAAAATTTTAAGTCATTTTTTTTAGAATTTTTTGAAAAGGGCATGAAAAACTGAGAGTGTTTAAAAAAATTTATTGAACTCTGAACGGCTTCAGCATGAACCTCGGCATATTTCTTTCTAGCCAAAGGCCTCAGTTTTCATGGAAATTGTGAAAATATGAACTTATTTTTTGATTCACTTCTAGCATTGGAGCTGTAGTTGACGCCACACCAACGGATGGAGCTGTGGAGTTCGGGACTCGGGACAAGATTTTCAAGGCTTGGAAGCTCAACAGGTTGGTTTTTGGACAGTTGATGCGCAGCGATTGTCATATATTTATAGAGGCGGAGTAGTTGAGTGGGATTCTCAAGGCGCTGGAGTTGATATCGGGTCGAGAGCTTCAGTGGCTGATGATTTGATCAAACTTAAGGTTAATGAAAAATTAGAGAAAACTTTAAATGAGAAAAATCAGTAAATTTAAAGTGAAAAAGCGAAAAAATTTTGAAAATTCTCTCATGAAATTCATTAATATTTGTTCAGCACACCTTATTCGGCGTGAATGTTGGCCCAACTTTTCGGAGGAATATCGTTGGACCTTACCAAACTGGCCCAACAAAAAGGCCAATGTAAGTTCCAAGCTTGAAAGACTTTTTAAAATTTAAAATTCCAAAGATTTACAAATTCCAACTCCCATTCAAACTTATTATCCTGGTTACTACAGTACGCGTGGCGATTGGTACAAAAATCAGTTTGTTAGACCTTGTAAGTTTTTGAATATTATCTAAAGTAAATTATTACTTTTAGGGGACGAATATCGAACTAAGGAACAAAGAGCGTGTCCCTGGTGCTTCGCGGTAGACCCAACTTATCCAGTACAACGATTATGGCCTTAAATGAAACGAGATCTCATGTGATATAGTGCATAATAAATGCTTGATTCGTGTTCTTCAGCTTTGAAAGGTTTTTCGTGAAGTTCGACGCATCTATTTGTCATACTGTAACTCAGCCCTCCGCATGCACGACGCCTTCGCGCCCAATTTTTTCTGTTTGCGGGAAAATTTAAATTTGATGTTTTTGTGTATTTTCAAGCTTTTTAGTTTTTTACAATGTGATATAGTGTGTTCTAAAGCTCTGATGACCCATATGAAGGGTCAAAAAAAATTTTCTCTGAGCGAAAAGTCGTTTTTAGTGTATTTCAAGAGTTTTTTAGAACCAAGCAAGTGATTTGAAAAGAAACTGAGCGACTCCATTCGATATGAACAATTTCTGAAATTTATTCGAAAAATAAAACGAAATCGGAGGATTTTGGAAGTTTTCTCACTTGAGTTCCGCATTTTAAATGTATTTCGCAACATTTTATAAAGACTTGATTAATTTTAGCACCATGGCAGCTCCTGTAATAGATAAAGCCACTTATGAAAAATATAACACTAACGGGAAGCTGCGTTTATCGACAGGATTTATTCAGGTTTTCAAAAAATTTCGTTCTTTTAATTTTTTGAATTCACAGCAAATGTACGAAGACGGGAGCTATGACGGTGGTAAAAATGCAGCAATTGTGCAAATAGTTGTAAGTTTTTTTTGAGACAATTTCGTGGAAATTCAAATTAATAGTTGTGAAATTATTTCCGAAGTAATGGGTCTGCTTCCAATAAACCCTTTTTTGCGACAAAAAAAGGCTTTTTTTTCACAAAACTTGACTTTGCCCTTGAAATAAAAAAATTTTTGATAATTTTTTCTAGCAATATCGAGTCTTGGCCAACGAGAACAAGCATTTCTCCTCGTCTGCGATTTTTTATTCCAGAGCCAAAGTGTCGGACGGCGTTTTCGGGTGCACCGGTAGGAAGAAATTTCGATTTTTTGAAGGAAAACCATTTTCAGCCTTCGTATTCGATGACCCCCTTGAACACCAATGTGCCAAAGATGATTTGCGAGGAAAGTCGGAAGTTGGCGGCGAAATCATTGCCATCAAAAAGGCTTATATTCACGGCGACGCTTCACTTCCGAGGTTTATATTTATGAAAATGTGTTGGTATAGGGGTCGCCAAATAAAACAGAGTTTGATGAAACTTTGCTGAGATATTCTCTTGAGCCCCTGAAAACAAGGTTTAAAAAAAAAATCAAGGGAGGGTTCTTGAAATGTATTTTTACCAGTGGTTATACCTGGAACAGGTTTTCCCTCTTTTTCGTTTCAAATTGAACTCTGGTTTTTTCTGGTTTCCATGTAGCTTTATTTCTCATAACTTCTTTTCAAACGTTACTTCTTATTCTTCTATCCTCGCCAAGTTTAAAAGAAAAAGAGAGTTGATTGTTCGATGTAACTTTGCTAAAAGGTGTTTTTAAAACCCTACTAAAGGTTTTTTGAGGTAAAATCTACAACTCTTTAAGAAATTTCAAGTTTCGCTATATTAAGGCAGTATGTAGTACCGGAAGGCCTATTTTGAGACGCTTTTTCTTCGAAACTTTACGAGCTATACGTTCAATATCAACTTTTTTTAATAGAAGTTTCTGAGTCTTTCAGCGAAATTTCATCAAATTTTTAACCTTCCATCTTTTACACTAGTCTCATTAAGAGTTTTTCCAAGTCTTCTAAAGGAAGATGTGGTTTTTTCTTCAGAAAAGACGGTGGAACAGTAAAAGTCTGCGTGATCACCGATTACCAGTTGCTTTCCCGTGGCCATGATCATCTTTCGAGCCCCGGCCAGGAGTTGCTCACGCACAACGGCGACAAGGAAGTCCATCGGGGCTACCGGCCGACTTTCATCGTTGAAACCGATTGGCCTGAGGCCGCGCAGTTCGTCGAAGCCGAGGCTCCCGCCGCGAAAAGAGCTCGTGGGCCTGACGGTGAATAGAGAGTATATGCGCTGTACTTTGAAAAATTTGGGGATGTTTAGCGGCGAAAAAGTATGTTAGTAGAGACTTGAATTTCACATATAACCGCAAAAAACGACTTTCTAGGCTTCTAACTTTCAGGATATGACTTAACACACGTTCTCCCAGAGACGCGATAAACCTTTGATACCAAAATTTCAGATTGAGTTTTCTGAGCTCATATTGTGGTCACAATAACTACACAAGGTCCTGAAAATTTTACGTAGGTTTTTGAGAGGCTCCGCCCCTTTCTAGGGTTACGGTAGGGAAATACCAAGAAATTTAAATTTTTTCTCCGACGTTTAAATCGGATGAAGCTTTTTTTTTAAACGAAAGCCAGTGGCAAATTGAACACTTTTTGTGTACTAGACCGGGTTGTTCTAATGTAAATGTTGTACTAAATGTACCGGGTATGAACAAGCAACCGCCCCTGTTCCTCGGGTGGTTTCAAAATTTCGATACTCAGTTGATAAAAAAAAAAGTGAGTTTTTCAGTTGCAGGAACGGCAGTTGGCGGCCGAGCCCCGCCGCCCCAGCCCTCGCGACAAACTTCTTCTGGGAATCGTGGCGAGGCTGTGACGCCGATAGCCATGATCACGCCCTACGTGAACAAGTTCCGAATTTGCGGCGTCTGCACAACAAAAGAGGAGATCCGCAACGTCAAGAGTCGCAACGGCGACATGAGGGTGCTGAAATTGTTATGATTTGTGAAAAAAAAATTTTGATTCATTTTGATCAAGATCTCCTATGCCGTGTTCAAATGCAAATTTATCTCTGACTCTCCAGAATTCAGTTATCTTTCTCTTTGCCTGACGGCTAATTTAGGTTTGGCGGAATCGCTTTAAACACTGTATCAATTATTCGCATTTGTTAAAAATTAGTGCTCTTTTTTTCAACTTTTGAACTCTATCTGGTTCCTTACAGATCTTCAACTTTGAGCTGACGGACAAAAACAGCGACACGATCCGTCTGACGGCGTTCAATGAGCTTGCTGAACAGATGCAGAGCGTTATCATGGAGAATAGTGTTCGTTTCAATTATTATTTGTCAAAAAAATTACTGAATTATGTAGAAAATTTGATAAAAAAACAATTATAATTTTTGTATTTTTTTTATGATGAGTTGTTTTTTTCAAGGTTGTTTTTTTCCTCTTTTTAGCTATGAAATTTTTCATGAAGTTTTTAAGATGCTTTTTTTGGTTATTTTATTAGTTCTGAAGAGACCATAGTTTTTCTCTGTCAAATTATATCTTTTTCAGTCCTACTACATTGCCGGAGGCACTGTCCGGGCCGCAAATAAGCGTTTCAACGCTTCTGGACACGATTATGAAATCACTCTTCGCAATGATTCAGAGGTCCCCCATTCCATTGAAAAAAATCGAAAAAAATGTTTAAGGTAAAATTATGCACCGAGGAAATCAAAAGGCCGACGACGACCTTCAAAATCGTGACGCTTGATAAAATTGCCGGACATTTGAACGAGATTTTCGATGTTTTGGCCGTGGTGGAACGGGTTGACCCTGTTTCGGAGGTTCGGAATGAATATTTCAAAAATTTGAAAAATTGTGAATTTTTTTTTTCTCGAAGTTTACAGAACATTTTTTTGCAGAAAAAAAGAGTAAAAAAAGTACTGAAAATAGGAAACTTGGAATTTGTTTTTTTAGTGAATATGTTGAGTTTTTTTCGAGTTTCCGAGAGCTGGAAGTGAGCACTTGAGTGATTTTTAGGAGCTAGAAAATAATTATATAGTTTTGAAAGTATTTCAAAACAGTTGTTTCCGAATAAATTTCTTATTTTTTTATCGCTCTGAAGAATTTTTTTGAATCTACGTTTCTTCTCAATTTTTTTAATTTTTAAAAATTACAAGCTTCATCATAGTTTTTAAGTTCACTTCGAAAGCCGGCAAGGAACTGGTGAAACGCGAAATCAGCGTCGTCGACCGGTCGGCCACTGAAGTGACCATAACTCTGTGGGGCGAACACGCCAAAACTTTCGATGAAAATGCTCTCGGCCAGGTCGTCGGCTTCAAGAGTCTTCAGGCCAAGGAGTGGCAAGGTCTGCGGATTTTTCAAATTTGAAGGAAGTTACTAGGGGGTTTTAATTTTTCAGAGCTGAATTTAGTTTGAAAAGAAGTCTTCGAAAATCGGATTTTTGAGCTAGTGTTATTTTATTCTTTCTTTAAGTCATCTTATCACTTTCTCTAACACGATCCTTTTCTCGATTTTTTTTAACCTTTCGAATTTTTAAATGAATCGTGAAATATTCTGTAGGCCTAGGTTCTTTTTCCAGTTCTGCTCTTATTATTTTTCAATTTATTAGGACGATCTTTTTATTTTTTCTTCTTTAGGCGGTTATTCCCTGGGATCGCTGAACATCACTCGAGTTGTCCTTTCACCGGAACTCGAGGAAACCGCCCAGCTTTACGAATGGCACGCGGCGGTCCGACCCTCGTTGGATGTCAAGAAGATCAGTACCACGACTGAAGGCGGTGCTGGCTCGACTTCCTTTGGTTGGTTTTTGGAATTATTTTTACCCTTTTCTGTGATGCCGTGCTCAAATTTATTCCGCGAAATGATCTCTGACTCTCCAAAATCTAGTGATCTTTTCCTTTCTCTAACGGGTATTTTGCATTTCGCGGAATCGAGTTGAACACGACATGTATAATGAAGTGGAAGGTTGTATTGTTTGCATTACTGTTTCATATATTCTTGTAAAAAGTACTCGATTATTTTGTGTTCTATTTTTAATAAGGCTAGAGAAGTCGGCCGCTTTTTTATGCCTTTTTTTCAAGTTTCCGAATTTCGAAACGATTTTTGGGATTTTTTAAAGTTTTCACGCTTTCAAAGTACGTTTTTCATCATAGTATTGCCAGTTTCAAAGTCAGTTTTCTAAATGCTAGTCAAATTTACAAAAATTCACTTTTTTTTCTGATTTTCTATATTTTCGCCAAGAAATAATCCCACATTTTAATGAACACATTATGGTTCCAGTGCTCTTTTTGCTAATCTATTCAGTTGAATGTTGTAATAAGCTGGAGTTATGTATGAACATTTAAAAAAATGGTTGAACTTGAAAAAGAGACTATGTTTTTCGGTTAACCTGTTCTGTAAGAATAATTCAAAATTTAACAATTTTTTTCAGTCCGCGACCTCCGATTCATCACCACCATCCAAGCACTCCGACTCGGATCTGAACAGCAGCGTTACGTGAACTGCCGGGCCACGATCACGAAAATCAAGCCCGACCAAGCGCTTTACAAAGCTTGTCCCAATGATGGGTGCCAGAAAAAGGCAACGACTTTCATTATTTCCTTCCCATTGATATTTTTCTTGTAGGTAGTTGACGTAGATGGAGAGTACAGATGCGAGAAATGCGCGACGACCTCGAGGACTTTCAAGTGGAATTATATGCTCCAGGTGGGGTATTTAGTGATAATGAAAGATGATAAGTTGAAAAATTTGAAAAAAAAAAAAGAGAAGTTAGGTTCATTTTTTCAAATTTTCTGTTCGAGGTTTAGAAAATAGTTGGTTCTTCTTGATGGAAACTGCAGAAAAGTTGTGAAAAAATACTGCGATGAGTTTTTTTTTCTAAATAGGAGATTACCGGGAGGAAAATCATCAAAAGTGTTTCATTTAACGATTTTTGAAATAAAGAAGGATCAGAAGAAAAGGCTCCAAGATTTCCTAATCATGAAAATTTTTCACGGAGTAAGGATTTTCGACCACTTTTTTCCAAGATGAAAACCTGGCAAAAGGGTGGGTTTTTGGCAACCAAGGCTTGATTTATCGATTATTCTGTATATTATAATTTTCCCTCACTTCGATTTTCACGATCGTTTTGCCGGTTCAAAAAGAAGTTGAAAAATAAGCTCACAATATCCGTTCTTCATTTTCAACTCGCAATGTTTCAGTTTGAAATGGCCGACTTGTCTGGCCAAGTCTACGCGACGGCCTTCTCGAACGTCGCCCAGAAACTCCTTCATTATGATGCGCAGCAGCTGGGCGAGCTCAGGGATTCCAGCTCCGAGGACTTCAACGCCGTCTTCCAGCGTGCCTACTTCAAATACCACAACTTCCGGCTTCGCGCCAAGTACGAGACGTATAATGTGAGGGGTTTTTCATTTTATTCAATTTAAATAAATATAAACTCAAGTTTTTGTCATGTTCTTAGATTTTCCTTTTGAAATGCTTTGTTTTTTCGGTCTACCCTCGCCACGACCTGAAAAAAAGAGAGCCCAGAGGAATCAGACAGTTTTAATTCTTAAAATTGGCAGCCCCAAATCTTCGGAAAAAGATTGGCTTCTGAGAATTTCAGTCCGTTTTATTTCAGGAAGAATCGCGGCTGAAACTGATGGTGATGAGCGTTGACGACACTCCCATGGACGCCTACATTAATTCGCTTCAGGACCTCGCCGAGAAACTCAAAACCCTCGATGTCTGAGCCCCTGAACTAGATCAAGTTTTAACAATTTGTGCATTCTTTCACCTTTTTTAAACGAAATTTTTCCGATCTCTCTATCCAACAGCTTGAAAACAATCTTCTCTGACTAACTTTATAATTTTTTCCCTATTTTTTGACGGTGTCTTTGATGTTTTTTCAATGCGTGGTCTGTCTGTATTGTGAATAAAAAAATTATTCTCAATAATTTTTCTTTTTGATGTGGACAAATGTTGAAGAGAGCTATTAGATTTATTTTTGAAAGGCTTTTTTTGAACTGATCTTTTCCTTAAGCTCGAAGTCATGGTCAGCGTGGATCCGCTGGCCTCTGAACGATGGCGTCACATTCGGAGACTGACCGACAGGCCGACGGCTTTCGCGCCGGCTTGGTTCGAGCCCGGGCCTCATGTTTGTAGCGTTTTTCGAATTTCAGAGCGTTTATTTTGTTGTCAGAAGTAGAAATAAGGACCAAATGGTTTTCGTTTCAATTTCATGTTTGTCATCCGTTTAGCTTTAAAAAAAGATCGGAAAACTTTCAGATAAAGCGTTTTTCAGTATGTTAGTTGTGTTATGAGAAAGAAGAAACGCCCATTTTTTTTCCTTTTTTTTTACTGTTCTGGGATTTTTTTGGCTTTTTAAAGATCAAATATGCTTCAAGAAAAAGCCCCAGAAACTAGAAATTAAGTACCAATACCACTTTTTTCAGAGAATTTTTGAGATTTTTTATTTCATTTTTTTTGTCTTTGAAGAAACTTTGAATTTCAAGCGTGTTTCCTTAATTATCACCATAGCGTCAAATTTTCTTTTCTCTGAAAATCACGATTTTAAGAACTTCAATTTCCTTCGAAACTCGTCGGTTTTGGTGATTGGCGCCGGCGGATTAGGATGCGAATTGTTGAAAAACTTGGTAAATCATTATTGAAAACTAAACTTATTTCCATATTTTGAGGCCCTCAGTGGGATCAAAAACATCTCCGTGATCGACATGGACACGATCGATTTGTCCAATTTGAATCGCCAGTTTTTGTTTCGGTAATTGTTCATTTTTCAGTATTTTTTTGCTTGTTTTATCACAAAAAGCTTCGAAAATATCCAGAAAAGCAAACATTTCAGTGAAATTGACGTTGGAAAGTCCAAAGCGGAGGTGGCAGCGGCTTTCATCGAAAAACGGGTTTCTGGATGCTCTGTGACGCCGTGAGTTGATGTGCAGCGAATTTGGTCACGACTCCAAAAATTCTATTCTGCCTGCGCTCTCTCTTCCCTCACCTGCGAGATTTGGCGCTCCCAAAACTTTCTAGATCAAAATTGGCAGTCCCAAATTTTTTTCGATTCTAAAAGTGGCACTCCCAAATTTTAAGTTTAAAATGGCAGCCAAAAAGTTTCAAAGGTTGAAGTGTGTAGTCCATTCTTAGCTGGCTTGGGCCAATATCCCGAGAATCTAAGGATGAGGTGAATAGGGTGTTATGGGCAGAGATTCAGACGTAGCTACAGTTTTTTTTTCCGCTCTCCAAACGAGTAAGAAATCGAATGTTTCCATTTCTCTGGTCGCGTTCGGAATGGCTTGACTGCGTTGCGGATGCGCTGCGGCTCAATTCAAGTGCTCAGATTTTTTAAATATCGATACGCGCAAACGGTTTTGCAACCCATTGATAAATTCTCCATGCGACCATCTTACGAAAAATCGTCTCAAACGGACTCAAAATCGTGTCAAACGAAACAGGAATATAGCTGATTCACAGCTGGCTTGAGCCATCGAAAAAATGGTCCTGACACGATAATGCACGAGTAAGCGCCTGACTCGTGGAGAGCGCAGACAGGTCACGCCCCCTTAGGGTCCCAAGCTGGCCGTGAATCAGCTATAAGACTCAAAAATTAATTGACAACCCCATGATTTGATTTTCTCCTTATTTCAATATCAAACTATTGAAATTTCCAGCCTTTTTCAATCAGGATCATGAAAAAAAGAAACGAAAATGCGCCGTAATACACTTCTGCTGTTTAGTTGACACTTCCTTAAAGAAATATCAGACAAAAAAAAATTAAAGTTACAACTGCCGGATCGAGGACAAACCGGCCGAGTTTTACCGAAGATTCACCCTGGTCATTTGTGGCCTGGACTCGATTGCGGCTCGCCGATGGATCAATGCAATGCTTGTTCGTTCTTTGTTGGACTTTGAGTTTAATTCTGATGAATTGGAACTTAATTAGTGACTGAAGAGGGTTTCTGTAGTGAAAAAAAAATTTTTTTTGAGAGAAGTTTTATATTTACAGTGCGATTTGGTGCAAACGTTACCCAATGGAGAAATCGACCAGACGACGATTGTTCCCATGATTGATGGAGGAACTGAGGGGTTTAAAGGTACACTGGCAAAGTCAAAAAGGTGGAAAACGGCTCCATAGAAATGTTCCTTTTAGGGTGAAAAAGGTTTCTTTTTTTCTGCCCTTTTGCGCCATTTCATCGGCCCTTATGCACCATTTTTGCTGCCTCCCTCTTTTCCCACGATTTCTTGAGCCTAGAAAAGTTGAAAGCTCAATGAAGGGACTCTCTTTGCTACCTTTTTGCTGCCTTTCTGCGACCTTTCAGCGGCTTTTTTTGGCCTCTCTAGCGGCCATTATCCACCATAAAAACTTTGCCGAGTAGAAAAATAACTTTAATTTTTTGAACTGAATTATGACGCGAAGAGCTCTTTTTACTATTTTTTATCTTTCTTATTCTTAACATATTCCTGAACTTTGAAGAACAAAACTAGCCCTGTCGACAAGTATACTTCACCTATTTCGTGTCATTTAAGGAAACGCTCGAGTGATCTACCCGCGGATGAGCGCCTGTGTTGACTGTACCTTGGATTTGTTCCCACCTCAGGTTCTCCATTTTTCTGGAAAAAAAGCTTATGTTTTTAACTTTAGGTAAACTTCCCGCTCTGCACGATTGCCCACACGCCAAGGCTGCCTGAGCATTGTATCGAGTACATCAAAGTGGTCGTTTGGCCCAAGGAGAGGCCTTTTGAAGGTTTTCCGGGGAAAATTGGTTCAAAGTATAGTCGAGAAAAAAACCTGACTAGGAAGGTCTTCTTACTTGTCCCTATAAAGGGACCAGAACACTTTCAGATGTACCAGAGGAAGATTCTGAAAATCTCGAAATGTGCGAAATTCTAGATTTTGAAAAAGGATACCTCCAAGTCCAAGAAAACGTCCAAAATCGGGTGAAATAGACCTTTTACGGCCTTGAGGCGTTACTCGGACATCGATAACGCAAACCGGACGCGCCCTGGACGTTTCTGAGCCTTTATGGGGATAACTTGAGTGCTTTAGCTGCTAAAGGGATCACTAGGAATCAAAATTTTGCGTTACCGAGTACTACTGAAAATTTGCGTCTTATGGATACGATATTTTAAAAAATTCCTTGAAGAATCAGATGAAAAGACGTTTTTTTAAAGCGTGATAGTTGATCAGGTTGGCACTTTCAGGGCTACATCAAAGAGCATTTTGACCGATTCTAATCGTAGAACTTCGAACTTTAGGAGAATCCTTAGACGCGGACAACCCGGCGCATGTCGAATGGGTCTTGGAGCGATCGATGGCTCGAGCCGAGGAGTTTGGTTGGAACGAATGATTTTTGATTTAAAAAAATCGAGGAAATTGATAGGGATCCGAGGCGTGAACCGAAGATTGACGTCGGGCGTTCTGAAGAGGATCATCCCGGCCGTTGCGTCGACCAATGCGGTCGTTGCGGCTTCTTGCGCCCTGGAGGCTTTTAAGCTTTTGACAAAGTTGGACTTATTTTTTGATAGTAGTATACTTCACTCGCTGCGAAACTATGACGTGTCTGCGCTCTCTTTCCTCTCACTTCCTCTCGTCATTCTTAGGAATTTTAGCGTGGACCCTAGAGGGCTTAGGTGAAAACAGTCCCTATATGGACCGAAAAAGTGGCACCTATAGAGGTTTAGGGTCTGATCCTTTAGCCGCTAAAGCTTAAGTGGGCCCAATTTTATTCAAAAAAGGTTTTTTTTAGTTTTTCGCATGGGCATGCTTCTTCGGCTAAAGTATATAAAAATTATCGACTACCCTAAAAGGACTACGAACTAAAACCCCTATAGGGACCACTCTGAAGATCCTAAGTCGTGTGCTTTTTCCTTTTTTCACCGTGACGCAAAGTTTTCCAGTGTCTGCGTCTCTCTGTTTCCTCATTCAAAAATGAAAATAGCACGTCAGAATGAGAGGGTCGAGGGCGCAGAGAAGTGTCGCTTCTTGAAGACGTGTCAAACAGGCTATAGAGGAAGAAAAAGGAGGGCGCAGACAAGTAAGACAGCTATCCTGGGAAATGTAGAGGAAAATTTGCGTGTTCCATGTTGCTTCGAAAATGAATCGAGAAATGCTTGCAAATGTAATTTAAAGAAACCTTCTTCCTGAAGCTTTTTGAGAACTTTTTCATTTTCAGCACTGCCAGTGTGATCGACAACTACATGAACTTTACCCAAATCGAGGGCGTTTATTCGGGAGTCGTCCACATGGAGAAGGATGTGAGTTTTGAGAATGATCTGTGAGAAATTTGTGATCATTCTGAGGATTTTCTGTATTCCAGCCAAACTGTGCGACGTGCAGCGGCGGAAGCTTCCTGATCAACGTTTCGCCTGATGACGTCTTGGAGCAGTTCATGGAACGGATCGTTGCTAAATTGTGGGTGCTGGGAAAAGTTTTGAAAAGTTGTTTTATGCTATTCATAATTTATTGGAAGGTTTTGGTCGCATTTGGAATGGCTCAGCGCGTTGCGGTTAAGTCTCAGTGAAAGCGATGACGTCATGAAGGGCTATTGAACCTTAAGATTGGCTCTAACTTTAGGAAAACAACGTATCAGTAAAAATAAAGAAAGTTATGAATTAAGTAGACATATCGATCGATTTTCATGACGTCATTGTTAGTGCTGATGACGTCACCAAATAAAATCGAAACTGATTACCCACGTCTCTGGGAATTGGGGACCGCCAACTTTGAGTTCAAAAAAGTTGGGGGTCCCCAATTCTCTTATCTCTCGGCGATGCTCTCATATTATACGCGCTATTTTCATGTTTCTATGACTTTTCCAGCGAAGGAAAAACAGGTCAAGCTTTCGAATGCTAGGCACTAGTACCCGTAGGATATAATTTTGCAAAACGGGTCCTCTAAAGTTGCTACTGCCATCACTCGATGTTTTTTTACCTTTTGGGTGATCCCCTATACCTTAACGGGGGCTTGGTGCGTGAATTAGACGGCTGCGTAGATCCGCTGGATTTGAACGGGGTTTATAGTCTTTTCAGATTTCAAATGTCAAGTTCTCGCTGAATCTCCGCCCCCTAATGGCGCGATAAACCAATCAGAGAGAGAGCTATCCACAGAGCGTTTTCAAATGACGTCATTCTACTTGACATTCAAAATCTGAACAGACTATATATGCGGCTAAAAATTGCATTTCGGGTGTTCGGCTGGGATTGAACGGGGGTTTGGCGGTAGCACTCGCGGATGCTGCTGAAAATAGTTTTGACTCGGCCGCCTCGCAGCCGTGTCGCGGTCAGCCATTCCAATTGAAACTTCGGACTAGATTTCCTATTTTTATTTTACAGCCAGCTGCGCAACCCGTACTTGGAGACACTCCGCCAGAAATTGTTCTGGGTCAGCGATTTCTACCCGGAGATGATTGAGAGGAACAAGGCGAACCTGGGTAAACCGTTAAGAGGTTGTAAAAGTCACAAAAAGGAAAGAAGAAAATTTGAATTTTCAGAACTTGTTAATGAAGGCGAAGAGATTCTGGTCGTCGCCGATAACTTGTCGAAGCCGATTTCGGTCCGCGTCAGCTTTTCCTGAACCTTTTTTTTAAGAGCAAACTGAAAGAGCATATGTATAGGAATGAGTTTCTGTGAATAAATTGAGGGTTTTTTGAACTGAAAGTACGTGAAATATTCAACTTGGAGACATCAATGACCGTCGTTTAAAGCTAGGTTAGTTTCATTCGTTTTTTCTTTTTTGGAGATCTTGAGAAATTTTTCTAGGATTTTACTCCTAGGAACAGAAAAAAATATAGTCTGTTTAGATTTTGACCGTCAAGTCAATTTCTTGTTATAGCTGATTCACAGCTGGCTTATGACGTCAAAAAGGGTCCTGGCACGATAAGAATAGAGACAGTGCATGGCTAGTGGAGAGCGCAGACAAACAACGCCTTTTTGCTATAGTCCGTTCAGATTTTGAATGTCAGTAGAATGACGTCATTCGAAAACGCTCTGTGCATGACTCGCTCTCTGATTAATTCATCGCGCTATTAGGGGGCGGAGCTTCAGCGATCCCTTGACATTCAAAATCTGAACAGACTTGAGCCGTCAATCGACGATCTTCAACGCGTTCGCGGCGATTCAAAACAGGTCATTCGCGGCTAGTATGAGCAATTGTTGCAATCCATGCGACAGATGAGCGTTAATATAGGTCATTCCGCGCCAGCTTGTCACGATTTTAATTTTCCTCGGAGCTACAGAACCCCTTTCTGGGCTTCGCTTCGATGCTCTCGGTGTTCCCCCCTGCGTGCGCCTTTAATAAAACATTATTTCTGATCAAGATATTGCTTCAATTTCCGCTATCTCTTTTATTAATTTACGAGGTTTTTTCAATGGATTGATTTCATTTTTCGCTTCAACTATACACACTCAGATTCTGTGCTGGATTTGTAAAAAAAAAAGAAAATCAAAAAGATTAATTTAATAATTTTGATTGTTATTAATGAAACCGACTGTTCGAGCTTTTTTGCATATTATTTTTGGGTTAGTTTAATATAAAATTTAATGTTATGCCGTGTTCAAAGTAATTTCCGCGAAATGCAAAATACCCGTTAGAGAAAGGAAAAGATCACTATATTTTGGAGAATCAGAGATCATTTTGCATTTCGCGGAAATTACTTTAAACACGGCATTACAACTGTTTTTGTAAAATGAGAAAATTCTAAAATTCGGAAATAATGAGTTTTATTAAAGGCGCACGCAAGGGGGCACACCGAGAGCATCGAAGCGAAGCGCCGAAAAGGCTACTCTAGCTCCAAATAAACTGGAAATCGTGACAAGCTGGCGCGGAATGACCTATAATTAAACATCCGCGGGCGACATGGCGGCAGCACAATGTGATCGCAAACAGCTCCTAAAATATTCTCGTCATGTATTGATTTGTTGATCTGGATGTTTCGATCCTCTGGGAATCATTGACTTCACAAGAAGTTGGTATTGAAAATACTGTCACTGTATAGTTGATTCACGGCTAGCTTGAGCTATCGGAAAAAGGGTCCTGACACGATAAGAAACGAGGTAGTGACTTGCATAAAGAGAGCACAGACAGGTGAGGCTTCCTTAGGCGCTTTTTTTTTGATTTTTCTCTCATCTAAGCTCAAAATAGATCCAATACATCCTTTGAAGAAGCAAAGTGAAGAAAAATCTGTTTTCCCCTCGAACATCTTTTCTCTATTCATTTTTTGCTTAGAAGGTAGATGCAGATGCGCCTTTAAACACGTCAGTGAGTTCTGAGGGACACGCGGCGGTCGCGCTGCGCAAGCTCCGCCCACTTTGACAGGCGGCGTCAGTCAGAAAGGTGGATTCCCGTCACTGTTCTCTTCTGGATCGACGTCGAGCGGTTGGGACTTCTCTTTCTTTCTTTTTTTTATTCACAATTGCTTAAAAGTTAATGACCTCGGAAAATTTCGCAATATTAGTAGATGATTATGTAGTGGTCCGTTTTGAATCGACTGTCCCAAAAAGAAAAGCTTGAGATTTCTCTGTGTTATATATTTTGTTTGATGATTTTAGTGAATGGAGAAATGAATTTTTAACGTCATTCGCCACTTTGTGAAACAGTCTGACATGTCTGCACTCTCGAGTTTTCGAGCTGTTCATCCGGTGAGAGAAAAGAGAGCGCAGACAGGTCACGCTGCGGCAGATGGGTATCGATTAGGTTACACTATTCGCCAGACAAACAGAAAACGAACTCTCTATTTTTCCTGTTGTCTCTCCTTCCGCGCAGCGATGTAAAGGCCGTGCGCAGCGGAAAAATAGGGTTGGAGCAGACATTCGAGGATTGCCTTGAGACTTGCTTTGAGGATTTTTCTTATGCTATTCATTTCTTCAAACGAAGAATAAATGAATTATATCAACATATCGTATGCCTTAAGAGCCTTGTCCTTAAGAAAAATTTCTTTAATATTTTATAAAGCCTCTTTATTTTGAATTTATAGGGTTCTGAAAGTCGTATCCTCGCTGTGAAATGTAGAAAACCATAGAAATTCGCAGAATATCCAACCCGAATCTTTCAGAATGTCCGACAACATAACCTTTACTCCGATCGCTGACGTCACCTTGAAACATCACCTGGTTTCTGTTAGTGGCGTCTGCGTTGAGTTCAAAACTCCTGAGCGAAATGAAAGGGTGAGAATGATTCATCAGAAGATCAAAAATTCTGAAGAAAGAATGTTTTTTCAAGGTTTGATAATGAAATTTGAGAAGCTAGGACAGTCCTTCGTTGAAGTTTTTGAAGTTAGTAGTTTACAATGACAGGAGCTATGACAAGGGCAAATTTTCTTTTTCTGAAGAGTACTGTAAAGGAAAGTCCGCGTTTGGCGTGTGCACGTTTTTGCACACTGAGTGGTCCCAGTTACGGTTTCCTTGTAAGTTGAACTATATGATACAGCAGCCAAACATTCTGACTAAAACGAAAAATAAGGATTTTCATAGCTGACTCACGGCTGGCTTGAACCATTGAAAAAAGGGTCCTGACACGATAATGCACGAGATAGTGTCTGGTTGATAGAGAGCGCAGACAGGCCACGCCCACTTGGCGTCCCAAGCTAGCCGTGAATCAGCTATAAATAAAAATAGAAGAAAAAAACGCGGAGATGGCCCACTCAAATGTGCAAAAACGTGCGCACGCCAAATGCAGACTTTAACATACAGTATCCTTTAAAAAAAAACTTGCTCAAATATCAATTTTCAGTTTTCCTTCTTCGAGCTCTCGGATGATTCTGGCAAGCAGATCAAAGTTTGGGCCAACGAGTTTTGGCTCAATGTAGTTCGTTCACTGGTTTTCGAAGATTTGGTAATTTTTGAAGGCTGAATACCCAATTCAGAGAAGGATTTGCAGACTTATGACGTCATTGATGCTGAAGTCCGAGCCGCCGACCCAGCGTACAACTTTCTGAATACCGTTGAACTCCGACTGGTCGAAGGCTCTAAGGTTGGTTGGCAAAGTGGGAAGATTGGGCTTAAAGCTCGCCAGCTCGCCAGACCTAAAAGACAGCGTTGGAAAGCATTGCAAGATGCTTCTCATTTTTAAGCGCCCGACCAAAAACGAGCTTAGCGTAGAAGCTTTTGAAGGAATGGCTGAAAAGAGCTCTCAAGGACTTTTATGATCCAGAGCTGCTGATGAGACGAAGAGACCGCAACTTGCTTAGGAAGTCTAGAAGGGTCCCCATAGGAGTTAGGAGGAAAAAACAGCCCCTTCAAAACCGAAGAAGTGGTCCCCATAGGGGTTTACGGTCTGAGCCCTTAGCGCCTAAAGTGGTCCCTAGAGGGGTCTTTCAACTTGATTTTAAAAAGCTTATTTATTTATTTTTTTCGCATGGAAATGTTTCTTCGTCCTCCACTTTTTTTTTCTATCGTTTTCTGCATTTTTTTTTTCTTATTGATCGGGTCACCCCAGATCGACTGCTTTAAATCTCGAGGTGACCCGCAGCGCCCGGCCAGCAACTTTGCGCCCGACTAAAAGCGACTTACACGCTACGGCATCGGAAAGCTTTTCAGATAACAGTCTTGTAGCGTCTGTTTTAAAGCTCTAGATTATCAGCAATTTATAAAGACGTCCTCTGTGAAATTTTCCAATAATGCACTTTTTTTTAGCCATTCTCTGAGCTGTTCTACAAGTAAAAACTGAAAAAAATGGAATTTTATTTGATATCATTATTGCCATCTCCAAACTCTTTTTCGGCCCTGATTCAATGCTCAACGTCAAGTTTCAGATCGTTCAGAATCCAGAGAAACTCGGGGCGCCGGTGAAACATTATCCGCTTCGAAATCTCGACGACCTGCCAGTTGGCGAGAGCGAAATCTTCGCAGTGATAGGAAAAATTCTCTGGATTGGACCGATCGAATATGTAAGGAGATTAAAATTGAGTAATTTTGAGGTTGACAAGTGTAGGATTTTTTATTTGGCCATCGCGAAATTTTTGGAAAGTAGCCATAAATTAGCCAGCTTTGATAAATCAATGGGAGATTCTGAAAGTCTCAACTTGCAGAATTTCCTAATTTTCGAATAATGACACCTTGAAGCTCAAGAGGTTCATTAAAGTCATTGGGAAAGGGAAAGGTTGAGGCCTCCAGGTTGTTTCTTTTAATTGTCAAGATGTAATCAACAAGAAAAAAAGGCATAAATAGTATTATATAATTTCAAAGGAACGCCAGAGTGGTCTCTTTAGGGGTTAGGAGAAAAAGCAGACATTTTATGGGTAAAATTTAAGTGGTCCCTATAAGCATTTAGGGTCTGCCCCCTAGTTAATAACGATAATGGACTAGCATGTCCCATAATGGACTAGCATGACCCCTCTGGAGCTTCCAAGTCAGTTTCAGGCCGAAAATCGGGTTTCAGAAAAATAAGAACGACTTCAAGAGAGAGTTACGTGCGATTCGGATCGTCGACAAGAACGGTGTTGAATGTTCCGCGATGCTTTGGGGTCCTCATGCCCATCGTCTGCAGGAGAAGGACCTCGGCGTCTGGGTGCACTTCAACGGCGTCAAGGCCGGAATTTTTGATAGTTGGTTTTTTTAACGGAGATTTAGTTATGTGCTGTCAGGAGTGTTAGAATGACCATACGGATATTAACCAAAACGTAAAACTTATCGAAAAGTAGAACTTTTATTTTTCTTTAAAAAAAAGTTTTCTGATTACTGATAACTTTCAAATCTGTGCTCATCTTTTCTATTCTATAAATTTTTCTGAGACGGTAGGACTATTTAAAGTAGTCATTTTAGGGCTTTTTACGCTTTCAAGAGTTAAGAAATCAACCAGAATCGCTTTTTTCAGGTTCATGGATTTTTTGAAGCCTTCTCCAACTTTTTGAAGTGGTCATTAAAAAATTTTTCTGGTCCGGTTCCTCTAAAAAAGATGAACAAGACCATTTTTTCTTCTTTTAATGGTCATTTCAGCGGCTTCCCGCCTTTTGATTTTTTCTGAGCTTCTCATAAATGAGAATACCTAATTTTTCAAGCTCCTGAGAGTTGAGAGCGTTTTCCAGAGATTTAAGAGTTATATGAGCTTTTTCCGCGTCTATTTGCCCTAAGAAAGCCCAAAAACTAAAAAAAAATGAGCCTTTCGAAGTGGTCTTTTAGCGGTTTTTTGATCTTTAACATTTTCAAAGCTTCCAAAAAGTTTTCTCCGATTACAGATCAAGTTGAAGTCCAAACGGTGCGCAAAACACAGATCCTTCCGTATCGATATCTCGACACCGCGAACGAAATTGAAAAACTTCATTGAATTATCCAAATTATTCAAATCGTGTACTATCCTTATTAATATTGACTTCATATAAAGCCTCTCAAAGTCCAAAATGTCTCAGAATGGTCTCGAAAAGAAGATTTCAAAACTATCGTTTTCAGAAAAACGTCTAGAAAAAAGACGCCTTTAAAGCTTTTTTTCCGAAGGTCCTTTTTGAGACGTTTTGGACTTTGCCTGTATCCACATCCAACCATCCGCATGTTCCCATTGCTGTTTCCGATTCCTCATATTCATTTCTTTATTTATTATTCAACAAATCACTTATAACATATATGTGTCATACTATTTATTCGCTGATCATGTACCTCAGTTTTTTTTTTCACGTGCCTCACGTTTTTTTTTCTGAAAGTACGTCAGCTTTTTACAATTGTTCTGTGAACATCAGCAATTTTACTGCATAAATTATTTCCACCAATTTTTTTGAATTTCGAAGTTTTTTCCGATTTTTCTTTCGGTTTCTTACCAGGTTGACAAAGTCCCCCTGTCGAGAAGATATTGAATCTCTGAAAAAAAAATCAAATTTTTGAAAGCAAAAAGTATGCCTCATTTGCATAAAAAAAGTTGCGCAAATTGCAGAAAATTCTGATTTTTCAAAACAAGTTTTAATATTTTTTTTTTTCGGTTTTTGTTTGTGTCTTGGTTTTTCAGGTTGATTCTCAGCTTTAAAAAGTGTTTAGGAAGAGAATTTATCTCGAATAAACCACTTTTTTTGAAAAGATTTCAGCGCAAAACTCAAATTTTTTTGAGAAAAATTTTACAGTTTTTTTGCACACCAAAGCTGTGGATCAATTATTTTTTTGTAGGCTGGTACTTTTAATTTTCAGAAAATTCTTTGGATTGCGTTATTTACAGGTGGGGAAAACGACATTTCAGAAAAAAGGCCTCGTTGGCTGAGAAGACGAAATGATTCAATGTCAACAACTGGTTCGTGGAAAATTTTTTTTTTTTCTTGTTCTACATTTATTGATGTAAAATCGAATTTATTTTTTATTAAAAAAAATCGTTTCGCCATGAAAGGCGTCCATTTTTCTTTACTGACTGAAGATCTCAACTTGCATTAGATTTTTATTGATGAGAGAACCTTTTTAGCGTTTTCGTGGGGTTAAATTTGCTTTTTTTGCATTTTTTTTTTTGGCATAGAAGTTGCTCCAGCTCATTGTGAAAGATTAGACTTGAAAATGAGCTGATCCCCGGCGCCGAATGGCTTTGGTAAAACAGGAGCATGGATCAATCGCTGAGTCGGAAGGATGAAAAGTCTTATCACGATCTTTTTTTTGTTTCCTCGCATCCGAATGCCGTTCCTACGCTTTACACTTGTGCTGGGCAGTGGTTTTTTCTTTTTGATTTATTTGAGGGTAACTTCGCGGACTCTGACAGGCGTATGAAGTTGAAACTTTGGCGGCTTATAGACTTGGGTGCGCTCTTGGAAACGAGAGATTATCTTCTGAACTCTTGGAGCTTTTGAGAAAAAGCATCTCGAAAAAGTTCCGGAAGGGTTCTGTACCTGGACCTTTCTCTTCCACCTGGCGCAGTGGCTTGAGGGCCAGTCTCAGTTGATTTTTGGAGTTGGTTCGATTTTAATCGAGTGCAAATCTTTTTTGCTTTTTTAAAGACTTCCTAGCGATTTTCTCTAGAAATTGGACCCTCGTAAAACGTATGAATACGTTATTTTACCAGATTCAAATCTTTGAGCCGATATATGAATTTTTGAAGTTGAAAAGCTAATTTGACCAAAATACAAAAACATTTTATATTTTCGTATTTCTGAAGGTTCTAAAGGGTTCCAGATGGTTCTATATTCTATATGATAAATTCGTTATTTTACCAGATTCAAAGCTTTTCGAGCCGATATATGAATTTTTGAAGTTGAAAAGCTAATTTGACCCAGAACGAAGAATTCGTAATGGTTCCAGATGGTTCTATATGTAAGCAAACCTTCTGAGAACGTTTAAATACGTTATTTCACTCGAATCGGAGCTTTTGAGCCCATATATGACTTTTTTAAGATTAGAAGGAGGGTTAATTTGACTCAAAATAGAGGAAAAAGTCGATAGTTTTGTATTTCAGTAGGTTCTTAATGGTTCTATATGGGAGCGGGTTCTCTGAAAACGTGAAAAACTTCATTTCACTCGATTCTGAACATTTTGAGCTGAGATATAAATTTTTGAAGTTTAGTCCAGGACACTTCTAGATTCACCAGAAGGTCCTGAAAGTCTGTCTAATTTTCGAGAAAGGAAACCCCTCGAATTCCGTTTAAATAGGCTATTTTTTATGTTTTCCTTGTTTTTTGAAAACTAGGAAGTTTTACAGGTTAGGACTTTCAGAATATTTTTTTGGAACGCCAAGAAGTGTACTGGCCGATCTTTAAGAAATTCCCGACCGTAAATTGAAATGACCTTTCTTGTCAGAAGCTTTTTTCTAGGTCTAACAAATAATCTCTCTCAAGAGCTGCTACCAAGGTCCATGCGCCTGTCAGAGTCCGCCTAGTTGTCCAGTCAAATTAATCAAAAAAAAAAAAACAACTGCAAAAGTGTAAAGCGTCTGATCCTCTAACTCAAAGCCGCACTTTTGAGAGGATTTTTCCTTTTTTTTTCCTTTTCGGAGCGTCTAAGCTAATCAAAGTTTATTATGATGTTTTAACTGCTACTCTTCTTTTAGTGAAAGAACTGCTCCAGGATGAGCGCCAACGCCGCCAACATCACCCCGGTTTCGGCGGTCACCCGCGATTCGAGAGACGTGACGCTTCATGGCGTTTGCACTTTTCTCGAGTACAAATACGTTGCCAGCGATGAGCCAACGGTTGAGGTCACCTTTCCTTATTCCGAAAAATGGTTTGGTTTTTCTAAACTTATCTGTGCGTTAGAGCATCTTTGGGCCTTTTCAGAACCGCCGGAGTGGTCCCTATAGACCTTCTAGAAGTTCAAGTATTTTGCGTTTCAAAGAGCGTATGAATTTCCAAGCTCATTTTAAAATTTTCATAGACTGACTTTTTGGAGAGCTCGATTTTCTTGAAATACTTTCAGAGTTATAAGCTTCATTATTAGATTCGTGAAACATTTTTGATAGATATGTACGAAATTCCGCGTTGTTTCCGATGTGCATTCTCAAAAATATACTTTTATTTTCTTGAGGTTGAATTTTTATAGTTTTTATAGTATTGGTTCTCCTCTGCAAACAGTCGAATAATATTATTGGAAGAGGATAAATCCCACCATCAAGATCCGAAAGATTTTGTTACTTTTGTACTGAGGCATCGTCAAGACTTCCGCATTTCGCGAAAGAAAATATTTTTCCACATTTCTTAATTCGAAATTTTAGTTCCGCCCATCTCTGATTTGTGCGTCTCAGAGTCTTTTCGGAAGGATCGAAAGTTTGAAGCTTTTATAAGCTTTTTACGAGAAGTTTATATCCAGCAGACGTCAAAACGGCTTTTCAAAGACTACGAATTTATTTTCAAATCATGTTTTTGTTTCGTTGTTTTAGTCATAGATTTAATCAACTAGGCGGTGAACAAGAACTTTAAAAGCTTGACGAACAACCGCCTTTGGCGAACTGGAAGTCCAAACGTGTAGTGATCAAGTTGAAAACATGGTCTTACGGTCCTTCGCCTCGTCCTTCTGCGCTTAGACCGTTCAGTTGCGCCTTGACGAGTTCAGAGTGTAGCGGATATTGTAGCTGGAGCCCTAATACCGTGCTCTAGGTTGAAGCCTCGGAATGAGACCCACCACTTCGGGTGAAGATTTTTCCCGGAAACGTTGTACTACGTTTTTCAAAAGAAATCTTTCATATAAAAGCGAAGTTTTTTGAGCTTTTGTAAACAATTCTTTCATTCAGTTCGCCCGTTTCAACCTAACAGACGAGCTCGGAGACAGCATGGTCATTACTGCTCACGGAAAAAAAAGCTGACATGGTCAGATCGGTCGTGAAAAAGGGAGAAGTTTGCCCAGAAAGATCTTTAGAGAAGGGTAATAATCCATATTCAGACTGTCTTCGTGACGGCGCTCCTCCCGACGTCGCTCCCCCCTTTTGAAATGAGAATCCAATTGGATTCAGAGGTAATAATCGTTACATATATAGTTCGTTTGCCGCGATTTGAAATTTTTCAAATGTCTGCGTCTCTCTGTTCCCTCACCGGCAAGGTCAGAGAAACATGTAAAGAGCACGTCAACATGAGAGGGTCGCCGAGAGACGAAGAGGGCGCAGAGAAGTACCGCCCTCTCAAGTCGCAAAAAACGGACTATAAAAGGATATCCCATTGTTTTAATATTTTTTTTCTTTTTTACAAGCTGTCTTCAAGTTATTACTATAGGATGCGCCTAATTAACTGACGTGATTTTTTTTTTTAGATGAATTAGGCCTGGAACAAGAACTTTCGAAGCCATATCGAACAACCGCTTTTGACGAACTAGAAGTCCAAATGTGTAATTGAAAGAGTTTAATACATGATCTTATATGCTTTCTTTGGACCGCCGGAGTGGTCTCTAGAGGGATTGGGGGAAAACAGCACCTATACGGAGCATATAAGGGCCTCTTCTTTTCAGAGCAGCCTTGGGAATTTTAGAGTGGTCCCCTATAAGGGTTGGTAAAGTGGTCCCTAGAGGAAACCCTTCAAGGGCCCCTACGGTTGCTCCTATAGGGACCACTCCGGAGTCCCTAAGGTTAAACGAAGTTCGAATCCTTTTGACTATGAGATATAACGATTTGAATGCCGTTCAATGATCAGGCCCACCCCCTGAAATCATTCCTGACCCTGACACCTTTTTACGACTTTGATATCAGTAAAAGTATAAAATCAATATTGTTTTCTTTGTTTTTTTCTGGTTAGATGGTATATTTCTCCTTCTTTGAATCGGTATAATTTGTTCTCAATAAGTTGAAGCAGTCTGACCTATCTGCGATTCCTTTTCCCTCATCAATGCCTTCTAAAAATAGAACGTAAAAATGAGAGCGTTGCCGAAGAAAAAGAGAGTCAAACTCTTGAAATTGGCAGTCCCAAATTTTTCAAGCTTCGCGATTGGCAGCCCCAAAAATTTAGATCAGACTTTTTGAAGTTTTGACGGACGTGTTGTACGAAGAATGGAGGTTGAGAAAGTCTCTCAGGTTGAGGAAAATTTTTCCGAAAGGACCTAGTCTGAAGAGTTAAAAGAGTACTAGTTCTGCGTGAAATTCCCTATTTTTATTTATTTCTTCTTAAAATTCAAAAAAAAATTTTTTCTTAATCAAAAGAAAATTTTCAAAATGTTGAAGATAACGGTGAGCGAAAAGAAAATCGTGCCACCGCCCACACAATATCCCATCTACATGGTGGACTCGATTCCCTACTCTGAGATCTATGGAGTCATCGCTGTTCTAGACGAGGTCGAAGTTATGAAAATTGTGGGTTTTCAACGTCTTGGCTTAGGAGTTGAATAAACTTTTCCCAAAATCTCCATTTTCTCCATTTTTCCCGTGAATTTATAAGTTCAAATCATCTGCACAAGCACTTCCAGATCCGGAATAAGGACGGCGAGACGTCGTACCGTGACGTCACACTTGCCAATTTCGACGGAGCAACAAAAACTGCTCGACTTCATGGACCTCATGCTCGGCTCGTCGGATGCAAGGACGTCAACTTCGTCGTCCACCTCAACGGCGTCAAGACGTTCATTGAAAATTGTACGAATATAGAAGAAAAGTTGAAAATGACGGCGTTTTTTTTGACGACGTCCCGCCCTTTTTTTCCGTAAAGTTTAGTGTGTCGTGTGCATGCACTGCGGCACTCTCGCACGTGTCAAAAATAACTTTTTTCTTCTCTGAATTTCCGGAACTCTGTTACATTTTTCACGTTCTGACGAATATTTTGAATTTCGCGGAATCATTTTGAACACGGCAATAGAAAAATTGCGTTTTTTACTTGAGAAGTCGATTCGTCTCATGACCCATTTCACATGCGCCTTTAATACCCCCTTTTTTGGGCTTTTTTCTCATGACGTCATATGGGAACGGCAGGAGTTCTGACTCCGCCTGAAAAAGTTACTGTTTACGTAACTTTAAAAAAAACGAAAGGAGAACTCCGTGAAGATCCTCGGACGAAACATTTTATAGGACGCCTAATGAAATGTTGATAAAAAACTTCAAAATTTTCGGATTTGGCTCTCTACGGTTTTTATTTTTGGAATAATTCGATTCATATGATCTTCGTCTTCTTTTTTTGAACTTTTTTTCGTTCGAAATGGTACCGGTGAAGTGGAAATCACAGTCTGAGAGTGAAAAAGGGAATGAATATATTTTATAGGTTAGAGATCTTTTCGGATTCCGCGGAATCGGCGTAAAACACTTATTTCGAAAAAAATTTTTTTGAATTTTTATTTTTTTCAGCAAAAGTCCGTATTGAGACTACCAATGAGACCGAAGTGGTTGTCTACCGCCACTTGAGGTTAGCCAAAGAGCTCCTATGCTCGAAAGCCCGAAACACCAGAAGGAATGGTAACAAGTGGGTTTTTTTTTTCAAGAATTAAGGTTAAAGAAAAGATGACCTTTTTTCCAAAACTCCAAAAAGACACTAAAAAAAGGTTCTGGAGTGAAATGTGCGCGGGTTAGGTCCATTTCGTTATACGGTAAAAAAAAAAACGGGACAAACAGACCCGGAACGGGTTATAGTGAACTTGGTCTCATTTAGAAGGTCCACTTTGAGCAAAGGACCAATAAAGTATTTACCAAGCTTTCTGATTTCCAAGCTTTTCCAGCACGTATCGCGATCAGCATTGAATTGAATGCTTGGTTGGCATCAGAACGATTTCGAAGAGCAACTTGTAGTTTTTGTTGTATTTTGATTGTCAGGTTTTTTTCCATGTTTTATCCCTAAAAGTTGTACCTTTCGCACGTTCTCACGTTTTCATTTTTTAATGATAGCAATGAATTTTTTTCGGTGTAATACACTGGAATTTTTTTCAATTACTCTTGTTATATGCCAGGTCGATTGATCTACCAAAATCTGAAGCTTCTCGTCATTTAAAGTTTTAGAAAAGACGAGAAGCTTCAGATTTTTTTTCCCGCATTCTCAAGCAACACACAATTCTTATCAACTAGAAGCGGTTTCTTCCATTTTCTCAGAAACTCCCATATTTCTCATCCTGATGCTTGTGTTCAAAAAACGCATTAATTGAGTGTGGCGCCGAATACCATGAAGTGACAGAACTGGTGAAAAAAGTACGAAAATTGAGCAAGATATTGATAAATATTATCAACCGCCCAGTTCTTCCAAACTCCCAATCAGATAGAGATAAGTCCTTATTTTTTGAATGTTAATTTGATTTCAATTTTTTTCAGTGAACTCTAAAGCCTTCTACAAATAGCAGAAATGGAAATAAAGGAAGACAACAGAATTAAAAGAAAATCTGACAATTGGAAGCCGTTTCTTGCCGGCAATCAAACAAATTATAGTCTGTTTGCCAAGACTTGAAATTCCACGGAACGACATTCCGCTGTTCCGCTGCGTGTGTTCGCGAAGCGTCTTTCGAATCTAGATCACACTTTCAATTGATTGTTATTGCTCTGGGAGCGCATGAAAGTAGAGTAACTTAATAAAAGAAATAAATTAAAAAAAGCGCGACCAAGGTTCGCAAAAGGCGCGCAGCGGGACAGCGGAATGTCGTTCCGTGAAATTTCAAGTCGTGGCACACAGACTATAGCAGCAGTCAGCACCGCGAGAAAGATGAGTCATTGATTTTTTTTGACGGAGATTTGTTAATATTATTTTAGTAAGCCGCAAAAAGAAGGAAGAACTGGAGCGATTCGGCACTATTAATCGAACGTCTACGTCATGAAGATGTTCGCCTCTGGTTCCAATTTCTTCTTTCATTATTATGTTCTTTTTTCGATAAATCAAACTCTGCTTTTGTTTTTTGACGATTTCACGTTCTTTAAAGATGTCGATCCACCTTGAAGCAAGTTATATACTGGAAAAAGTATAAAGCTTCGGCATTTTAATTCAAATTTATCTGAACTATATTGTTTATACAACTGTTCGCATGTTGAAGACTGCCAACTATATGAGAACGTCCGCACTTTGAAAATTTACACCTCTGAACGAACAAAACAACAAAATTGGGATTTGGAAACCTTATGGAAGCCAACAAGGGTAATACCTATATCATTCTATAGATCTGGACTAAAAACTAGAAATTACCCAGATTTGACCTCCATAGGTCGACTAGGAACTTAGTTAAGGACGATCAAACTTTCAGGACGATAATTAAAATTTGCTCAAAATTGGTATCAATCGACGGAGGTTATCGAGGAGATTACAAAAAACTAGGTCTCGATGTTTCTAACTTCCTAAAAACAAAGTTATGAATTTGCAAAGAGTCAGAAACTAAGCTTTTGGATGAAGCTCTAACAACTGATATGCTACATCACTAGAAAGCTGACAGCGAGAGGAGTCGGGTGATGTAATCAGATTAGCTGTAGCTGCTCTGGGAGCCGAGATATAAGCGTTTGAAGTCTGTCATTAATATCTCGATAAGCGTCAGATATAAGGCATTTAGTGCATTGCACCCCGGTCTTATTTTCTCGCGAAAAGTAAAAGCTCAAATTTTTTTTCGTATTTTTAGGGTTTTTCTAGATCAATCGACAGAGCAGCCTCTATATGGTACTGTTATCATACTGGTTTTGATGAAAAAGCTCAAAAGTTAAGTAAAAAATAGGCTTGAAAAATCGTATTTTCCAGACTTTGAAGCATCATAACTTTTTTCATTAGCAGGTAACATAGAAACTTGATACATCATTCGATTTGTCTCGACGGCAGCTTTTCAAAAGTACATGTCTCCAAGAGATTAAATCACTATTGATAAAATTGATAAACTTTTAAAAGTCATAACTTTCATTCTAGAAGTCTCAGAACGTTTTGACCTGGATTTTCGTACTTCTGACGCCCCTTCCTATCGATTGATGTAAAAATCTCGGAAACTTTGGTTTTGTGGAAAATCGAAAAAAGTGCAGCCCTTGGCTTTTTTTCGAGCTTCTGAGGTCATGGAAGCCGATCTAGACGAAACCTATATCAATCGATAGATCTCGACGAGAAAATATTCTGAGACCAGGTTTGACCTCTGTAGGTCAACTAGGAACTGAGTTATGGACGATCAAACTGAGAGGTCGAAAATTGGAAAGTAGGTCAAATTCGGTATCAATCGATAGAGGAGATCAAGGGTTTCAAGAAAAACTAGGTCTCTACGTTCCTAACTTCCTACTGATCGAGTTATGCTTTTTCAAAAACTTCAAAAAATCATAACTTTCATTCTAGAAGTCTCAGAACGTTTTGACCTGGATTTTCGTACTTCTGACGCCCCTTCCTATCGATTGATGTAAAAATCTCGGAAACTTTGGTTTTGTGGAAAATCGAAAAAAGTGCAGCCCTTGGCTTTTTTTCGAGCTTCTGAGGTCATGGAAGCCGATCTAGACGAAACCTATATCAATCGATAGATCTCGACGAGAAAATATTCTGAGACCAGGTTTGACCTCTGTAGGTCAACTAGGAACTGAGTTATGGACGATCAAACTGAGAGGTCGAAAATTGGAAAGTAGGTCAAATTCGGTATCAATCGATAGAGGAGATCAAGGGTTTCAAGAAAAACTAGGTCTCTACGTTCCTAACTTCCTACGGATCGAGTTATGCTTTTTCAAAAACTTCAAAAAATCATAACTTTCATTCTAGAAGTCTCAGAACGTTTTGACCTGGATTTTCGTACTTCTGACGCCCCTTCCTATCGATTGATGTAAAAATCTCGGAAACTTTGGTTTTGTGGAAAATCGAAAAAAGTGCAGCCCTTGGCTTTTTTTCGAGCTTCTGAGGTCATGGAAGCCGATCTAGACGAAACCTATATCAATCGATAGATCTCGACGAGAAAATATTCTGAGACCAGGTTTGACCTCTGTAGGTCAACTAGGAACTGAGTTATGGACGATCAAACTGAGAGGTCGAAAATTGGAAAGTAGGTCAAATTCGGTATCAATCGATAGAGGAGATCAAGGGTTTCAAGAAAAACTAGGTCTCTACGTTCCTAACTTCCTACGGATCGAGTTATGCTTTTTCAAAAACTTCAAAAAATCATAACTTTCATTCTAGAAGTCTCAGAACGTTTTGACCTGGATTTTCGTACTTCTGACGCCCCTTCCTATCGATTGATGTAAAAAAATCTCGGAAACTTTGGTTTTTGTGGAAAATCGAAAAAAAAGTGCAGCCCTTGGCTTTTTTTCGAGCTTCTGAGGTCATGGAAGCCGATCTAGACGAAACCTATATCAATCGATAGATCTCGACGAGAAAATAATCTGAGACCAGGTTTGACCTCTGTAGATCAACTAAGAACCAAGTTATGGACGATCAAACTGAGAGGTCGAAAATTGGAAAGTAGGTCAAATTCGGTATCAATCGATAGAGGAGATCAAGGGTTTCAAGAAAAACTAGGTCTCTACGTTCCTAACTTCCTACGGATCGAGTTATGCTTTTTCAAAAACTTCAAAAAATCATAACTTTCATTCTAGAAGTCTCAGAACGTTTTGACCTGGATTTTCGTACTTCTGACGCCCCTTCCTATCGATTGATGTAAAAATCTCGGAAACTTTGGTTTTGTGGAAAATCGAAAAAAGTGCAGTCTAACCCCTTAGCTTTTTTTTTGAGCTTCTGAGGTCTTGGAAGCCGATCTCGGACGAAACCTATATTAATCGATAGATCTCGACGAGAAAAATAACCTGAGACCAGGTTTGACCTCTGTAGATCAACTAAGAACCAAGTTATGGACGATCAAACTGAGAGGTCGAAAATTGGAAAGTAGGTCAAATTCGGTATCAATCGATAGAGGAGATCAAGGGTTTCAAGAAAAACTAGGTCTCTACGTTCCTAACTTCCTACGGATCGAGTTATGCTTTTTCAAAAACTTCAAAAAATCATAACTTTCATTCTAGAAGTCTCAGAACGTTTTGACCTGGATTTTCGTACTTCTGACGCCCCTTCCTATCGATTGATGTAAAAATCTCGGAAACTTTGGTTTTGTGGAAAATCGAAAAAAGTGCAGCCCTTGGCTTTTTTTCGAGCTTCTGAGGTCATGGAAGCCGATCTAGACGAAACCTATATCAATCGATAGATCTCGACGAGAAAATAACCTGAGACCAGGTTTGACCTCTGTAGATCAACTAAGAACCAAGTTATGGACGATCAAACTGAGAGGTCGAAAATTGGAAAGTAGGTCAAATTCGGTATCAATCGATAGAGGAGATCAAGGGTTTCAAGAAAAACTAGGTCTCTACGTTCCTAACTTCCTACGGATCGAGTTATGCTTTTTTTCAAAAAAACTTCAAAAAAATCATAACTTTCATTCTAGAAGCCTCAGAACTTTTTTTGACCTGGATTTTTCGTACTTCTGACGTCATTTCCTGTCGATTGATGTAAAAATCTCGGAAACTTTGGTTTTGTGGAAAATCGAAAAAAGTGCAGTCTAACCCCTTGGCTTTTTTTGAGCTTCTGAGGTCTTGGAAGCCGATTCGGACGAAACCTATATTAATCGATAGATCTCGACGAGAAAATAACCTGAGACCAGGTTTGACCTCTGTAGATCAACTAAGAACCAAGTTATGGACGATCAAACTGAGAGGTCGAAAATTGGAAAGTAGGTCAAATTCGGTATCAATCGATAGAGGAGATCAAGGGTTTCAAGAAAAACTAGGTCTCTACGTTCCTAACTTCCTACGGATCGAGTTATGCTTTTTCAAAAACTTCAAAAAATCATAACTTTCATTCTAGAAGTCTCAGAACGTTTTGACCTGGATTTTCGTACTTCTGACGCCCCTTCCTATCGATTGATGTAAAAATCTCGGAAACTTTGGTTTTGTGGAAAATCGAAAAAAGTGCAGTCTAACCCCTTGGCTTTTTTTGAGCTTCTGAGGTCTTGGAAGCCGATTCGGACGAAACCTATATTAATCGATAGATCTCGACGAGAAAATAACCTGAGACCAGGTTTGACCTCTGTAGATCAACTAAGAACCAAGTTATGGACGATCAAACTGAGAGGTCGAAAATTGGAAAGTAGGTCAAATTCGGTATCAATCGATAGAGGAGATCAAGGGTTTCAAGAAAAACTAGGTCTCTACGTTCCTAACTTCCTACTGATCGAGTTATGCTTTTTCAAAAACTTCAAAAAATCATAACTTTCATTCTAGAAGCCTCAGAACTTTTTGACCTGGATTTTCGTACTTCTGACGTCATTTCCTGTCGATTGATGTAAAAATCTCGGAAACTTTGGTTTTGTGGAAAATCGAAAAAAGTGCAGTCTAACCCCTTGGCTTTTTTTGAGCTTCTGAGGTCTTGGAAGCCGATTCGGACGAAACCTATATTAATCGATAGATCTCGACGAGAAAATAACCTGAGACCAGGTTTGACCTCTGTAGATCAACTAAGAACCAAGTTATGGACGATCAAACTGAGAGGTCGAAAATTGGAAAGTAGGTCAAATTCGGTATCAATCGATAGAGGAGATCAAGGGTTTCAAGAAAAACTAGGTCTCTACGTTCCTAACTTCCTACGGATCGAGTTATGCTTTTTCAAAAACTTCAAAAAATCATAACTTTCATTCTAGAAGTCTCAGAACGTTTTGACCTGGATTTTCGTACTTCTGACGCCCCTTCCTATCGATTGATGTAAAAATCTCGGAAACTTTGGTTTTGTGGAAAATCGAAAAAAGTGCAGCCCTTGGCTTTTTTTCGAGCTTCTGAGGTCATGGAAGCCGATCTAGACGAAACCTATATCAATCGATAGATCTCGACGAGAAAATATTCTGAGACCAGGTTTGACCTCTGTAGGTCAACTAGGAACTGAGTTATGGACGATCAAACTGAGAGGTCGAAAATTGGAAAGTAGGTCAAATTCGGTATCAATCGATAGAGGAGATCAAGGGTTTCAAGAAAAACTAGGTCTCTACGTTCCTAACTTCCTACGGATCGAGTTATGCTTTTTCAAAAACTTCAAAAAATCATAACTTTCATTCTAGAAGTCTCAGAACGTTTTGACCTGGATTTTCGTACTTCTGACGCCCCTTCCTATCGATTGATGTAAAAATCTCGGAAACTTTGGTTTTGTGGAAAATCGAAAAAAGTGCAGTCTAACCCCTTAGCTTTTTTTTGAGCTTCTGAGGTCTTGGAAGCCGATTCGGACGAAACCTATATTAATCGATAGATCTCGACGAGAAAATAACCTGAGACCAGGTTTGACCTCTGTAGATCAACTAAGAACCAAGTTATGGACGATCAAACTGAGAGGTCGAAAATTGGAAAGTAGGTCAAATTCGGTATCAATCGATAGAGGAGATCAAGGGTTTCAAGAAAAACTAGGTCTCTACGTTCCTAACTTCCTACTGATCGAGTTATGCTTTTTCAAAAACTTCAAAAAATCATAACTTTCATTCTAGAAGCCTCAGAACTTTTTGACCTGGATTTTCGTACTTCTGACGTCATTTCCTGTCGATTGATGTTGAAAAAACCCCGATAATGTTTTTATCTTTTGCTTTTACGTGAAAATATTGCTTCGTTCTCTATTGCACCAAACAAATTTTATCCGACGCCTTGAATGTATTTATGACAACCTTAAGCTCATATCTCGGCATAAAGTAGCCACAGCTTGTCTGATTGTACCATTCGATTCGCGTTGACGTCAACTTTTCAGTAATATAAGTAATCAGTTTGTTGAGCTTCACCCTGAAGCATCAGCTTCATCTCTAATTTGAGCTTCTCCTCTCCGTAGGCAATTTGTTAACTTCATCTTTGACGCACATCAATTCAAGTCCCGGCTCAGCTGATCAGAATATTCAAATCTTATTGATCCTATCTTCTGCAACGCATTTTGAAAGCTATCACTTTGAGAAAAAGAAGTACAAAGTAATAAATTATTTCCAGTAACATGGAGTTACAACCAGAATTCAAGCTTTTTTGATTTTCAATCTTCAGTCAAGCATTGCGGCGTTCTTCTATGAACTCGCTTCTCGATATGTCCAGGAGTGGGAGATGATCCAAGTCGCCGGCGAGTTTTCCAACTTTGAAAAAAAAGTTTGAAATTCAGTGCATATCTACGCAAAAGCCTTATGAGAATTAAAAAAGGTCAATAAAGCGCGTAAAAACAATTGAAAACGATGGGTCTTACAGCGAACCACAGTAGTACCCGCCAAATGTGAATATGCCGGACTTTTCGTTTAAAAAAAATGCTTAAATCCACACCGAACCTAAGATTCTTCGATCACAAAACTTTGAATAAAATCATCCGAAAAAAAAACTAAAAAGAAAGATAAACATTTAAAATTTGTAGATTTTTAAAATCACGACATTAACCATTAAATAATTTCTTTTTTTAATCCCAACTCAATACTGACTTGATTTATAGTTCGTTCCGCGCGAGACGGTCACGTTCTAAAAGAACAAAAAAATGCTACCGTAAATAAAAACGTTTGCTTTACAAAACTGTTAAAAGGTCTTGAAGCGAAGATTTTCAAATTTGGTCTGATTCGGTATACGGTCTTTTTTGGAGGAAAGAAAAACGTGAAAAGCTGCCGCGGTATAGGCTATAACACATGTAAAAAAACGGAAATCGATTCGTGCAAGTCTTGCATATTGCTGAAAAACATGTTATGAACGAACAAGTGGGCGATCTATATCATGATATCAGTTTTTTTCTTCATAATATAAAAGACAACGAGAAGACAAATATTACAGAAAAACCGCAGAAGAGAGCAATTCGCTGTTGAAGATAGGTTCGTCCATCAGAGCCCTGGAATTTATTCAACAATTATCAACTTATCTTGCAAGCGTATCGGCAGAAGCTGAGACGTGTGACAAATTCATCGATGCTCTAAAATAAAAATATCATCAAGCTTGAATGAAGAAAATTGACTGATCTTCTGCAAAATAGAAGCTCAGGCGTAGGTTCTAAACTCTCAATGTTACACTTTGAACCCTTCTCATAAGCTAACCTAGTCTTCTTGGTTTCGGTACCACTTCACACGTTCTCCACTAAAATTCTTATAATCATCCTTCAGGCTAGGGCGAATACAAAACTGTCGATCAAGTAATTCACACCAAAGTATTGGTTACAAAACGGGCAACTGACACCTTTTCCTGTCAGGTCACTGACGAGTGACACTATTTAGGAGCCAATTTCCGATTTGGGAACAAACCAACCAAGCTATTGACACATTTAGACCACGAATAACGCCAGTTCCGACTGATCAGTGACAAGGTGTGAGACGCGGCCCAAGCTCTCAAGTTGACACTTGGGAAGCCTGAGGCTTGTGGACCGACTAACCCTGCCTCTTTTGGGTTTAAATAGCCGCTATCGAGGAGCTCGAGCCAACTTTTGTTGCTGAACCTCTGTTTCTCACGATGAACTCTGCTTCTTCTGCTCAAAGCCCTGTCCGAACTGCTCCTCAGAGCTTCGACAGTCTGGCAAACGCGCCACTTCGAATCGAGATCCGCCGCCCACTGGGTTAGTTTATTTTTCACTTTGATTTTCATACTCAATATTCATTTTCGATTCATTTCTAAAAATGCTGTATTTGCAGACATCACCACCAGAACCCGCAGAAGTCTCGACTTCAACGCTCTGAGTCCTGTTCGACCTGCCCCAGCTTCTCAAGAGTTTGACAGTCTGGCAAACGCACCATTTAGAGAGAATATCCGTCGTTCTTTGGGTTAGTTTTTGTACTTCTGGCAGTTTCTCAATTATTCATCTTGCAGACACCACAACCAGAACTCGCAGAAGCCTCGACTTTTCGCTCGACCTCGCTCGACCGAATCCTGTCGAGCCTGTTCCGGAAGTCCCAGCTGGGATCCTGAAGACTCCGACTCGCAGCAAGATCTCTCCGAAAGCCTCGAAACGTGTGACTTGGGCTCCGATCCGCAAAACTCGCCAAAATGGAAAGATCCGTCATTCTTCAGGTAATTTTTCAACTTCATCTGACTTCCACTGATGGGATAATCTTTTCAGTCTCTGCCCAGCCTTCTGCTCTTTCTCTCGCAAACTGGAACCCGAACTCCATGAAGTCGCTGGTCGTGACGCTCCTCGAGATGCCTTCCCGTCCAATTCCCCGAAACTGATCGTCTCCAATCCGCAATTTCCGTTTTTTTTTTCACGTTCCGATTTCTTCAACTGATCTCTTTCTTGCCTTTTTAGTCGCTGATGGCTTTCTAACTTTGTTTTCAAACTTTGTTTCCATTTTTCTTTCATTTCACTAAATTCCCACTTTATAACGTTTCTGGTATTTTCAAGTCACTGATATAGTCTTTTAACTCTCTTCGGTACCCCTTCAGTAACAATTTTGTCTTAAGTGCCCCCTCCAGTGATTATTTTCTTTTTCTGAAGATCTTTTTGCATTCGGTGTTATTATTGTTCTTATTATTCTATCCTTCTCTGAAATTATCGTCCTTAATTGTTATGTTTTTGGTTTAAAGTCAATAAAACAAAAAAAAAAATTAAATCTTTGTTCTTACTTGAAAAAGGAAACGAAAGAATTCAAAGAGGAGCTCAATAATTCGAAAAGCTCGATCAACTTTCTTCACTCACTTCTGCTTGAAATTGTTATTTTTTTATAACACGATAGTTTGAAAAAAATCTAACTCATGAAACGTCAAAACTTGAATAATCTGAGAATAGATTGAGCCGAAGAGGAGAAGTTAGGAAGCTGACCAAATTTAGCCTTCAGTCTGTCGTTTAAGATCTTTTTTTCCTGCAGTTTTCAAAAAAATTTCATGAAATTTTTTTAAAAACTCAGCCATAACCTCTGAGTAGAGACCGCAGAGCCACGCCCCTTTTTGCGATGGTGAAATGCACTGGTTTTTTAGATTTCGTGTTTGATGTTTACGTAAAAGCGCAATACTGAATCAAACACAGAGAAATTTGGTGGAAACATAGAGAAAACCTTCCTCTTTAATCTCATATACTTTTCAGCCGATTTTCGAAGCGTTTTAGCGGAGTGTCGTACAAAAAACCAAAACTACTTTTTCTTCGGGTTTTTCAACCTAGTTCCATGTCGTTGGCGAATTTTTTTATTTTTCGAATTCGATTCTTAAGTGAAAAAAACAAATCTTTTTAGGACAAAAAAATTAAAATTTTTTTACGGTGCCTAATCTTCATGAGGCTGCGCAAAGTTGAAAATTTCGTAGTCGGTTTTCGAGAGCGTGTAAGTAAAAAAATTTTTTTATTTTTAACTTGTGGATTAAATTGTAACTAAAATTTTTATTAATATAAAACTGAATCCGAAAACTTTGTTTTTCTGAGAAAAAAATAAACAGTGAAAATTTCGAAATTTATTTTTAACATGGTTAGATGTCGTTGGCGCCTTTTTTTATTTCTTAAATATTAGCGTATCTCAATTTTTCAATCAATTAAAAAAATAAAATAAAAAAATTTTTCACGGTGCCTAAAAAGTTTAATTATTGTTAATTTGAAGCCAACGTTTAAAATAACAAAAAACACCGAAAACGGAAACATTTTGAACTGAATCTCTATGAATAAATTATTTTCAGGTGGTCCGAACACATGTGACTAATAATTGTTCAACTATCATAACTTTTTTTAAACAAGATAGTCGGTAAATGCTGTACTTTGATGTGAAGTGCTGTATAGCGCGAACGCCTCTTATCTCCGAGAGATGTGTGTGGAGCAGCGCAAGTGCGCTTGCATACAGTTGTGATATCGCGAGTTCAATCCTCGCAGCGGCCATTTTTTTTTATTTTTCAAGAAAAAATATCTTTTCTTTTCAAACTTGCGGTTTTATACTGTTTTAATGACTTATTACGACTTTGAAAACCAAACTAAACTACTAAAAAATTTAAATCCGATATGAAAACAAAATGAACGACCAAAAGTGTAAAATCTAAACTTTCAGTACTAAATTTCGCGACTTTTTTCACTACTGTTTTGACCACAGCTTTTTTTTTCTCAACCTTTTTCGAAAAACTAAACTGTTTTGGATAGTAAATTAGAGCAGCTATCCAACCATAGTAATATTGAAGTTCGAAAATTTTTTTTAAAATTCGTCTACGGTCCCTACCTTTGAGAATTGTAAGAAATGTTCTGAAATCTCTGATTTCCCTTCGTGATCGTATTTAACTGAAATAGTCAGCCTTCATGTTGGGAATGAACAAACTTGAAGTTATTGTACCAAGAAATTTCAGAAATCTCGGAGAACGTGTGCTAAAGAAGTAAGATTTAAAGATCTAAAATATCCTCTTTTGAGGAGAAAAAGAGTATCTTTCCACCGTTTGTTTAATTTCGACACCTGTTATCTCTTTCTCAACTAACTTCTCATGGTCAACCTTCAGGCTGGGAAGATGACAAAGCTGTCGATCAAGTAATTCACACCAAAGTATTGGTTACAAACGGGCAACTGACACCTTCTTCTGTCGGGTCACGGACGAGTGACACTATTTAGGAGCTCATTTCCGATTTAGGAAGTATCCAACCAAGCGATTGACACATTTAGACCCCGGACAACGCCAGTTCCGACTGATCAGTGACAAGGTGTGAGACGCGGCCCAAGCTCCCAAGTTGACACTTGGGACGCCTGAGGCTTGTGGACCGACTAACTCCGCCTCTTTTGGGTTTAAATAGCCGCCGTCGAGGAGCTCGAGCCAACTTTTGTCGCTGAAACTCTGTTCCTCACGATGAACTCTGCTTCTTCTGCTCAAAGCCCTGTCCGAACTGCTCCTCAGAGCTTCGACAGCCTGGCAAATGCGCCCCTTCGAAAGAGTTTTCGCCGTTCTTTGGGTTGGTTTTTTTTAAATCATCAACGTTTAACGATCCTTCGAATTTGTTGTTTTTTTCCTCTTCTATACTCTTGCTAGCATCATTCATTTTTTTTTTTAGAAAAAGAAGCTTTCATTTTAAATTGATCAAAGTTTGAACATTTTTTTTCATTCTGAAGGTACTATAGAAAATTTGAACATTCATTTCCTTCTAATGTCTTCCACTCAAAACCTGTCCATTTTGCAGACACTACTACCAAGACTGCCAATCGCAGGAACCTCGACTTTTTCGCTCTGAGTCCTGTCCGACCTGCTTCATCTTCTCAGGAGATCGACAACATGGCAAATGCGCCACTACGCGAAAATATCCGCCGTCCTTTGGGTTAGTTCATTCACCTCTCACAGCCCTGTATAACTTTTTTTAACTTCGATTTCTTCAAAAAAGTCCTGAAATTGCAGACATTACTACGAGAACTCGAAGAAGTCTCGACTTCAACGCTCTGAGTCCAGTTCGACATGCTCCAGCTCTTGAGGACTTCAACAACTTGGCCAATGCGCCCCTTCGGAAGACGATCCGCCGTTCTTTGGGTTAGTATCATAATTCTTAAGCTTATTAAGAAATCTTTTCTTCTCTTTAAACTTTATAAACTTCTAGATACTACCACCAAAGTCGCCACTCGCAGAAGTCTCAACTTTAACGTTCTGAGCCCAGTTCGAGCTTCTCCAGCTTCTCAAGAGATCGACAGTTTGGCAAATGCGCCGCTTCGGAAGAATATTCGCCGTTCTTTGGGTTCGTTTTTTCATTCTGAAGCATTTTCAAACTTCCTTTCCTTTGCAGACACCACCACTAGAACTCGCAGAAGTCTCAACTTTTTCGCTCTAAGTCCTGTCCGAGCCGCTCCAGTTCCCCAGAACTTCGATAGTCTTGAAAATGCGCCCCTTCGCAGAAACATGCGTCGTTCTTTGGGTTAGTTTCTTGTCTATTCTGGAGCGTTTTCCGTTTGTTTTCAATTTTGACGTCTACAGTATCATCCTGATTTGCAGACACCACCACCAAAACTCGCAGAAGTCTCAACTTTTTGATGGACCTTGCTCCTGCTCAGAGAATGTCTGAAACTCTAGCTGAGGTCTCGAAGACTCCAACTCGCAGCGAAATGGCTCCAGAAGTCGTTCAACGTCTTTCTTGGGCTCCGAATCGTCAGACTCGTCGTTCTTTAGGTTAGTTTCCAACTTCTGTTGACTCAAACTGATGGGAACCATTTTCAGACTCTGCCCAGCCTCCAGTTCTCGTTTTTGCTCTGGAAAATTCTTCTCGAAATGCTTGAAGTCTGTAGTCGTCCAGCTTCTGGTTGCTGATCATCTCCAACCGTAATTTTTTGTTTGTTTTTTACTTCTCTGAAATCCCCACCCCCTTCCTTTTCACCAATTCCATGGGTCTCCTAGCTTTGACTCTCTTTTTTCATTCCTGTAGTTATTTTTTTCGATTCTCGAAACTTTTTTCTCTTCAAACCTCATTAAAATTTCAGCAATTTCACTCTTTCTTTTTAATTTTAGTCGCCTAAACGGTCTTCGAACTTCCCTCGGTACTACTTTCCTAACTATAATAAGGTTCTAAGTTTCCCCCAGTGAACTTTTTTTGTAATATTTTTTTAATGATCTTAGTAACTTCGGTGTAAATTTATCATTTCATTTGTAATATTATTGTTTGTAAAGTGAATAAAAAAAGAAAAACTCGCTGTTTTTTTCTCAAAAAAAGAAGAAAAAAAGCATTGATCGACTGAAAAAAATTAGCCAATCTTCTAGGAAAAAAACTTGAAATTCATATCAATACTTTTTTTGAGACTTAACCTAATTAGAAGTCCAGAAAACCGAGCTTTTTTTAGCTAGAAAAAGATAAAACAAACTCAATTAAAGAAGTTGAAGCTTTTAAAAAAATCTGAGTCTCTTGGAAAAAAAAATAAGCGGGATGGCCTACTCAAAATAATGTTTTCTCTACACAATTTCCAAATAGGTCTGAACCGGCATCAGAAATTTCCCCTTTAGGGTACCGGAAACCGTACAGAAACTAAAATATCTGCTAATTCCAAAGGTTATACTAAACCTGGAAAAAATCCTTTTTACACCATTTCCCCTTTTGAAACCGGAAACCGTACAAAAAATAAAATATTTGCTCATACCAAACCCTGACCAAATCATTGTTACAATCTGATTTACTCTTCTGAAACTAGAAAAGAAGAATCCCTCAAAAAACCCAAATTTCCAGCTTTTTGTCGATTTTTCGGCGATTCCTTTCTTATGTCAAACTTTTCGAAGGAAGCCAAAAGTTTCTGAAAATCAAAAAGCCCCACCAGACTACTTTTTGATGTGCTCTACGATGTCGCGAAGATGCCATTTTTTGCGATGTCGCGAACCGAAGAATTCGCTCTCTGAAAAAAAGCCTACAATATATGAATCATCACTTTTTTCTTTTCATCAAAAGGTTTCTAGAAATCGTAAAAATAATTATTTTTAGAAAACCGCGCGCTCTGCTGTAATGTTTTCCTTCTACACAAACCGTTCCCATCCCATTTTTTTTTTGACATTTCGAACGTTGAGACGATTTTCGCGGTGATAAGAGGTGCTCACTAAAGTTTCCTTTCAACCATTTGCTACAGTTTTTTCAAATAGCGCTTCTTTTTTCCGATTTTTGGTTGAATTTGTACTAGCTGGTCGAGGTTTTTTCGAAGATTTGCTTTGTTTTTTGATTTATCCATGAAAGTTTCAACATGATAAATGTTTTCAGGATGGAAAATTCACAGGAAGATCTGAAATTCACGCCGATCCGAGAAATCGATGACAGCCATGCTTTGGTGAATATCCGCGGGGTGTGCAAGTTCATAGAAAGCCCAACTGTGTCCAATAAGCGCCTGGTGAGATGAATATTCAATCCGAAAAAGATAATGAGTTCAGTACACGTTTTTCAACATTTACGACGAAGAAGGTGATGGGATTCGTGTTTGGGCCAAGAACGAGCTGGTCGATGAAGTCATGTACAAAGTTCAGCCTAACCAGGTTTTTTTTTTGGGAAACAGAAGCTCGAAATTCCCAAGCGAAGCTATTTTTTAATCACCGGAGAAAATTCCTTCAAAAAAATTTTGCAAAGAAAAAGAAGAGGTGTGAAAAAACGGCCAGGGGAAAGTGTGCTCCTCGGAAAAGGCTGAAAGTTTTTATCGATGGAGCGCACTTTTTGATGCTACTATTTCTCTAATAATTCCTCTCAACACGGACACGCAAACCGGAAGCGTCCAGACGTTTCTGAGCAAGTGATCACTTAAGAGTTCTGAAGCCGTTAAAGGGACCACTAGAAATGCTCAGAAACGTCCGGGTTGCGTTAGTGAGGTCCCATTTGGATCAGAAATGAGACCAATTTTTTTGATGATGGAAATTATTTCAAGACCTACGAAATAACCAACGCTCTGGTCGAAAACAAGGATCCTCGGGTCAATTTTCTACACAAGGACAAGCAACTCGTTCTGAAGGGCGATTCTGAAGTACCAAAAAAGGGGTTGCACCAAAAATGACCAGTGAAACTACAGATCCGTCTGTGTGATCGGGAATCCTACGCGATTCGGAAGGAATACGCGATTCTGCCGCTCTCACAGCTATCGATGGAGGCGCCCAGGCCGTTTTCGGTTTTTGGACGAATTACACAAGTCGACCCCGTCGTATACGTCAGTTTCTACGAGTTCACTTGCGCAGAACTTTGAATTTCGCATTTTTGAAAGCTGCAAAAAACCGCTCTTAAAGCTCAAAATTAACAAGTCTAGATAATCGCGAGGTCTCTGGCGGTACATTGACGATATCGCAAAAATGCCTTTTCACGGCATTCCTAATGGATAGAAGTATGTAGTGAATAAACCTATTATTATTAAAAATGGGTTGAAGGAAGGTGAGCGAGGCGTCAAAGTTTCTGGATTTACAAAAAAAAAAGTAAGTGCGCGCTCCGGATAAAATGACGTCATAGTTTAACTGAGTATTATACGTTAATAACTTGTTTGTTCGATCGCCTTTGGCTGCGTACTTGAGATATGAACTTTCCGGCAAAATTTTTTTGACGTCTTCCTACACCATTTGGGAACGCCGTGCTTTTCTGTAGCCCCGCGGATTTTTCTCGGCGCGATTTCGCATTTTGGAAATTTCAATTTTTTCAAGTGCCAAAGAAATGCGATATCGCCCTGAGAAAAATGCGACAGCGCGGTTTATTTGTGAGCTTGTCAATGTACCGCCACCTTTCTCTCGCACTTGACTGGGCAGTTATCTTTAGTAGATCGATGTCATAAAAAAGATAAAATAGAACCAAATGATGATTAAGAAAGTCAATAAAGGTTCAACAGAAGCCATCAAAGTACAAGGAGAACGAGCCGATGCGAAAAGTATCGATAATCGACGCGCACGGAGATGAACGCCAAATGACGCTCTGGCGCAATCATACGCACGAAATTGATCAAAAAGACGTTGGTCGTATGGTTTATCTCAACGGTGTCAGGGCCGCGACGTTTCAAGGTGTCTACAAGATTCAAGATTTTTGAAAATGATGCTAAAATTGAATTTCCAGGGAAGTGCGAGATACGGAACCTGTGCGACACGGAGATCACCGTCTACAGACACCTCGAATTAGATGAAAATTAGACATATATTTCACTTTTTTGCCAGTATTTAACCAACCATTTTAATCTCGTAAATATAATGCACGAATAAAGTTCAACTTAAAATTTTTGCAACAGAAAAAAGAGAAGAATAGCTGAAAACTATAAGATTCAGCGCTTTGTGTACAAATTTTAATAATATTTTCGAAAAATTGAATAAAATGGCTTTGTGAAAAAATAGCCGCCTAAATGCCTATTCCAAAAACAGCTAGGACCTTGGTAACGGGAATAGGGGGTTTTTAGTGACCACTTTAGTAGCGTCAGCACCCTAAAGTGGTCCCTAAAAATTTTGAGAAAATTCCGTAGCACGTTTTTTTCGATTCTGCGGTTCAAAAGCGTCAATTTTCCTTTTTCGAAAAATGTCCCGATAAAATCTTAAGTTCATGAATTTCTTGAATTTTTTTTTCTTTTCGAAAATATCAATATAGTCCATTCCACGCCAGCTTGCCACGATTTCTATTTTCCTCTAAGCTACAGAACCCTTTCCGCGTGTGTGCATGCGCCTTTAATATAACGGGCCATATAAAAGGCGCATGCACAGACGCACGTTCAAAAGAAAAGGCTCTAGGAGATAAATCAAAATCGTGACAGGCTGGCGCGGAGCCAGGGGTGGACCAGACCATTCTTCTCTATGTCATCTCTATGCCATCGCCATTTACACTGTCACACTTCCCACCGCTTGCTCATACTAGTCGCTGCCGCCCTTTCTCTCTCTCCTTTGACCTCGCTTTCAATTCATTTTCTCCTCTGAAGATAAATTCACGCCTAAATTTCACACCTAAAATATTGGAGTTGTATTACCAAAGCACTCGAAGAATCTGTTCATGCTATTTTTTTCCTAATTTTTTTAAACAAAAAAACAAAACAGAAGTATAGCTTATGATAGGAAGAAATTTTGGGTCCGCGGATATTCGTGAGCGTGAATTGTGCATACACCAATCAAGACAGACAGGCCACACCTCTTTTAGTTTTAAGCTAACCGTGAGTCGTCTATACAGCATTATAAACACAAAAAAAACTCATGGATTTTCATTTTTCTCATCGATTCATGCAATTGAATTGTTAAGATTCATCTAACAGGAACATTCAAGTTTTACTCTACTTAAAATTAAACTATTTGAATACCAGAAAAAATTTAGATATGTTAGTTTCTCTCCGAATACTATAGTCTGTTCATATTTTTAATGCCAAGTGCAATGACGTCATTCAAAAACACTCTGTGGATGGCTCGCTCTCTGATTGGTTTATCGTACCATTAGGGGCGGAGCTTGAGCGACGACTTGACATTCAAAATCTGAACAGACTATATGTCGACTGAGCATAATTTCTTTTGGATCAAAAAAAAAATCTGAGAAGGTGGAAAAGTCCAATCACGTTATTAAAAATTGAGGAAAATTTGAAATTTCATCATATGAAAGCTGAGAATCAGACAAACTTACTCGGCCTTCTAAAACGCAAACACGGAAATTTCTAAGACATTCTAGGGACCACTTAAGAGGGCTAACACCGCTAAAAAGGTCACTAGAAGTTCTCAGAAGCGTCCGGGGCGCGCCCGGTTTGAGTTACCAATGTCCGAGTAACAGTATGTACTTAAAAATTTGTCCATGGAGCGCACTTTTAACTGTTATTCGCCGCCTTCACAACATCTCGGTTTCCGGCGAAATCTTTCCAAAGAGCAATCTCGGAGCTGTTTTCCTGCTCTTTTATCAATCTCGTGATTCCTTAATTTTCGATGGATTCCAAGAAAATGGGACGTTTCAAACCGTTTCGAGAAATAAAACCCGCGCTTTCGCTGTAATGTTTTTCTTCCACAGGAAACTTTCCGCCCCATTATTTCTGTCATTTCATTTTGTTCGAAACATCCGTCCTGTGGCAATAAGAGCCCTCCTTACATTCCGAAATTTTTGTTTTAATGCTCTCCTTATCATGTCTCAATTGTTATATAGCAAGATTTCACTTAAAAAAAACGATTTTCAAGCTTTAAGAGGAAGCTGAATAAATAATAGGCTTCACTTTAAAACTGAGAACGAGCGGAAGCCAGCTCCTATATGAAATTGCGAAGGTTTCGAAAATATTGCGCGTCAGATAAAATGCCTTGTCTGAGGCGCACCACGGTGTACGTCTCTCGCAAAAAAAGTAGAAGCTTAATTTTTTTTTTCCTATATTTTTTCTATCGTAATCGATGAACCAGTTTCATTGAAACATATTCATAATTTCCAGCATGGGTAGATCAAAGAGAAATCCGTTCTTCACGCCGATCCGACAAATCGATGGCCGTCGGAATTGTGTGAATATCCGCGGCGTGTGCAAGTTCATGGGAAGCCCGACTGATACCAATTTTCGCCAGGTGAGATATGATAGTTCTCTTGATGAGACATAGTTCATTTCAGTACACATTCTTCCACATTTTCGACAAAAATGGTGACGGGATTCGGGTTTGGGCCGAGAATGAGGTCGTCGAGGAAGTCATGTACAAAGTTCAGCCAAATAAGGTTTGATGGGAATATTTCAAATCAATTCACTGTATAGTATACAGTAACCGGCTTGTAAAAACGAGTTATGAATAATTTTGTACCATCACCAATTCAAAATATCTCATTTCTTATCAAAAATAGCAAAATTTGAAAAGCAGTGAGATCAATATTATTTCAAATAACTTTAGATAACGGCAAAAATTAAAGTTAAGACCCGAAAAAACGATTTTTTAACCTCCAACAGGGTCTTGACCCTTACGCTAATTCATATGTGATAGGAGTGAATAATTGCAAAAAAATAAAGGCAAAAAATAAAACTACAAGACAGGAAATCGAACCAACGAGTCTTTCAATCGATGACAAGAAGCTCAACCACTAGAATAATCAACAATTCAATCCTTATTGGGTCAAATTACAGACCTACGAAATAATCAACGCTTACGTCAGTGATAAGAATGATCGGGTCAACTTCCTCCACAGAGAAAAGCAACTACAGCTCGATTGCGACTCAGAGGCGAGAAAATGGATGAAAAAACTTCGATTATTGGAACTTCAGATCAGCTTGAGCCATGAAGAAGTGTTCGCGACTCGAAAAGAATACCCGATTCTGCCACTCTCACAGCTGACTTTGGACGCGCCAAGGCCTTTTTCGGTGCTCGGGCGCCTCACCAGAGTCTTTCCAGTTGAATATGTTGGTTTCTAATATTTTCTTATCAACTTGAAATCGAAAAATAGTCAACTAGATACTTGGAAAAATGAAATGTGGATCGGTTTGGCTCAAAATCAATGAAATGCGCCGGCAGCTGAAATTCCCCTTTTCTCAGCCTCAGTGGTTTGATTTTCTTGTCTCTACAAACTAAGTTGATTAGATAGAATCGTCCATTTACTGACCCCTTACTTCTGAAGAAGTGAACAGAGCTCTAGAAGGCAAGAATGAAATGAAATTCATGCAATATAAACTATTCAAGATAGAGAGCTTTACCTAGACAAAAAGACCTTCATCCGACTTTACCTATCATACACCGGCTGGATCCCACCCCAGCCTTTTTGCGCGCGAAAAAATTTGAAAATGTATTGAAGTAAGCCGCACTTTTCGGGAGGGGGTGGGGTAGGCCGCACCCAGGGTGGGATCTAGCCGACGTATTTTTCCTATACCCTTACAGCTAGTTTCTGAGAGTTGCTGTTATCATCCTAATAAAAATGCTGCTGACTTATTAGAAAAAAAGATTCCAAAACGAAGATTTCTACTAGTTTTTCCAGGTATCTTCAAGGTACAGGGATATCGAGCCAATGCGAAGAGTATTGATAATGGACGCGAGCGGGGTCGAGCGCAAGATGACGCTCTGGCGCAATCATACGCACGAAATCGACGAAAAGGACATCGGATTCGTGGTTCATCTCAATGGAGTTAGAGTGGAGGAATACGATGGTTAGCTATTTTTTGCTTTTAAGAAAAAAATTTGTATCTCAAGTACAGCAGATGGCTGAGAAAGGAGGTCGTTCTTGTAAGAAGTGAGAAATTATTTTTGGATTTTTTGAATTTATAAAGAAGTTATCCTCAAGTCACTTCCAAGTTTCCAGCTGAAGCTTCAAACTTTCCAGCTTATAACTAATCTTTCTCTGATTTTAAGTACATATAATCTCTATGTCCCCTCAAAACTTCGGATGTCATATTGAAAAAAGAGCATCCTAACGACCAAATTAATTTTCTTGTAACATCAAAACTATCGAAACTATGGAGCTTGAAAGTTTGATGAATGCTATTTTCGAAATTTTTCCAAGTCTATTTCGCGGGGTTTTTTTTGGCGACGCCCCGCCCATTTTTTTTTCCGTAAAGTGTGGTGTGTCGTGTGCATGCACCTCGGCGCTCTCGCACATGCCACGTTCAAAATATTTTTCGCATAATTATAAATTTTATCTCAATTTCTGAAACTCAGTTATATTTTTCACTCTCTGGTAGGTATTTTGAATTTCGCAGAAGTACTTTCAGCACGGCATGTGTTTAAAAAAATGAAACAGAAAAATCGCTTATTTTCAAAAGGAGAAATAGATTCGTTTCAAGACCCATTTATGCGCCTTCAATATTTCCTATTGTTTACCCGTTTTTCCCATGACGTCACATGGGAACGGCGGAGGTTTTGACCACGCCCCCTTAATTTTTGGTTTTACATTTTGTTCTACTAACGAAAACGCCGAAATTTTTGAGAATTCAATTTCAAAGCATCAAAGATACTGATAAGAAGCTGTTCTATCAATTACGACAGCTGAAAAAATCTTTAGTTTCTTCTTTTTTACAAAAAGTTGAACGCGTGTGTTTCAGACAATGCATTTAATCCGACGCGCAATTTTTTTAGTTCGTCATATTTTTTTACAAAAAGTTGAACGCGTCTGTTTCAGACAATGCATTTAATCCGACGCGCAATAGAATTTTTTCAAAAATCTTTGAAATATTATATTTCGAGAGCCAGAAGCGCTGAAGCTAACTTTACTGTTGAATTTTCTATCGTCTTTTTTCTAGCGAGCCGTTTTTTACACCTTAATATCAAAATAAATAAAAAATTCCAGGTGATCTGGAGATTCGAAACCTGTGCGACACGGAAATCACAGTCTACAGACACCTCCAAGATGCGAATCGTATTTAATTTCAAACCGTTTTCTTGACAAAAAAAGAGAAAGTGTATATAAAAAGCTTGTAACCGTTGATCAATAAATTCATTTTAAAATGGTTTTTCGAAAATAAATGACATAAAAATGGCAAGCTTAATCGAATATTTGAAGCTTTATCGACAAAAAAATCAATTATATTGAAAATCATTATCGCTCTGTAGATCTTATTCGCTTCTTAACTCAAATAGACCTGCGCGGCTGTTTTTTTCCCTCGAATTTATTAAATATGGTTGGAATAAAAAGCGAAAAAAATAGGAAATTTGGTTCAGTATGTAGAGATTTCCAATGTCTTCGGATGAAATTTATTAGAACAGTTCAATGAAGAAATAGCCGCCAAAGAAGTTGAAATTCCGCTCCATGGGTAAGCTTTTGCATGTGGAAAATATATTATTCTCCCCTCCAATTCATTATTTTTGTGAAAAAGTCCTTTTTATAAAGAAAAATTTTTTTAAAGATCATTTATCAACTAGAATGAGTATAAAAAGATCAGAAAATTAGAATTATATCAATAGGGAATAAATGAATGAGATGCGATTTTGAGCTTTCGGAAAAACTAACTTCGAAAATCTCGCTGCCGCTTTTTCCAAGTGCAGCTGTTCCGCTGGAAGATTGTCTTGAAAAGAATTTTTTTCAAGAAAAAGCTTTAAAATTTCAAAAAAAGTTCCAATAGCTAGATTATCATATTTCACGTCGAAAAAAACCAACATTAAAATGTATCAAATTCTTCATTTCTCTTCTTTTTTTCAAATATCTGCGGCTTATAAATCAGGAGAAAACAAAGCGAAAGGGGGAAAACGTATGGACAAAAGAGATCCGCAAGGAAGGAAATAAATATTTATAAAACGTGGAAAAAGGTGGAGAAAGCGCCAGAGAATTAGTGAAACGAGAGAAGAAGATGATAATTTGCGGTTTAGGGAAAAAGAAAAAAACAGAAAAATATTAAAACAAAACAAATTGATACACGCATTTCTTCCTTTTTTTCAAAGAGTTTTTTTTTTGAGGATTTTGTAGGACAATTTGAAAACGATAGAGAAAGAGGGGAAACGGATATTAAACACAATAAAAGAGAAAAAAAAAACACAGAATCAAACACGTCATCAGGATTCACAGTATTATTAAACAAAATAATTATTACTATAGTTTGAAAAAAAATGGTTTTTTCAAGGTGTGCGTTTGAAAAAATAGGGATGGAAGCGAATGTTTATCAATGGAGCGCAATTTCTTAACCCGTTCCACGGCTATTTTTCGCAAACCACGTCCTCAGACCATTTTCAAAACCGCTACACAATAATTTGAATAGAACACAGAAAAAAGCACTAAAAAAATTGAGAGCGCGTCATTTTTCTTTCTTGAGCAAGGGGGAATAAGGCATCAAAGAGAACAAAGCAAATCGAAAAATCACTGGAAAAGACAAAAAAAAAGCTTCTTTTTTTTGTAGGTGTATGTGTGTGCATTTTGGCGACCCATAGCATTGAACGGAACGAAAAGAAATATGATACGATTATTGGTAAGGAAAAAAAAAAACAAGACCCAATATTGATAAGAATGATGTTAAGAACGTGATATTACTTTTTTTGGGAGGGGTGAAAGGCAAAAATGACAGCTTGGGCAAAAGAGAAAACAAGGGAAAGAAGAAGAAATTTTGTTGTATATGATATTTATAATGATCATCTACAGGTTCTCGTCGTCCTTGCTGATCGACGGACTTCTTGGGATGCTCGGCGAGTTGACGCCGGCCGCGGCGCGGGTCTAGAAAAAGGATAATTCAGAATTGAACTTATTTTCTGTTTACTGCGAAAATTTGGGTTTTTTTTCAAATATGCCTTTGCACAATACTTCAACAGTTTCGTTCTTAATTCAAATTTCGCAACAATTTTTTTCACAACATTGTTCTCCCCAAGTCCCTTCCAAAACTCACAGCGCCACGTGGCCTGAACAACTCATGTTTTGCCAGCTCGAAAACGTCGGCCCGATCTTCCTTCTTGTACTGCAGACAGCGTCGGATAAAGTCCTGGGCCACGGAGCTGACCTGAAAAAAAATCCTGGAGTTTATTTTTTCATTGTTTTTCATTCAAACCTGTGGCTTTGGCGGGAATGAGACCTCACGCGCGTTGATAATTGTATTGTACTCCAAGATCTTCTGCTGCGTGAGCTCATTGCCGAATGGCTGAAAAAAGTGAATCAGAAATTCTAGAAAGCTTCAAGGTGCTGAAAGTATGGAAAATTTCCAGTTTTCAGTAAAATTGTATCAGAACCAGGACCATTAAAATGGAAGATTTATGAAGACGGATTTTTCTCGGTAAGCCGCGGTCATTTCCCCTACTCGGAAAAAAAAAAGAAGGAGAGGCTCAAAAAAGGTCGCAAAAAGGTCCATTTTCCTGGGACCCAAGAAATGGTAGAAAAAGGAAGAAGGAGCAAAAATGGTGCATAAAAGCCGATAAAATGGCGCCCTTAAAGGAAAATTTCTAAGAGTCCTTCCACAACCCTTTTCGACATTGCCTATGTGCAAACTTCGATTCAATCCAAATTTGAGCTAGAAAAAATTTTTCACCACTTATATCTATATTTTTCGATACATATTTCCTATCCCTCACCTTCTTCCCGTAGATACACTGATAGAAGATCACTCCGACGCTCCAGACATCAACTTTGCAGGTGATCTTGGGCGGTGGGACGACGAAAGTCTCCGGCGGCAGGTACCAATAGGTGCCGGCAAACTGTGACGTCAGCTCGATACCGTCGTGGTCGTGGTCGGCTTCGGAACCTTCCATGATCTTCGACAAGCCGAAATCGGTGATCTGGAAGATTATATTGTTAGATCTCGAGTATTCCTGTATTGGTTAGCCCTATGAAAATACAGCTTGAACATTTCAAAATCACAGAAAAACCTAAACTTTAAGATAAAGCTCAAAATAATCACCTTAATAGCGCCACACGCATTGCCAGACTCCAGCAGGATATTGGCCGGTTTCAGGTCGTAGTGTATGATCGGGTCACGCTTTTCGTTGAGGTAAACCAACGCCGAGACGACCTGGAATTGAAAAAAATTTAGTTATATCCAGGTATGTCGAAACCCCCTAAATCAACTATTGCTCACCTGCATGATAATGCTCCTGGCCTCCTTCTCGCTGATCTGCTTGTTCTGTTTGAGGTAGAAATCGAGATCGTTGCCGGGACAATACTCCAAAACAGTGCAGAACGAGTGATTGTCGATGGTGAAGAGGTCGTAGAGCTTGACGATCCGGCAATGATCCAACGATTTGTGGATGTCCTTTTCGCGCATCGCATGCTTCACGTAGTTGGCCTAGATGCTTAGATTTAGAAAAAAAGACTGAAAAATTTGAAAACTAATAATAAATTCGTCACAACTTCGAACAGCCTTTCTGAAGGTTGGGACTGCTATTTTTTGCTCAAAAAGTTTGGGCCTGCCATTCTTGAACTAAAAAACTTGGGACTACCATCTTTTAAGCTCAAAAAAATTCGGGCCTGCCAACTTTGAACTTGAAAATTTTTGGGAATCAAAATGAAAAAAATAAATCTAATAAAACTTTTTTTCTTAATTTCTGTTCGAATTTCTCATGAAAATACCCAAAAAAATCACCTTTTTTTCTCCTCTTTCCAATCCTTGTTGACGTGGTGGATCTTGCAGGCGACGTAGCGGTTCTCCTCGATGTCGAACGCCTTCCAGACCTCACTGAAAAAAAGAGAACTTTCCTTTGTTTCGAATTAAATCAATAATTCCATTGACTAGAACCAAGTAAATAATAAAATTATCTTCTAAAAAAACCGATGGAAAATAGGTATATTCTCTTTACAGACATTTTTTTTAAAGACACACAACTAAACTTTCTTCAAGTAAATGCAACCTACATCTTTAAACCAATTAATCTCTCAAAAATCTTTATCACTCTCAAAATTATTATAACTTATCTATGAATCTAAACCTGCCCCAAACTCCTATTTTCTCTCAATTTCCTTCAATTTCAAATCCCAAGTCCCTGGTCCAATCGATAAAACCACCCCATGACGATCCTCCTCATCGCAAATTCATGCCCTCGAAGACAACACAAAAGAAAAAAAACCGCTTGCTAAAAATCGATAGGCACTCTGTTTCTCTGGCCCTTCCCGCATTTTTTTTTCTGGTTCAAACGAAACTAAGCTGGATGAGAAGGCTGAAAGAAACCAACAAACCAATCAAAATAACAATTTTTTCTTCTTAAAAAAAGAGAACTTTGCACTCATTTCATGTTCAAGAGAGCCTCAAAAAAAAGATGACACTGTATCTTTTTCTGAATTTTTTTTAAAAGTTATCGTATTAGCTAGGGAATCTCTTTCTTTGTCTGGAACTTTAAGAAGAAATCTCAAAGGGAAGAACAAAGAGCTGTGTAAAGTTCCACAAACAAAGGTGGGAATGTGACCGTTACTTTCAGAGTTAAAGTCCAAAAGAACCTTAAAAGAGTTTCTGAGAGTAAAAATAGCCTACAAAGACCGTATATCGTCTTTTTTCCCAGAAAACTGTTTACAAGCTCTTTTTGCCTATGTGAAATTTATTCTTTTTTTAAAAATGATACCGGTTTTTCTATTCCAAGTTACCCTAACTCCATTCTGAAGTTCAAAAAATCATTTTTTTCGAAGTTTCTTTTCAGATTTTCAACGACAAAGAACCATCTATCGCTATGAAGATCTTTGAAATTTTCTGGTTCCACTTCTTTTTTTTTCGAATTAGTCGTGGAATGTTGATGGATTGGTTAGGAAATTTCCATGTTTCTTCCCAGTCCATAAATGGAATATACCTTCATAAAAAGTGGGGAAGGAATATTTTCTTTTTGGATTTTTAATACCATTTAAAATTTTTCTTTCTAAGCCGTTTTTAATTCTTCGGCCCACGTATATCCATCAAAAAGCACCTTTTTTATAGTCCTCATTTTTTTAAGCGTTCAAAAATCTACCTTTTACTGGGATATCATCAAAAATCAACTAAAAACCATAAATATTCCTCTCAAAATCGGCTAAAAAGGTGGGAAAAATCGTGATTTTTGAACTTCAAAATATGATTTCTAGTTAAACTTTTTATAACTTCGTCGAATTTCTCCCAATTTTCCTTTTTTGTTATTGCAAAGCCAAAAAAAAAAACCAAGTTTTTTCAATTTTCCCTCTTCAAAAATTGTTTCAGTTGATAGAAAATAAATCAAAAACCCCGCAAAACTCTCGAAAAACAGTTAGTTTCTTTTCATCCACCAAAAGAACAGCAATCGAACAGCCATTTCCCAATCCCTCTCTCAGTCGTGCAAACAACGCAAACGAACGGGAAAAAGTGGAAAAAAGAGAGGAAAAGAGGCGATTTGAGCTGATCTCCAATTGCTCCGATTGCGGAAAAAAAAGATGAAAGCTCGAAAATTATAGATAAAGATAGATGAAAGCTTCTTGTTAGGCAATTATCCAGAACTCCAGGTAAATTCAAATATTACCAAAATTGGGCTCAAAAATCCCGAAGAAAACCAAATTATTGAAAATTTACTTGAAAGCCCAATCAAACAACTGTAAAAACCGGGATCCAACCTACTTTTTAGGCTCAAAGTTTTTAACAGTGAAAGCTCTATTAGAGTTCCTTCGAGTTACCCTTATCTTAACCATAGAATTCAAAAAAACCTTTCTTAAAGCTGTTTTTTTAATAAATATCAAGCTCCCTGACTCCAGAATCATCTTATTTGGTTCCAGACGGTCATAAAAATAATCTACTTGAGGTCAGAAGTCACATTTCCAGCTCTCCAATGTCCCACCCTGATTTTAAAACCTCTTTTCAGAATATTTACTGTCTAACTACTTGAAATCGGCTCTAATCTCTAATTTCTATCAAGTCTAAACATGACTTTGAAAGTTAATCTAAAGCTAAATTTTCCCCAATTCTCATGATACTACTCCTTTGAAAATCAGAACTCCAATCCTCAAAATTCCCTAAAAATCGATCAAAAGGTGTACCTAAATCCTCCTTTTCCGAGCAGGCAGAGCATCAGGTATCTCTTGTTCAAGAGCGAATGATCCTTGTAGGTGGAGGCCATTTCGTTGCCGATCCGTTTCAGTTCTCGGATGTGAAGTTGACGCTCCCGTTCCAGCTTCTCCCGCTCCATTTGCAGGTCCAGCTCTTCTTTTTTGAGGTGCTCACGTCGCAGCTTGTAGATCTCTTCCTGAAAATATCGATATTGAGAAAACTCAAATTTTGACAGTTATTTTATCCTTGGGTGTTCATTTTTTTCAGTACTTTTTTGAAATAGAATAATCAATCAAAATAACTCAAACTTCAACAAAAAAAAGGAGAGCACGAGGAAAAATAAACGAAAAACTGAAAAAAAAAAGCGTTTTCCAGAAAGATGGCTCCTCCAAATCTCAGATTTAAGGCGATTTATCGGCATTTCAAATCATTCTAATGGATATTTTCGCAGCTTTCAAAGTTTCAAAAATCAGAAAAACATTAAAAATCAGGAAAAAACGTGATTTTACTGAAAAAAATTCGTTTTTGAGCCCAAAAATAGCTTTTTTTTTTCAGAAAGCCCTTTTCCAAGCGTTTTTTTCTAATAACTTCCCCACAAAAAAATACTCTTTTTTTGTTTTTCGAAACAATCAAGGAAGTTCACAAGTCGTGCTTTGCACTTTTCCAACCAATTATCCAATCATTTCACTTAATTGACATTTCAAGCCATTTATGCTGATAAATTTCAATCTGGGAAATTAATACCACTTTACTAATTATTTAACTAATCATAAAACTGATAATTATTTTTTTCCAGGTTGTGAAGAAATTTTTTTGATGCCGAAAACTAAATTCTAGTTGAAATTCTTCACGGAAATACAAGAAAATGAGCTATTTCTCTCAAATTTTCGGGTGATTTATATTTTTTTCCTATGTTCAAATTAGCCATTTTTTTATACAGTCCTGATCATTTTTTGATCATATTTCTAAAACAAAGTAAAAATTTCGACACGTTTCTCGACTAAAAATCTTATTCTTACTCAATTTTATCATGAAAAAGATGAGTTTTGTTCAAATTTTCCACTCCCAAACGAACCAATTCAATATATTCCTGGTAGTTGATCTCCTTGGGTTCTTCAGGTCTTCTGAAAATGGCGTCGTCGCTTGAGGGATTCGCCGCCGACGTCGACGGCTGCATGCCGGACGAGTCCGACAGCTGGGCCATTGCTCTGAAACAGAAAAAATGATGAATTTTTCTCTATTTCGCTCAGGAATTCTACCTTTTCGCTCCTTCTTTCCCGATTCCCAACGGCTTGCGCTTCTTGAGCAACGCCGTAGCATTTTGTATCTCGTTTCTTTCACTCGCAATTTGTAACTGCCGCTTTTCCAGCTCTTCAAATGCGTAGCCGTCGGTCTGAAATGATCAAAACTGCGTTAAAAATGATTTTTTTTTCAATAATATAATCACCAACAAAAAAAAGGCCAGGTAACCTAGAAAATGTGCTCCATTGTTAACTTTTCACAGAAAAATCTCAGGATCAGGGCTCCACACAAAAACTCAATTTCAAGCCTACATTCTCGGACCTTGGTAACGCGAACGGGACGCGAAACGGACGTGTCGGTGCATTTCTAGTGACCACTTTAGTAGCCTTAACGTTCTTAAGTGATCCGTTGAATCGCTCAGAAACGTCCGGAGCACGTCCGTTTCGCGTTACCAATGTCCGAGTTAATTCAAAGTGATTTGAAAATTATCCATAGAGCGCCAGACCCCTAGTTAGTTGTTTTTTCAGCTAGTTCTGGCAACATTTTTTTTGAAGCTAAAGTGCGCTCCATGGCTAACTTTCCACAAACAGAGCTCAAGACGAACTCGACACAAAAATGGGACGCCATGACGTCATTAATTCCAAGTGAATTCAAAGTTATCCATAGAGCGCACAAGACCTCTAGCTTTTTCTGCTGGTTTTGTCGACGTTTTTTTTGAAATTTATTCACAAAAATTACAAAATCCTAATTTCTACCAGGAAAATCAGAATGACCAAATTTCTTCATATATATAGGTCTAAACGAGTCGTGAAGACCCTCCTTTATGAGAAATAAACGAAAAACTCCTGCTTCAACCCAAAATTTAATACCTTTCAGACCAATTCGTTAAAAATTCCGAAACTTCATTACTTAAAATTCATGAAAAAAAAATGTATTTTTTGATCTTTGCTCCAAAATTTCTTCATAAAAACCCGAAAATCTCAAATATATTTACCCATTGATCCCTGAACGAGTCGCCGAGTCTCATGGTCTTGAAGCAGCCGATTCTCGGCGTGTCCGAAGTTGTCTAAAAACTACTTTCTTTTGAATAAATTTCATTTTTCATACCTTCTCTCTAAGAGCCTTCCTCTCAATGATATTCTTATCGATCAATAATCTTTTTATCGTCTCTTTGGAGGCTTCATTTTTCCTTCGTTCCTTGGCGTACTGAAATTATTCGAACTTGAATAATTTTCTTCGGAAAATAGAATGATACCTTCGCCTGGACCTCATCGAGTTGCCTTCTGAAATCGTCAATGATTCGGTCCCGTTTTGCCAATTCTTCGTTGGAAACCGTCGAGTTCTGAAGAAAAATTAATATATTTTTTTCCATTTTTGTAAAAACTCTTCATTAGATCATTCTCCTACTGATCAAAAATAGGAATCTCGAAGCCATTTTCTAGATTTTTCAGTGGCTAATTTTCTAAAAGTCCCTAATTTTGATGACTCATTTTCTCACCAGCCTTTTCAGCCTCTCCATGAAAGCTCCGGCTAATTTTTTTTATCTTTCAAACCAATTCTCAATATAAACTCATTCTCTAAGGCTCATTTTCCGCAACAGTTTCATAGCCAAAAAAATCATACTTCCTCTTTTTATTTACTTGCTGAAACTCACACTCATCGACGATTCGGTCTGGGTTTCCTCATCGACGGCGCGGGCGAATCGGGCCGAAGCGCCGCCCGGAGGACTTTGGTTGGAGTTACTGTTGGAGTCGGACGAATAGGTGTGTGGCGTCGGCGTCGTCCTGTTCACTGACGGTGATGGTGACGTCACGCCCCAGTGCTGTAAAACGACGAAAAATGCGACAAGAACAAATAAATAAAAAACACCCAGGAATTCTCCATTCTGGGTCATTATTTTTGAGGCGAATTCTCGCTTCATTTGAAACTTCAAACGGTTTTTTTAATTAAGAAAGACTTCAGCGCAAAAATTTTTTTCAATTCTTCAAAATTCCTACCAAATCAATAGCTTTGATGGTTGAAGAAATAAAGGGAAAAAGTCGTTTTATCTAATTTTTCAAGATGAACTGAAACTTTTTTTCCTTCAAAAACTTCTAAACCGAATTTTTTTCATTTAAATACACTTTTTAGAAACTCTATGAGAAGCTCTTGGATTCGGTCTTTCTCTCTCAAAATTCGAAAAAACCATTTCATTTTTCTTCTTCTAATCGATAACCTGCACCTCAAAATGTTTGCAGGACAAAAAAATTGTATCCCGTACTTTCTGAGGCGCCCTATCAAAATTCTCAATCTAATCTCTTTTCTCATTTTTTTTTTCTCTCCACTACAACTGCGAAACTTCTCAGGCACTGAAACTACAAAATAACTACAATCTATGAGAAGCAAAGCTCTTCAAGTAAGAAAATACAAAAACCGGGTCTTTTTTCTACGTCAGAACGTCTAAAACTTCAAAAGGATATGACTTTGATTATTATTTTTTTTTCTAAACCAAACCACAAAAATAGCAATCGGTAGCTTATCTGACACCTAAAGAATCTCAAAAAAACCATTTTGATTCAAAAGAAAAATCAATAACTAATAAAATTCACTAAAAATCATGAGGAGACTATTTATAAAGGCCAAAAAAATCTTCACCCGATTTTTCCCGAATAAAAAACTAACTCCTAGGCTTAAAAACGCTTTTATTATTGTCAAAACTACCTATCAAAGGTTAAAATTCTTAGAGATTTTTTCATACTACTTTTTCTCCTGGACTTATCGAGTTCATTACTTGCCTATGAAAGTTGAATTCCCTTCATTTCTACTTGACAAAAAAAAGAAATCAGTACCGATCCAACGGCATGAAGATCCCCGTACTGTGGCTGTTGCTGTTGTTGGCCGGGAGCGGCGGCAGTCGGCGGATGCATTTCGCCATAATTATTCGGTGCACCGTTTGATAGGGACGACATGTTTGCCGTTAAAAATCGTTTCGGCGATGATTGGGTCTGGACAAAAGGAAATGATGAGAAACATGACAATTTGTGATTATTCATGAACTCCACAGTCAAAACCTGCCAAAAAACCGCATGTTTCGGAATTTTTTACCGTTAGAAGTTCATTTTCTGATTTTCATCCTTCAAAAAGTTTTCGCAAAATTCTACACTGCTCCCAAAATTTTTATTCTATTTTTATATTCCTCAACTTTTCCGAGTTAACATCCAAATTCAGTGCTTCATCTACCATCTTTTCCAGGGAGAAACCCTTGAACTTTTCATAAAACTTCCAGTTTGAAATCAATTTCTCAGACACGTCATGGGGAATTCGAATAAAAAAGCAGCAGAAACAAACAAGAAATGACTCATTTCGAAAAGAATTTGATGACATCTTCGAAAAATTCCTACACTTAAAATCGCTTTATTTCTAAAGTAATACTGTAACTCTCAGAGGAGCACATAAGGACTTTATATATAATTCTTTTTTTCTCGACTTTAGACTCAAATCCAACTAATGTTTCTTGAAATTTACGATCCGAAAAAAAAACCCCCATAGTACTCTGAACTACGGGTAATGAAATCTACACGCTTAAATTAAAAAAACGCTGGTAGATCTTCTTATTTTCTGTTCTCTAGGCTTCCTAATATTCCCTAGTTCATTCATAATCACCTTGAAGGACTCCGTAACCTTCCCCGAGACTTATTGAACTACAATACGAACACTACTCTGAACTATAATGACGGTTAATGAAATCTACACGCTTTCAACTCAAAAATACTAGTAGATCTTGATACTTTCCTAAGCTTTCTACTATTCTTCAGTCTATTCATAATCATCTTGAAGAACTCCTTAACTTTCCCTGAAACTAATTGAACTACAGTCCTTACCACCAAAACGTTCAAAACTGAGAAATACTGGTAGATCTTCCCATTTCTCGATGAGTGATCTCGTCCTAATTTTCCTAAGTTCATTCATAAATTTTTTATTGAGCTAATTTCCGGACACCTCCTACTGCTCGGTTAATAAAACTTCCAATACTGAAAAATACTAGTAGATGATCCTATTTTCCGTTCTCTAAGCTCCCTACTAGTCCACTCATAATCACCTTGATGAACTCGGTGATTTTCCTCTCGTGTTTCGGGGTTCCCATGCCTCCGTTGTCTTCGACAAGTCGTCGTCGTTTCCTCGCCGTCGGTTTCTTTTCATTTGGCGCTTGTTGTGGCGCCACCGGTCTGGAACAGTGAAAAAATCATGAAAAAGACAAAAAAAAAATGATGGAAATACATTAAAATCACATGAAAAGGGGTGACATGAAATCCGCCTACGCAGTCATTTTATTCTTACAATAAGTGATGTTTTATAAAAAGTCCTATAAAAAAACTGTAACTGGTTCAAATATTTCAACATCGCTTTTAAACACATTATACAAAAGTTGGTTCCCTTTAGAATTTTGGAAAATTCCAAATATTGAGAAAATTTGATGAAATTGACCCAAAAAAGACTTTCTTGTTCGAAAAATCTGAAATCATGAGAAAATCTGTCTTAAAATTTCAAAATTTAGAGTTCTTCACAAGGGCAAGACATTATATCGGCTCTTAAGTTATCCGAAATTTTCCAAAAAAGGCAAAAAACTCGATTAAACGATTCTCAGAAGCTTGAAATTTGTTTCTTCCAATGTTTCCGAATTCCTTATTAGTGAAAATTTTCGAAAAAATTAAAACTTCAAAATTTCGATAAACTGTGCAGACCTATTAACATAAAAAATTTAGAAAGTGAATTATTTTCTGAAACTCCCAGATAATTCTAAATCACCGTTGCGGCGTTCCAGTTCCGGCCTCTGGCTCGCGATCCGAGACACTGCCAGCAGAGCTCAAGTTGCTCGACTCGTTGACCATGGGCTGGGCGATGTACTGCTGCTGCTGTTGTTGTTGCTGCTGCATTTGGTGGTACTGCTGCTGTAGGTACTGCTGTTGGGCCTGGTAATGGGACGGCGAGTTCATGTGCATGTAGTTCTGCGACTGGAGGAGTCGCGGCGGCTGCTGAGGCTGCAGTCGCTGAGGCGGGGGGATGTGCGAGGTTTGCTGCGGGGCGAAGACTCGCAGCTGTCCGTCGATGCTGTCGTCGCCGACGGGTTGGAAGCAGGCGGCTGGATCGTCGTTGGGCGAGGGTAGTCGCGCCGCGAGCATCGACGACGTTGACGCCGTCGCGACGTACGGCGACGACGTCTGCCCGCCGACGTTGTTCATCATGTTGGAGGTGACGAGCGACGTCGTCGCGCCTTCTGAAGCTCCGCCTCCTCCTCCGTCGCCGCCAGCGTTCGTTGGCTGGCCACCGTTCACGCTTTGCGTCTGCAAAAAAATCGATATGAGTTAGAAAATCGATTTCTTTTTTTTTTTTTAGGCGAGACGTTTCAAAATAAGAAATGACCAATGAGAAAAAATGATGAAAAAGAACTGTCGACAAGGAAAATCTATAACTTCAAACTACCCCTTTTTTCGACTTTGGGACAGCCATTTTTAGCGCGGGAAACTTGGGACTACCAATTTTAATCTTCAGAAACTTGGAACTGACCGATTCTAGAATCTTTTGAAGCATTTCTGAGCCCTAAAATTGTCCCTCCCAAAAAAAAATCGTCATGAGACAGAGATTCCACTTAAAGCCACTCTTTCGGAAGAAAATCTTATCCACCCACACTTCCTCTTTTTTTCAGAGATTTTTAAACGATCTCGAAAATCTTGAGAAAAAAGGAAAGTATCTGCAAAAAGAGGATAATCGCACTAAAGAAACCAATTTTGGGGCAACTTTTTTTCTAAATCCTTTCAAAACCGGAAGTATTAAGAGCTCGACTTCATTGCTACAATAATAAATTAGAACCGCCATTTTTCTCAAAAGCACAATCAATGCGTAACTGAAACCAGACCAGACTGAACCAAAAGAAAAAAAAAATCCTTCAATTTATAAATAAACAATGAGGCGCCGTCGATAAACGCAATATCTACATGAGCATGGGGCCGACAAGGTTCTCTTTTTTTTCTCATTTTTGGTCTGAATGAGAAGAGAAACCAATAAAGGGCAGAGATGCAGATGGAAAACTGGCAAAGAAAACGTGGCTCCACGACAAGCAAAAAAAAAATGGAAATATCATCACTCATGTGATCGATTTTCTGTTGTTTCGTTGATTTTTAGTATAATTTTTGTTCGATTCTTTTGAAAATCTTCCTAAAAATTCTAACAAAAATACTTCAAAGTTCCAAAGACACAGTGAAAGTTAAAATTGAAAGATCTCCACGTTTATTGAAGAAAACTCCATAGAATAAGGAGAAAAAACGCAGAAAAGCTCAAGGATACGTGAAAAAATAGAGAAAACACCCGGAAAGCTTCAAAAAAAAAAAAATCGTCCAAAAGCCTTTAAAGAGCCACTGAAAACTATAAGCCTCTACAGAAATTTTCAAAATCTCCTAAAAATTGAACTAAAAGTTTAAAAATCTTCTGAAGAAGTCACGTATGCAGAAATGCTCCAAAAGACTACCTAAAAACAACAAAAAGAGCTTCAGAAGCTCCCCACCAACGCCAAGAACTACCCAGATCGCTCAGAACAAATTGTGAAAAATTTCAACAATCTGGAACCTACTAAAAACTTCTGACGAACGTTAAGAAAAAGGGGGGTAAGAAGAAAAGAAAGAGAGAGGCAAATGGAACTGAAAATGAATAAAAAATGGCTGGTGCTCGTGACGAGAAAAAAAAGGGGGGCTAGAGATAGAGAGAGAGCAACTCTCACACACACACTCACACAGTTGCCGTACACGTGTCCCCCCATTAGTTTTCTGACGCCTCAAGCTGTACGCAAAAACCAAAAGAGAGATGAGAGAAAGCGGGTGGATTGGAGAGGGTTTCCCTCTCTTTCTCTGGTGTCGACACACACCAGAGATAAAAAGGTCCGACCGACGACAATATCTTGCTCCGGTGTACTCGTGCTGTTCATGCCCGTTATTGATTGATGATGGTGATTTCGATTGGGTCCAAGGGAGAGGCTTAAGGGTACAGAGTACCCAGTAAAAACTTGGAAAAGTTCAAACTTTTGGGAAAGATCTCATAAGGTTTTTTTTGTGGTCAAAATAATTTTGGACTCTGATGGGAATAAAGGTGTAATTTAATACCAGGAGGCTCCAAAATCCAAAAACAAAAATGTAGAAATCTCCAGTTTTTCAAAAAAAAAAAAAGAGAAGGACGCGAAGCTGAGAAGTTCATAATTTTAAAAATTTGGCTGTTTTGAGTTTAAATATCCTTCAAAAACTCATATCTACGAGATATAAGATCAAGCGTTATAAGGATCATTTTTCAAGTTCCTAGATAACTGAAAAATCCGAAAATTGGAAAAACTATCAAAAAGGTGTGTAGAATATCATTCAAGTCATACTCAGGAGCCTGGGGTCGTGATTTCAATTTTAAAGAAATAAAAAAAAATATTTCTCAAAAATGATGAATCACATGTTCCCCCAATATTCACACCCGGTATTTTTCAACATTTTCTCCGCAATTCTCTGAGAAAATCAATAGTTCTCGCACAACGATTTGTCAATGTGAATTGGAAAAAAACAGCACCACCGCCTCCCTGGTACCAAGGTGAGTCAAACTCCTCACATTGCTCTTCAACGTTGTAAGAAAGGAAAAAAAAATGAGATTCCGATCTGATGGAAACGATCGGAAATAGCTTCTATACGACGTAAAAAGAAAGGAGATCGCTCAGAAATTACTTTTGATGCAAAAATCGATTCTTCAATTCAAGATCGAAATTTCTTTTCCAAGACTTTTTAAAAAATAATTTTTTTTAACAACCATCGAATCGTTTTTCTTACACTAAACTCCCCAAAAAAGCCTTCAACTATAAAATACAATATTTCTTAAATTTCAACGTAATTTTCCACACAACCTCACTGAAATCAACCAGAAACCGTTCCAAACAGAAAATCCAATCTCTAACCCGCTTATCAACTCAATTCCCCTCAAAATATGCAAATCCTCTTGCGCAATGACCTTTCCACAACACCTCTCCAAAACGGCTATCACTCACCAAAAACGGAAAGAAAGAGCGTTTCCCCCTTCGCTCAGAAAAAAAGAAAAAAAAACACAGAATGCAATTAAATCGAGACGGCGAGGCCCGCCACACACACGAAAATCCTCCCAATCAATATATTCCTGGCCTTCGCTTGGGCCTCATGAATAAATGAACGTAATGGAATTTATAAATATATTGATGAAAAAGTTTTGGGAGTGAAGTACAGATTTTTAAGGGAAAAATGGCTGACGGCTTGAAATTCTCGCACTTGTGTGCTCCACGGATAAATATTTAAATTGGCATTTTTTAGCTTTTCGAAAAATTAAAAAACAACGTTAAAGGCGTGTAAAACTAACTAACCTTCCGTCATTGAGTGAATAAAAAAAAACATTTTTTTTTTTTTAAATTTTAACTTTGAGATCAAAATAACAGACCCTTGAATGGAAAAAGGTTCCGTCCAACCCATCCAATTCACCTCCAACAACCCAATTCCCAATCGTCATGACCACCACCTTCTTTCTTTTTCCTATCTCCTTCCTTGACGGCAGATCTTTCTTCCTTATTTCTCTTTTTCAAATCATTCCGTCCGTTTCAAACGAGACCTTTGGAAGAGAGGAAGGATAGAAGTGTTCGAATTAGGTGACGATGAACAGGATAATCCGTCTCGGATAGGAAACGCTTAGACTTAGACAAAGAGAGCTCCATTGACAAAAAAAAGTGGTCAAAAATCTAAGAGCTCAACATATACAACTCACTGCAACAAAAAACGTTTAATCCATTATTTTGAGAATTCCATTGACAAAATTACTTCAAAAACCAGTAGCGATTCCCAGATTTCGTTAATAAGAGCTCAAAAATCACCATGGTAAGCTTAAAACAGTGTTGATGTACGCTCCAATGATAAAGCCATCTTATTTCAATTATATTTTAGAAGATCTTATAACTATTTTAAAAACAATTCATAAAATCCCCTATAGCAAGCCTCTCCGGACAGGATTCGTTGAAAATCCGCCCGAAAAATCTAACAAAACAAGTCCAGAAAAGAAAAAAAAGGCTCATAAACCTTCTCAAAGACGCTCAACTGATAAAATCATCACAATCTTCAAATCCGGCTCAGCTTTTGCCCAAAAGTCCACAAAAAATCGATGTCAACTCAGAAAAACATCACCCGGAGAAGAAAAGAACGGCTAGGAAACAAAAATTCGTGGAAAAAGGGCAGAGAACCAGAGAAAAATGCACGAGGAATTTCTCCTCCTTCTCAAATCGCTTACACGAGGAGAGACCCCTTTTTTTTTTTTTCTTTCTTCTTTCTCCCGAGGCGAGGCGGAAATAGGTCCAAAGCCAACAACGTTTCGCCCTTCCCCCCTTCTCCAATCAATTGAGAGTTCGAAACCGAAATCGCTCAGCACCAATCGAGAAAAAAAGATGACGATCACATGACTTTTCTTCAAATTTGAGCAGAAATAGTTATTTTGAAAAAATCTTTCCGTGGAGCAAACTTGTGGAGGTTTTTGAGCCGTTTTTGTTCTTGGGGGCGTTTTTTTGGGGATTTTTCGACAATTTTCCGAAGATCTAAGTAGTAATATTTGATTTTAGAAGAATCCATTAGATTATTATTAGTTCGTACGTTATTTTTAATAGTTTTTTGAATGTTTTGTAATGATCTTTCATGAATTCACGTCACTCTGTGGAAAATCCTCATTGATCCATAACCCAAATCTTGATAATCTTATAGACCATTTTTTCTTCGACTTCAAGCCTTTTTCCCTTTCAAAGGTTATAACCCATCTTCTTTCACCGATTGATAAACTGCAAATCTCCCCAAGACTTCCTTCATCCCCAAGGTCCACCCAACATTGCTCTTGGCTCGGCAAGCAACAAGTGCTGTCGAGGCCAAGATAAGCAAAGCAGGGGGCAAGAAAACCACCAAAAATCGATCGATATTTGACAGTGTATGCGGAGCGGTTTGTGATGACCAACCCAAGCAAACATACAGAGTGATGGGAGGCGGAGGAATGGACATTAGTAGCGGCGGCGGCGGACGTCAGAGGGGAAAACGCCGCTGGAGAGAGATCGTTGCAAAAGTTGAGATCAGAGGAGGAGAGTCTTTAAAAAAGGATGCGAACGGATGGACTTGAATACACCAACACACGAAGAATTTGAGAAAAAAAAAACTACTTTTCGACGAATTTTTCAAGTTTTCGGAGGAAATAACTTGAAAAATGAAATCCTTGTTCCGCTATTTTGAGAAAAATTTCAAGTTTTTCTTTTTCATCCTAAATTTGATTTCCAATCGTTGAGCAGAGTGTAGAAACCAGAAAATAAGGGATCGATAACTCACAGAGACATTAGAAAAATTGAGAAAAGTGGTTTTTTTTTCACAAAAACATGCTCGAGCTAAGTCAAGTTCAAAAACCTAAAAAAAATAATTAGAGAAACTTAGTTATTAGAGTTCAGAGCTCAGAAATCGACCTCAAAACACATAAAAAGCTTTTCAACAATTATCTTTATCTCCAAAAATCCAAAAAACCTTAAAATCCTTTTCTTCTAACAGGGCGGAGACCGAAAATGCTCCTACTGAAAGATTCCCAAAACACTTCGAAATTCAAAAATTCAAAAACGGACCCCAAAGTGCGTTTTTCGATCTCGAAAAAGTCTGAAGCTCTGCTGATAGTCTCAAATTCAACTTTCAAGAAGTAATGATAATAAAATGATACGGTTGATCACGACGTCACAAAGGGAAAAAACCGCTGGGGAGAGACTGTTGGAAAAGTGGAGAGGACCGACGAAGAGATGGAAAAAAAGGAATGCGAACGACCAGCCGGACACACACCAGCGAGTACCAACACACAACACACCATTTCACTTCATTTTCTTCTCTTTCTTCTCTTTCTTTTTGTCCTCCTCTCCTCGGCTTCATCCGTATATCTCCTCTAAACGATCTTCGTCCGACGACGGGCAATATTATACAAACGACGCGTTCGTGTGTGTGAAGTGACTGGCGAAGGCTTGTTGAAGGAAAAGGTCGAAAAAAGTCCGCAATGTGATAAGATTTTTCAAGGAAGGAACTAAGAATTCTACAAAAAACCCTCAAAAAAAATAACTGTTGAATTTTGAGGATTCTTCTAAGAATTTACCTCTGTTTTTAAAGTTATCCAAACTTATATTTAAGATCAAAATGGACAAGGAAAACTGACTTAGTCCGGGTATATAAGTCTGAAACGTACAATTAATGTTAAAAACCAACCTTGAAATTACCTATAACTTGAAAAAAAAACTATTCAACTTTATCGAGAACTTGGGAACAAGCCGTCGAAGAAATTCATAGCCAGGAAAAAGTATAAAATTTTTAAATACATAAAAATCAAGCTCATGAACTCCAATCTGAACTTAGAATAATGCTAAATTCACTGAAAACTAATCAGAAAATTATTTTACTCGAAAAAAAAGCATTCAACTTTTCATTTTTTTTTTTCACCTACTTAATCTACCTCGATAACACCGTCATAATCGTTAAAGATTCGAGAAAAACACCGGGAAAAGGAAACTTCATAAAAATATACAACATTACTTCCCATCTTCCTAAAAACTCTGTAGCCAATCTTCTTGAAGCAACTTATCCGTAGTTTTTTCCTATTTCTAACCTTTCCAACTTATGGAAGATTATCCCAACACTGTAAAACACCTCGTTGAAGTCAAAAATTGTTCAAAATAACGAAACAACTTGAAGATTGAAAATAACTCGAAACTTACAACAGGCAAGGCCTTGCTAGCCTGCGGGCCAGTGTTGAAGATCTTCTGCTCGAGGGCCTGATGATGGAGGAAGTCGCCGACTCTTTCGTCGGTCATCGTCGACATTCCGTAGGCCGCGGCAACGCCGTTCTTCGCCCCGTTTCTTGGTTCTTCCAGTTCAAACCGCTTCTCGTTGGGCTGGACCAGTATTTTCTCGAGTTTCAAGGAGCAGCCGCACAGGTGGTACTAGCTCTGTAATACATAATATTGATAAAAATTAGCCTTTAATGGGTTTAATTTTAAGCTGGATGAAGCTCTAACGAGGTGAGAAAAACTGTTCAAAAACAGAATTTTATGAAGGATTGAGCTTATGAAACAAACAAACTATCTAATTTCCAAAGTTTTCAACGCAAAATAGACGAAAAGTACCACAGATGCAATCTATCGTACGATGAGAACAGATGCGGCGAAAAACAAAAAAGAAAAGACGGCCTTTTTTGAAACGAAACGATGAGAATGAAAGAAACCCGCGCACAGCCGCAAAACACCTGTTCTCTCAGCACAAAACGACAAGAAAAAATTGCAAGAAAAGGTCATTTTTGGTGTGGAAATTGTTAGTTTTGAGAAGAATTACTCTCGCAATTTCTGAGCAAACAAAACAGCTTTGAGGATTTGCTAGAAAGTTCATCAAATAAAGTTTTCTAGGTACCTAAAAAACCGACCGTGCAAAAAAGCAGTTGAAAATGGTTGTCCCAAACTTTTCAGGTTTGAAATTGGCAATCCCAACTATCACAGCAAAAATTATTAATACCAAGGAAAAAAAATTTTTTTTCTAGCGTGTCGATCAAATAATCAAATTAAACATCATAAAACGTTTACAGTTGTGATAACAATCTTCAAAATACGTATCAAAAAACTTTTTTTCAGCAAATTCTCAAAAACTTCCAACACAATTCCAATACAAAAAAGACCAACCCAATATGATAAATCAGTTCATCAATCGATTCCCAGTCGACTGGGGTTACAAACAGTAATTATCGCCCGTTTTCTTGGCTTTTTTTTCTGCTGGACGGTATTATATGATAAGGCGTCCACGTCAGAAAAGGAGAAAATACCCCCGGTAGATTGAGAATCTGAAAAAAAACTATTTCAAGGAAGACATCCTGAAACTGCGAAAAAAACGAAAATTCAGCTGACAATCGTCATGTGACACTTAACGGAGAAAGAAATATAAAAAAAATGTTCACATGGTACCGACAAAAAAAAAATAAATTGAAAGTCTTCTTTTCGACGTCAGAATGTGTTAAATCTGAATGTGCCAAATGTGTCAATATGAAGTGCTTGAGGCAGGTTTTGCACTTCAAATAACGGATTAATACTTGTTATTTTGGTGTTCAAATAACATTTCTACCAAGAAATAGAAAAACTCGAAAAATAGGTTTAAAAAAACGTGGTTAACAGGAAAGAAAAAAGGACAGTTTCAATAAAAACTTTTTAATTGGAGAAAAAGAACTGGAGGCGCCCAGCGGCCAAAATTATTAGTTTATATCCTTACTTTATTTGAAAGTAGCGTGACACAATCAAAAAACAGGCAAAAAATACAAGAAAAACACAATTTACGAGTAAAATTCAAAACTTCGATATTGGCGCCAGCAAAATCAAAAAGACGCCAATCAAAACTTAAAGGCGCATTTGATACACGCGTTATTCTTCAAATTTGACAACTTGTGAACAGAAATCTTATTCTTTACCGTTTTGAAGAAACGAAAAAAAGTAGTTCGAGATAAAAAAAAAATCATTCGAAGTATTCCAAACGACAAAAGATCAAATAGGGGTTAATTTAAATCAGAGAAAAAAACTGAAAGTTTTTCTAAAACGTAGTCAAACTTCTAACACAACACCATGATGTTAAAGATAGAAAAGTAAATCAATACTCGAAAAAAAACCATTTCAGTTGCTTAAAAGAAAAAAGAAGTTTTCAAGACTTACTAAAAGGTAAAAAAAGTTTGAGAGGTTTAAAAAAAAGACAGATTCCTTTAAAAAAACACGTTCAAAACCTCTTCTCTTAAAGTTAATTAGATTTAGAGAATTCAATACACCGGAGAAAAATTATATGAATGAACTATATCACACAGGAAGCCTTCAGAAACCAAAAAAGAGCGAAATAAATGTACAAGTTTAAAAAAGCGAGCGATTCCTTTTAAAAAAACCGATTAAAAACTGAGTCTTGTTAAAATTCCTTTGAATGAAAGGAGTTCGCGTGCGCGTCAAATAGCTCGTTGTTTGGAGAAAAAAAATGGCCGTCGGACGGTCCATCCATCGGCCTTTTCTGTCCCCTCACCACACGTATCGGTTGTGTGTGAGCGATTTCGATCAATTGCTGTGCGCGCCAAGGAGAAAAAGAGACGAAAAAAAAGGTATTTGTGTGAAAAGGACGCGGAACGGACCGACCGACCGACGCACACGTGAAAATTTGCGAGAAATGAGAGATGCGAACAAAAAAGTTTTCTGACTGGGGGCGGGGCCACATTCAGAAAGGTGCCTGAAAAACAAGGACAACACCCCCTTTTTCGGGGTTCGTTCTGCTGCATAATTTCAGTTCTTTCTATTCTGTTTTCAGTGAAATGAAGCTAGGAATCGGAAAAAGTTTCTCAAATCGGTTTTGAACGTTTATTCTTTGAAATCATGATTCAAAAAATCCAAAAAAATCTAAAAAAAAAAGCGCCAACTGATCAGTTAGGAACAGTAAAAAGCCTTGCAAATGATAAATCGTACAGAAATAAAGAGTGAGAGTTAGAGAGAAAAAAACCATAAAAAGGACGCTGGACAAAAGACGAGAGTCTGCGAGAGAGGAGAGAGTTAGACGGCTAGACAGTGCTTGAAAAAAATTCGAAAATGATTCGACCCTGGTATTTTAAAACCGCGTGAGCAAAAGAGAAAGAGAGTATGCAAAACTTGGAGAGTCAGACTGTTAGACAGGTTCTTACGGAACTAACAAAAATTTTTTGCCATGAAATGACTTCATTACCGCTTTTAAAGCCATATAAAATTTTGTAAAACGAAAGAAATACTGTGCGGAATGAGGGGAGTGTTGGAAAATCTTACAAACACCGGTTTATTACCTAAATTCATGTAGATTCATCATAATTTCAAACCACTGAGAGAAAAAGTTCAAAGAATGTGGAGAGTGTTAGACGGTTAGACAAATCTCAACAAAAAATTAGAAAAATGACATGCTCTACGAAATCACCGAAAAGAGGGAAAAGAAAACGAAAAGCTCAACCGTCATTTGGAGCGTCGTTCAAAACTGAATGCATTCGAAATTTCGAAAATGCTTGAAATAAAATTGATTTTAGCTAATTAAAAAAAGGTTGACTTTAATAAACTATACCATAAAAAGTTCACAAAGTTAAAAAAGAGCGCGAAAAATTGCAAAAAAGGCGGCAAAGTCGACCTTGGCGGATCGTAACCAAAATTGAAGTGAAAAATCATCAATCTTCATTATTTTTTTTTTCAAAAGGTAAAAGAGGATCGACTAAAAGTTCATATTGAACTACGAAAAGCTTCAGAAGAGTACCACGAAAAGTTCGGAAAGTCAAAAAATGCGCAAAAAACTGCGAAAAAGGCGGGAAACTCGACCTTGCCGGATCGACACGAAAATAAAAATTCATCAAATTTTTCAATTTCTTTCCAAACAGGAACGGAGGATGAACTATAAGATCCATTTCAACTTCACAAAGCTTCAGAAGATTACCACGAAAAGTTCAGAAAGTCAAAAAATGCGGGAAAAACGCCGAAAAAGGCGGGAAACTCGACCTTGGCGGACCGAATCAAATAGTTGAAGTAAAAATTCATCAATTTTAATTCTTTTTCCTCCAAAGAGCAACGGAGAATCGAATATAAGTTCCTCTTTAACTCCGAAAATTATCACGAAAAAATCAAAAAGACAAAAAAATGCGCGAAAAATCGCGGAAAAAGACGGGAAACTCGACCTTGGCGGATAAACCAAAAACTGAGGGTAATGACAAAAAAAAAACACAAAAAAAGGCAATCAATAAGTCTTTTGGGAGGGTGGCCGGCGATGTGATGCGTGTGTGGGAGTGTGAGTGAGTGTGAGTACACGTGAGGAGAGCTCTTGGAGGGCGACGGAATGGGCGGAGCCGCGCTTCCTGCTGAGCGTTGAGAGAAGCGAGCCTCTTTCGACCGACGAAAGGAACGAAGAAAACCGACTGAACGGCCACCGATTGATAGTGAGAGAGAGGGAGTGGGAGAGGCAGACGACGAGCGGGTCAACTCTTCGTTCTTGTTGAAAGTCGGGTCTCCGAGAAGAGGAAAGGTCTCTAGATTAACGAAAAAGAGTCTGGATATGAAGGTAGAAATGGAAGTCATGTACCAAGTAAAGATCCTGAAAACCTCAATCTACCTATTTTCCAGAAACGACCCTTATAAGTCGAATAAAAAAAGCTCAAACGGCCCGCTAAAGAGAGCCATTCGGAAACTTGAGCCCTAATTTTAAGAAAACTGAGAATTTTCGGAGGTTCAGAATTTCAGGACCTTCTACTGGTAATAAAAAAAGTATTCAGCCCGGCTTTCTGAAACTCCCACAAAGTTCAACAAAAAAAGCTCCAGATAGCTTGGGTCGTGAAAAATAGCTATTTAGCTGGTCTACTGAGCCAAAACAGAAATAATGGGGGAATCACAAAACCAGTTCATTAAAAAAATTTTTCTGACTAGTGATATATTTGAAAGGGCAGAGAGGATTCATGTCCAAAATTACCACTTGAAAAACATGATAAGAGAAACTTCCGATTTTTTTTTATCGAGCAAAACTAATACTTGTGGGATTTGAATTACTTGGAAAGCAAAATTACTATTCTACAAGCCTTCCACAGTTCAAAAACTGGCCGAAAAACCTTCATTCGTGCCTTATTTTTTGGACTTCTTCATGATGCAAAAAATGAGATTTTAAATTTTTATCGAAGAAGCTCTGAAGTTGTGGCCTTTTTCGGTATCATTTATGCTACTTTTGCATATTTTTTCGAACAACAGACTCTTAATAAGCGCTAAATTCCTAATTTTTTTAATTTATAAGCAGTTTTTTTGCTACTCTAAAGTACTTTTTTTCAAGTTCAAAAACTTTATTTCGTTTGTTCCTTTGACCTTCTTCCGTCCAACATATTGAGAAATGTCTCTAACTTTATAAGTTCTGTTCCTTCAAAAATTATTTTCAAATGTAACCGAACTAGCTTTTTCTAAAATTAAAGAGTTATTTTTCATCCCTTTCCGAGTAAAGGAACTGATCCGTAGTTTCATATACACGTGGACGCGCGTAACAGTTGTGACTCGACTACGTTTTATCAGCAAATACAATCTCAGTATGAAGTATTTTGTTATAAATAGTAAATGTATGACTCTTCAAAATCAAAATCAAAAATGTTTTATTTCTCACACACAAGTACTAAATTTCACGAAATAGATGTAGGGAGAGATTTGGAGGGAGAGCTTCTCGCTATAAATTTCCTAATAGTTCGAACTTAAATATATTTTTGAGATTGAAGATGAAAAAAGTCGTTTCGCAGCACAGAAAACTATATTTATTAAAAGAAGAAGTCTCACAACTGCAAATTCGAACGTGAACGAACACGTCGTCATTTTCAAATTTGAAAATGTGTTCATCTTTCATTTTCATTTTATTCTATTTTTTTCTCGTTTTGTTCAAACTGAACTATTTCAAAACGATCGATAATTTTTTTTACGCTCTCTGCCAAATTCATCGTTATTAAGTTCACTTGAATTCATGCCCAGCCTCTAGAGAAGCTGAGCCATGATCAAAATAGAGAAATTTTTTGATACTCGATGTGTTGCTGACAGAAATTAATGCCAAAAACCTCTCAAGCAGCTCCTAATTCGGCCTTTCAGCGCAACTAAGTTAAATAGAATGAAGCCGAGAAGAAGGAAAACAAGTCTAGACCGAGGATTTGACCGACAGATTCCCCCAAAAGCCGTATAATTATTGCCATATATGACTTAGGGAACAGGTTGCGGGGCGCCTAGGAAATTGACTAAAGACTGCCATTTTTCGGGAATTCGAGAAGTTAAGTCTTGTTCCGTTGGTCACAGGGATAGTATAAAAAAAGATAGGACAATAACTGAATCAAAAAAATGAAGTAGAAAAAAAAAAAATTTTGAAAACTGGCAGGGCCAGTGAAAGTGTGCGCCAATGACAACGAAAAAAATGTTTTTTTCAAAAAAATTTCCATTTTTTAATATTTCCGTTTTTTTCTCCTCTTATTTCTTCCAACATAAACATTTTCATGGTTTTTTAGAGGATGGTTCAAAATTTCTCACAAACTGAAACTGGTGAGAAATCGGAAAAGTAAATTTTAATTCGAGTACAGAAAATTAACGTACCGTTTATTTTTCAAGCGTTTTGATAGTCCTTATGAAGTTTTCGATCCTCTAAAAAATTTACAACGTTAAGTTGGTCATACTTCTTGCGCTCACCCTACCGAAAAATCAATTGAAAATTTTTTATTGTTTTCCCATCGCGTCCTCTCCAAACGCGATTATAGTTTTCTTCTTGCAAAATCAATTTTTTTTTCAGTTTTCTCTCTTTCTCTACTTCTGTTTTGCTCCATGTCCGACGTATGCACTTGAATTTACCGCCAAATTCTCACTGTTTATATGCCTTTTCGCGGAATGAAAAATATTTTTTCAGGGGACTTAGTTTTAGAGATTGTAAAGTTGATTCACAACAGTTTCTTTATTAGTTTCAAGGCGTAAATTGGCTTGAAGTAAATCTTTAAAGTTTGAATTTGAAGAGAACTGTTTTGAATCAACTTTACGTGAGAAAAAAAAAGAAAAAGAGAGGAAACCGCGTAATTTTTCGTTAGCAAATCTCTCAACGAGTTATTTAACATCTATTAATGATAAAAAACTTTTTTTTTCAAATGAACTTTTTTATTAAAGCTCTTTGAAGCATTTTAAGCGTTTTTTTTTTCATTTAAGAAGGTCTTTTTGTCAACATTTCAAGTTGTATTTAGCCTCTTATTCGAATATTTCTCTTCGTAAAAGAGGAATTACACAAAAAAATAACTTAGAAATGTATTTTCAGGTCAAAACCTCAACTAACTTTCAAGATAAATGAGTTCACGGCTGAACGGGCGACTCAGTTATGGCGGTCCAGAAGTCAGTCGTCAGAATCCGAACCAAGAGCCGCCGAGACGACGTTCTAATGTACACGATGAGCGGGGCCGTCGAATGTTCGCCAATATCCAAAGTGCCTTGGGCGCTCCAGCTGGCGGCTCTTCCGGATTTTCGCCTCGGGACCGGAGAATGCCTAGGAAAATCCAAGAAGACGAGCCTCCGGTTGAGGTAAGCCGAGAATTCAAGTTCAAAAACCCTTGCCATGTTTTTTGAAAGCGCTAAAGTCTTGAGGAATTTGAAATAACTTAAAAAACGCCTCAAGACCGATAGAAAATCATATGCGCCTTCAAAAAATCAGAGCGTGGATTTTCGAACAAGCACATAATGATAAGTACTAAAAGAGTTGACAAAAGAACATGATATAAAAAAAATCGCAATTTCATATAGAAAATAATTTACTTTCTTTCATACAAGATAAGATATTTTTGAAAAAAGTAGAATAAAAAGAATATTCATTTAAGAAAGCCAAATAATACTTCTGTAGTTTTTTTGAAGACCAGATGATAAATAAACGAAAAAAATGTATCCAGAACAATATTCTACAGATATAAAAAGCGTTCTCACTCAATAAAACATGGGAAATTGAATCGCAAAAAATTTTTTTAATCTACGGAAAGTTACTAGTATTCAACTTTATGTGTTGAAAAAAATAAAAAAAATCACTGATTAGAAAAAAATTTCTTCATCATCAAATTTAAAGATGAAGGTAAACACGAGGAAGGTTAATCATTGAATTTTGCTCCTGTTTCCAAATTATATACCATTAAATTGCTCAATTAGATGATTTTTACATCTTTCTCTAACTCAGGATGGTGTCAAAAAGACGATAGAAATCTTTGAAAAAAAATAATTTTTTTAAGGAGCTCCACGATGTCGACGAAATAATTGCCCAAATCGCTGATCTCAACGTTCGACCGGATCGCTCAGCCGCACAAATTAGTAATAAAAAAACAGTATGACGACTCGTAAGGGATAATATTTAAGAGAGGAACATCACAAAATGCGGATTTGTGGAGAGAATGGACGAAGACGAGTGGCTGACCCTGTGCACGGCGCTCATCGAAATCGCCTTGGACCAATCTGAAGCGAATTTCGTCGTCGATATATTTTCCTCTCTTCTGAGTTAGTAGAAGTTTTTTTTGGTTCATTTTTGTATTTAAAACTAGTTTATAAATTCTAAGATGAAGTATATTTCACATTTTTTTTATTCTGATAAGACAATTCACTGGAAATTCTCTTCTCTATTTTCAATAATTCAAAGATTTTTCATTTTTAAAATCGAAGCTTACCCTTTTTTTCAAGAACACGAAGAATTCGGAACCGTCATGTCTTCGGAATTGATGGCCATCTCGTCGTCACACGTCATGGAGGGCGGTTCGAAGCCGATTCCAGCTTTCCTTTCTGCCATTTTGTGCGCAAACTGGCCTAGACAGTATTCGAAGGTTAGTTTTGAATTTAGAAACGAAAAATAATCCGTTATAGGAATCGAAAAAAAGAAATTAGATTTGATCTTTGTTGCAATTTTTCCGACTTTTTTTCTTTCAAAAAAATGTCAAAATTCAACATCATATTTTTTTATTATAAAATTTTTGAAGTTTTTTTAAAAGACAATAGAACTGTAAAAATGAGCTTTGTAAATTGATAATTTCTGATTTTGGCAAACTTTGAAGCTCCAGTTTTATTTTTCTAGTGTTTATTACCCCTCGATTTTCTTTAATTATCAACTTAAATAGTAATTTTGATTTTTCGAAAACAAAATCAGTATTTTCAGGCAATCGATTCTGTAAATATGCTCCTCTTCACCACCATGCAAATCGTGAAAGGATGGATCCAAGTCCTTGATGAAGATAATATGGTTTTTGACTAATTTCCAACACTCCTATAAGCCTTTTTTCAGCTTTTCATCAAAAAGGAGCCGAAACCTGTGGCGCCACCCCTTCAGGAAGAACAAAGCGACACCGAGTCAGAAGCTGAAGATTCGGATAACGAAGTTGAAAAACAAGCCAAGATTATCGTGCAGCCAGAAGCCGAAGATGAAGCTGAACCCGAGCAAGAAGAGCCGGAGATTGTCAATCGGTAATTTTGGAAAAAATTTTTTACCTTGAAAAGTTCCGGTTCAGGTTTCGATAAAATTTCGCTGAAAGGTACTTTTAAACAGTTAGATTTTGAAACAGTAAAAAAAGAACATGTTTTTTTTTGTCTTCTAATGGAGCCTCGGAGCTTGAACTTTTGGCAGTCCCAAATAATCAAAAAACTTTTTTGGCAGTCCCAGATCAATGTTTAAAAAATTGGCAGTCCCAAATTATCAAATTTCAAAGTTGGCAGTCCCAAATTATCGAATTTTAAAATTGGCAGTCCCCAATTATCGAATTTTAAAATTGGCAGTCCCCAATTATCAGACCTTAAAATGGCAGCCCCAAGCTCCACAGTAAAAATATGACTTTTAGTGTTTTTTTAAAGCGTTAGAACTTTAATAAAATGCAAAAAGATACTTCTTCAGGTTATTTTTTTGATCAGGAATTCTCAAAAAACCTCTCAGCCAAGTTTTATCGAACTCTGAAACTAACACCTTTTTCAGTTACCTTATCACTTTCATTTCCGTTAATTTCACCTTTCATAATAATTTCCCCTTTTCAGGTGCGCCATCGCCATCTTCGACCTCTGCGAGGCTGCTCAGCGATCATTGTGGATGAAGTTTCCAACGCTTTGCGATGAGATCTATGACGTCATCAAGCCTGCAATCACCCACAATTCGAATCTCACTGGGTTCGTCTTCATATTTTTTAGAAATCAGAACAAGGAAAATAACTTTCCGATGCCTGGAGGACAGTTATACTGAAGAAAATTCCAGAGAAACCAAAGTCCGCTTGTTGCAAACGTTGCTGGCGTTGACCAACTGGACCCGTTCAAAGGCCGTCACGACAAAAATAGCCCAAACTCAAACCGTTGCGTGTTGAAATTTATAACGCTGGTCGCACTGGGAATGGCTACTTTCAAAGACTTCAACGCGTTGAGCCATTCCAAATGCGACTATATATCATTTCTTTCTGAATCGTTTCTTGTTGAATATTCTTGTCTGATAGTTGTTTCTGTTAATAATGTAATTATTCTTCTTTTTTAAAGCCCTCATTTTCTTTCGATTTTCTCTCAGTTAATGTCAAATATTGTTGAGCCATTTGTTCAGGTTTCCTTAAATCCTCAAAAAATTCATTTCAATATCATTTTTTCCTTGTGATATAATCATTGCGAATCTCTTGTCGAAAATATTTAATAAAAAAAGTTTTTTCGACGACTTTCTAGACTGGAATGGCCTACATTCTTTCGAGCCTGATCTTTCGAGCCCGAAAGTGAGCCCTTGATCTTTCGAGCCTTGATCTTTCGAGCCCGAACTGATCAATAGAGCCCGAAGTTAATGATCTTATGAGCCGCTGATCTTTCGAGCCCAAAGTATATACTAAGTTTCAGAAATTCATCATTTCCAGTAGAACTTTTGCAATATCACGTTTTATCAAGATTGATTTTTGTAGTTATAACTGCAAATCGTCAAAAAACACTAAAATTTATTTTTTGTCTACTTCCGAACAGGTTTTTCTTGGCTACATCTAACTTTGAGATTATGGACTATTTATATTAGAAAATCGAGTTGAATTTTCTCCTATTAAACTTGTAAACTTTCTTAAAACTATTTGAACATGTGAACATTATTTGAAAAACTCTCAGCAAAGTCTGGAACCCATGTGACAGGCTCCTTCTTTATTTTCAAATGCAGTCACGATTCTTGTAGTTGTTCAGGCAGTAAAATAGACGCTTCCAGGCCAAATATCAACTTTTTTCGATCATTGTTGTCTGATAATGTAATGGGCCTGATCTGGATCACATATAAGAATTTTTGAATCATGAACATCGGAACTACGATACGGTTTTAGTGAGCTCGTTTTTTACCCCCTTTTGCACACTTTGAAGCTCCATAACTCGGAATCAAGATCTATTGCGAGATATTTTTTTCTTGATCTGCAATCAGAGGGTCCTAAAGTACACTTCAGTAAAGTTTCAGCAAAAGTTCAACCGTGGGGTAAAAACGTTCCCTGGTTAATAACCTTCTAGCGGTCAAGTTGTTTCTTGTGATGAAGTCAGCTTAAATACCTTTCTAGGTTTTTCGAAACAACATAGGAGCAGTTCCGGGGTGCTAAGTCGTTTTCAGCTTTTATTAGCTCCGCCTCAAGATACAGCCTATGCTTTTGAGAATCAAATTGAGAAATTAAGTAAAAAAAATTTACCCATTCAAGCTAATTTTTTTTTGTCAATAACAAAAATTATTTGAAAATATACTTGAAAAAAAAAACTTATTCAAGCCGTAGTTTTCCGATTAGTTTTCCTGGGGGAAAGCTTTGCCATGCGAAATAGAATAATTTGAAGACTAAAGGTCCAAAATCATGATTCCTTACTAATACATGAAAGTGATGTTCAACAGCTTCAAAAGGGTTTGTTTTATACTGGAAAACCCGATGGAAAATTATGAAAACTATTGGTGTCGCTAAGAACACGCTGTTTTTCCTCACAAACGTTTTATTCTCAAAAATTTTCTCTTCAGGAAAGTTGCCCAAACTGTTAACTTTAAACTTTATATTCAGAGTTCAGATCCTTTTGTGAGAGAAGCGTTGGCGTTGACAGTTGGAAGATTGTACGAGTGAACCCAAGAAGACTTCGAGCCTTTGAACAACTTGACCAAGCTGCTGTTGACAAACGATACTGTTTCTATCCGCGTTCGGCAAAACAGACAGAAAAATGAAGAGTCAAGTTTATTTATCAACTATATTCACTAAAAATTGGCGATTGCCGTTCTAATACATTAAGCTATGAAAATGAAACGGTTCAAAATTCTCAACTCAAAAAAAAATAGACCGATAAGGAAAAAAAAAAATACTTGCTTTGATAAAAGTCACTGAGAAGGTTCAAGAGGCTTGCTCTCTATGTGTTCAGTGAGCCGATATGAATTTTCCCCGCAAGAAGATCTATCCAGTTTCTAAAATTTGATAGTTTTGAATAATGAAGAAACACGCATGTTCAAGGCGGTCGGTCCGTATTACGGTAATCAAGCTAGGTTTTTGGGTAATAAAAGGAAAACTTGTGTACTTTTTGTGACGTAACTTATCTCGTAACCTCGAGAAATAGTTTCTTAACAAACTGCAAAAAAGAAAAAAAAACTTTTGAAATTTTCCTAGCTCCGAAACTGACGGCGCAATATTGACCGGCCACCTGCCGCCGTAGCACTGTTTTGAACATGCGTGGAAAACAAGTTAAAAGGTGAAAACTGCATTTATATTTTTGGACCTAAAATTTTTCTGATGAAAGTGGAAAAAACACTATTCAAAGTTGACGAAAAATTCATTTTTTCTCATTTTATGAATTTGAATAGTTCGGATCTCTGAAATACAAACAATGAAAAACGAAAAATTTACATTTACATTTTTAGGCCAATTTAAAAAAAGGGAAAAATGCTGAAACCAATTAGAAAAAATTTCCAATTTGCCATTCTTTTCACTTAAATGATTAGAAAACTAGGAAAAGCAGTTTAAACATTAAAAAAACTAGTTTCTCATTTTTGGGCCTAAAAGTTTTTGGAAAACGTGAAAAAAAACATAATTTTATGTTGGAAACATGATCTAGTTTAACATTCAGAAACGTGAAAAATTTTAAAACAGATATAATCAACAATCAATGTGTTATTGTGTGAAAAAACAACAAAGAGAAAAAAATACGTAAATTGGGCAGGCGCCAAGGTTTGGCGCGCTATTTCATCGCTTTGAGACCCTATCTTTCCATTCAGTTGGAGAATTGCCAAAATTCTCCTATTTTCGAAATTATTTCTCTCATTTTCGTAGTTTTTGATGTTTTTCTTCATTATTCTGATTTTTTTTTTTCATTATTTTTTTCCTATGACATGAAATCATGTTATCTGCTCTAAAAATGTAAATTTATCGAATTTAAAGTACTTTTTTTAATTGGCCCAAAAAAAATGTAAGGTTCAGTTTTTTTTTTTCACTTCTGGTATTTCAGAGTTTCGAACTGTTCAAAATCATAGAATGGGAAAGAGTGAATTTCTGTCAAATTTGAATCGTACTTTTTTCCACTTTCATCAGAAAACTTTTTAATCCAAATTTCGCCTTTTAATCTGTTTTTCTCGGTTATCTAAAACTATCAGATTTTTTAAATTGGATAGATCTTCTTACGGGAAAAAAGCGTGTCATATCGGCTTCATGAAAACTTTAGTGCTGCCGCGTTCAAAGTTAATTTGACGCGCTCAGCGAAACAGTTTTTCTGGTTCAAAAAACCCAATATAAATTTATTTTCAAAATATTTTTCTCTCCAGATGGACGGGGCCAACCAATCACCCTGTGGGAACCTGCTGCCTTCCGGCTCGTGCTTTTGAACCAAAAAACTGTATTGCTACGCGCGTCAATTTATTTATATTTGAACGCAGCATCAAAGTAATTTCGGCGGTTTCAAAATAGACGCGTTATTCGTTTAAAATGATTTCGGTATAAAGGAAAAATTCTGAAAGGGTGCAGAAAAAATGATTCCTTCAACGATATATCGCGAGATATGCATTTTTACGGTGATTTGAAATTTTCTTGAAAATTCCCAAAGTTTGAGTTCGCGCGTAGAAGTTACAGTAAAAATGCATATCTTGCGGTATATGTAGTACTCGTTCTTCCTGCGGCCACGGAATAAAAATTTTATTCTTTTTCACGGAATAATTTTAAACGAAAAAGCGTCTGTTTTGAAATCGCCGATATTACTTTGAACACGGCATAAGTTATTCTCGTCGCTCCCCCGATTTTTTTTTTTGGCTGGAAAGAGGCTTTTAAGGGTTCTTAGAGAGCAAGCCTCTTGAACCTTCTCAGTGACTTTTAACAAAGCAAGTATTTTTTTTTCCTTATCGGTCTATTTTTTTTTGAGTTGAGAATTTTGAACCGTTTCATTTTCATAGCTTAATGTATTAGAACGGCAATCGCCGATTTTTAGTGAATATAGTTGATAAATAAACTTGACTCTTCATTTTTTTTTCTGTCTGTCTTGCCGAACGCGGATAGAAACAGTATCGTTTGTCAACAGCAGCTTGGTCAAGTTGTTCAAAGGCTCGAAGTCTTCTTGGGTTCACTCGTACAATCTTCCAACTGTCAACGCCAACGCTTCTCTCACAAAAGGATCTGAACTCTGAATATAAAGTTTAAAGTTTACAGTTTGGGCAACTTTCCTATTGAGAAAATTTTTAGAAAAAAAGTTTGCTTGGAAAAGTGTTTGCGGCGTGTTTTTTGCGACATCAATAGTTTTTACAATTTTTGATTGGGTTGTCCAGTATAAAAAAACCAATTTGAAGATGTCGAAAATCACTTTCACTGATTAGTACTTAGAGAAATAATGATTTTAGGACCTTTATTCTTCAAAAATATTCAATTTCGGATGAAAAACTTTTGAATGTCCTGTCTGCGCTTTCCATCTCTTTTTTTTAAATGATGTCGGCACCTTTTTTCGATAGTTCAGCCGTCAAGAAGCTGTTTTTTATTGAAGCTTTTGCTGAAAATTCCAAAGTATGCGTCAGACAGATAAACCAAATAAATGAAGAAAAACTCTGAAGACGTTTTCCGATTAATGAGTAAACAAATTAATGTGAATTAACTTTGAGGTCTTATGAAAGTTTGCAGCTCGAAATAACTTGTTCTTTCAGCCCTGATAACATAAAAACATGGATCTCAGAGTGTAGACACTCGAGTACTTGAAAATCCGATCAGTTTATCTCTAAAGACTTTTTGAAGAAATCAAGTTATATGTAAGCACTTAACTTAATTCTAAAGATTTTAATAGCAAGGAAGATATCTAATTTCAGTATTTTGAATTACTTTCTGCGTTTAACAATGAATATTTATAGAAGAAATTTAAAAAAAAATGCACTGGC